TCTGTATGCATTGTTACAGGCTTTTTCTGAGTGATGAGTCGTCTAAGTCTAAGATAAACTCCTTAATATCTGTGTGGTTGCTTAAAAAAAAAATCCCATCTACTCGTCCTTGTGGATCTCCAGCGCCCTCATGTGGTGGACAAGGGCACGGACAGGTCTTTTGCCAAAATCCACTTCCAGTCAGTTACTCTGAATAATGAACCAAAATAGACATAATTATGGTAATTTGTGGATATTTGATCCATGTTCTCATTATCACTTCTGTCAATTAATGTTTTCAAATATTATTATTATTATTATTCTTGATGATCCTCAAACCAAACAAAAACGATGTGGACATGTCTGTTTTTGATGAGCTATTGTTGGCTTTTTGTCACTTTTAAGTTTCTACTTGTATGATGCTGGTATTATCATGCATCCTTTCTTTGAATCAAATTGACAAGTAATTTGTTGAATGTAATAAAACCAAAATTATTGAGAGAGCGACTTATCTACTCCCTGTTAGCCTGAGAGATACCCCTCTCAAAGCTGAAATATTAAAGCGGAGAGGTTAGCTTAGCTTCCCAATGAAGATTAGCAACTATATTTGTCTTGTTCTCTTTCAAAAGAAACAAAATCCCCCTTCCAGTGTATCTGAAGCTTCTTTATTGTAAGATAAAACAAAATATGTCCGTTATTCTTACTTCCCTTAATTTAACAGTCCACCCTTTTTATTACTAGCTATGAAGCAACCATCTCAAAATGTAAATGTACAGGCCTTAAGACATTTAAGAAAAAAATTTCCAACAATAAAAGAACTTGGTTAGTTTTATATATTTGTTAAGGGAGGTTAGGTTTTGGCTTGTTAGTCAGTTCTTGAGCTGTAATTTGAGGTCTGGCTAGCTTGCTGCATAGGCTACTCCTAAAAACCCAAACATGGAGGTCATTCCCTTAAAGCCACAATTATGATCACTAAAGGGTGGTTTAAGATGTGTGAGATTTAAATTAATGCTTCCCACCCACAAAAAAGTGGTTAAAAGACGTCTAAATTTGGACCGACTCTAAATGAAGCCCAGTTTTCCACGTCTTCTTTGGGCTAAATATCCAAACGGCGGCCATCTTACTCCAGTAAAACCATCTAGTAATAGTAATAGTTTAAACGTTTTTATATAAATGATTGAATATAACTGCCTTGTGTGTGTGTAGGCCTATGGCTATTGCTCTACCCATCTGCTTAATGTTTATTTATGAAAATCCATGGTTAAAATTATCCTTGAGTGTGCAGGAACATAACTAAATCTCTGAGGTTTGTTACAAACCAAACCGTTTGAAAATCGGTTTAAAATTAAGCAATTTATGGTTATTTCAATGCTACGTGCACGTAGACTGGAATGTGGGCAAGCGTCCCGTAGCAAAATGGCCGCCATGCGCGGACGTCGGTCTCCATTGGCTAACAGTGTGCGTAAACCATCTAGCGTATACATATATATATGTGTATATGTATATACATCAGGGATTCTTGAGAGTCGGGACAAAACACTTCCTAAAAAACTTTTTTTGAGAATGCACACTATATTGATTAGAGTTATTTATTACTGTAGAGAAAGGTCTTAGCTATTTAACCCCATAAAGGAACAGGCTCTAAATAAAAACATTTTGTCTATAAATTAACATGTTTCCCTTAGACAGTGGATTTGTGTCAACTCCATCAGACACACAAAAAAGAATATAATTTTAATAATTCTAGTCCAACAAGAATCTAAAGTTCTGATGTATGTTGTAATAGTGTTTAGTTACTCTGATATGCCATGAAATATAATATATAAACCTAATGTGTGATTTCACACTATTTTGAAAACCAAGATTTCTAAATAGTTGTATTTTCAAACTTTGTTTTTAATTTTTATATTATAAAAACAATTTCTCTAGGTAAATAAGACACAAGAGGATGTAGAGCCAATGCTCCTTTATTACTTAAACAATATAAACTGAAGAAACAATTTTTTTTTCTCCAAAATTGAAGAAAAACATACATCTGACGGTGTTGACGAACACCTGACGGAGTTGACGAGAAACTGACGGAGTTGATGACATTGCATATGTTATTGAACAAATGTGTTTTTAAACCGATTGACAATAGGTCAATAGGTGAAAATAGATTAAGAACTAATAACTCCTTGTTTTCATACTGAACATACCGTTAATGCAATTAACCACCGCGCCGACAAGGCGTTTCCAAGCACATTTTCGTATTTTGGTGAGTTGTGCTGCCCGGCATAAGTATCCCCCTCCCTAACTCAGCTCCTTCCAGCGGCGTAGGTCATAGGGAGGGAGGAGAGAGGGCGTGGAGTGGGTTTAACACAGCCGAGACCTGTATTGACCAATAACATCAGCTCTTCTCGCCTTTGAATCCGCCACTAGCGAGGCGTATTACCATTTTCGTGAAGTAGTCAAAGAGATCAAGAGATTTCTGAAGACAGCAATGCCACACGATGGCGACAGAAGGCAGCTCCTCAACAAGTGTCACTGTAAGCGCTGCATTGGGCGTCCTTCACACTGTCTCATATGAGCACAGATGGATTTGGTGTGTGTAATGTTGGACCCACTGGTAAGACAAACACCCTTTTCCACAAATAAAGACAATCACATTAAATTGCATATATTTAAACCTCACGTGACAAAGGTGGGTTGTGCGCACAGATCACATCATAAATTCCAATAATGGCATTAAAATCGGAACCAATCTGTGTGTAAATCGCGCTCCGTGGCTTGGCTCTTTCTTTCATAGATGTTGGCATATAAAATAAATTTGGCTCACAAAACTGATTATTATAATATTTGTATGTAGGCTTAAAGTAAAAAACTCATCTGATCACTGGAACAAATCATCTGTTCAGCTGCCGCAGCAGCAGCTGCAGCAGGACGGGTAGAGGACACGGAGACATGTCCAGGTTGAGCTGTGCGAGAAATAAGAGGAAGAGGAAGCTAGAAATGGGGGCAGACAAATTAAATATCTCGTTAACTTCATCATGTGTGTTTATTTACTAGATATTTGATTCAATTTCATGCAGATTCAGCAGCTGTGTTAATTTGGTCAGGTTGAGTGTCCAAACACATGCCAAATGCGCTCATCAGATCAGATATAGATCAGAATACATCGATATAGATCTAAATGTATGTGCTGACACAGATTATTAGTTGTTATTGATTATTTATTGCACGGAAATGTTCCTGACACTGTGGAAACCTGCTGGTGAGGCCGGTATGCTGCCGGTCTCCCAAAATACCACTAGCCCATCCGGATCCACCTGCGCTGAAAGCTGACCAGGTTTGAATCTGCGAGCTTTCAGCGCACTTTACACGCCGGCAACAAGTACGAAAATGTCACTGCGTCAGCTGATTCTGTGGACACCTCACCCTGCCACACATCCACGCCCAGCTTGGCGGACCTCGGTGCACCTCAGTCCACGAAAATACCAAACTGGCTGTACGCTGAGCTCCGCCAGACAAAAATGCCACTGCGCGGGGCTCACCACCCTCCGCCATGTCGCCGGTGGACACAAAAATAGAGCCCAAGGTCTGAGGGTCCAAGTTAACAATGTAAAAATAATAACCTTTTTCTTCTATCTGGTATCCCACCTACACTGGGGTTTAAAAGAGCAACATAGAACTTCTTGCACACTCTATGAGAAGCCAGTGTGTAGATTTTAGGTAGTGAAAATTACATACTGCACCTTTAGGATTGTACATTAATCAATCAATCAATGAGATTAGGTGTGTGTGTGTGTGTGTGTGTGTGTGTGTGTGTGTGTGTGTGTGTGTGTGTGTGTGTGTGTGTGTGTGTGTGTTGGGAAAGTTTGACAGTTATAATCAAGCAGACAGCCTGCCCATGGTCTACTCTACAAAACAGAAGTATATGGTAAAATAACGTAATATATGCTATATATGTACTTTTATGTGCAGATAAGACCCTGGAATAACATTGTTATCCTTAACCATGTTCAAAAATAGCATAATTTCAGCACATTAAGAGGTTATAAGTGGATTTGTCAACTCCATCAGCTTACATGTCAACTCCGTCAGACACAAAATCTGACGGAGTTGACGTCTGACGTAGTTGACGTAAGGGCGTGTATTTTCCCTCCAAAACATTCTTGTACAGTGCAGCTAGCTACTTTTTTGGCAGTTGCTAGCTGTCCTGATAATCTCACTAAAATACTTTAATTAAACTCACTATGGTTTAAAAAAAAGTATAATAATGGAGAGACGGTGTTGACATGGTCCAGCTGTGACCATACAAATATTGACATTGTTTCTCTAAAATATCAAAAACTGTAAAACCTACCAGACCATGTGTGGTGGTGTTGCATTCACCAGAAGCAGGAAATGAAAAGGGGTCCTCAGGGATATAGCTGACCATGATATTGCATGATTTAATGAGGTTTATAGAATAATCTGATGGAGTTGACAGAAACTGAGGACACAACTTTGATAGGCAGATTTTTAGGCAAAAAGCTATTTGATGTTCAGGCCATTCATTGTTTATATATTTATAGCCCTGAATTTTTATTTGATGTATATGTTTTCACAATTATAGAGTTTTTTAAAGTTTTTTGGGGCTGGTCAATATTGTGACCTCTTGCTGAGGACACAAGCAATAACATGGACCTTCTAACCACAGACGTTTCATTTAAACAAATATCCCCCAAAAAAGTAAATATCTGTGCTAAAAAATAGGATTGGTATACACAAATCCATTAGATTTAACTTTTTGAGTATGTCAAACATTTAGAATTTCTTAATTGTTTTGACTAAATTAGACTTTTCTATGTAGGACATGTTTTGTCCCGACTCTCAAGAATGGGTAACATATATATATATGTAAACCGTCCATGAGCGGCCGACGTGATTCAGCCTGAAAAAGACGTGTAAATGACGTCAGGTGTTTTCTGGGTTAGCATTGTGTGACGGCGGTTGGTGGACGGTTTGAGCACACATGACCCACCTGAGCACGAGGACAGCGCACCTGCGCTAATTTCAGTTAAATTGAACCCTGTCCACCGTGCACAGAGCAAAGCTCACAGTCATCTGGTGTTGACGGTTCACATGGCTGAATCGCGGAGGATTCCGTTTACCACGTTGTCTTGTGATATCGCCTTACCTTCGTCCTCCCTAAAGCCGGCCTCGGCCCCGAAGAAGCCTCCTCCAGGTGTTCCGCAGGTGAAAGAAAGCCGCTCAGACACCGGTACAGTTCGGCTGGTGCTGGATTTGTCTGAGCCTGATGAGCGGACTTTCCCGGAGTTCAACTACAGTGAGCTCGTTGAAAACAAGGTGCAAACTTGACCATATGATAGGACAAATGCGTGTGTTCCTTCTCCTGTAAGATTTGTGTTTCTCCTTTTTTAGATTAACTGTTTAAAAGCTGAAATCCCTCCCAGCGGATTTGAAGAGGAGGAAAGGAGGGAGGAAGATGAGGTGGCTGCTATTGCAAGGAAGCTGGAGGAAAAATATGTAAGAGGCCCAACATAACAGATTTTGATACAACTCTGAAACCATATTTTTGACTCAAACCTCAAATAGTTTTCAGTAATAGGCAGAATTTGTTTATTGCACTGTGTCCTTACAGGGTGGCAAACCTAAGAAAAAGAAGGACCGCATCCAGGATCTGATTGATATTGGATATGGATACGATGATGAGGATTCTTTCATTGACAACTCTGAGGCCGTGAGTCAGTTTTGGCATGAATTGAAATTAACACAGACTTCATATTACCTCATGTTTCTTTTACTTTTTCCATTTTAATTTCTGTCGCACCAATTTGACATTTGATTTCAGGCCTACATTTCTGCTTCTGTCCGTCTGTCTGGTTTCTGCAGTACGATGAATTCGTCCCGGCCTCCATCACAACCAAATTTGGGGGATTTTACATAAACTCAGGCGTGCTGCATTTCCGGCAGGTGTCTGACACTGAGGACCTCACACAGGATAAGAGCACACCTGAGCTCTCAAAGGTAAGCCTTGTGTCAAATGTCCAGTCCCAGAACCCTCTGAGAGTTAGACTTAGACTTTTGTCATTCAGTATGCAGCAGTTGTATAGAGAACAAAATTTCACCTCATGTGTACGGTTGATGAAGTTAAGTACTGTTCTGAGCATTATTTGTGGCTATAGAGTGGCGTTTTGGTCGAGGTTTGTTTATGGCTCCTCAGACCGCTGTGTATTGCTATCGTGCGGTCGTTACTAAAGTTGGTATAACTAGAGAAGCAAGCTGTCGGCAACATTCATCTTTCGACAGGGTGTCTAACTCAGTGTTATGGTGTGTTTGACCCTAAATTAATTTTACGCCCAAATATTCCTTTTAAATGTATTCAACATGTTCAAACATAGAAACGCAAACTAAATGGCGGTAGAGACAAACCGAAGAAGAAGCCGTGCAGGGAAGACAAGGAGGTGAAAAACACTGACGACCAGAAGTCAAGGTGAGGCTGACTTGAAGTGGTTTAATCTCATCTCAAATCAGTTTAACACAAACGGTGAATAATCCTCACAGGCGTGTTTTGTTTCCTTTTCAGCGCTTTGTCTGAAGTTAAGCCAGGAGACGAGTTGACAAAGAAGAAGAAGAAGAAAAAAGCAGCCGGCACACTGAGCGTGACCAGCATGTTGAAGAAGTTTCAAAGAGAGAAGGAGAAGGAACGACAGGAGATGGCGAGAGCCAATCAGAGGGCAGCAGCCATCAGAGGTGTACCCACAATCCCTCTGTGCCCAGCTGATGCAGCAGGGGGTGGAGGTTCAGGGCTGACCGACCCTCTTCTTAGTTTAATCGGATCGACCAATGACCAGACTCTGATTCAGGCTGCCAACACGATGGATTTTGTCATCGATTTGGACTCTTTACTAGAAGACAGTGAGGAGTCTTCAAAAACGGTTTCTCTAACTGCAGCAGAGACGCAGCCTTTCCAACCAAAAACTGACGACCAGGCTCAGTGTGAGGCTGCGCATTCTGGAGCCCAAACCCTGAAGACTGAGTCAGAACAAACCCAGCTCCCACCACAGACCAGTTCTACCTCAGCTCCGAGTGTCCCGCTGCCAGAGGGACTGTCTGCAGGCCTGGAGGGCAGCATTCGAAAACTCGTGGTGGTGAGGTGACATTTAAGACGTGAAGTGTTAATGATTTTAAAATCAAATAGAAAACTACAATATTTTTCAGGCTGCCAAGACCTCGGAGGGCGAGTCAAAGCTTAAGTTCTTCACTCCAGAGATCAACTCGATCCTGCTCGAGTGAGTCACTCAGCGACACTGACAACAACTTCTTAAGCTCGGAACACAACAACAAATGTCCGGCGCTGCATGTCGTCCACAAATAACATCAGAAGTTGTGAGAAAACAGAAACTTTTATGTAAATGCAACATTGATCTAGGGCTGCACGATTAATCGCTTTTAAAATTCTAATCGGATTTTTTGATTCTGAAAATGTTAAAAAAATCGAAATCATCAAATCGATTTTCCTCTCTATCACTTCTCACGCCTCCAGGCCACCGTAGGCTCCCCCCTTGGTGCAGGAGCACTCTAAACAGTACTTTTTTAAAACAGGTCAGAGAGTGTATAAATCCGTGAGCGACGACCATTTCATCTCCATGTGAATGTCTATCTGCATCTCTGGAAACAATCATGTGACCCACAGTGTAACTTTTTTATAGTGCCTGCATGTGTCTGGCCAAAACAACCTTTTATACACATGCTCTGTACTCTTCTTCTGTCTTTTGTGAATTTCCTGTGCAGCGTTACAGCGCCACTTACTGTCTTGGCATATGAACTACATCGTTTTCAGTGGTTTTGTTTTGAAAGATGATAGAAAAACTTACTTTTAAAGTGAAGTTTGGTGAAGTTGTTGCTGAATAAAAAATCGAAAATCGAGTTTTCAGAGTAAAAAATTGGGATTTAAAAAATAAATAAATCAAAATCCTGCAGTCCTACATCGAGCCAGATGTTTAGCCGGCAGATCGCTGACACAGGAAATGACGTCATGACCATCTCTGAGCTCTGTCTTGTGGATAGAATCTGTTTTATTAGTCTCAAAGCTTTAGCTGTCTACAGAGGTTTTGAACGCATTTATTAAGTTCTCGTCCATCTTCCCTTCCTGTCCTCTTCTTCTAGAATTGAGCTGCAGTGTCGGGAGCAGGGTGGTCAGCTGCGCTCTAAGGTGTACTCTCACCTGACGTCCTTCCTGCCCTGCAGCAGAGACACACTTCTCAAACGTGTGAAGAAACTGTTCGCTGCACACACAGTAAGTCTCTTTCATTAAAAAATGAGTCCGATTTTGCAAATGACTCACTCCGTTTTTTCCTCGCTGATGAGGAGGGGCCGCCCAATGTGGAGGACCCTGTTCACAAACTTAAGGAGGCCATCGGTAAAGCCATGCCTGAGCAGATCGTATGTTTCCTTGAGAAGTGTCAAGCATACGAACAAACGAAGACTTCAAGGTTAGTCTGTCAGTGATGGTTCAACTTTAAAACATATTATATCGCCTTTAACGTCCCTAAAAGTTTCACATCTTCAGTTGTGTTCATGTCCCCGTCAGGATGACAGTAGAAGAAGGAAACCAGGAGGTGAATGTTGTCCCGGAGGAGAATGTGGAGGAGAAAGGAGGCAAAAGAGGAGGTCCAAAGAAGTTGTTCACGTGGAACGAAGAGATCAGGTGAGAAAACGCTGAAGATGTGAGAGCGCTCACAGAATCAGGTTTCACTTTCTGTCCTCCACACAGGGAGTGCCTGTGTAATGTGTTGAAAGCGAAAATGGAGGGATATAAAAAAGAGAAGACAGGGAGCCAGGAGATGGAGGAGTACCTGAAGACCCTGCTAGACAACGAGGTCAAACCTCTGTGGCCAAAAGGATGGATGCAGTCAAGGTATCTGTGCAAATTCAGAATAAAATCTCAGATTTTGATCGTTTTTAAAGTCACTCGTTTGTCAACGTTTGTCTGTTCAGGGTGTTGTTAAGAGAGAGCAAGAAGATTCTGGGCCCGTCTGCATCTTTACTGTGAGCACAAACCCACCATCTTCTATTTTCATCAGTATGAATCTCTGGATGATCCTGTGTTTGTTGTTTATTTTGATGTCTGACTTTAACTCAGAGTAAAGAGGGCGAGGCCTGAGAAGAAGCAGCAGTCTTCGGTCTGCAGTCCCTCTGATGTCGGGTCGGGTATCTGCAGGGATGTCCAGGATCCTCCTCTTCAGTCTAAAGCAGCAGATGAGGTCCTCACGATGAGCCCGGATATCCTCACTTTTTTGGCACTAGATGGTCTGAAGAATGAGGTCCCTGCAGAGTCAGACAAATCTCCAGTGACCACCGCGTCTGCTCCCACTGCATCACTCCTGGACGTCCTGGCTGATCAGGGCGTGGCGCAGGGGCAGCCTCTCTTTGCGTCACAGGAGCTTTTGGCGGCAGCTTTAGCAAAATACCAACATTCAGCTCGACACAAGAGCTTCAGCTTCGACGCCAAAAGTCCCGCTCTTCCTCCGCCGCCTCCTCAGACCAGCCCTGTGCGTTTCCCTGTGGGCGGGGTGTGTCAGGGGGTCGTGCCTCAGATGCTGCAGATCGGAGACTTCGCGAGGAACTTGAACGCCGGACAAGCTCTGAACGTCTCCGACTCTGACACGACGATTCAGTGATGAATCCCGGAGCAGACCTACACACAGTGAGTTGTTTTTTTTTTGTCTTTCTTTGCAAACAAACACACACACACACACACACACACACACACACACACACACACACACACACACACGGTCTACTGCAAGGACGGTCTCCGTCAGACTTTAATTTTGACTTCATTTAAAAATGATTTTCTTTTTGAACAAAATGAAAACATCTCATTTTTCTTCTTTATCTGCAAACTAAACACAGATTCCTCTGCAGATGTCAACTGTGCCATCCTTTTTTATAGCAGATATGGTAGCAAACTCACACCTTAAATGCATAAGTATTGTTATTTTACATCATACCTATTTCTGAATTATGGAAGCGTATTGCGATCACAGAAAAAAAAAATGTTTTTTAGAGTAATTTTTCTGTTTTTCTGAATATTTTTTCCCTTTTTTTTTTAGGACAATTTTTTTAGTTTCTGTTTTTCGGAATATTTTTTCTCTGTTTTTTAGACAAATTTTTCTGTTTTTCAGACTTTTTTTTTCTTTTCCGTTTTTTCAGACTAATTGCTTTTCCTATTCTCGGGGTTATGATCATTTGAAAACAGACACTTTTATCCCCCTCTGTTCAATTTATTGGAAGCAAACATAACCCACTTGTTTAGTTTAATTGAGTTTTACTTTCTTTTGGGTTTGAGATACTTGGAGATACTCTTTTCTTAAAGTCAAATCGATGAAATCGTCATAAGTTTGTCTACTTTGTGTTGGCACCCCAGGATTTGCATACCCTATGTTTAACTAATAACACGCTTTACTCTCATTGACCCGGTAGACGACGTTATCGAGGAGCTGGAGAATTCGCAGGTTTGGAGCAGCTGCGGTGGTGAATGTTATCTGATTTTATAAGATTCTGACAGGATTTTGAAGTATCTCCTTTAGTCAGGAAATAAAATAGGCCAAAAAACAGAAAGACAGAAAAAAATAGCTAGAAAAATAAAATGAAATAAAAAATTGTCCCAAAAACAAACAAAAAAAAAATTAGTCCAAAAAACTGCAAAGAAAAATTAATTACTCTAAAAAACAGTTTCCTTTTTTTAATACCCTTCCATACTGAGTGGACACTTTCTATTTTCTAGTTTCAAATCCTCATTTCAGCTTCAGATCTAAAGTTTTTCTTCTCTTTCCAGATGACGAGCTATTCCTCAGATAAGGACTGGACACCTGACTGGAGACCACCTCTTGTTCTATCAAACAAGATGAGTTATGAATTTTAATATTCGTAATAATGAAACAGATTTTGAACTTTGTCCAACCAGCAGTAGTTTCTAAGCCTGTCCTAAATCTGATAAATTAATAGTCGAGTAAAGATGTGGTGTGACTCACGGAGAGGAAGGAAGCACTTTAACAGAGAAATCCAACATCCCCTAAAAGGATTATGTGACTACTCTGTGATTATTGATGTGTATCAGTGTGTAATGTCAATGATTTACTGAAAATTAAAAAATGATAAAGAGCTTTAAAATTGGTCTGTTTACTTCTTTTCAGCTTGTGGCTCAAAGTATAAAATGACCAAACCGATACCTACATGATATTTGGCTTTAATTTGACCACATTTTTAAAAAACTATAAATTATTTATCATTATTTTTTTTTTTTTTGTAACCCAATATTTAGACATATGCATTTACTAACCAGTAATAATTGCAGATAGTCATCTATTGATGTTAAATGTTCATTAAAGTGTAATTTACACATAATTATTGCATAAAAGGAACATATAAGATTGAAGACGACACCTGGAAAACTAATGATCACAGGTGTCTGAGATTGATTTCAGTGATCCAAAGAGTTTAATTAAAAAATATATGTATGTATATGAATTAAAAAAAAATCCTATTTACATAATTTGTGACACAGTGTATTCCCACTGTAAATCAAAAGTTGGAGTTAGCCTTTTAACTGCATAACAGAGGATTTATTGATCCTTATAAAGCCTTAATTTCACTCTGTTATTTATAATCAATAATAATAATTATAATAATTATAATAATAATTATACATTGTCTTTCATTAAACATTTAAAGTGTAATTTATGTCAGTTTTATATGAACTGTCGACAGGTTTCTAATGAGAGGCTCTAAGAATGGACACTCGTGGTAATTACAAGAATTCAAAAGTTTAGGTGTCCAACTTTACCCTCAGTGAAAATGTCTCTAATTTACCTCTTACTTGGACAATACCTGCAATGTGTCTGCAAAACACATCAAAAGTGAAGTAAAGTGCACTCAGTTTGTGGACATTTGCAGAATTTCAGTTTCAGAGACTTGTTTTTGAACGTATTCCTAGTTTCATACTTTTATTTTTACAATATTTGCAAGAAAGTACAGCTTTATGATGTGATAGTTCAGCATTTTAATGTACAGCAGACACGACGTTACCTTAGTGAGAAAGGACCTGGATCTTGGAGTGTGCACACATCAGACTTTTCTTCATACCACAGAAATATGACGACATGAACAGAGGAGAGACAAAGACACGGTGTGGCAGAGGGTTCGAGAGTCCATGAACATCCTCTGAGGACCAACAGGAAAAGAAGACCCAACGACACACGTACAGAAACACAAGAGTATGACGGTGGTTCATCAATATATACAAGACCTGATTTAGAAGTGGAGCAGCATGGGATGAGAAGATGTCGCTCAGCAGAAAGATTTGCTACAATAAGACGCCGTTGATTCAGAGTGAAGAGACACGCTCAGTAGAAAAATAAAACTAATAATCAACAGATTCTTCTGATCAATAGGAGAGAGACTGACATTTCTAAGTGGAGGAGCTGTAAATCAACACAGCCTAGAGAGATGCATCCCATTGGTTTCATTTAGGAGCTGTTAGAGCCAGTGAAGGGTCTGAAAGAGCAGGACGGCCAGTAGGAAACATCTATTATAGCTGTTTGCAGCTCCTACAGAGAGAAGGAGACATCAAGTCAGTTAAAACAGGTTTAACTTATGTCTCTTTACTCGTGATCTGATGACAGGAAGTCCTGCAGTGATCAAAAATGACGTGTATGAACGTTCATCAAACTTACCACCACCAGGAAGCACCTCCACCATCACTGTTAAATTTTTCTCTCTGAGTCCTTTTGCAGAGACCGTATAATACCCAGCATGCTCTCTGTTGGAGTGTGCCGGCAGAGCCACCGCCTCCCCGTCTCTGAACCAGGTGACCAACGGCTGAGGGTTTCCTCGCACCGCACACTCGAGGCTCTCCCCCTCTTTCACCCGAAGTTTTGGAGGACAGTCGATCTGTGGGCCATCTGAGAGGGAAGAGGAGTCAGAGTGAGAGGGAGGTTACCAACAGAGCCGCCCGCCGTCGAACTCTCTTCCTGATCTAGGAAGAAATCTGTCGACTATCTTTACAGGAAGTTGACCAGAAGTGTGAGGAAAAAAGGCAAGTCAAAAATGTATGAAATAAGTATTTTAGAAAGTGTGTCAAAATCAAGAGAGAAAAAGTTAAAAAAAAATAAAAATGAGTATACAATATGAAATTAAATAATCAAAATTTCAAGAGAAAATGTGAAAAATAAGACAGTGTTTGATATCAGATAAAAAGTAAAAAAAATAATGAAAAAAAAGAAAATTATGAAAAAGAGTGAAAATTACGAAATAGTTAAAATTAAAAGTGCAAATTATGAGAAAAAGTGATAATAATGAAAAAGTGAAAATAATGAAAAAAGTAAACATGAAAAAGTTAAAATTAAAAGTGAAAATTAGAAGTGCAAATTATGAGAAAAAGGGAGAATAATGAAAAAGTGAAAATAATGAAAAAAAGTAAACATGAAAAAGTTAAAATTAAAAGTGAAAATTAAAAGTGCAAATTATGAGAAAAAGTGAGAATAATGAAAAGTGAAAATGATGGAAAAAGTGAAAATTGTGAAAAAAAGTGAAAATAATGAAAGAAAGTGAAAATTATGAAAAAGTTAAAATTAAAAGTGAAAATAATGAGAAAAAGTGAAAATAATGTGGAAAAGTGAAAATAATGAAAAAGGGAAAATGAGTTAAAGTTAAAATATTGAAAAGTGAAGATAAAAGTAATTTTTTTTAGTAAAGGTGGAAATTATACGGGTGTATGATTTTTATGATACAGAAGGTCAAAGTTATGAGAAAGTAGGTCGTTATCTGATTGAAAAACAGAAGTGATTAAAAGTCATTCATTTGAGTTAAAAGTTGCAGTTAAAACAAAGAAAAGGGAAAATAGGAAAAAAAAAGTTCAAATAATGAAAAAAGTTTTATAATGAGATAAAAAGTCAGAGTTTTCCTCTGATTGTAGTGTCTTAAAATTAGGAATTTTTATCCCATGACTTATTTCACATTATTATAACTTTCTATCTTTAAATCTAAACTTCAGTCAGTCTCATAATTGATCTCATAATCATGATTCATCTTCTCTTTGTTCTGACGTTCTCTCTCATTATTTTTTTTTTATCACTTCTTTTTGTCTCGATTATTCCCGACCCTCTCTCAGCTCTGACTTTGACTCGAACACTCAGGTAAAGGAGGTTAAAAAATCTCACACAGCACTGTGGCAGTGAGTCTCTTGGACTTCACCACTGGAGGATGCCGAGGTCCTTCAGGTCCCAGTTTTAGCGTGGCCTCACACCAGTACTCGGCTCCGTCGTCCTCTTTACTGGGAGTTATGATCCAGGTGAGGGTCTCATTCACTGGTTCCTTCTCAGTGTTGTTGCTGGTCCGTGTTTGAACCAGCGCGGTCTGTCCTCTGTAGAAGGTCACGCTGAGTTTTTCGGCAGGAGCCACGCCCTGAACCGTACACTGCAGAGTGTACTCATTGCCCTCCATCATTGGCCCCGTGTGGTTAAGCAGGCTGAGGGTCACGCTATCAGGAGGCTCTGTGAGGACAGATGAAAATAATGAAAAGCACATGAAAATAATCGAAAGGGTTTGAACACCTTTCTGAAAAAGTCAAGAAAAAAAAAAAGAGAACTTACTGAAGACTATTAGAGGGAGGTTGATGTCACACTGCCCTCCTTGGTCAGTCAATGCCCAGCACATTGGGTTTATGCTCCATTCTGTCATCTTGTCAACACTCCAGACCAGGAAATGACCCTCAGTTGGTGCAGGAGACGCCTAGAGTTGCCACAAATCATAAAGCTGTCATTAACGGGAGGTTTTCTGTTTTTGTCCTGGACATGATGGACTGCCCTCTGAGGATCCCTTTCAGCTCAGTCTCTCTGTCCAGAGTCGGCTACACTAACACCCGCTACTGACAGCGGGCTCACCCTAACAGACTCGATCCCAGATACTACAGGGTCTCTGCAGGTTTCAACAAGTTGAATTTAAGATCTTAAAAAGGTGGTGTAGACAGGATCTGAGGAACCTTTCAAAATGGTATTTAAGACATTTTATAGGATTTTAAAAGGATTTTAGACTTTTTAAGACCCTGCAGATACCCTGGATCAACACAAGTTTACACTCTAATCTAAATTTGTCTAAACTTTGTTTTTCATGAAGAGAGCCTGGTCAACTTTGTTAATACCAGTAGCATAGTGCTTTATCAAACAGCTGGCAATGGGTTAATGAGACGCCACTTTTACAGCTCTGCGCCGTTCATTTGTCTCTTTTACATCCTTTTTTCGTCTACCAATGTTTTGCTTATGACTTGGTTTCCTAGCAACGCATCTATGCTGTTCAACCACGATCTCCAACCACATTATCCAGGTGTGTTAGCCCGACTATGAGAAGCTTGATTCCAGTCAGACTTATGAGTTTACATCCATTTTAAAAGTCCAGTTTTGGTCACACAGAGATGATAAATCGACATGTTAACACCCTGAATGAGGTCGTGACACTGAGAGTCGAGTTCTTCCCAAAGCGAAGCAGTTCAAGTGTGTTTAGATCTCCATAAGTGAGGGTCGGGTGGAGCAGGAGTGTGGGGAATATAAAGCTATAATTCTCAATGTAAATGGGGTTCAATGTCACACATTAAGAGAGTAGCTGTGCCCTTACCAAGGAGACTTCCCAACCAAGTAGAGGGAAACCCAGCGTTCGCAACGAGCAGTTAACCGTGACAGGATCTCCAAACCTGTTACAGAGTTTACAAACAATTAGTTGTTAGTAATTTACAAAGACATGGATGACAGGCCAGCTAATCTGATTAATTTGGAGCCATGGTGTAAACAACTACGACTGACAAATCTGTTTCTGGATTAATGTAGAAACAAAGAAGACACAGGAGGAATATTTCTCCCAGCATACCTGACCACCAGTGTGGAGGGGGACATCGTCAGAGGGCACTTGGCTTTTTCTGTCAGCTCCGCTTGGTTGATGGTGGGGGGAGGCGCACTGAGCGAAGGAGACGGAGGAGACGGGAGGATCGTCGGAACAGGAGAGGGAGGTGAGATCTGTGATAGAAGAGGTGGAGCAGATGTGGAAATGGAAACCGGGGATGAGGTAGCTGAGGTCAGAGGGTGGGAGAGGGAAAAAAGACAGCATGAGTCACTCAGCTATGTGAACCTGCTAGAATAAATCACAGAAATTATCCTCAGAAGAATCCAGATTACACCAGAGGCACTGAACTTTAAAGTGAGAGTAAAGTTAGAGTCTGGACCAGGCAGGAACCCACAGAGCTGAACCATCAAGAGGAGGTGTAAAAAAAAAAAACTGCAGTTCCTTGAGTGTCCACTTGGGAGCGGTTGCCAAAGCTGAGGAATCCCCATTAGATCCCATGAATAAATGCCAGACTTCACAGCTAAGTTTAACTGGTTTACAGCGTGGTGTGAAAATTGTTTTTTGGATGTAGCTCATGTATTTATTTGTACACACATGTATGAGGATGATTTTTTTCAATATACAGTTTTGATTTTTAAGATGATTGGAGCCACTTTGGAGTAAAAATCAAGTTTAAAGCTACAATGTTATGAGAATAAAGTTGTCGATTAAATTACTATTAAGTATTTGTATTTGACATAGACAATGTATTAAGTTGGTCTAGATGACACTTTTTTGAAAGAATACAAAAGCTCAAAAAGGAAATTCTTTATTTGTGGTCATTTGATTCTCAATTTAGACTCTGATAAGAAATACTTTACATTATGGGCTCAAAACTACCTTGAAATCCAAAATAACAGAGTTTTAAAACATGCAATTCAAATCGCGATTAACCGCAGCTAACTATGAAGATTCTGCGATTAATCACGATTAAAACAAATGAATCGTTTGACAGCCTTACTATTAACCCCTATGTTACCACCAATAACAGCTTAACCAATTACATTTCTCATGCAAATGAGAAAGTCCTCAGCTTCTGCCGACAACAAGATGTCACTGATGTGCTTTTACTTCAACATCACAACTTCACTCACCTGGTTATATAATGACTTTGATTCCATACAGTTAAAACTTAAACTCGTTATGAAGACTTTTTCTTGTAGTGCTCTGACATTTTTGTCGAAACCATGATGAATCTGTATCACTCGTCAACAGACAGGTGGAACACATTGCAGCTGTTTGTATGGAGGCCAAAAACCCACCTCAGTCCCATCTCTGCCTGTTTCCCGCTCTATTGTGAGCTAGACTGAGTCTGTTTTTCCAATACAGTCCCTGCCATTGTTTCTAAAACCGTAACTTGTTATAAGATACAGATAATAAGTTTAATACAGTGTGCTAAACAAGTCAAAATAAAGTCAGGGCTTGACACTAACTTTTTTCACAAGGAAAATTGATCAAATAATGTTTGTCTTATTGGTCGACATTAGTACTGAAATCAATTTTAGGTCTTTTGGTCTCATGACATGGAGGCTATTGAAGAAAATGTTCAAAATTTGCCTTTAGAGTTTAAAACAAAAATCTTATGAGGACAAATTAGGGAAACAAAGAGGTATGTGTTATCGTCTGACCTTAGTAGTGTTATTTGAAATCAATTGGAGGTCAATTGGTCACATGACATTGAAGCTCATCAACCGGTAATTTATTGATGGTCCCTTATTCAACATCTGACGTTGACAGCGAGGGTGCCAAGTAGATTTAACCGCGCTGCTGTTGTTATTCCCAGTTATGGCGAGTGAGAAGACACCTAAAACTAACTTCACCGTGGTATTTACATGAAAAAACATTTGTTGCCTCGGCTGATTTTTTTTTGTACACACGTGCCCCTAAATACATTTTTCAATTCTCACACATCTATTGTTTTTAGTCGCAAATGTGAGTGAAACGGTCGCAAAGTCGAGCTATGAAAGTACTTATTTTTGTAAGCGTAAGCTAAATAACTAGCGATGGTTGGGATTAAATAAGAATTTTCAAATGTCTAAACTGAGAGCTTTATTTTGTTTTGTTTTTTAAATTTGTCCAATCATATTACCTGACTGAAACAAACAGGATTGGTCCCGATCAGATCAATCCACAAACAGAAGTCCAGTTTCTGTAGCAAACACGACGTGTCTCTTCACTGGGTCATATTCGTGTTGCTGAACTCATGATTCCCTGTCTTTACATAACACACGCAGGGGTCAATTGAATTCTGCCATCTCGTAAAATAATACTCATTTTAGCTGATCTATTGTGAACCATTGTTTTGTAGCTCTGAATACACCCAGTGTGTTCCTCTGAGGAAGGAAGGACACCCTGCCCAAGTCAAAGAACTCACTCCTCTTTTCTATGACCATTGTTCCACCGAGTTCTCCTCGCCTATCAGATGATCTCACCCACTGCGATGTTTATGTGTGTGTGTGTGTGGGAGAGAGTGGGTGGGTGTGTTAACATAACGGCTGTCAAAATTTATAGTTACGGTTCCCACATGGCGCTCAGCTAAACAAGTTAAATAAGACAAACGGGTGGTTCAAGTAGGTCAACAAAGACCGGCTGAGCTGTGCATTCGCAGGTCAAAATAAGGTCACATGATGACACGCTGAGTTACTCTCGAACCTGAGTCAGTGAGAAGAGACGTTACACTGACACACTCGTACGCTGCAAATTAAAGCACCTATCAGTGACCTATTTATCACAGTGAAACCTCTGGCACAGCTAGTTCAGGGGTCAGTGTCTTGGTATACTGAGAGACCTGGGCTTGAACCTTCATTTTAGTAGCGAGTCCCTTTAAGTTCAGGTCTGATAACGCCGCTCCACCCTCCCTGAATACGTGCCCACGCCTGCAGACAGAGACATACTTCCTACCAGGAATAAAAACACCACGGTTCTACGCCGGCTCTCTGCATCACTTTGATCCTTCTGTCCATCTGTCTGCATGACTCTATCCATCTGTCTCCATGCAGTTATCACTGAAATGAAGCTTAAACTAAAGAGTTTCCCAAAAGTACTGAATTTGAATTATTTCACGCAGTGCTAAAAGAAAACAGACGAGGCTCACGTCCTTCCAAATTCACAAACATAAACTCCAAAACAGGATTTAGTCCACGGTACCAACTCTCAGTGAGCGTCTCTTAAATCCCCGTATGAAAACAAAAACATTCGTCTGATTGAATCCCCTCAGGGTGAAGTGTCCTATTGTGAATTTGGCTCCAAACTGGGTGGAGACCCAGCCAGTAGGAAGAAGATCTTATTGTGCAGACCGGGTCAGTTCAGGGGGCGCCTGTTTTAGTTTTACAATGTGTGATTAACTTTACTGATGCTGTCATACACCGCAAGAAGTTTAACTGGACTTTTTATCTCTTGGGAATATTTGAGCAAAAGTGCATTCATGTTAATAAACATCAGCAGAATTACACATTCACCTAATCTTTTATGATTTATATTAAAATATTTCCCAGTTTTTTCAAATATTGTTTCGGCACAGAGAGCATTTTTAGACACTTTGCAGCACTGCTACTCTCCTCTTAATGATGCTGCTGTTGAGATCTCCTCTACCTGTGGTCCAAAAATGAGGGTACTGAGGTCCTAAAAAGGGCTTTTCTAATATTCCCTTGAAGAAAAGTTGGTCTTTTTTAATCCTACTTTTCTTATTTATCTGTTCTGCCTTCATCCAGCTGTCATTTCACTCACCTGAGCTGAGCAGGTAAAGCAGCAGAGGTGTGATCGTCCACCTAAGTGTAATCATCCTTCATCCGTTTCCTTTGTGCCGCTAATACGATGTCTCTGTCAAACACCGGCTCCTGTTGGCTCTGCGATGCTGCAAGTGAAACGTCCCGATCCTTCTGAGGAAACACGCCGTACTTCAGGTTTTTATATGAGTGTGGGCGTGTACAGTATGCAAGCGCTGTTTTCATGTGTGTGCTCTCTTATGTGTGTCTGAAGCTGATGATCTGGAAAACCACCCTGGGCGTTCTCTGCTGGTACATCAAGAAAGGAAGGAAGGGAGGGTCAAGAATATAACTGCAGCACAGAGGGCAAGAATCAGTGTGTGGGAGGGTGTGTGTTTAAGCAGCAACATGAGGGGCTGCTGAAGAGCTACAGGGAGAGAAAACAGCGACTTTCTAGATGATGAGTAATCACTTAAACTCAAAGAGCTTTTTCCGCAACACTACATTAAAGTTTCTGACACTAAGAGACCAGGTTCAGAAGTTTTGAAGTAACACGTTGTCCAAATACTGACCGATTCAGGATTTTATCTGCTGGATATTTTGTGATCCCCTTATATTTTGTATTTTGATATCTCACTGAGTCAGGGCTGGACTCTTCTACTCAAGGCTCCCAAGTGATTGATTGAAGATAATAAATACAACAGGGTATAAGGGCCACATTAAGAAAAATAATTGAAGACTTTGAGATTAAAGTCATTACTTTTGAGACTGAAGTCATTAATTTATGAGAATAAAGCAGAGCCGGCCCAAGGCATAAGCGAACTAAGCGCCCGCTTAGGGCCCTGCAGCCAGTAGGGGGCCCCCAAGAGCAATCAAAAAAAAAATTAAAATATTTTTCATTTTTTGCGTGTACGAGTGATGCTTTTTGTATGATCACATATGTATTATATATGTGATATATATATCTGAGGGGCGGTCCTCAAGCATAAATGTTCATGTTTCCCCATGTTCTGGGTCTTTCTTGATTCAGATTGACCTTTTTCAATGTAAAATAAATAAAACCTTGTTGGCCGACAAAAGTCTCTATTTCATTCTTCACCAGCAGCAACGGGAAAAAACCTCCACGACAGCTGATAAACCTGACGCTTCCCAGTCAAGCTGTGATGCCAGATTTTTATCTGATCGAGTGGTCCTGCAGTTTTCTACTGCTGGCCATAAACAGTCTTTGTCTCTTTGAAGTAGAAAGGGTATAAAGTTTGTGTTTTGGGAAGGCTTCTTTGGTTATCTTGTATAGAGACAGGAGGTTGTGGAAGGATTGTGATCTGGTGTTGAAGGTTTACACCATCTTGTCTCTGTTGAGCAGATGTAAGCCTTACATTCTTTTGGGGGGTTTGGATGAGAAAGTGGTCGGCTCTGTTACATGTGAGTATTTAGAATCCATTATTAATCCTGATGAAGTTCATTCATGTGTGTTTACTCTTTTGTTGTTCACAGTTTCAGTGTGTTGGCATCTGTTTTATTTCAGCGTAATTTAGCATGTTCAGTGTAAGACTTAATGAGAATGTTTGATGTGATTCTACATTTCTTTATATGTGTTTCTTATCAAATCATTAATCATAATGTGATGATACTAGTGAGTGAGTATCAGATCTGACTCTTTACCTGCCAAAAGGATAAATTGGATCAAATGATCAGGATCCTGAAGGTCTACAGGAACCGCAACCATGACCCCTCCTCACTATTCACACAAACACACACCCAGAGACACTCCCAGTTTGAAGGACATAAAACCAGTAAAGGTGGGGTGCTCACTCTCTTAGCTCGCTTACTGTTTGAGTTTTCTCTAACATCGTCTTAGTTCAAGTTTGGAAACTTCAACTATTTTTGTGCGCATAGCAATCCAAGATTAAATCTTTAACTTGCCATTTTTGAAACAGTTTCGACCGGCCATCGAGCTTCTTGTTTATCTGCGTTACTTCAAAGTCACCTCTGGAGTTTTGCGGTGAGACCAAAGTGGCATCTAAAAGATCCATAAGTCGCTGGTTCTGCACTCAGTCCTGTGCGCTGTGACTCCTGGCCCATGCGTAAACTGCGGAGGGAACAGTCATTGCTGACAGATGAAACATCCCTGCAGTCTGTGGAGGTTCCCCGGTGCTGTGAGGGTCTGGAGAAGTGATTAATACATCGTGGCATGTTTTGGTGCTCTGTTGTGTTTCGTCCTCGTCCTGCTTGGCTTATCTTTACGCATCTGTGCCTTGCGCATGATTATGAAACTTCCGCGGAAACTGAAAGTGTTCATTTCTCGTGTCCGGAGTATCGCTGTTCAGAAGCATATCTGCCCGAGCTGCTGTAAGTTATTTCTATTTTCTGCTCTTGTCGATAGAGTTATAATCTGTTTTGAAGGTTCTCCTGTCGCTCCTCCTGCATGCGCTCTTGTCTGAGTTCTTCAGATTGTGGAGGATGTCTGATGATCAACGACGTTTGAGATCTGAAGCTCACTGTTGATCGGCTAGTTCGGAGTTCTGTTTGCCCTTATCAGTCATCGTCAGTTGTTATGAACTTAGTTAAATGAGTAAGTTTTCAATCAGCTTTTACATGTTAAGTCACTCGTTAGAAGCTAAAAGCAGAAGAACTCAGGGACGAGGAAGTCCTGTTTGTTTGTTTGTTTGTTTGTTTGTTTGTTTGTTTGTTTGTTTGTTTCCATGAAAGAATCAGACTCCATGTGAACGATTTTAAGTTTCTTTTCTCTAATCAACTTTGTTTAAAAAGCACCGCGCTTCTAACCAATAAAATCGTGTTAATACGGCGCTAATCATGATGGGTTGCCAGGTTGTTCAAATGTCCCCCCTTGAACCGATGCTTTGACAACCGTGGGGTGGCGCTATTCTGCCGTCAACGTGGGGAAATAACTCAAACCACGCAGCCTTTTTCTGCAAATATGATGCTAATTTAAACTTATACACTCATTAATGATAAACCAACACATTACAGAAAACAGGATGACATGAGAAAAATACTGATCATCTGTGAACAGTTAAAAATGCAGACATGAAGGTCATTAAAGGGATATTCTGGCGTAAAATTAATTTAGGGTCAAACACACCATAACACCCCCTCGAGAGATGAAGGTTGCCGACTGCTTGCTTCTCTAGTTATACCAACTTTAGTAACGACCGCACGATAGCAATACACAGCGGTCTGAGGTGAGTTGTGTTTTGTCTCTTTGCTAAAGAAATCAGGCAAAGTTAAAAAGATGTTTGATGTCTAGTACAATAGCGAGGACCCTATATGTCCTGTTGATGAAGTTAGGTGCTGTTCTGAGCATTATTTGTGGCTACAGAGTGGCGTTTTGGTTGAGGTTTGTTTATGGCTCCTCAGACCGCTGTGTATTGCCATCGTGCGGTTGTTACTAAAGTTGGTATAACTAGAGAAGGAAGCAGTCGGCAACATTCATCTCTGGAGGGGGTGTCTAACTCTGTGTCACGGTGTGTTTGACCCTAAATTAATTTACACCAGAATATCCCTTTAAAGAGTGAAACCTTTTACTGCCTTTTTCAGCCTGCTGAAGAAATGAAAAAGCACCTTCGATCTAATCTGTAAACTTTATCTTTTCCTCTTCAGTGAGCCATGCCAGCCCCAAAGGTGCTGCTGCTGGACACTCTGGAGAACCTGTGTGAAAGAGACTTCAACAAGCTGAAATGGTTTCTCAACTCAGGGATCTCAAACAATGATACCTGGAGACCAATTCCAGTGTCTCGTCTGGAGAAAGCCACAGAGATAGAGACCGTGAGGGAGATGACACAGAGCTTCGGTGAGGATCGTGCTGTGGAGATCGCTGTGGAGATCCTGAGAGAGATGGGCCTCAATGACCCTGCGGCCAAGTTAGAGAGCAAGCACAAAGGTGTCAGAAATGTTTGACTACATGAGCAAAATCTTTTACTTACATGTGCGCATGCACTGTACTAAACTCCTCCGCTAATTTCTCCTTTATTTTAATTTTGCAGGGGGTAAAACCTCAGCACCCTCCACCTCTGCTGCTGCTGCACCTCCTCCCGCAGCTCCTGCCCCCTCAGCAGCTCCTGCATCACTGACAGCTCAGGACGGAGGAGTGATCTTCGCCCCAAATCTCGTTGGTGGTACCTCTGGAGCATGGAACATAACCATCAACAAATACACCAATGAAACAATAATGAATCAGGATAATTAGGAAAAAAATGATTTTTTAAACTATTTTTTTATTGAAATGTAAATCAATTTACATGTAATTTTCATACCAAAGTTTAATAAATGGCTTTAAAAAACTTTAATGGTGTTGTAAAAATATACTTGAATTAAATTAGGTGGGGTTAAGCTTCATCATATCCTCTGAAGCTTCTGCAGGTGGAGCTGTGGCCTTACTGTTGCAGCAAACAAAACAGAGTTTCTTTGCAGGAGTGAATGTGAAGCTGAATATGTGCCATTTAAATCCATTTAAAGACACAATTCTGTCAAAACTCCTTCCTGTACAGATTTACAGGGTCAAACACACTGTGATTCTTCTTTTTAGCTTTGCCTAATTTCTTTAGCAAAGAGACTAAACATAACTCACCTACTCTCTTCATGCAGCCGCTTGTTTGTAGCGAGACCTCAGGCCAGTCCATTACAGACTGCTGCGGGGTGACGCAGCTCAGGGAAGAACATTTATGATCATTTCTTTATCGTTTCCTTGAAGTAATAATCATCATATTAATCATTTTACAGACGCGGTAGTTCTTCTGCCTTAGCGTCTCGGTCTGATTGTATTTCCATGAAGAAATTATCATGAATGTTCTTCCTTGAGCTGGATCACCGCGCTGTAGTCAATGGACTCACCTGGAGGTCTCCTTATGAACAAGCGACTGCTGAAAGTGAGAAGGTGAGTTTGTGTTTAGTCTCTTTGCTAAAGAAATTAGGCAAAGTTAAAAAGATGTTTGGTGGCTAGTACTATGGCTGTGACCCTACATGTCCTGTTGATGAAGTTAGGTGCTGTTCTGAGTATTATTTGTGGCTATAGAGTGAAGTCATCAGAATTGAAACTATAAACATATTTCATTCAGTACGAACTAATTTTAACACTCAGACTAATTTTACTTGGAAAAATGCAGTTTAACTCTCCACAATGCACCTTCAAGGACATGATTCTGATTAGTCATTAGCATCTTTTGCTAACAGTCTGTAATTTCTATCTTTCAAAGATCCTTATAAATAAATAGATATATAGATAGATAGATAGATAGATAGATAGATAGATAGATAGATAGATAGATAGATACATAGATAGATAGATACATAGATAGATAGATAGATAGATAGAGCAGTGTGAATCTATGAAGTCTCTTTAACTTGGAGTAAGTGGTAAATGTTTGCTGCATCTAACCGGTTGTCTGAATAAAAACAGATTCTGTCAGATGAAAATGTGAGAAACTGCTGGTTGTGGTGAGAGTACGTGAGTTGTCTCGCTGTCACACATGCGTTTTTCATGAGGAACTGTTTTAAAAACGACCCTTTTAGCATGTATTTGCTCTGTAACATGAACATGTGTGCGTGTTTGTGGTCGGTCACATTTCCTGTTCCGACAAAGTTAGTTTGATACTGAAAGCATTTTGTCCTCTCAGACTACTGCTGCTTTGATAAAACACTGTGTACCAAGACGTTTGTGTAATCACCGCAACAGCGACGGTAAGACATTTACTGAAATAACAGAATATGTCTCACTTAATTATAGTTAAATTTAGTAGCCTAATCAACCTGTCAGATAATTAAATTGTCAAACAGCCTGATGTTCCTGCTAAACTTTCACATCTTGTATCGTAAATACCTCGCTGAAAAATGTATTTATGGCATAGATGAGTGTAAAAAACAGAAATTTAACTCCTGTTTTTTTTTACTTAATCATTTTGCCTTATTATAGATTTATAAGTAAGCATTAAGTAAGAAATGAACAGGTAGTATGAGGCCATGGCAGCAAAAAGATGCAATCCTTTAACAAAGTATTAGTACAGAGTTGCAAACACGTTATGTTTATATCTTTTGGCCTAATCAGGGCTGTCCCTATACACCAGTATTTACGGTAACTGCCTCTTAAAAATATTGAACATTGAATATTCATATCGTACTGAAAATCAGCAAACAGTAATACTGTGAGTCCATAACTTATATAAAAAAAGATGAAACGATGAAGGAGAAGCAGAAGACCTCCAGTAAACCGGCTCAAAGCAGCTCTCAAAGAGATGAATCAGCACTTTCAGAAAGTGAAAGTCCAAGATTTGCAATGTTGGAGTTTTGGGATTTGCCACTTCGATTACTAAATAAAGTGACATTTATACTTTTCTAACCGTTCATTCAGTTCTGAGTCGTATGATCTACCAGTGGAGGATTTATTTCAAAATAAAAGTATACTTAAACGGTGTGAGAGATAAACGCAAGAAAGGAAAAATCAACCTTTTTTATGAGGCTGTAAATTTACTGTTTTTATAGTTAAGTTGCCTTTTTTCATTTTACTCTCTCAGTATGTTTACACGCACAGTTACTCTGAGCTCAGTAAGGGTATTTAATTGGACTAGTATCTTTGTCCCAGTTTACACACACCGGACAAAAATGGAATTATTGACAGAAACCTCTTCCACAACAGACAAAACCTATTGAACGATGACAATACTCTCACTTTTACGGCTCTTTACTTTTCTTTTTTTAACGGTCTGACCAGATTTGGTTTACTACCTGGCTTCCTAGCAAAACCTTGATGCAATTCAACTTCAGCACAAACACTGGTGCACTCTCAGAAAGCTGAGGCCAGTTTCATCGTATTTTTATATATGACAGAGAAAAACGATATCCAGGTTTTGAGAGGTTTAAATTAGTGAGCTTTCAGTGTTTGTTTTTAAAGGTCCAGTTTTAGTCGGACTGGGGCAATTAATCAATATTTTCGATCTGACTGTGTTGTTTTATATCTCGAATTTTCCAAAATATTACAATAATATTGTTATTGGGGTATTTTAGGACCAATTATAAGGTGAAAATCAGATGAAAGCCACAACTGGAACACTCTGTCTCAGGATCGTCACAGAACTTTAACTTTTAAGGAACTTAAATGAGGTAGCAAAAAAGAAAAGTAGTTTCCTAGTAGTTAGCCCTGATAGTGAAGTGCAAACTACCCTGACATCAACCTGATAAAGAGTCACAGCTTTTACACACAAGAGGCTGCTCAGTGTTGATTAATAATAAATAAAATATACTCTCTCGTTCCTTCAGTGATCAGAAATGCAGGCTGCTACTCTGATCCTGGACACCCTGGATGAGCTGGGCACTGATGAGTTCAAGAGGTTTCGTTGGAACCTGAGTCAGCCGGTGTTGAGCGGATGTCAGCCCCTTCGTAAAGGCTACCTGGAGAATGCAGACCGGCAAGACACCGTCAGCAAAATGATTGACAGCTACAGTGAAAGTATGGCCGTGAACCTGACTGTGGAAATCCTGCAGAGGATGAACTTAAACAACACAGCAGAGAAGTTAAGGAGAGCATATTCAGGTGGGTAACCTCATAAAGTGTGATCTTATTCTGGTGTTTGGATTTTTGCTTAGTGCTGAAAATGTCCCTTTTTTAATGAGAGTTTATGGTTCAATTCTTTCTCCCTTCAACAGGAGGATCAGCAGGAACAGCAGGGCAAACCCAACCTTCCCTCCCCTCCTGCCCTGCTGGAGGCGTTGTTGTTGCACCGAATATTCAAGGCACCAGCGCTGGAACAATTAATTTGAACATCAACACAAATAAATGATCCTGGAGTGATGATGAATGGTTTTAAACCTCTTTACAAAATGAAATAAACTGCTGGTGTTTTCCCGCTAAAAATAGTATTGACCATTTTAATATGTGTTTCTTTTGTTTTTATTGAGTCAAATTTCAAGGCCTTTTCTATATGCAGAGCTGCCAAGTATCACGTTTTGAGTGTGACAGTCATGTAATTTGACCCACTCTCACACCACACGCCACACTTGACATTTCTCCAGCTTATTTTCTCCCATTCAATACTCTGAATTAATTTTTTCATGATAATAAACTTGGCTAAACTAATCCCAGACCAATCCATCAGTCCTTTGTGCTTAAATCCAACCAACCACAGAATGCACCACGCAATATAAACCAATCAGAAGCAACGTAAGGCAGGTCTTGGCGTCTCTAACTATCTTTCACACACAACAGCGCCAACATTTAAAACCTAGTTTCCAGTTTCTGGTTAATTAGGACTAGCATTAGGAGGCCACAGTGCAGAGAGAGCAGTTGGCGTGGAGATGAGGACATCAGTCTGAAGGTATAAATCGACGTTCACATCATAACGCCCAAGTCTCACTCTTGTCATTTTCTGAAACCTGGCAACCCTGCTATTTTACCCAACTTAAAATCTTTTGTAGTCTTTTGGTTTGAAAGTCTGCAAATTTATTGTGTAATGCAGTTTTTGGAGTTGGTGGTGACCAAAACAGAGCAAAAGGAAGAGTACAGACTAATCCAATAGCCCAAACACAGAAAATGGATTAGATTAGATTAGATTAGATTAGATACTTTTTTATTCATCCTTTCGGGAAGGTTCCCTTAAGAAAATTAAAAGTGATTAAAATATGACTTAAAGTCAGTGAATGTCGTTTTTTCCCCAAAAAAACTTCAAATTATCAATGTGTTATAAACATAGACTGTATATAGAATGGACAGCGTCTGCCTCCTTGCTCGGTGAGGCCACCCTGTGAACAGCACCCTCTGTTGACGGGCTGCACTATAGGTCATAAATCCCACCTCCTCCAGCAAAGTTTATGGAGCTGTGGACAAACTTTAGAAATTTTCACACAGAATATAAAATTTTCTCCCCCCGGTTGCAATGTTGACATGTAGTTATTGTAAGACTGGTTTGTGCTTAAGTCCTCTTTTTTTTTATGTACAGCTCCATTTTTAAAAGTTATTAGGGGGTTCATGTTTTCTATGATTGACACTTGATACAGCCAATGGGCGTATGAAGATTGAGGAAATAACTGCCTACACTTGAAACAGCACAAACACATAAACTAGGTAAAAAAAATAAAATAAAAAATAATAACAGGGGGTGACATTTTAAGAAATAGGATTAAATTTAAAAAGCAAAAACAAACAAAAAAGCAAGCGACTGATAAATAGCTCAGTTATGTAAGCTCAGATAGCTCAGTTTAATAACACATCTCTGGCGCACACAATCGCAGATGTAACAACAAAGCTCTCAGAAATATGTTGGTAAACGAATATTACCCAAGCCCAATTAAAAGGATGTGTATTTCAAAGCAATTTGATTTCGATAAGATTAAAAAGAAAAAGACGAAGAGCTGCTACTTTTTTGTAAATCCTTAAAACTTGTTACAGACAAGAAAGCCCTACGCCTATTTTCCTCACTAGAAATGTTTAAATTGATATAGAATGGCCTCTAACATTGAAATTGTGTTGTTGTTTTTGTCTCTTTTGATGTTATTCATGCTCAATCTAAGGCAAATATTCTATAATTTTCTTTTATGATAAATAAGTGCCTTGTTTGTGTGTTTATAATTCAATAAAAAAAATAAAAATTAAAAAAACATGGCAACCCGGAGATTTCGTCCGACGTGGAGGGTCAGGGGCAGTCACGTGAACACTTTAAACAGGAAGCGTACGACCGAAAAACAGGCACGTCACCAATCTAGGCTATACAACACAAGGTTTAGACAGGAGCGTAAACGTTGAAACCGCGAATATTTGATAAAAGAACAACAATTGATTATAAAATCTTGTTTAATCAGACTTAAATGAACACATGTGGCGTTTTGTGGATTTTTCTCTCTGTCTAATGCTGAAACCCGCAGCGGTACACCCGGAAGTCCACTCGCGGCGCATGACGTGTGTGTCCGAACCTTGCCGAATGTTTTGCTCTGGATTCACCACCAGGAAGCGAGAGTTACCATCTTCAGGCTAGCTGTTACCTTTACGCGATGAAGACACAAAAGAATCGAAAAACATAACACCATTTGTCTCAATTTGGAAATAATCGACAATTTAAAGAGAAAATACAACAAATTTAAGGATTAGCATATCCGTAATTTACCACGTATTCCGTTAACACTGCTGGATATCTGCCTCTTTAGCCATCTGGCAGACTGTTGCTCGCTAACGTTAGCCGTCTCTCGCTGTTAGCAGGTCGGTTTGTGCCCGGTGATGGCTGTGGCACAGAGAGTGTGTGTTTTAGCTGGATATATACTCTTACTGCTGGCTGGATGTAAAGCAAGGATACATAAACTGACTCTGAAGGTAAGGATACTGTGACTTCTATGATATTACATCGTTTGTCAGAGTCAGGCAGCTAGTCTGCGTTTGTTGGCGTTGACAGATGGAGCTCAGGACAGGGAGTCTTGTTATTGTAAGAACTCATAAAAATGAATAAAACAAAAACAGATGAACTTAGAGATACCTTAGGAGTTTGGTGTTTACATAGGTCACAGAAGATTGTTCCCCAGGCTGAAAGAAGTGGATAAAAAATAGACTAAAATGTGTTTCTATTCAACTCCATGGTTTTTAAAGTCAGTGATCACAGTCATATCAAATAGTCATCAATAACCCAATCTTTCTGGACATCAATCAATCAATCAGACTTTCTTTGTATAGCACTGTTAATACAAGGAGATCAATCAATCTAACTTTATTTAAAAAGCGCTTTTCCTACAGGAATGTGACTCAAAGTGATTTACAGTCAAGTTGAAAAAAAGAACAAAAAACTATCCTAGATGCCCCCTTACCCCCAATCCCCACCTACACACACACACACACATACACGCCAACGCACCCGCACATACACACTAGGGCCCGACCAATATGGATTTTTTTGGGGCCGATACCGATTATTAGAGGGGAAAAAAATCCGATTACCGATTAATCAGCCAATTTTTTTGAAGTTTTAAAAATACATACATATATATAAATAGATATAGATATAGATATATGTATGTATGTGTGTATATATATACTGTAGGCTACTGCTCTTCACGCCAACAGGAAGACCGACTGATCAAACTCTGAGCAAATGTTGCTCCTTTTGACTGGAGGGCATATCACTGATCTCAACATTCTATATTATTATCCATGTTACCAATCCCAGGCTTTCTCGCCTGCTGACATCAGTCTGATTACATTAATCTTGACACAAAATGCATCTAAACTGAGCTGTCTGGTTGTTTTTAACATGAAGTATGCCAGTCAAAAGAGTGGTGGTTTTCTGTTGCGGCAGAAGTGTAACTGGTGCGCTAAAAAGGATAAAAACGCACACACACACACTCACAATAAATAACAATTTAAAAAAGGTGTTACTTTTGGGCCTAACGAATGACTGCTGACAGCCCAGGTTTGTTGTCCAGATCCTGTTATCATGAAATAAAGTTTTGTTATCTCAAGATACTGGGATAAATGAATCACTTCAGCATTTCTGTCCCCAAGATGGAGCTGTCAGGAAAATAACTGAAATGATCTTGTTATCACAGAAAAGTCAAGTATGGAAGTATACAGCACTCGACAGTGCCGCCCTTTCACTCGCATTTGCAACTAAAAAACAGATGTGTGTGAATTGTAAAATGTATTTAGGGGCACATGTGCGCATTAAAAAAATCAGCCGAGGCCACCGCTGATCTACCGGTGTTATAGCGACTCTCCTGCCCTCCTGTAGTCACTCGTGCATGCAAGTGGGAGACTGTTTTTGCCGCACTCTTACAAACAATTGTCAACACGATGATCCATGTTCAGGTGATGCTCCCGTTTAATGATCGCCAATTCAGACCAAAACAAAAGGATTAAACTGATGCAAAAGAACTGATAATGTGACAAGGTGATGCTGCTGGAAAACAAAAACGGTGAGGTGAGTGATCCTGGCGAGCGGTAAAAACAGCATGACCCTTCACCCCATGTGTCACCTGGTTACCTGCCCCCCGTGCCTTTATAGAAAACGCTGCACTGCCACCAGTGGAGACCTGACGTAACCCATGACGGACAAACAAACAGATGTTGCTCCTATAGGTGTCTTCTCACTCTCCATAACCATGAATAGTAACAGCAGCGCGGTTAGATCTACTCGGCACCCTCACTGTCAACGTCGGGTGTTGAATAAGGGACCATCAATAAATTACCTGTTGATATTCTCAAGAAAGGCTGTTTTCCTTCAATAGCTTCCATGTCATGTGACCAACAGACCTGAAACTGATTTCAGATTATAGTACTAATGTCGACCAATAAGACACACATTATTTTATCAATTTTTATCGTGCCCCTAAAGTTCTTTGTGTGCTCCTTACTTTCAATACTTATAATGATTATAAGGAGTTGGCACAAACCTGAGCCCTACACCTCAGCTAATTTATGATAAAAGTTAGAAATCTGCGCACAGATAATGATTTTCCCTCTAAGACTTGAAGCTCTGAATTTTGTCCAACAGTGTGTCAGTCAGTCTCAAAACAATCGACAGACTCTGTAACAGTCGGTCGATACGGCGAGGAGGACAATAGGATTATTCTTAAGTCAAGTGCTGGTTTTCTTGTATTTGTTTATTTTAAGAGTTGAAAAAAGAAGCAGATATGAACTTGAATCCCCCGATGTCTGAACAGTCTGCTCAAGCCTCTCTGATGTTTTTTTCTTCCTCTTCCCAGAATGAAACTCGGTCGGCGGTTGACCTCAACAATTTTGGTTTCTATGCCAACGGGACTCTGGACGTCAACCTTCATTCTCTGAGCATCCCTGAAAAAGTGGTGAACTACAGCCTGAACCCTGTGAGATCTGTTTTTCTTTTATAAATATGTGTGTGAGTGTGAGTGTGAACATTTATTCATGAGTGCTGGTTTTACTCTTGAGCTGTAGCTGCAACCTTTGTTTTCAACAGGTGAAGTCACGCTCTTCAAAATAGTCATTACAGTAATGATGAGGAACAAACGCAGGCCCAAGGTGAAAATATAATTTAAAGCATAAGCGGGGTAATAATTTGGAAGTCTGTCAGCCTTAATTTGAATCCTTGAAAAAGACCCAAAGCAACAATGAATTAATGTGTTAAGTGTTACCAGAGCAGCCGAAGCCGGATAGAACTAAAAATAGAACTTTATTAAGCCGGACTCAAGGTGAAATGACCCTCAGTTCAACTTTGTCTGCTTCGTAATGAATCTCACTCAAGGCTGTGGTTATGTATTGGAGATGAATATGCTCAGGTATGAGCTAGGGCTGGGTATCGATTCAGATTTTCAAGATAGATTCTATTCAATATCACAAGGTCTTCGATTCAAGATTCAATTCTATATCGATTCAGTCAGGGATATCAGTTGAAATAATGCTGTAAATTTAACAAGGTTACCAACCTGGTACACTATTAACCCAAACCAGTTACCTTAATCATGTGCTTTTATTTTAAATTAAATTAAAATAAATTACAAAGCAGACAATGTAAATAAAGTAGCTACAAACATAATAATAAAAAGGTCCTCCAGCTTTTGTGCAAGAATACCACAGTGGTTGTGAGACACACAACCGTATCAGAACACGATCAACTATCTTTGACTCCTAGATAAATGTAAGGGAATTGAAATTGTACAATAAGTCAGGTTTTTTAGAGCATAAATTGTATATTAACATACAGTGTAATACCAAAAAATGCTGATCAACATGTTGAGGAGTAAGGCAGCTCCTTTTTGCCGTGACAGTATCACCAGCGGTGGGAAAAACCCGCTCGGATGGGACCCTGATACCCGGTACACACCGACACCTGCTCCAGGCTGGTCTGTTTGAGGCGTGCTGACTGTTTCTGGCTGATGTCTCGTCAAATGGTGGAGATTCGGACATTCGTCGTATTGCCACTGTATTTTACCTTCCTGTTTCATATTTAGCATATTCCGTGTTTTGTTTTCTTCCAGTTTGTTAAATCTGAAATACATCCAAACATTTTAAACTCGTTGGCGGCGCCTTGAGAGGTGGACTCGCCTCCGTCATATTCGCTTGACTGCTGGCAGTAACATCTCACGAGATGTTGAAAGCAGCGCTAAATGCTAATCACACAAGACTAGAAGGGTTTATACTTCGAGCTGCTTCTCCTGGAATAGAGAAAAAACTACTCAAATTAAAAGATCGATCTTTGGATTTTATGAATCGATTATGAACCATTTAAAGGAAAATCGATTAAAATTGATTAAATCGCCTTATTAACCCAGCCCTAGTATGCGCTAAAGTAAGAGTCAGTCCAAAGGCAGTGAGTTACTAAAGCTTAATTTCCTAGATCATCCTTTTTAGAGAATCTGTTTTGGTCTTTTAGTCATCAGTGGATTGGATAGCTGCGTATCGATGGGCTCTGTGAAGAGGGAACGAGAAAGACGTATGAAAAAAGGTCGAGACTGGGAGTCAAACCTGCAGCTGATGGAGGGAGGACTAACCCTTTAACTGAGCTGAACTGGTCTCTCTCTCTCTTTGGTCTTGTTTCGTTTACAGACAGTGAAACAAAAACAGCTTTTGCACAATGTAGGAATGCTGGGTATTATTGAATGCAGATTCTAGTTTCAGAAGTGAACATCTGTGCAGATACAAAATGACGTATGAAATATGTGCGTGCAAAGACAGCTTACATGTGGCAGCATGTACGTTTGTACAGATTCCACACATGACTTTATGGTCGTATATTGAAGTGTTGTAAATAAAGTAGATGAGTCAGTCGGTGTCGGTGCTGCTGAACTGGCTTTGAGCATGTTGGATGTGTGTTAGTGTCACCGCTACACCGGTCTAAAACTGTCAGGAAAGACTGGGAGCTTTAATTCAGAGTTGAATACCAACAGCCATGAAGAGTGAGATACAGTATTTACACAGGACATGAGCCATGCACTGACCACATCTGCACAACTCTCTTTAGGTCGGTTTCAGCCTCTCCAGGTCCCGTGTGAATGGAGTCTTGACTTACACAGTGAGTACATTCAGTCCGGAAAAAATCACTCTGATTTTGTAAAAAATGCTTGAATTAATCCCACAAACAGGCTCTTTGTAGCCTTTGTAATATTTCAGCTCGTATAAGAAACTGAGTGTGATTTTTTTTTTTTTTTTAACCTGTTTTCTCGTGTTTCTGTTTTTTAAAACTCCAGGCAGAGGAGCCGGAGATCTGCCCGCTCACCCTCACAAACGTGGCCAACAAAGAGCCTCTCATTCTGTTTCTTATTGATATCAACACACGCAGGTAAGTGTCCTTCAGCAACAGCATCCAGCTGTGTAAGTGTTACCACTGTGAAACCCACTGTATGATTTATTTTTATAGTGTCACTGTGAAAGCCATGGGTGATCAGGACAACCTCCTGATAGCGAAGCCGAAGACCGAAGCACCCAAAGGTCAGCTCTCACTGTGCCTGTTGACAAATAGATGAAACTCACCTGTACAGGGACATGATGGATAACTCAGTGAATGCTCTATCTGCTCATTTGTTTTCTGCAGGTCAGAGAAAGAGCAGAGGTGTTGATGCTGAGCCCAAGGCTGCAGCAGATGAAGCTCAAAAACCAGACAGCGAGGACGCGGCTGCAGCCGATCCAAAAGAGGAACCGAAAGAGAACGAAGATGTCGACCCGAAGAGTAAAGATGTGACTGACGGGAAGGCAAACGTCGCAGCTGAAGATAAAAAAGCGGATGAAAAGGAATTCCTGGTAGGATGTGTTTGTGTGTGTCTGCAGGCGTGATCTATTCATGACAGTGTTTTTAATCTGCTAATCTAATCTGTATCTGCTCCCAGCTGGGGAAGACCAAACAGCTGACTCTGGCTTTGGGCCAAGTGAACGACCTCTACAACTTCAGCGTGAGTTCTCCTCTCATATCTGTTAAAGTGAAGGGTGGATGTGGTTGACTGTGCCATCAGGGGGTTTTTCTGTCCTTCCTCCGCAGTTCCACATGGTGGTGGGCGAGCAGGCGGAGGGTCTTTACAGCCTCAAGTTCCACTACTGTAAGAACAGGATACCCGGACCCAAACACCCCTACTCATTCACAGTAAGTCGAGTGAGCTTCATGTCAGTACATGCGCGCTCAGGTGTGTTTGTGTGTGTGTGTGTGCGTTAATCTGAATGTCTCCTCCGCAGGTGGAGGTGGTAGAGACGAATCCAGGCGGCTACCTGTCTGCTGCAGAGATTCCTCTGTCTCGCCTTTACATCGGCATGGCGGGAGTCTTCTTCACCGCCGCCTTAGTCTGGGTGTACACGCTCATGAAGCACAGGTACATGCACATACATCAGCGCTCATCCTGTCGTGTTTTTGGATCTGAAGATCACGATATGCAGAGTTGGAATTTTGTTTAATCTTTAGCAACAGCATATTATCAACATGGCAGACGTTGTTTTTATCGATTTGTTCGGTTGGTTTGTTGTAACATCCCGTTGTGAAATTGGTGCAATAAGATTAGGGAAGAAAGGAGCGTGCAGAGCAGCATTTATCAGGTACAAAAAAATTACGTTTCTTCAAATATTAAAGGGATAGTTCAGTATTTTTGAAGTAAGTTTGACAGTATCAGGTGTACAGACACAATGGATGCCGATCCCTTTTACCTTCCTCTTGTGTTAGCTTTCACTACACACCCACTATGTCAACAGGTCAGTTTCAACCCATGAATTATAAACAATTCTCTATCATCCAGTTTGGTTCTCATCTCTAGGTTACCTTGTTAGGCTTCATATGTCCGTGTAGATTCTCATTCATCCAGGTCATGGTTTTCTTGAAGACTTAAAAAACAGGCAACTGGACTGTGAAGAGTTGAGAAGACGTTTCGCCTCTTATCCAAGAAGCTTCTTCTAGTTATACCAACTTTAGTAACGACCACACGACAGCAATACACAGCGGTCTACGTCTCCACGTACAAATCTCAACCAAAACACCACTCTATAGCCACAAATAATGCTCAGGACAGCTCCTAACTTCATCAACAGGACATATAGGGTCACAGCCATAGTACTAGACACCAAACATCTTTTTAACTTTGACTCATTTCTTTAGCAAAGAGACTAAACACAACTCACCCACTCTCCTCCAGCAGCTGCTTGTTTGTAGGGGGAGCCCTGACAAGTCAATCACTTGTCACTCCTCTCTCTCCTACCTCAGCTTGTCAGAAATGAGTCAAAGATAAAAAGTTGTTTGATGGCTAGTACTATGTCTGTGACCCTATATGTCCTGTTGATGAAGTTAGGTGCTGTTTTGCTAAAGAAACCATTATTTGTGGCTATAAAGTGGCGTTTTGTTTGAGGTTTGTGTGTGAAGACGCAGACCGCTGTGTATTGCTATCCTGCGGTCGTTACTAAAGTTGGTATAACTAGGGAAACAAGCAGTCGGCAACATTCATCTCTGGAGGGGGTGTCTAACTCTGTGTTTTAGCGTGTTTGACCCTAACTTAATCTTATACTGGAATATCCCTTTAATGTTTATTGAATTTTGACCACAAGTCACATTCAGACACAACCAAAACCTTCCTTGAGGGACCCTAAAGTCAGTAAAGAATAAAAATAATGAAAATAAGAAAAATACATTTGATGTTGTGACTGAAAGCTCTGCATAATAAACAACAAATAAATAAACCAGTCGTACTTTGTGGTTAAGAGTTTATTGAAGAAAACAGCTGATCAGAGCTTTTTGTTTTGAGCGTGTAAATCCTGATCACTTCCTCGACTCTGGGCCTCGGTCTGTCATCAGGATCCATGTGCTAAAACTGCGCTCTGGACAGATAACATGTTTCTGCATTAATCTGTTCATCATCGAGCCTCAAACAGAGTTTAATCAGCGCCTTATGAAATGCTCTGGTCTGCAGGTACAGCGTTTTTAAGATCCACTGGTTGATGGCGGCGCTGGCCTTCACCAAGGCCACGTCCCTGGTTTTCCACAGCGTGAGTAAATCCTCCTTACAGAGCAGACTTCTGTTGTCATAAATGTTGTTTATATTCGTCTTTTACAGCCTCGTCTTTGTCGACTGTGTTTACTCTTTCTGTTCTGCTCACCGTAGTCTCAGCACACCGAGTCTTTGTCTTTAATCGGAGCCTCTCCCTCTCTCTCTTCATCCCTCAGATCAACTATCACTTCATCAACACCGAGGGACATCCCATCGAAGGCTGGGCTGTCATGTATTATATCACCCACTTGTACGTATAACTCGGCCAGGATGTAAAGGGTTAAATCTACGCCGCTCTCTTGTGTTGTGGTTTTTAAAGTTTGGACTGATGTGTTCTCCAGACTCAAAGGAGCTCTCCTCTTCATCACGCTGGCACTGATCGGCACCGGCTGGGCTTTCGTTAAATACATCCTGTCAGACAAGGAGAAGAAGATCTTCATGATCGTTATTCCTCTGCAGGTGTGTGCAGATAAGACACAGTCACAGTGGGGGGATTATTTAGACTCTTTCTGAGTGTGTGTCGATGATCGTCCCACGTCTCGTCCTCCAGGTTCTGGCTAACGTGGCCTACATCATCATCGAGTCCACAGAGGAAGGCTCCAGCGAGTATTATCTGTGGAAGGAGATCCTCTTCCTGGTCGACCTCATCTGCTGCGGAGCCATCCTCTTCCCTGTTGTCTGGTCAGTGTGTGTGCAGTCCCTCTAATGTGTATCAGTTACACTTTCCATTTACGAAAATACATGGAAAATTGAGTTTAAACTGGTTTTTAAACTGGGGCTGGGTGAGATGATGGGGACGCTTAGACCATCATGGCTCCTAAATTCTCCACTGAGGGTGCAGGCTCAGGGCTCAGGGTGGGATAGTGATGGTTTCACAGCTCGCTGAATGATGACCAGCCAAGACAGAGATGATCAGGAGAGGATTCAGTCATCAGAACACAGTTATCTTTAAAAAAAAAGAAAAGAAAAAAAAGCAGGCGGGGGAAGAGTTAAGTTCTGAAAAATAACCCTGATTTTGAAAGTAGGACACCGTTACCCAACTGTAGGTGTTGTTTTATGGCTAAATAAACCAAACATGTCTCTTTCACTGCTGTATCTGTGATTTTTGAACGTTAGTGTCGACTAGGAAGCAGCTGAATGTGAATGTTTTCTTATTTGTCTCTAGTCTAATGAAAGAATAGTGAAGTGTTTTTGTTCATGCCAAAGTCAGATGGTGAACTATGTCTCCGACTTGCCCATCAACAAGCAAAAAAATTAATGTCAGGTCGACTCGGGAGATCCCGACCTGTCAATTTGACCAACATGATAACATTAGAAAGAAGAGGGCGGGGCTAGTTACACCTGCACCTGTAAATGGAAGCCATCAGGGATGTTGTTTCCAGAGCTCAACAAACTTACCATCTGTCATGTAGCTCTACTCTAACTCTCTAAGTCTCATTTTCTCTGCAGGTCCATCCGTCACCTGCAAGAGGCTTCCAGCACTGACGGCAAAGGTGAGGATCCTCATCGGACACAGCCTAAAGATGAAAAAAGCCGTACAGTTAAAAGTTTGTTAATAAAGTTGGATCTCTGTCTCTTTTAGCTGCCATGAATCTGGAGAAGCTCAAGCTCTTCCGGCATTATTATGTGATGGTAAGAATGAGTTTGGATCAGATTCGATGACGCCAACAGTCAAAGAAGTGCTGCATGAATCCGATTTGTTGTTCGCTGGCATCAATTATTAATCTTGAACAAATGAACTGAGTCATGGCAGCTGGCAGGGAAAGCCACAGCAGCAGAATCACCGCGTCAGAGCCAGAATAAAAGCTTCACTGGCTCTCAGTATCTCACCCACACAAGTCAAAATAGATATTTTTATAATAACGGGTTAAACTGCAGTCGTTGAATCCTGCAGCTGTGTCTCAGTAAATGATAAATACTCTTGTTTCTGTCTTTTCAGATTGTGTGTTACATCTACTTCACAAGGATTATAGCCATCCTGCTCAAGGTCACCATGCCTTTCCAGTGGCAGTGGTGCTACGAGGTGAGACCAGCAACGAATGATGGACAATAAAAACTTTGACTTTATGCTTGTTTGTAGAAAGTCGAGTACATCCTGTTCCTATTTTTAATCAAACACAAACACACAAAAATGTCATTCAGCAGTGCTGGGGCGTCCACCAGGATGGTATTTGTTAATACGTCACTTATTATTCAGCTGTGAGGATTCATTGGTCCAGCTCGTCTGTAACACTCTCTCTCATGTGTCCTCAGTTTCTGGTGGAAGTGTCGACTCTGATCTTTTTCGTGTTGACGGGCTACAAGTTCAGGCCAGCGTCCAACAACCCCTACCTCCAGCTTCCCCAGGACGAGGAGGACGTAGAAATGGATGAAGTGTAAGCAGACAAGATCACCTTCTCAGTTTTTACTGCCTTTATTTACACCAGAAGGTCCCGTGAACCCCAGACATCCAAAACACATACAACTGTCAGTCATGCTGTCATTTCCTGTGACATCCGTTTAAACCACTTTAAAGGTCCTTTCACACCAGGAGCGATTATTTTTGTTGTGCGATTATTTTGGACGTCAATATTTTTTTTCGAACCTGTTCACATCAGCGACATTTTCCCGTCCTGCGATATTGCAGCCTTTATTTTTTTCGGATCATGGTTGATTTTTTCTAAAGTTTCACATACTGTGTGTCCACTTCTGACCAATCAGATTGCGTGTTGTTGCGACGTCTGATTCACCGGTATATCCAACATGGCCGACCGGCTGATTGTTTACGTGTCGGAGAACAGAGACACAAATGTTACAAAGATAACGACCTGAAGGACAACATAGCGTTGGATCTCTCATATGACGATGGTTTGTGTGTTTTAACAGTATGCAAAACACCTTTGTTTTAACTTTCATCTGTGCTAACGTAAGCTAACGGTTGTTACTATAGTTTCATGTGCTTATCTTATCGCCTCTGATTGGCTATAAGTGCTGACCGTTTGGCTTGAGCGTGTGATGACGTTTCCAGCTTTTCTAGCCAATCAGAGGCGAAGGAGGCGGGAAAGAGGCGTGGGAAAAGTCTTCTTGCGTTGCGTCTTTTTCCCCCCGGAAAGTCGCAAAATCCCATCAGGCTTAATGTGTAAAGTCAAAAATCGCCTCTGAATATTTTGCAATTTTGAGTTCTATAGAACCTTAGTCTGTTTCATCTGTAATACCGGGAAGAAACAAGACAGCAATAACTTTGAATTAAAGCTGATTCTTAAAAAGCTAAGCGCGCCCCATGTATGGGGTCTATAGTCCCCGCAGTGGTCACAGGTTCAATTTCCAGCCCCGACCATTCCCTGTATTTCTCAACAGTACAGAGTGACTGAATAATCGGTTCTCCTTTTGTCTCTTTGCTCCCAGAGTGACTGAATCAGGCGCACTGGAGGGAATTTCCAAAGTCAAGAAAACTTCTAACGGACGTGATCGCCAGAGAGAGTCCAGCTTGTGAGCGTGGAGCTGCATCATGGGGGCAGGAGGCGGCGAGGAGGGGGGGCCCAGTAAACATCCCCAGGGATACTCATGGACCAAGGCTCCCCGCCCGAACATCCCCTCGCAGTGACGGCTTTACCTTTTGAACTCTCGAAGTGGTTGCAGCCCACTGTCTGGCTATGCAAAAAAAAAAAAAAAAAAAAAAACACTCACTCTGTTTCCTCGGAGCACTCCACCAAGAAACTCTGAAAGCTCGTGCTCCTGCCACATGAACGGACGGATGGAGATACGGAAAAGGAGCTCTGATGCTCTTCGATTTCTCTCTCTCTCTCGCTCTCTCTTTCTCTCTATCTCCAAAGATCACGGTCATTTTAGAGGAAGCCTTGCTTTCCTTTGTGTTTATATTGGCTATTTAAAACGGTACTTCTGCGAGCCTCTGCTGTACCTTTACGTGTGTGATGTGAGTACAGGTGCTTGTGAGTGTGCGTGTGCGTGTGCGTGTGTGTGTGAGTGCGTGTGAATGTAGAATAACACAAGGTTTTGACACAGCTTGTTTTCCTCTTCCCTTTGAAGACAATGGCCCGCACTCAGGTAAAAGGCTAATCAGTATATATTTCAAATTTAGACGACTGTGTACACACGTTTCTCCTTCCTGCTGTTCAGGGCTCGCTAACATCCCACTGGTGATTGTTCGCCTTCATTCCCACACAGTTTTTCTTTCCCTAAAGTTTGATTTTATACTGAAATATACTGTCTGGGCGTCTGAGGTTGAATATTTCAGTGTATAAACTTTTGAAATATTGAAGTGTCACATTTCAGTATTATGGTTTATGTTGGAGAGATCGCGGTCCTTCAAACGGACTGCTGCTGTAATTTAGAGCTTTAGTGGTTCATCGGCTCGGTTGTGTTCAAACATGGCCTTTTTGTTGTTCTTTTTTGGCAAAGAAGTGACCTAATCCATCTTTATTTTTAAATTTGTCTGCTTTCAGTTTTACCCTCTTTGCTCTTGATGTGAAGCTTATTTTATTAATTATTGAAGACTTCTGGTGAAAGATCGGTTCTGTGTGCTGCAGTACGGCGGGCAGGCGGGCGGGGTAGACGGCCATTTGTAAATAATTTACAGAGGAAGACTGTTGATACAAAAGGAGGCACATAACACTTTCATAAGAACTGCTTAGAGGCTTTAGAGTCAGCGACAATGACAAAAGCTCAGTTTCAGTTTTGATTCCTAAAATAGACCCAGGGGGGTAATGAGTTCAAAGAATAAAGGAAAGACTACTGAAATTTGTTCGCAGACAAAGTTTACAGACTGTTCAGGCTCTGAGAGGACAGCGGGAAACAGTCTACAAACCAGAAGAGGTTTTGTGCTTGTTGCAGACTGATGTTTGATGTCTGTGTGAACTGTCACAATAAAGCTGGTGTTTTGGAAAGGACTTAAATCATGTTGTTATGGATTTCTTCACCTCAAGGCATGCTGCTACCACATACAAGAAATCCACTCATCAAAAAAAAAGAGAATACTTTGCTTCTTAAAGCGAATATTTCCGTATTTCCACTTTTACAAAATCATTCAACAGGGTGTCTGCGGGTCTTAAAAAGTATAAACAGTTGATAAATCAATTGTGGAAAAATGAAGTCCCTAAAAAAGTCTTTTAGAAGGCGCTGCTTGTACAGAGATGGGTAAGTGTATATGTTGGTGCACGCGCAGAAGCATTGTTTTAATGCTATACCAAAATATTTTTATTATACTACACTATGATACTCTTATCAAACTATACTGTGACAATTTTATCATACTATCACATTTTTATTAAACTATACTGTGACATTTTGATTAAACAATATTGTGGCATTTTAATTTTGCTCATACTTTACAATGATATTTTCATCATTCTATCCTATGATAGTTCTTATTATACTTTACTATGATTTTTTATCATACTGTACTATGACATTTTAATCAAACTACACTATAAAATTTTCCTTACTATCCCATGAACTAAACCATGACATTTTCATCTTACTATCCCAAGATTTTTCATCATACTGCACTATGACTAATTATCATACTACACTATGACATTTTTATTAACCCATACTATGACATTTTCATCATACAATCCTCACTCACTACAGTTTTTTTATCATACTATACTATGACATATATATCATACTGTATTATTACATTTTTATGCAACTATACTTTGACATTTGTATCATACTTTCCTGTTACTTTATTCAAACTTACTATGTTTTTTTATTATCACACTATCCCAAGATTTTCACCATACTACACTTTGACTAATTGTCATACTATACTACGACATTTTTTTATCATACTGTGCTATGACATTTTTATTAAACTATAGTATGACATTTTGATTAAACAATATAGTGACTTTTTTAAAATTTTCTCTATTATCTTTTTATCGAACTGTTCTATGACATTTTAATCAAACTATACTATGATATTTTTGCACACTATCCCATGAAACTATACGATGACATTTTTATCATACTATTCTGATATTCTTATCATACTTTAAATGTTTTTTCATTCTCCTATACTATGACAATTTTTTCATACCATACTATGAAATTTTTATCGAACAATTTGCGACCCTTTTTTCAAAACTATTTATATCATACTTTTTTATGATTTTCTTTATCATACTACACTTTGACATTTTTATCATACTATACTATGTGATTTTTTTATCAATCCATACTATGACATTTTAATCATACAATCCTATGATATTTTTATTATACTTCACTCACTACAGTTTTTTTATCATACTATAATATGACATTTATATCATACTATACTATGATATTTCATTCAAACTTACTATGTTTTTTATTTTCACACTATCCTAAGATTTTTCATCATACTACACTTTGACTAATTATCATACTATACTATGACATTTATATCATACTATCCTATGACATTTTCAACATACAATCCTATGATTTTTTTATCATACTTCACTGTTTTTTTTCAACATACTTTACTTTGATATTTTAATCATACTATACTATGACATTTTTATCAAACCATACTATGATATTCTTATCATACTTTGGCATTTAAATCATACTATACTAGACTTTTTCATTTAACTATACTGACATTTTCATCATACTTTACCTTGATTATTTAACCTCCTATACTATGACATTTTTCATCATACTATACTACGACATTTTTATCATACCATTCAATTAAATTTTTATCGAACAATTTTTCCAAAAGATTTTAATTATACTGTACTATGATTTTTTGACTCTGTGTAATGACCTTAAATATCGAAAAAATCGACAATATCGTAGGATCGCAATTTAATTTAAAAAAAAAAAAATCGTCCCAGCCCTGACAGATTACTGATGGCGGGTTCTTCATCATTCCCCCTCTTCCTCCTCACCGCTGAAGTGATGGAGGTGATCTCTGAGAATAACCCCCTCCATTCACACACACACATCATCTGTCCCGCACAGCTCGGCCCCGCCCTCCCCGCGAGCTCCACAAGCACGCTGCTCCTCTCTGCAGTCTGCAGTCAGTCCAGAGGAGCACACTGCAGTCTCCACCACTCCTCCTCCTCCTCCTCCTCCTCTTCCTCCTCCTCCCTGCGCTCCCCTGGCAGGTGGAAAGGACACGCTGACGGGGCCGGGACAATGTGAGTATACCGGCACTTCTTTCTGATACCTTTGATTTTATCCAGTAGAGGTAGATTGTGGCGCATTTCCTCAGACAGAATGAAACCTTGCAGCCATTTCAGCGACTTTTCTGCAGCGTCATGCACAGGTGAAGTTCATTTTGCGCCATTGTCGGTCGGTAGCCTATGGCGTGCGAGGAAATCAGTGCGCTTGAATGAATGAATCCTTCACTGCAGCACTTTATTAAAATCATAAATGTGAGGAGAACAGACAGAAAAGTCAGGGTTTGATTGTACTTCAGTCCTCCTCATCCTCCTCATCCTTCATTCCCATCCACCGCTCTCACCGGTTTAATGGGATGCTGAAATGGTCATGATGAAGATGCTCGTTGGTCTCCTCTGTGACCTTAAAACGTCTTTGCTTTTTGGAGGAGACAGACTCTGATGATGCAGCACATCTCCACCTCTCTCTCTCTCTCTCTCTCTCTCTTTCTCTCTCCTCTCAGAGCAGGAAACGTGTCCCATTTCATCTCTGCAGTGAGAAACGCAGCACACTGATGCGCAGACTGACACAGACTGGCAGCTTAATGTTCATGGAAATGTTCATTTAAAGCTTTTTTAAATCCTTTTTCAAAGATGTCTGATGATCTCTGCCTCCTCAGGGCTTTTCTCTCAGTCTTCGCTGTGCTGGCTCTCCTGGTCTGTGCTGAAGGAAGTGTTGGGTAAGTTTTATTACTTCAGATTTATCTACAGAAACAGAATTTTTGAACCCAAAACAGGAAGAGAGCCCTGAGGAGAAAAGTTAGGACACTTCTAGAGGTCCATGACTGAACAGAGTCTCAATATGATTTTAATATCCGCAGTTGGGTTGTGCAGTGTGATTTAATTTCAATGATGCAGCACATCATCAGCTGAGCTGCATCAAAAACCACAGCTCTACCCATTACATTATTGAGAGTAAAACCAAAGGTGGAAGAGCGCCGATGGGGCAGGGGTGTGGCCTGACGCAGAAGTAACTTTTCCACATGTTCAAAAGGGCGTGAATGCTCCTTTTATATATCTCTATAATCATATTTCTGAGTCAACCTGCTAGATTCAGGGCTGGAATAAAACAGTAGATGAGATATGGGGCCATTTTTAGACTAAAGGTCCTTTCACACCGGGACTGTTTTTGTTGTGCGATTATTTCTGATGTATTGGTATTGATTAATGATATTGATATTGATTATTTCAATATTTTTTTTCGAACCCATATCCTGTCAATACAAGCGTTCACATTAGCAACGTTTTCCCGTCCTGCTATATTGCGGCATTTATTTTTTCGGATCACGGTCATAGTCGATTTTCCAAAGTTTTGCATACTGTGTGTCCACTTCTGACCAATCAGTTTGCATGTTGTTGCGACGTCTGATTCACCGGTATATCCAACATGGCCGACCTTACAGGTCTTTACCTTACAGGTCTTTACACTCCAGGGCCGACGCAAATATAAAACGCGAACCTACGAAATATTCGGAGGCGAATTTTGACGGGCCTGACTATACACATCAAGCCTGATGTGATTCTGCGACTTTCCGGGGGGATGCATCCCGGGGAAGACTTTTCCTGTGAAAAGTCCCGCCACCTTTGCCTCTGATGGCTAGAAAAGCTGGAAACGACATTACACAAGCCAAACGGTCAGCATTTATAGCCAATCAGAGGCGATAAGATAAGCACATGAAACTATGGTAACAACCGTTAGCTGACGTTAGCGCAGCTGAAAGTTAAAACGAAGGTGTTTAGCGAACTGTTAAAGCATACAAACCATCGTCATATGAGAGATCAGACGCTATGTTGTCCTTCAGGTCGTTATCTTTGTAATATTTGTGTCTTTTATCATAAATCACTCTGTTCTCCGACACGTAAACAATCAGACGTCGCAACAAAACGCAATCTGATTGGTCAGAAGTGGACACACAGTATGCGAAACTTTAGAAAAATCGACCGTGATCCAAAAAAATAAATGCCGCAACATCGCAGGACGGAATAACGTCGCTGATGTGAACGCTTGTATTGACAGGATACGGGTTAAAAAAAAAACTGATGTCCGAAATAATCGCACAACAAAAACGGTCCCGGTGTGTAACGACCTTAACACTCGTCACAGTATATGGACTGTAACTGTCTACACAACGTGTAATCTACTAAAGTTACTCATCAGAGCACACAGACTCCCCACAGTAAGCTACACACATCAACACAGGCTACATACCTCATAACTTCCTGCCCATTAGGCTAACGTTACACAATGTGGCGAACACCAGGCTGCTAATAATACATTACATTCATAGCACCATTTTCAAGAAAACAATAAAGTACTCTGTCAGGTACATGAAACAGCAACACATCCTGCTCGTAATGAACCTTGTCTCCTCCCCCCCTAGAGCCCCTTCTGGTCACTCAAGGAACTGCAGCTTTTCTTCCATATTAGCTTTAACTCTCAGCGGTTGAGGTTGCTGTTTGGTTCAAACAGTTTACGTTGTTGAATTTTTGTAAAAACTTAAGATGGCTGCAGCGTACATGACATTTTAAAATTACTACCGCTTAAGTGGACAGTAGTCGGCATCAGATATGGATGGAAGGCGTCTAAATCATGTCAAATTTGAATATCTTATTCTGAATTGGATGCTGGAATTAGCTACCTAGCCTAGCGCAGCCATTGAGTCACAAGGTTTCTTTTTTTTTGTGCATGAGATCGACAGTTTCCAGCACTATTAGCCCATATAAAAAATAGTCATACTACCTCCCTAAATTAATTAAATCTTAAATACTCAAACTTGTACTCTCTTTTTTATAGACCCAGTACCAACACCAGTTTTTGCACCGAGTCAAAGGAGTGTCTGGAATATGAGCTAGTCTGCAAAACAGATGAATACGAGGTGAGTAATGACAAGTCTGACAGCAGGTTTATTCTCTGATCAAGTTTTTATCTCACCTGTGTATGTGTGTGTTTCTGCCTCAGGTGCGGCACTACAGCCCCACTCGCTGGGTGTCCACAGACGCAGAAGCTTATTTCATGGGCGTGGGAGCAGCCATGGCCTTCAGGAGACTCTTCCAGTACATCACCGGAGCCAATGAAGGAGGTAAGAACAGAAACATGTAGTCAAGTGTGGGTTTGCCGTTTGCATGTGTGTGCGTTATTCTGATTGTGCATGTGTGTGTGTGTGTGTGTGTGTGTGTGTTCTGTGCAGGTTTCCAGATGGAGATGACGGCCCCTGTCCTTGTTAAGATCCCGGAGGAGACCAAGATGTGGGAACCAGCTGTCTACACGCTCAACTTCCCTCTGCCATCAGCCTATCAGGAGAAGCCGCCCACACCCACCAATGACAAGGTGAGCTGAGCGGACAGGTGGTGAGGCAGGTGGGGGTGCAGGGTGACGGTAGATAGAACTTTCTGGAAGTTGGCGAGCTCGCCTTCGTCCTCGGCAGTCAGGAGGTCAAAACTGTCATCCTGCCGGAGTCGGAGTGTAATCTAATCGCTGCAGGATCAATAGAGGGCAGTGATGCTTGTGCAGTTTTCAGAGCAGCTTTCACCCTCTCAGCAGAAGAGAAAGAAACGGCGCCGGCTCATGTCGGTGTCAGCGCTGATGGTGACTCTGTGAAGAGAGCAAATGAACATGTTCTTCTCTTGTATTCATCAGGTTTTAGCCGTTTGTATGTCGTGTACAATATCAACACTTTACATACTCTCTCTCTGTCCTGCACAGCTGTATTTCACCGAGATGCCAGAGATGGACGTGTATGTGAGGAGTTACGGCGGCTGGATGCTGTCAGTCACCTCCAGGCTTCACGCCCACCTGCTGACCAAAGAGCTGGAGCGAGTTCGAGCTGCGTACAACCACAGCTTCCACTACGGGGTCGGCTATGACAGGTAACACACAGTCCACAGATCGTCGAACATTTTTGACTTTGACTGTCTGTGTTTATCCTGTCCTGTTCAACTTGATCATTTATCGTAAATATTTTACGGGAAAAATGTCAAACAGGACGGATTCTACAGCTGCTTCCCTCTCACACAGGTTTCAGGCATTAAAAAAAAAATACAAAATCCTTTTTTGTTAATTTTTTTTTCTTCTATCTGTTTTTCTGACTATTTTCTTTATTCTGTTTTATGAACTAATATATTTCCCCCTCTTTCTGTTTTTTTTAAAAATAAATTTCTATTCTGTTTTTTCTTTTCTTTACTTTTTTTTTTTTTGTCTTTCAATTTTTCAGACAATTTTTCATCTGTTTTTCAGGCAATTTTTTTTTCTTCTTCCTGTTTTTCTGACTATTATTTTAATTCTGTTTTTTGGACATTTTCTTCTTTTTTTTGTTCTTTTTTTCATCTTCCTGAATTTTGTACATTTTTTTTTGTTTTTTTTGTACAATTTTTTTCTTCTTTTTGTTTTTCTGACTGTTTTTTTGTACTTATATTTTTTCCCCTCTTTCTGTTTTTCGGACAAAATTTTTTCCTTTTTCGTCCCACAGAGTCAGAAAAACCGAACCGAGAAACAATTACTCTGAAAAACAGAAAAAAAATAGTCAAGGGAAGAAAACAGAAAAAAATTACTCTACAAAACAGAGCTTATTTTTTTCTTTGGAAATGCAGTACGCTTCTGTATGAATGTCAGTCTATGTCATAAACTTTAAAAAATCCTCTCAGGAGCTTTAAGGGACACATTTGCAACAACATAACAGCTTATTCTTAAAAGCAAAAAACACAAACTGCAATAACTTCACATAGGTTAATGTAAGGTATGAATATACGAATTCAAAAGTTTGGGCCCCAAAACAAAGCCTTGTGGGACTCCACATTTAATGCTCCTTTACCAGAAAGTTCGACTGATTGTCTGAAAACCTAGATGATGTAAATGCTGCATGGAAAGGTGAATATGGAATCGTCTCGCAGTGAGGCGACAGCGCTTACCCCACACGGACATGCATCTCTAAAGCTCCTGTGAGGAGTTTTTGAACATTTATGAAACAGGCTGATGTTCATGTTGATGTCTGATGAGGATTTACAAACTGTTATTTTGGTGTCACAGGTATAAACTCTCACCTTTGTCTGTTGTGTGTGTCTCATTTGTGTGTGTAGTCCCTTGAAGTTGTTGAACAGGCACAATGAGGTGTGGTACGTGGCCGAGGGCGAGCCAGTCTGCACAGATCCCCAAGAACCGACTCCTCCACACACACCCCGGCCCACACTCACCCACTCCCCCACAGACTCTGTCTCTGACCCTCTCCCACACACCCTCTCTGACTCCCCTTACCTCCCTCCCTCCAACCTCTCCTCCTCATCCAACTCCTCCTCTCAAACCCCCTCCGACACGCCCGCTCTCCCCACGTCTGACGCTCCTCCCAGCCTCTCATCCAACCTGTCCGCCGAGGCCGCGTTCAGCAACCCCCCCACCTCCGCCCACATCCTGCTGGACCTGACCACCAACTCCTCCGACCCGGCCTCTGTAAGTCCATCCCTGGAGCCTCAGTCTGACGCCAGCCTGTGGAACAGCACGGCCCACAGCTCTGTGGACACGCAGGCCGACAGTAACCCTGTGGTGGAGCCGGATAACACTCATTAGCATTAGCATCAGCTAAAGGCGAGTCTGAATCAAGCAGCTATTCCAGGTATACTCACATGGAAGCCAAATAGAAAAGCAGCGGTGTGGATGTGTGTGTGTGATAGAAAGGTAAAGCTGCTCTCTCTCTCCCTCCGTTTCTCTCTCTCTCTCTCCATGTATCACAGTAACTCTTCGTTCTATCACAGCTTTGCACCTGCAGCTTCCTGTAAGCAAACACATACCTGTCCTCCTGAAGTTATCGCACAGCTGCGTCAAAGCTACATGTACGTATTAGTTAGAGAGTAGAGGTCAAAGGTCATGTTAGGGCTGGAAATCACAAGTTTAATCCAAGTACAGTATTATATTTGTTAATAGTACATTTGTTGATCCATATGGATGTTGTGACTGCTACAGACAGAGATGAGGACTCAGATGAGAGATTATTTAAAGCCTCCGTCAGTAATTTTCAGCCCGTAACATCCTTAAAGCTCCTCTCTCTGTTTAGCTCCATGTTAGTTCATTTAATGATACTGTTTGTGGTGAATCATGATTAAAATCACAGTGTATATCCTCCGGGATCTCTGGTGCAGCTTTAAACCCCGACGTGCAGGATGGCTTTTTGAGGGAATCTAGTAATCGTCCAGTCAATTCAAAAGTGCCTGAGGAAACATTTGCTCCATTTGTTTTTGCAGAAATTATTGTCTCAATACTTAAAAACCAGCTTTAAGAAACTTATTCTGACACCAAGAAATAGACGTGACCAAAGGGAAATTTACAAAATATGGAAAAAAACTCAACAAATTTGTAGGAATTTTCCCCCCAAAATGTTTTGAGTCTTATTTCATTTTGCATGTCAAGGTGTCCATATGAGTTTTGGACCACTAGGGGCGCTGTGGTGCAGGCTGACACTGAGGAGATGCAATGGAGGCAAAAATCTCTAGTAAAAGCTTCAAATCAGGATGTATTAGGATGCTTCTTTGTGATAAATCCTCTCGCAGTTAGAAAGAAGGTCCCAACAATTTTCTGAAGTCCTCCAAGAACCCTGGTCCTCACTTAACAGACAGATGATCGGTTTGGCTGCAGATTTGTATGATTTCACAGAAAGGTCTGACTCTTTTAAAGGTGAGAGCGCCCCAGAGATCCCAAAGAGTCACACTGATGAACCAATGCAATACGAGTTACATCTGTTATTAAAAGACCTTCTCTGTCCTTGTGTATCTGAGCTACATGCTGTACGATGATCTGTGGAAGGTGCAATAAAGACCATAACAAACGACAGCTACCCTCTGTGTTTACTTCAGTGTTAGATTAATGCTTTTATTGTGGGTGTAGTTACACTTTCTGTCCACTGGGGGGTGAGATTGATGAGACTGAGGCATTACAGGGAAAGATCGTCGTCTTCGTTTTCTTCCGCTTCATCCGGGTCTGACGGGGGCAGCAGCTTCAGGAGGGAAGCCCAGACGGCCCTAACCCCGCCCACTTCCACCAGCTCTTCCGGGGGGATTCCCAGGTGCTCCCAGGCCAGGTGAGAGGTCACGAGGTCTCCTCCCGGTGGGACATGTCTGGAACACCTCTAACGGGAGGCGTCCAGACGGCGTCCTAACCAGATGCCCGAGCCACCTCAGCTGACTCCTCTCGACATGGAGGAGCAGCGGTTCTACTCTGAGCGCCTCCCGAGTGTCCGAGCTCCTTGCTCTATCTCTAAGGCTGAGCCCGGACACCCTGCGAAGGAAACCCATTTCAGCCGCTTGTATCCGCGATCTTGTTCTTCCGGTCATCACCCAAAGTTCATGGCCATAGGTGAGAGTCTTCACGTAGATCGACCGGTAAATTGAGAGTTTCGCCTTACGGCTCAGCTCTTTCTTCACCACAACTGATCGGTTAAGCGTCCGCATCACTGCTGACGCTGCTCTGATCCACCTGTCGATCTCCCGTTCCATCTTACCCTCACTCGTGAACAAGATCCAGAGATACTTGAACTCCTCCACTTGAGGCAGGACCAACCCTCCAACTTGGAGAAGGCAATCTACCTTTTTCCGACTTCAGGGAAAGATAATGAAGGAAAATACTCAAGGTGATTATGTATTGTGTATGACTGGATACTTACTTGAAGCACAGTTGAGACTCTGTGGGACGGTCAACTGAGTGATGGTTCTCAAGTGGGCACCATCCTTCTTGGGTGTTTCACCGATGGGCCCACGACACCTCCAGAGGGTCCAGCAGTGAATCCAGCATCCCAGGTTTACTCTCTAGATACCAACATTTCACTTGAAGGCCCAGGTTGGGTCCTTTTTCTTGATCCACAGCCCATGACTCCCCGTCTTTTAGCATCCTTGGAGAGGTCTTTGACTTCCTTCGCTCCCCCATCTCTCTGGGTAGCCTGGATGGTAAGGCGGCTACGAACAAACCCTCCGCAGCCTACTTCTGCACCGTACCTTCACTTACCAGCCTTGTTGTTGTGCATCAGCTCGATTGAGCGAGGATGACCACAGAGCAAGGTCCGGTCGCAGGTCGGTGGACACAATCTCAGCTAGGAGGCAGAGTTTCTCGTCCAAGTCTGCCAGGTTGACGGACATAAGTCTAAAAGTAGCCTCTGCTTCTTATCAGAATCTCCTTATTTGCTAATAAGACAATAGGAGCATTAATCAGAGTGGGGAAAAAAAAGACTTAAAGACAGTGAAATCTTGATGAGTGGAGTTTAATCCAGTTTGTAATTTCATACATGAATGCTGGTCTGAAAAACACCAATTTAACTGTGCACTCTACTGAAGTTAGAGATGGGGTTCAACAGCATTTTACTAAATCTGAAACCAGATCTGGTCAAGTCTGATTTCTTCCACAGAATCCTTTATTCAATCGAGCAGCTTGGATGGGAGATCCACGATTTAAAAAACACTAAATTCTAACTCCGCTTAAAGGTACAGCGTGTAGTATTTGGTGAAATTTAGCAGAGCAGACTTAGTAGAAGTTTGATACTATAATAGTATCTATAAGAATGTTTCTATGGTGGCACAAAATGGACAAACTTATAACATGTTTTTAAGTGTCTGAGTGAAATTCACTGATTGGAAGACAAAGAACAAGTGTTTGTTTGTTTTGATGGTAAAATCACGTGTTTCACAGGAGCTTCTCATCCTGGAGGGGCGAGCAAGGGAACGTTTCCAAATATTCCCATTTCTACACTCTGTACCTTTGATTATGTAAACTTCTGACATCCCGCTGTTTTGCAATTTCGCACTGATGCACCACGACAGCAGAAGACGCTTAAGTAAAGAAAACACAGGTGACCAAAGCGACTACACACTAGTGCTCTGCAAACATTAACCGACCTTGAACTGCAACTTTGAACACGACCTGAAGAAACGATGGTCTGAAACAAGTCACAGATTGACGGTGTTATGTCGGTATTAGGCTGGAAAAGGTCTTTTTCAAACGTGAGACCTGTGGTTCCTTTTCTGTGAAATCCAAATCTTCGAAGTTAAGGCTTTGCACCGTTTACAGTGAGTTAGTCACAACTGTGTGGGGTTGGCACGCGTTTGTGTGGGTCACCAGTTTTCTAAAGTTGTAATAAAAAAGATTCAATAAGGGATTCTGTATGGCGGTCCGGCTATTGAACCCACTCCCAATCGAGAGCGCAACAATCACCTAAATGTAAGACAAATGTATGTGACAGGTCATCCACCAAACATTAAAACTGCTGGGTGACGTTTCATCGGCGTCTGATGCTCATGCACACGCCCACTTTCGACCACATAGTTCCATCAAACCTTACAGTTTACTATGATTTCTTTAAAGAGCTTATACCACTTACAGTAAATAATCATTCATGCTGTGGTGATCATCTCTGAAAACCACCGACACGCTCACAGATTTCTGATGTTCCATCTGCGCTCTACGCCTCATGGTTATGGCTGCTTTTATTCGGAAAAAACAAATGTGCTTCAACCAACCAAGTGGCCATCGGGAGAATCCAACTTCGACGCCACAGAAGGTAAAAGTCCTACCACTCACTCCCACAGAAAACAGGATTTCCTCTGCTGCTAGGCCTCGAGTATAAAACTGGTTCAGGGCGGCCTTTAGTCCACAGACTCAGAGAGAGAGAGCAGACCGTTATCACGTCTCTAAATGTCGTTTTCTTCTAAAAGAAAAAAATCGCTTTTGAGTTTGTACTTCAAACAATGAAAGTATAAGTATTGAGACTTTTTAAAAGTAACTCTTCTTTGTGCGGTTAACCTTACGTTTTATAAAACCTTCGTCTTTCTCTGTTTGGGGAAAGGAAGCTGTGCTGTCGTCATTTTCATGCACATTAAAAGGGGGGTTGACTTTTTTTTATATTTTGTATTTCTAGTAAAATCCAAGAGCGACAGAGGTACGGTGTTTGTATGCACACATGGCTAACGGCTCGTCTGTGTTCATGTGAGACTTTAACAGATTTCACCACAATACTAGTGTTTTTCTAAATGATCTGTAACCGTAATGTTTTTCTCTCTACGTGAAAGATTTGCCGCCATCTTAGATCTGGTTACTTCCTCCTCCTGTATTTCATATCTGACTTACAGTTGTCACTTTAATTACAGTATAAAGTGTTTCCTTCAATAATCTCCTTCACTTGGTAACCACCGCCTTCTTGGTGATGCTTGCTCTCCTGCTTCCTCCTCCCCCGCCGCCTCCTCCTCCTTGCCAAAGATGGCCGGGGATGGTGAAGGCGTCCACGCTCATGCCCATGGTTTTAGAGGGAATGGCGCTGAACTGCTTCCTGTCTGAGCTGTATTTGTAGATCGACTCCACCTGGGTGGAGCTAACTGTCCGCGGGCCCACGCCGGCCAATCGTACGAGCTCCTGGGATTCAGAGTTCATGGTGTAAACGCCCCTGAACTGGCAGTTAGAGTCACGGAAGAGGATGAGGAAGTGGTTGGCCGGACTCTTCTCCATCTCCTAAAGGATGAAGAGTTAAAGTTTGTAATATTTAAAGTCAGTTAGCTTTAAAAGAGTCTCACAGTAACAATTATAGTCTACCTCAACGATCTTGGTTTTTTGGGTCTCGTTGACCTTCCCGGCGAGGCAGCAGCGGGACAGAGCGTTGTGAATGATGAATTTGTTCGACTTGAAACTCGGTTCTTTGAAAAGCTTTGGACCTGTAAATACAAACACAAGGATGTTTGCTCACGCTAACTCATCTGCACTTTACCTTTATTTAAAATGTCACAATGTTTTCTGTGTTTGCATGCCATGCTAATTCGATAAATCATTTCAATTCATAAGACAAAGAATAGCAGGAAGTCAGCCAAACTAGATCTACGCTCAATACAGTCTATGGTTTTCAGTTGTAAACGTGACCAGATCCCATCTCTGCTTCTGAAGAACTTGCAAACCCAGAATGAAGCGAATAAGATCACGAGATACTGTAGGATGTGAAACTGTACCTGTGTATTCAGGGGCAGGTGAGGTTCCGTTGGACCCAGTCTCCCAGTCTTTGTCCCCGTTCTGATTTGCCAGTCTGCTGGGCGTCACACATCCCAAGGGTGAGTCCGGACGGCTGTGGGACAAACATCCACCAATTAACCATCGTGGCATCATCTTCCATGTTTTACATACTTGACTGGAATACTCACTGGATCCTCACAGGTGGGGCAGTGACTAAAAACCTGCTTTAGTTTGACTTTTGGCACTAAACTTGGAAAGTTTAAAAAGTGAACTCTCAAAACAAACCAAGCCTAACATGCATGAGGGTGGACTTTTACTTTAACACCTACTTCTGTCCCTATCATAATCCAGATCTGCAAAATTTAAAGGCATAGATCTACGGATGTTAAATGGTAACAATGAGGGTTTCTGCACTTTGGTTTTTATTTAGGCAAATTTTAAAGGTATGGTGCTATGACATTTTCAGTAACCTAGGTGGTGCACAGGTCCAAATTTGATACGTTAACTATCTTCAAAATAATCTAAATGTGGAGATTACTGGGAGCTTTTTAGGCCGAGTCTCACGGTTCAGCTCATAAGATATTAAAATAGAAAAAGTGTCTCTAAAGTTACTCTTGTGGCTGAAGATGTACAAACTAGAAATAACAATATGGTTGATCGGTACATCAATTTACCTTTGGGGTTTCTTGGCGGGGTCCGCAGACTTATTTCCTGGCTCGTCTGTTGCTGCCAGGTTGAGTGAGGAGTGAGAGTAGACTTTGGTCAACTTGGCGCCTGGGGAATCCAATTCAAAGATGTCAAAGCAACTCTAATCACAGAGTAAATCCACAAACTCTCTGAATTGGTTAACATTTTTTCGTATTTACCAGATGTTCCTTTGGCGGGACTAAGCGACAGCTTTGTCTCCTCCCGGGTCATGCTCCGAGGTCTACAGCGGCTTTTCTTCGTGGAAGATCGCCCTTGGTTGGACGATTTCTGTTGAAGAACTTTGTCCAAGTCCTCCATGATCCTGAGTTGGTGCCTCCTTGCGTACTCCCCTCTTGTGAAATCTCCCCGACGGCCTGGTGTAGCAGGAGGTGTAGGTGAAGGGGATGTTGTGCCTGCAGGGGGTGTATTGGAAGGAGATGCCCCTCTTTTGTCTGAGGATAATGGCCTGAAACCAAGAGGAACTGGGTTACTTTTACACAGGTGGAGCCGAGCTTTGGACTAAATGTGAATGTTCAGACAAGATAGAAGTGTCAAATTACTGTGATAAACTGTGGTCGGCAATGAAGGATTTAGAAGGTAAGTCAAAAATCTGGAGCCAAAGTTTAAATTCCCATTATGGCCAAACTTTCGTCCGACACAAGACAAATACTTAAGTTACCGAGAGCCTCAAGAAAGCAGAGTTCATCTCACCTCCTTGACTTCATACTAAGAGCGACATTTTCTCCTGCTTTTACATAAATATTTTTCCGTGCACTTGCTGTCGTGTTATGACTGTATCATGAGGCTTCGGTATTATCATATCCCTAATTGTGCTTATAATATACCTTTCTTGTTCGTGCCACTGCCTCCTTCTTCTCAGCTCTTCAGCTCTTTTCTGCTGTTTCTCCAACAGGAGTGCTCTACGCTGGGCCATCTCCCCTTCACTATGTACATCCTCCTAGAACCATATTTTGACACATTAAAATACAGATAAAGATGAAGCTGTCATTCAGAACAAATATTCTTATCTTTCATTGTTGTGTACTTGCACTCACCTTAAAGAAGAACTGAATTCCTCCTTTCGGCCCCTGGTCATTCGGTTCTCCACTTGGTTCCACAGTCTCAGTCTGCCTTGTTTGCTCTTCCTCTGATTCAGCTTTTTGCTCTTGCAAATTGATGATTCCCATGGCTCGGTTCAGTTGCTCTAATGGGTCCAAAGGTTCAGCAGCCGGTCTTGCAGCTGGTTCTGCAGCTGATTCAGTGTGGTCACTCATGGAATCAGAGGAAAACTCGTGCCCTTCGTCAGTCGGTTCATCGCTGCCTCCCTCTTGGCCTCCAACAGAGGATGTTGAGACCTCAATCAGGCTGCAGCGATTTCCTGCGTCCCCACCCCTTGCACCGTCACCTCCTGCACTGTAGGCAGCAGAAAGCGACAAAGTATCGCTCTCAAACGAGCACTCAGAAAGTGCTTCAGAGCTGCTTCCACCTGCAGCCCGTGCACGATCTTGTCTTGGCTGTTGAAAGACCGGCAGCCCTCCTACAGCCTCCATGTCCTCCTGCTCCAGCTCCAGGCTGAACTGAGTCGGGGTCTCGCTTGAGGCTGTGTCTGACGTGCTATCATCAGGCTGTGGCTGTTGGATGGGCTGAGGAGCTTCTTGAGGAGTCCGTGGTCCACCGATACGGAAGGTAGAGGAAGTCTGAACCTGGCATTTGCTTGGGGACACCCGGCGTAAGTGAGGGATGGTGTCCACATTCTGGGTTGGTGTCAGGACACGGTTGAGTGGGGGGAACTTGAGTTCAGAGGGCCGAGGGTGAGGTTGATGCTGGGTACGTGTGTGGTGCTTGGGGCTGCGGGGGGTTGTGGAGGAGTGGATCTTAGTGCGGGGAGCAGGGCAAGAGGATGAGATGATTGAGGTTTTTGGGGAGGTAAGACCGTGGGAACGCCGTGATGGAGAGGAAGCAGAGGGGGCATTGGGACCAGCAGGGATCATCCAAGCCTTAGTGGCACTCCTTGTGGGAGTCTTTGTCGGGGTTCTTGGTGGTGTCTTGGTCGGGGTATGAGGAGGAGTTTTGCCATTTCCTTTTGGTGTTGATTTCTGAGTGGCTTTGGGTGTATTCCTAGGTCTTTGGTTGCTCATGAGCTGCTGTTGCTGCTCTGTTAGTTTTTGCATGTCCTTCTGTAGCGACTGTAGAGCTTCACTCAACTTCTGCACAACCTCGTTGTACTCAACCATGACTCCCTCACCCCCTTTCTCCTTCTCGGCTCCTTTCTTACTGTCAATTGAGAACGTGACCTGCTTCTCTAAGCGAGGAGGATTGGACACAGATGGCTTGTCTTTCTCCTTCTCTCCATCCTTTTCTTTGTCCTGCTTTTCCTTCGCTTCCTTCTCCTCCTCTTGTTTCAGCTGCTCTTCCATGCAAGTAAGACGCTCCTCTAGGGTGAGATTATCCTCCTCTGTTCCCTCACCTCCTCCCTCTCCTTGCTCTCGTTTTAGTTGAAGGAAAGCTGTTTTTCCCAGCCTCTGTCTGTGCTTAGCGAAAATGGCTTCGATACGTCGCTTTTGGGCTTCAATGCTTTTGCGTTTCTCCTCCAGACGTGCCCCCAACTCCCAGGCTTCAGAGCCCGGTTCAGGGCCTCGTGGACCTGGGCTGTCCTGGTGGCCTGGTGCCCCTGCTGGGGTGGAGGGTGTATGGGGAGTGCCTGGGGTTGTCGGGGTTGAAACAGAGTCCTCCCCTGGAGCAGCTGGATGTCTTCGTCTATTGTCTCGTCGCTCGGCAAAGCTCGTCATCCTTGGACTGTTGCCAGTGCTGTGGTTTCCTTGGCGATTGCTACTCGGTCTGATATTGCCGGGTGCGTTTCTCGGGGTATCATCTGATGCTTCAGAGGAGTCAACGCTTCCGTCTCGTAGGACAGAGTCATCGTCACGTGACATGTCAGAAGAGCGTCCTGATCGCTCCTTCTTCTCTCCCCTTCCTTGCCTTTTGGATTCAACCACTTCTCCTCCAACAGGACGATAGAGGAGCCCAGAGCGACATGGAGCAGAGCTACTGAGCTGGGGATTATCCTCTTCTGGGGAGTGTAGGAAGAAACCAGCAGGGGCTCCTTCTGGACGTAACCTGGGTTCTGGCCGTCCTCCGAGAAGCCCTCTTCCCCCTTTCTCTGGCTTCTTCACCTTTCTACGATCTTTGTTGCTTGGACTGTGAACCACCTGTAGTGCCTCCTCAATGGTTGGCAGCTCCCCAAGTGGTGCTGTGTGTGCGTAAGGACCCCAGGACGAACGCTGCGACGGTACCGAAGCACTGACCAGGTGGCTGAAGTCTTCAGGAGGGGAAGTCATTGCAGGGATGCCGGTGGTGAGGCTGTCAGAGCTGACAGAGCGAAAGACAGAATCTATTGGGTTTCCCATGACAATGTCAACATCACTGTCCAGTCCAAATGGGATGCTGAAAGCCACTGCTGACAGAGGACGACTGCAGAGAGGTCAATGAGGATGGTGGGGTGGATGAATGGACGGGTTGTGCCAAACACAAATGGTACAGCAGAGACCACAGAAGCCAAGGTAAGAAGGTTAAAATGAAGGTAAATATGAAAGCAACACAACATTTACTACAAATATCAGCTGAGGCGCTTTAGTACCTGATCTGTTTCTTTGTCCAACTTTTGTTTTCTGAAAAGACAAACGCAAAAGAGTCCGTTTTGGTTAAAATGTTGGTTACATTATGGAGCACATCAGATAAATTAACAATATTCTGGAACTTTGGAAAGAATTTGGTGCCTGACTTGTGGACTCAGGGTGGTGGGCGTACCATGTTTTGATGATGCTAAACTTTTTATTGATGCAAGAATTACATATTACGTTTTGCTCCACAATAACTTAAAACCTCGATTAAAAAGTCTCTTAACCTGACTTTAACAGCTTTAATATTTAACCTAGAGCATCCTGTGAAACTGGAACCATCAAAGTTGCACATGAATACTTTCTTACCTGGTGACACTGGGGAGGAGATTGGCACGAAGGGTTGTTTAAAGATGAAGGAAGGAGATCCACTGAAACATGAAATATAAAAGAGTTTTCTTAAAGCCAATCCAAGTCATAAACTTACACTAAAATGTGACGTTATTCCAAACTCCATCAAATTGGTAGATGCTCAAAATCTTTAAAAGACCTTTTATATCCTTGTACTATATTTTATGAGGTTTATTCAGTTTTCAAATCAGGGACTTTGTCCGATAAATGCTGCTGTAGTTTGGATTCTGATCTCTCATGGGATGCTAGTACCTGTTACTGTTCCCGTTCATAGGACTTGTGCAGTCGAGTAATCCCGAGACATCTGAAAGTAAGAGGAACATCTGTAAGACATTTACTCATCAGACGACCAATTTAAGTGCTCACTATAAAGGTTCTGGATGTCACAAACCTGTGAGATCAACGGGCTGTATGGGTTTGACGAAATCAGGCTTCTTGACCTCAAACCACTCCAGCAGCTCAGCTATGAAGCTCATGATGTTCAACTGAAGAAAAGAAAAGGAATTTAGGGTTACTGTGGAGGTGACTCACAAGTGATGAGATCAGAAGGGGCAGAATAAGGACAAAGTCTCTGTGACGTTGATTCAACAAGACAACAAAAAGAAGCATTTTTAAAGTTAAACTGAGCAGAAGGGCGATTGCCAACACCTGATAACTCCTCCTATTTACCCTTTTACAAACTAATGCAGAATCTGTTGAGTAGTTTCACTTTCAGTTTGTCGTTTAAGTAGCTCTGACCGGACAGCTTTGAGCAGGAAAACACATTAGGCTAAGTGCAATCCCATAACCTATCCCCCATCAGTGGACAGCATTGAGGCTATACGTGTGTATTTATGAGTGCACTAAACAGTATAGGCAATGATGGCACCTTTAACTTCTACACCATGAAGTAGGGCTGCACGATTTAATGGTGATTTAAGAGTTTTCTCTAGAAACTCGATTTTTGATTTCAATTTTTTATTCAGTGAACTTCAACAAACTTTATTTTAATAAAAAGTTTTTCTATCATCTCGAAATGGAACCACTGAAAACAATGTAGTGCACATGCCAAGTCAGTGAGTGGCGCTGTAACGCTGCACAGGAAATGCACAAAAGACAGAAGAAGAGTAAGACATGCGTATAAAGGTTGTTTTGGCGCCATAAAAGAGTTACGCTGTGTGTCACATGATCATTTCCAGAGATGTAGATAGGCATCCACACAGATTTATGCACTCTCTGACCTCTTTTCAAAAAGTAGCGTTTACAGTCACCTGAAACGCTGTTTCTGTGTAGATGAAACGCTGATATGACAAAATCTTTTGCATTTACTCCTGAATTAATTTCCATGTGGACGGGTTGATACCGCCCTCAGACAGATTTTGCAGCAAGGAGTGGTTTGCTCTTCATCTGAAACTGCGAAGCCGTACCATTTCCCCACAACTGACTTGCTCTTGTTCTATTTAACCTTGAAATTATTGCCTTCTTTTGCAAACGCCATGTTTGTTTACACTGGTGAGTGTGGGAACTGGAGAGTGCTTCCCCAGGCAGGGGGAGCCTAGCCTACGGTGATAGAGAGGAAAGAGATTTGAGGATTTTTATTTTTTTAACATCGTCATAATCAAATAATCCGATTAAGATTTAAAATCGATTAATCATGCAGCCCTACCCTGAAGTGTCTGGTGGGATTGTAAATGATCACAAGTTTTTAGAAGAAGAGGTCCGAGCCTGAGGATCTGTTATGGGTAACCTGGTCACTCTAAAAGCTCTAAACCCTTTATAAACTTGATCCCACACCTCTCAAGCTGCTCGTTTTTAATGCACCGATGCATCTTCATCAGTAAATCCAAACGCTTACATGCAAAACAGGCGGAGCGTAGAGCAGGTCCTCCACAGCCAGGGGGCAGCAGCTCTGTAAACTGCTCTCACAAAACTCTTTGATCAGCTGTAAGTTGTAGAGACTGTCGGCCACTGACATGGTGTCCTTCAGGCACACATCTGTCAGGAGCAGGAGAGTAATATAGAAATGTTTCAGTTTGTGATGTTATTAGACAAATGTATGAGGAAAAGTTATGAATGTTTTATTGAAAGGTTAACAAAAGGCTCTGCTCCAAAGTCTGTGTGTATTGTTAAGAGATAATGGGAGCGGCCCATGCCATCGGGTAATTGAGCATCCCTCTGCCATCAGGGATACTTACTGATGTGTCCACTGTTTCCAAAAGGAATGACAAATTTGGATTCATCAGCTTTCCACTCAACCTCGGTCCATTTTAAAAAAGCCTTGGCCCCAGGAAACTTCTGCCATCCCTGAATCATGGTCATATGGTTTTCTACCTATTTTGTACAATGTTGACCTGAACTCCAATAAGAGTCCAGATATAAAAATACAATCATTGTATTCTCTCCTAGTGAGCAGAACATCTATCAAGGAGACCGCTTCATAATGACAGGACCATCTTTGCAGGCAAACATCAGCCAGGTATAAATCTTTTATCATCATATATGTACGAGCGTGCACGTGTGTTAATGTCTGAGTGCGTGCGTGTGTGTGTGTGTACCCTCTAGAGGCAGCAGGCTGGGGCAGTAGAAATGCAGCACAGCAGCTATAGCGCAGCCATTAGACAAATCTTTGACCGCAGAAACCAGAGGGAAAGTAGGCGTCAGCTTGGACTGCACTTTGTCCTTCCTATAGCGAATCTGCAGAAGAAAAGAAAAGAGAGGAAGAAGAAGAGCGATGAGAGAGAGGAGGGAATAAAAAGGAAGAGATGTGTGCAAAGATGAGCAGAAATTAGAGAGGGCAAATGAGGATTATAAAGCCGATTTAAAAACTTATGGTTATAAAATAGAGATTATTTTTCACAGGGTTAAAATGATGTTTTAAAAAAAGTTCTTCTTTCAGACAAAAACTAAAACCATCGACTCAAACTACGATGCCAGCCAAACTAGAGAAATTAGAGGGAAGAAAACAGAATCAAAGCAAGACCAGCAATGCCTAAAATAAGAAACATTTGCACACACACTCACACACCAACCAAAAGGTGCAATGCAAAGGTTTTGGAAAGACATTGCAAAATTAAAACATCGTAATTATAAAATGAAAGAGAAAAAAAAAATATGTTCTCCTGTGGTGTCCATGCAGCAGAAACTGGTGATACTGTGGACTCTTGACAACCCTGATCCAGCAAGTGGGAGTCTGAGTAAAATGTAAAAACCAGAATGAGGCGGCTTCCAAATCTTATAAACCCTGGATTTAATTGGAAATGGTGCAAAGACAACAGAGACGACATGCAGGAACTTTATATCTGTTTTACTAAAACATTGATATGTTTCTGATAAATCTGTGTTTGTTCAGCATTCCCAGATGGATAATCCATGCCATGAGCACTGATAATAAACCGTGACAGTCTCATCCATGATTTCCAAACAGAATCTCACATTTTCATTTGACAGATTACATATTTATTTGGTTATATCTCTGTGTGGGGTGGTTTTAACCTGCATTTGTGGACACAGTGACAAACTGGGGTCAAAGATGATGAGTTTAGGAGGGAATTTTGAGCGCATGCGGTGATTTCTACTCCAGAGTCATGTCTGCTGCCTGAAAGTCCTCTAGCACCAGTATTTTAGCCTTTCTTCAGATTCTCTGAATCTTTATGTGTTACTGTTAATAATGAAATCCTCAACCTCATTAATGCCGCGGAACATTCATCTAATATTGCGCAACTCAAAGCTTTATACTCAGTCGTTAAATCCAGTAAAATAAATAAATAATCAATCTTTTTTCTGATGCTTTTGTTTACTTTTAGATATTATGAACAGACACCGATATAAATTACACTCTATTTCACAAACATGAAAAATCTCTTTGACTAGCTTGCATTTACTCTTCCTTGGGTCTTTTTGGCATTACCATATTTTTCGTGATTATACAGCAAACTGCAAATTCACGTGTCTACTTTCACACATAAGGTGCACCGGATTGTAAGGCGCATTAAGCATTGGTGCATTGATTGGTTTATGGTTGCTAGCGCATACTCCGGGCCGCAATATTTTTTTTCGTAGGATGGTAGGTGAAAGTCCTGCCTCCTTTGCCTCTGATTGGCGAGAAGTGCTGGGTTCCGATTGGGTATTCCTTATAGCTGTGAAACATCATCTTCTGTCGAGTTAGGGTTAGGAGATTCAGAATTGTGAAAATGTTCTGTAATGTTCTGTTCGATGTACAGAGCCGACAGCCCGCACTCGGCTTAAGCGTGTGATGATGTTTCCAGCTTTTCTAGCCAATCAGAGGCAAAGGAGGCGGGACCTTCCCCTACTATCCTATGAAAAAAAATATTGTTTCCGGGCCCGGGCTGCCTCACATGAATGCACTCCTAGTTTAGACATTACAGTCAGCGTACAGTAATGCTCCAAACATTCACTGAACGGAGCAGCTTCATTGCTAACCAAAGTCGTATTTACACGTTTCGACAGATTTTTGAGCACATTGTACCACACTAAATCAGCTAGTGAACACGACAAGTAATCATACATATGGTGCGCTGGATTATAAGGCACACTGTCAATTTTTGAGAAAATTTAAGGATTTTAAATGCACCTCACAGTCCGAAAAATACGGTATGTAGATTTTTGGATCAAACATAGTTTTTCCTTTTGCACAACTTTTATGTAAATAAAGGGTTGAAATGATTTTGGAAATCATCACTTATGTTTTAAATGAACACTGAACTCAGCATCCCAACTTTCTAGGATCGGGTTGTACCCTGATCAGGAAAACGAACATTATCAGATATGAAGAGGTGACTTTTTATTTTATTGTATTTTTTGTTCATGTGCCCAAAAGCATAAATCAAAATAATCTGTGCATCAAGTGTAACTTATGCTGAATGATGTGACACAGCCTTGTTGGAGGAGGACAGAGATAGAGGTTAGGTTCACTCCTGTAACATGGCTCTGTAACATTCACCTTCAAGAAAAGCAGGAAAACGTAAATAAATGGATAAATACTGTCAGAGCTAATGAGGTTTTATTGATCCATCCAACCTCGGGGTTGGAATAGTGATTAGTTTGCAGTCTGTCATTCAGTCATTGACAGTCGAGTGTGGGAGAGGTGTGGCGATTGGTCGGTCAGTCTGTCTGTCAGTCAAGTGCGTTGCTACGGGAGACGTGGAGGATGAGGGTGAGAAAAGAGCGAGGTGTAATACGTTACCACAGGCGGCTTATTCCCCGACTCCTTCAAACAAAAAGCGATAGCATGCTGGATGGGGGGATGGCAAGAGAGAGGGAAACAAGCATAAATGACAAGGGGGCCGGTCATCATGGGAACCGCCACACCACACAGTCACTGCTCAGGGAGAGGAGAGCGACGGGGGAGGAGGAGGAGGAGGCTGGGAGGAAGGGGGCAAACAAAAGGGGGCAGGAGGTTGTTTTGGAAATGAGCGGGGAGGTCATCTCCCTCTCCAGCTTCTCCTTCTCCCCCTCAGCTCTGATAAACCTGGGCAGTTTGAGATGAAACTGATGACCCAGTGTAACCAAATCCTAAACATCATCAGCTGATCATAATCATCAGTTTACTGGCTTCTCATTGGTCAGTAGAAAAGGTCAACTGCTAAACAACCATCATACACAGAAGCACTTTCCATAACAGGACTGATTAGAGTTATAGGTAGCATTTCCAGAGAGCACATAAAAGTCAGCCAAACACAGCAGATAGACAGACTCACAGAGGCAAAGAGCAGAAGAGTCACTTACTGGGACTAGTTTCCAGTACCAGCGGGTGGACTGACACTGCCAGAGAGCAGGGCGTGACAGGGACAAACCAGGGAGGGGCGGAGAAAACAGAAGCAGAGCGAGGGCGCTGTTAGAAGCTGACAGACCGCTGCGTTATTAGTAAAAACATCATGCATGTGTGTGTGTGTGTGTGTGTGTGTGTGTGTGTGTGTGTGTGTGTGTGTGTGTGTTAGAGTGTGTATTGAGGTACCGAGTCCTGAGCAGGCTGCAGGTCTGTACACGTCTGGGACCTGGGGGGCTCTTCTTCTTCGGTGCTTTCTCTCAACTTCTGGTTCAGCTACGAAAGAAATATTTTATTTAGTTTATCTAAGTCTCAGTTAAAGTCACAAGTTCTGGTGATTTATGAAAACATATATCATGAGGGACGCTGGCTTTTAAAATCTAACCCTAGTAAAATCAATAAAATAAAGTCCAGGGGCCTCATACGTACACACAGTTAATAAATGAGGCCCCTGGTGAAGGCGGTGAGAGCGAAATCTCACCCTGTTGACCCAGAAGAGCAGAGCGTTCTCCCACGGAGCTCCGACACCCATCTGCTCCGCTTCCGCCGCCATCTTCACCTGGCCCACCGTCTCTTTAGCAGCCACAGTCATGAGGGCCTCGATCAGGGCCAGGTGGGCTTTCTGCACCGATCACAGGAGGGGAGATGAAATCAGAATCAGAGTATAAAGAATGGAGCATAAATAAGTCCTGTCCCTGGACTCACCGTCTTAATGGGGACGTGGCTGAGGTCCTCCTCTGTGACGTCTGTGTCCTGAACTTTCGCAGTGACACCTTTCTTTATGAGGAACTGCAGCAGGGCCGAGTTGTCTGCAGGGGACCCCTGTGATGCAGGCGGGGAGGTGGCATGAGCCTGGGTCAGCAGGGCCTGGACTCTGCAGTAGATCTCGGGGGACAGAAGCAGCTTGGAGACGGATGGCTTAAGGTGCTCTTGTTCATACTGGTCCTTGTAAAGCGGCTCTCGCAACTCCACGGGAACATTTTCTGAGAATACAAAGAGAGAAGTCTGGTTTAGATTTGAAGTGAATCAACATTTATACTGTTCTGGGGTTGGAAATGCAACAGTAAAGAATTTCATGGTTCCAAGAGGAGAAAATCGATTTTTTAACTTTAATATTTCTGGATTCAAAACTCGGTAAACATTTACATCCTCTGATTTCCTCTGCGTGTAAAAGATTTAGATTCTTTGATAAAATTAATGAACTCTATGATTTCCTGATTGATTCACCCTACATCCAGATGAGGCATTCATGGTTCCCAGAGGATAAATCTAAACCACTAAAACTTTATGAATTTTTTCGTACTAAAATAACAGGCGTGCATGCATGACATCCAGAGGATGCACATTAATAAGACGAACTTAACCTAACTGACATCTTTTACTCTATTGGGGTAAAGAAAAATGTATTTAAATATCTAATTTTTCATTATTTTACCAGCTGATTTGCATAAAATCAGGATTTGATATTCGTGGTTCCCTGAGGATGAATCTTGAAAAAGCATTTTTTTTTTCAATTCTCCTTAAACACAGTTGACTGTTTTCCAAACCACTAAAACTTTGAAAAGATGATGTTTTGGGACTAAAATATCTGGTGTGCACGCATGACATCAGGAAGTTTAACACCTAATTGACGCCTTTTACTTTAGTGGAGTAAAAGTTTTTTATTCAACTGTCAAATAACTCATTAAAATCAGGATTTGGCATTCATGGTTTCCAGAGGATGGATCTTTGAGACTTTGGTGACCTTTGATTTCTTCTCTGGATCAGGTCACCAATCTAGATATAACAAAAACACCCCGATACCTCGAGGTTTTGGATTATCAGACATACATATGGAGCCCTACAGATAAACCTAAAGCAGCGGTACCCTCTGATTTATCTCCCACTGACACCTTAAAGTCAAAGCTTTCACGTATTTTGTTAAATAAATTACTGCAGGTTGTTAACACTGCACTTGTACAACTATTGACATTTCCATCTGCTTCAGCTTTATGTTGTGTTTAGTGCAACCTGGAGAGTGTTTATGTGCTTCACCAGTTTATTAGACGAGCTAAAGATTACACCTGTTTATCATCACATACAAGTATTATAGATATGGTTCCTATTAGGCTCAAAGGACTGCTGTGCAGACTCACAGGGCTCAGAGAGGGGAAGGAAACAGCCATGCTAATGAACTCAGAAGAGCTTAGGATGAATATTTCAGTGCATGAAAGAGTCCACTCCATCATTATCTAGAGGGAGAGATCATTAGCCGGCGGTGCTGCTCAGTCTGCAGCATGTAAGGAGAGTAAACCGTGAAGTTGATGCTGCAGGAGGGGGATGTTTGTGGCCTCCATGCAGGTATAGGAGGAGGGGTAAATGAGTCAGCCTTCCTGCTCTGTTCTCCGGAAAACAGAGGGATGCTTACTAATGCAGAGGATGGCTTTGTCGCGTTGTAAACATTACAGAGGTCACACAAACTGCAGCTCTGCTTTAATATCCGTGGAGGAGGAGTAAACTAAATAACCACTGAATCAAAGTGAACTCTGGAAACGAGGTGACAGTAAGTGACAGTGTCTGACTTTACAGAGCCTGCAGGAGGAGATAATGCCATCATGTGCATGAACAGCTCAGCCGAGGTCCCCCAGACAAGTGAGTGTGTGTACTTCCATGTTAAGACCAGTACGAGTGGGTCACGTCATAGACATACACGCACCGCGGACACAAAAACCTACACTTCCCTGACTGACCCATATTCCGGCTCTGGAAGGCTGCAGGAGGAGTTGGGATAATCCCGCAGATTGGATCAGACTTCTAGGAGGGAATATCAGCGGTTACATCGCTTCAATTTACTACAAAAGTCAGTCCTCCTCCCCTCTTAGCTTTTGCCTGTTCGCTTCTCCTCCTGCGTCCGTCTGTGCGCATCTCACTGTGACTCCTAATGAGAGCTACAACTGCTCCTCTTTGTCTGTAACCTACTGGAGTAAGGCCCGCTTATGTAACTGTCACTCCTTCCACCCATCCCCTCGTCGTCGAGAGGAGAGAAATTAAAACACAACAACAAGGAATTCAAGAGAAAATGAATCTGCGTCAGCGCTAAAACACAACTGCAGCGAAACACACTCGCTGTTCAGGGGGGTTAAACCCTCGCCTTTCACACTCTGCAGCTCCGGGGAGGAAATAGGACTGCTGTCGCTATGGGGATGGAGGAACTGGAAAGCGGCCATTCTGTCTCAATCATGGCAGAGACGATGAGACTGGACTGCAGAGCAGGAACCAGCTAACCCATTTAAATTAGCACTGATTCATTTCCAGGAGGAGGGAGTGACGCAGAAAAAACGTGGCTGTGCAGGAAAGAGGAACCATGCACGAAGAAGTCATTTAAATTTTACCTCCATAACAAGTTCGGAGCAAACAGCTTTTGTCAAACTCGACTAATTGATTCTTTTTGTCTGAAAAAATGATAATTATGATTTCCCAGAGCTGAAACCAGAGTCTTTAAATTCCTTTTCTTTACAAAAGACTGGAGTTTACGCTCAAATACAGCAAAAAAAAGCAGCAAAATCTCACAGTTTGACCTGAAAGGCCACCGTACTTGGTTTGGGAACTTAAATAAAAGAGTAAACCTAATTTTTACAGCACTTTTACAGTTTTACAAAATAACATTTGTTCTTAAACTTTAAAGATGATAAAGTGATTGATGAACGTCTTAATCCACACTTGGATCCTACCTACAGAGTTTCCACTCTTACATGAGCTTGTATTTAAAGTGTTTTTGTTCGACTTTTACCAGTTTTTATCTCTGGTTTTGGTCTCCACCAGCAAATCGGGACAATATCTGTCTTTTTAGCTCCTTTATGGTCGATTTTATGGGAAAACAGCTGCCTACTGTGGTTGAATAAATTAGAGAGTTAACAATAATGATGCCTTCATTAATATGGATCGCTACAACGGAGAGACACAGGAGTTAGTTTAGCTTTTTGAGATATTATTATTATAATTATTATAGGAATAGTTTTGGCATAAGCAGCTGTGAACTTAAGTGTTGTTTTTTATCTGTGATTTGGGTCAATCATCCTCAAAAGTCGACAGATATATAGAAGTAAAAACTTGAGGGATAGCAAACGTCTCTAATCCCAGTCAGGTAATTCCTGGTTTAATTAAAGTGTGGAGCTAAAGTAAGTTATGAAGTATTATCCTCACAAAATCCTTCTCCACTCCACGGAGTAAAAGCCGATTATTTTTCCACAAAAAGACACAGCCTTCATTAATATTCCCTCTTCCACATATATACTTTTTTTGGAGGAGTCATCCTCAGACCCTGTCGGGAAAAATCCATCTCAGCTGATTCATAAATATGTGTGTGTGTGTGTGTGTGTGTGTGTGTGTGTGTGTGTGTGCGTGTGTGTGTGTGTTTTGGACCCCATGTGGGGTTTTTATTAGTGCTATTTTCTTCTGGGCTTCCATTAAATATCAATGAGGCACCCACTGGGCATTTTCCAGTTGACAGACAACAATGGAGCGTCCTGCTGGGAGGTTTTCAGCTCATCTCTCCTCCTGCTCCGCTGAGAGGCAGACCGGACACCAGCATGACACGAAATTCAGTCTGAAGCTCAGAAACACGGATTATTACACAAAGAAGTGATATGAGAGTTTACTACAGCAGCATTATTAGCCTGCAGAGTGACATCACTGTTAGTCAGCGGACAAGGTCATCGAGTGGATCATCGAGACTCGGCACTGAAACAATAAAGTGATTAAAGACGGTCTGTCACTGACTTTTGATTTTTAATCATTCAGTTTCATTTATTATCAAAAATATTTGGAAATGTTGCTGATTGCACTTTGAATATGGCGGTTTTATTATTTTTAAGGTGTTTCTCACATCTAAAGGCTGCATGATTTTGGCCTTAAACTAAATCCAGATTTTTTTTTTCTGACACTCAATTTTTTTATTCAGTGACAACTTCACCAAACTTCACTGTAAAAATAAAAAGTTTTTCTATCATCTCTCAAAACAAAACCACTGAAAATGATGTAGTGCGTATGCCAAGGCAGTAAGTGACGCTGTAACGCTGTAACCTATTTTTCAAAAAGTAACATTTACAGTCGACCAGCTGTTTCCGTGTGGATGAAACGCCGATATGACAAAAAACTTTTGTGTTTACTCCTGAATTTGTTTCCATGTGAACAGGTTGATACCACCTTCAGACAGACTTTGCAGCGGGGAGTGGTTTGCTCTTTGTCTGAAACTGTAAAGCCGTACCAATTCCACACGACTGACTTGCTCTCGTCCTGTTTAGCCACGAAATTATCGCCTTCTTTTGCAAACGCCATGTTTCTTTACACTGGTGTGTGTGGGAACTGGGGAGCGCTCCCACAGGAAGGGGGAGTCTACGGTGGCCTGGAGGCACGAGACATGACAGAGAGGAAAATCCATTTGAGGATTTTAATTTTTATCATCATCATAATCAAGTAATCTGATTATGATTTAAAAATCGATTTATTGTGCAGCCCTACTTCCTCTTAATTAAATAACTCTCTGTTAATCATTTAACATCATATTCTGGTTTCTAGGCCTCATTTCTAATTTTAATAGGACTACGGCAGAAAATAACAACACTCACAATAACACAAAAAGACTGCACACTCATGTCTGCTCCTCGCTCCCGCAGGAAGGAGGAGCCTACGGTGGCCTGGAGGCGCGAGACATGATAGAGAGGAAAACCGATTTGACGATTTTCATTCTTTTAAATTTATGATTGATTAATCGTGTAGCCCTAGCAGGGTCAGGTATCTTTCCCAACAGCAGGGCCTCTATTAACATCTCAACCTGGCAGTAGCTCACGCAGTAAAGCGGTTGCCCAATAACTGAAAAGCCGGCGGTTTGTTTCCACACTATCCTGAATCTGTCCGTTGAGTCCTTGGGCAAGACACTTAAACACACCTTGCTCCCAGTGTGTGTCCTCCACTGAGTGAGTGTTGTGTGGTGGTCAGAGAGACCATAGGTGCAAACTGGCAGCCATGTTTTCATCAGTCTCCTTCAGGGCAGCTGTGACTACTACAGTAGTTTACCACCACCAAGGTGTGACTGTGTGAGCAAATGAATGATGTATCCAATATAAAACACTTTAAGGGTCTCTGATAAAGCGCTACATGAAATCTGATGCATAATTATTATTAACCCTCTAATTTGAGGGACAACCGCTTCAACCACTGAGCCGCAGCTCTGTTGGATACCTCATTGTGATTGGTCAAAGCTTCATAATAAAGACAATAAGAAGTGGGGTAAAAGTTGGGATGTGAAACATGCAAGGAGATGAGTTAAAGAGACATCAACCAAATTGAAGAAAACAGAGACACGCATGTTTCAACTTCACTGTGACCAAAAACGATCAACTCAATAAGAATGAAGATTTCACATAGTGTTTGTGTTAGGAGAATTTTCTTTAGCCAATCCCATCAGCCTTTAGAGTGGTGGAGCCATGCAACTGGATGTGTTGGTGTTAGATTGCTGGAGCCGGGGGCCTCCGACAACCTTCCTCAACCAAAAAACCTTGTACACATTTTTGACATCACTCAGGTCCCCAAAATATGTTCTGTCATGATATTTCCCTCTATGGACTCTCCATATGTTCATCTAAGGCTCCTTAAAATATGTTGTCCTTTGTTCTTACCGTACATGGACTTTTCTTAGGGTCAACTAAACGTCAGCAGAATGTTTGGAAATGTGGACAGCAATAGGCAGTTAGGCATCCTTACACTTTGTAAACTGGAGGAAACAGTCATTCAGCTCTTCACTATGATGTGATCCAACACAACACTATTAGAGACTTTTATATGAACATGACATTAAAACTGTGACTCAGCCCGAGGAGAGCTCTGTTAATGTCAGCAGGACAACAATAGATAACAACCATCTGAAGAGTGTATCTCCTTCCCCTGCTTACATAAGAGCACGTGCTGTTTGTCCACGCTGACTGTACCTGTGCTGTTTTAATCAAACTGTAAAATCCCTCTTCACTCACTACATTCATCCTGCAGCAGAACCTCCTCCATTGTCTCCAAGCCCACTATGTCACCTTCACTGGAGTGCCACGCGCTATAGCAGAACGTGCGTGCGTAACACTGACACAAATATTATGCGGCCCTGACCCATATACAGGCAGCCCACTCATGAGCATGCAGCTGTTTCTCTAAACTCCAGATTATGAGGACTCGTGGTTCTCCTAAGACTATTTGATGATGAAGATGATGGAGGCGCTCAGGCCTGGAGGAGTCCAGCTCTGACAAAAGGCTTTGTTGCTGCAGCGATGACAGCCTCCAGCTCCTCCACGCATCACGCAGCACCGAGGAGATCCCTCTCGACTAGACTCATATGCATGACGGTAATTGGCTGCAAACGCTCCTCATTAATAACATGGTAACCCACATAAAGCTGCACAGCCCCGCATGCAGGGAGGAGCAGATGGAGCAGCGGAGAGGAGGCAGATGAGGATGGATGATCTGCAGGAGGATGCTGGAGGCTCCCCCCTGGACATCCAAATCAATCCAACAGCTTCATATAGACTATACCATCATCAATTATTACGCGCCCCACCCAAGCAGCCTCTCGGAGATGCGAGATGCGTGGAGAAAAAAGCGCGTATACCTGCAGATCCGTACGATTTGGACAGCAGCCACCGCACGCTGGCGCAGATCTTGGCCCGGTTGAAGTCGTACTGGTCCAGCGGTTTGATCTCCGGCACCGAGAAGGTCTTCTTCATCGCGCCCGGAGAGTCCACCATGGCCGCGGCGCGCCGCACGGAGAGCCCGCAGACAGCAGCAGCAGCAGCGCCGGGAAAATGTGAGGAGGAGGGATGGAGGAGGAAGAGGAGAGACTGAGGAGGAGGAGGAGGGAGGGTCCTGTGATGCAGACTGGAGCAGAAGAATAACATCCAGTTCTTAAAATTGACACAGAAAGCGTGAAAATAGAAATAACTAACCTTGATTTAGATTATATTTAAATAAAAAGCACAAACAGGAGAGGAGAGGAGCTCACATTAGGGTGTCAGTCCGGCTCCACGCCCCCGTGAGCGTCACATGTCGACCAATGGGGGTGTGACAGAAAAACGCTTACCTAATGTTTCAGCATTTCCTCACCCGTGGAAACAGAGACTGAAAAAAACATTAAATAAATGTCACAGGGAGTGAAATCGTCACTTTTGTGTGTCTCTCTGAAGGGTCTGGAAACAGCAGCGTTAGGAACAGTGTCTGATTCTGCCACATGGAGGAACCACTGAGCAAGGCACCAACTCCACTCCCTCCATCCATCCTGATGGTTTAGTGCAAAATGCAGAACATGAAAAAACTAAAACACCGTGAAATTGCTTGAAAAATACTGTAGAAAATATACATATATACATAAAGCACGCAGCAGTATTTTTCTACAGGATCTACACATGTGGACAAAATTGTTGGTACCCCTCGGTCAATGAAAGAAAAACCCACAATGGTCACAGAAATAACTTGAATCTAACAAAAGCAGTAAGAAATAAAAATTCTATGAAAAGGAAAAAATGAAATTCGGCATTAATTTGGAACCGTAGTTTAACAGAATTATTTAAAAAAATAAACTCAGCAAACAGGTCTGGACAAAAATGATGGTGCAGAAGTCTCATTGACAGTGACAGGAATCTTTCGATCGCAGTGATTGTCTCAAAAGGTCGTGCGACAAAATATTAAGTTAAGGGTACCATCATTTTTGTCCAGACCTGTTTCATGATTTTATTTTTTTTAGTAGTCTGTTGAAGCATGGTTAAAAAGCCATGTCCGACTTTCACTGGTTAATTTTCATAGAATATTTATTAATTATTACTTTTGTAAGATTCAAGTTATTTCTGTGACCATCGTGGGTTTTTCTCTCATTGACCGAAGGTACCAACAATTTTGTCCACGTGTGTATGTGAGGGGGATTTCACATCTTTGCACAGGGCATAGGGTTCCTGTCATTGCCCCTGCAGACCGGCGCACAATCACAGTTCTCAAACTTCTTAAACCAAATATGCATTTTTAAAATACACACAAGCACATATTGTGAAATCTAGTTTGTGTTTGCATGGTCTGTAAGAATCCGACACCAAAACCTCAGAAATAAAAAATAACCAGACGCTCTCATGAAAGATCTCCCTCATGTAAAAGTCAAAGTGCAGCGAACAAACCAAGTTTTTTTAGACATTACAAAGAGAAAAACAATTCTAAAACCACAACAGATCACTTCAAATCAATTTCTTCAAGTTTTGGGGGTTTGAGACAAACAGGGAACAACAAACAAGCTGAACTTCTCATGTCAGCAAGAACACCAGCTGAAGACCGCAGAGGTTTGTCTCAGCATAACATCAGTGTCAGGTGTGGAACATGTTGCGCTGAATCATCTCTTCTGATAAACTTGAGGTTGAGGTGCGAACAGCTCAGATGTAATCAGGAAACAAAAAACAAAAAGTTAAACAATGTCGGCTGACTTCCTTGGCTGCTTCAGTTTTAGAGGCCTGGTGTTTTGGGCGCACCCTCACTGCTACACCTGACTTGAAGGAGTCATTAACAGTAGATACATACAGGCCTGTTAACAATAGGAGTCTGAGGACTTAATGAGAACGAGACTTTTAAACAACAGATCCAGAGTCAGCCTCGGGGAATGTCACTGAACCAGTCCCTACTTTCCTGTTTGGTCGCTGCATGCCTGAGAGAAGAAGAAATCAGGGCAGACTTTTTCCCTCAGCTGATCTCCTCATTGGTTCAGGAGTAAAAACAGCAGATATCTGCTCCGTTCATCGAAGTTTAAGCAATGATAAGAGCAAGAAGAGGCTTCTTTCCTTCAAACCCAGGTTTTAGCTCAGGACAGAGGACAGAGAGACGACACAGGACCTTCTGTTCTGACCGACCGCAGAGAGAAACCAGGTGTGTATCGACAGATTTTTGTCTGTAGGTTATCGTGTGTGTGTTTGTGATGTGTAAACAAAAGGTTCATGTAGACTCCCTTCTTAAACGGACTAATTAATGGGGATGATCCAGTATTTGTTTGTACAGAGTCTCTTAAAAAACTGTTTTTCTGCAGTTGTTATTTATCTGTATATCTTATTTTGTAGGTCATGTTTCTTATTCTTTTAAAGTGTGTTGGCTCTGTTTGTTTGGAATCAAAGTTAATTTTGATAATTATGTCTGAGGGTAGATCTGAAATGTGTTAATTTAATTTGGTACAGTGTCACTTTGACATGAATATTTTATTGGTGGAGACTGAATAAAATCTGTCAGCAGTTTTGAAAGAGCAGTTCAGTGTCACCTCAGAGCATCCTGATGGGGATTAGACACAATGGGATAAGATATGAAACAATACGATTGGATATGATATGATATGATATATGATGATACGACAAGATATGAGATGATAATTACGATGTTACGACATGATACGATATGATACTATATATGATGTGATATGATATGTTACTATATGACATGATATGATACTATATGATACAAAATGATATGATACTATGAGATATGATATGTTACAATATGTTACGATATGGCATGATATGATATGATACTATATGAAATGATATGTTACTATACGATATGATATGATATGATACTATGTGATACTATATGATACGATATGATACTATAAGACATGATGTGTTACAATATGTTACAATATGTTACAATATGATATGTTATGTTATGATATGAGATGCTACGATACAGTAGGATTCAAAACAAAATGAAAGGAAATGATATGAAACAATGTAGTAAGATACAATATGACAGTATGCTGCCGTATGATACAACAGCTACAATAGCTAGAATACGAAATGTACGACACAATGACACAAAACGATACTGTGCGATATGATACAAAACAATATGTTTAACAAAACAATAAAATACGATATGAAACGGAATGACATGATATGAAACCGATAATACGATAAATACCGTGCAATCCTTTATGAAAAGATACGATACAAAATAAGACGCTAAGCTATGATATGGAACGGAACGACACGTTACAACATAACACATACGGTACTGTAAGATATGATCGGATACAAAACGAAAGGAAGCAGTACCATATGATACCAAACGAAAGAATATAAAACAGTACTATATGACATTATGGAATAGATGTGATACGATGTAAATAATAAAATACTTAATGAAATGATACGATACTAAACAAAATGATAAGATATGATACAATACACATGAGACAATATAATACCGTGTGAAATGATTCGAAATGAAGCAATACCACCTCATATGAAACCATGTAAAAGAATATGAAATGATATTTTATAACATTATAGAATAAAATATGATATACTGTGGTCTAAAACTGTATAATATACAGTACAATGATATGATATGATACAGTATGCTGTAGTACAATAGGATGTGATTAGATAGAATGAAAAATGACAGGACTTTGTTAAATTTTGAGGGAACCTTCTCAAAAGGATAAATTAAATTGTATCTAATCTAATCTTGAACATGTTTGACCCTGTCTATAACAGCACAGACTCAAAACTAACATCAAAACACATCTTAGACATTACCCATTATTCAGGACCCCCACTGTCCATATGAGAAGTTACCCAACATTAATAGGCCAATTAAAAAAAAAATGGACATTCAGACTACGAATACGAAAAAAATCAGCCGATCACTACTCTATGATTATATAATCATTAATTAAGGCTGTAGTGAGAACATAAGTCATCTTGTGTTTAGACGGTAACTCTGAGAAGACTTACCTTTATAAATCAGCAGAGGAGTGATCAGGGTTATTCTGCAGGATTCACGCTGCTGAAACTGTCACAATAATCAATCAAACCTACTTTATATTTCTGATTTTGATCAACCTTTAATAACCAGCTTACCCTCTCTCCTCCAAGTTAAAATCATGTTTCCTCCTCCTGCAGGTGAGCTGGTCATGGGTGGCTCCTCCTCCAAGAAAACATTTCCCTGGCAGAGGAAGAAAAAGTCTCCTCTGAACAAAGCCTGGAGCAGCCTGAAGGGGGCGCTGCCTTCCAAGAAACGAAAGAAGAAGAAGAAGAAGGGTGTTCTGGAGAAACTGAACCTGGATAACCTGAGGAAGGACAAACACTCCCAGAAGAGGTTCTCCCTGCCAACGGACAAGAAGGAGCCGATATCACAGAAAAGGTTCTCTCTGGGGAACATCAGGAAGGAGTCGATACAGAAAACCTCACCTGGGGGGAAGGAGGACGGGGGAGGGCTGGGGTGGGGGGAGCAGATGGAGAAACTGAGGAAGGGGTCTGTGTTTGACAAAAGCTTTTCTTTACCTCCGTCTAGAAAAAACTGCAAGAAAATGAGATCGATTGATTAAAAAAGCCTCCAAAAAGACCCAAACTGTTAGTGTGGATCCAAAGAAAACCTCACAAATGAGAGAATTGAAAATCTGTGAATAAAGAGGCTGGACAAAGGTGGGACAGCTTCAGTATCCACGCTTTCTTTAATGACGACACTGTCAGGACGGATTATCGAGGAGAAAAACCAGAAACACAAACCAAAATCACCACGGCTCCTCCTAACTAACATTTGACATCGGCTACACTCAACACCAGGAGAACTCATCCACCCTAAAATTTCATGTCACACTTGTCTTGTTGTTTTGTCATGCTTGGATAAAAGAACAAAAAACAAAACGAAAACATTTCCAAATATTTGTCTTAAAACTGAGAATAGATCGATTTCCTTTCGAGGAGTTGGCAGATCTGCCAAAGTGCACTGAGTACTGTACAAAATCATTACAGTTGCAATATGATCATAAATAAAATTTGTATGACAATCAATTTACAGAAGTATGTGTGTCATTTCACTGCAGAGAGAGTGTCCACAGTGAAAACACAACAGTAACACAAAATAAGAGTTGGAAAAAGGGGGACGGCTGCACTGCATTTAGGCCTGAAAAATCCTCATTTATCATGACTGAAGTCGGTTAAATTACAACAAAACCAAGCTTAAAACTTTGAAATTAGCTGAAGATCTGGATGCCCTGCAGCCTGTTAAGGCAAGAAAAAGTAGGATACTCCACTTACAACTAAATCTGCATTCATCAGGATAACATAGTTGGAACAGTCTTGACATAAACATGAGAATAAAAGAAAAGTACAGCTGAACTCGGACATTACTAAAACCACTCAAACCGTGACTCGCTGAAGATTGGGCGTCTGTATGAAAACAGATTTTGGTGGTTTGCAAATCATTTTAACCCTTTGTTAACTTAAAGGACCTAAAGGAACATCTTGTGATTCAGAGGATTCTCTGTGAATAAGGGACGTCGCTGAAGAGCAATAATGGATGTAGCCTGTCAAACCATTGTCTGCACCATGAGTTAGACACCCCCTCGAGAGATGAACATTGCAGACTGCTTATGTAACTTTTGTAACAACCACACGATAGCAATACACAGCGGTCTACGTCTCCACGTGCAAACCTCAACCAAAACACCACTCTATAGCCACAAATAATGCTCAGAACAGCACCTAACTTCATCAACAGTACATATTGGGTCCCAGCCATAGTACTAGACACCAAACATCTTTTTAGCTTTGCCTCAGCCACTCTCCTCCAGCAGCCGCTTGTTTCCATGAAGTAATAGTTATCATATTAATCATTTTGCACTGCAGATGCGGTAGTTTTTCTGCCTTAGCGTCTCGGTCTGATTGCATTCCCGTGAAGAAATGATCATAAATGTTCTTCCTTGAGCTGCGAAACTCTGCTGCACTTAGTGATCGACTCATCAGGGCTCCCCTACAAACAAGCGCCTGCTGGAGGAGAGTGGGTGAGTTGTGTTTGGTCTCTCTTGCTAAAGAAATTAGGCAAAGTTGAAAAGATGTTTGGTGGCTAGTACTATGGCTGAGACCCTATATGTACTGTTGATGAAGTTAGGTGCTGTTCTGAGCGTTATTTGTGGCGTTTTGGTTAAGTTTTTTGCGTGGAGACAGACCGCTGTGTATTGCTATTGTGCGGTCGTTACCAAAGTTGGTATAACTTAAGAAGCAAGCGGTCAGCAACATTTATCTCTTGAGGTGGAGTCTAACTTGGTGTTGCAGTGTGCTTGACCATAACTTAAATTTATGCCAGAATATCCCTTTAAGATGGACTGAGGCAAAGCTGATGGAGAATTAAAGTGTAGCATTTGTTTTGGAAATCATGGATGATGCCACCCAGCTGGTTTAGAGATGCATGATCACCCTCGGTTTGGGTAGCTTACACATCTTGAGAGGCACCAATAATGCAGGACAATATTTACAGGTTTTAAAGTAACACATGCTGCCATCGAGATAACGTCTTTACAGCAGGAGGATGCCAAACACATTCTGCATATATTCCAACAGTATGGGTCTGTACAGAGGAGTCAAACAGGCCCGCCTGCAGTCCTGACTCGTCAACCTTTGAAAACAAATCGAAGATTAGCCCACTACATCCTTCCCCCACTTTCAGGGTTTAAATGATTCACAAACCATGAAACTGAGGTTTTATTAACAGTGTCCGAATATTTTTAAGATCCAGTCATTACTGTCCTCTGTTTCATCCATGACTCCACAGGAAGTGAGCTCCTCCATCTTCTTTTGAAGGCCCATTAATAGATGATTTGCCCGTTTGCAGATGAGTCATCCTCCTCAGACTTCATTTAAATTCAAGCTAAGGGTTGCGACTGGTGAGCTGATAGAAGTTAACCAGAACTTCTCTGCTCCAGGACCAGATACAAACAGGAAAATCCACGTCAAGGTAAAATCTAAACTTTGTCTATAGAATAAACAGTTCCTGACCCCGTCGCAGACTGTAGCGGGGTCCTTTGGCTTGTTTATGTGTGCATACCCCGACAGGCGGGAGGATTTCAGTGTCAACTGTCCGTCTGCACTCTGTCTCTCGTGTGCTGAGAGTTTCTCGTTGTTTATATTAATTCCACTTTTCTGAGGGAGCAGCCTTGTCCTCTGAGCCTTGGTGGATGAGAAGCGCCCCGTTGCTCTTCTCCGACGGCTCGACCACACGAGACTTATACCTCTGAAGACAGACAAGAGGTGGAGAGACAGACAGATGGGGGTAAGAGGCGGGAGTTGGAATGAAGCGAGGAATCAGGAATAGGCGGGGACGAAAAAACAAATGAGCGTGGGTTAGATAAAGAAGAAAACAAAAGCCAGGAAGTGGAAAAGGAAGAAGAGAAACTGGGTTAGTCGTGTCTGAACTAGCAAACAGAGCAAAACAAGCTAACAGAGAAAGTAATGAGATCCACGTTCATTCCTCAGGCTGCATTTCCACACAGTCTGACATGATTCCAATATTAATATTTTACTGGTTATCACAATAGCAATCATGCTGAAAAGCAGACAGTCAGACATGAGCAGACACAGATTCAGGCCTTTTTATTTACATTAGAGGCGACAATCTTGGTACAAAAATAAACACGAAATACTATGAAAACGCTGCGAAACGCTTACAGTTAGCTTTGACAGGGCGAGAAACACAAGCACAGACATGCTGCTTTATGCAAAAATACTCAATATACAGTCATCCTTTAACCGTTTCCTGTCAGCCTGTTTTCTTCAATTTGGTCAAAGTCCCTTTCACTCAGTTTTAACATCCCGTCATTGCCTCTCAGCTGTTGGCAGGGAGGTTTTGACCAATCAGAATCAAGTATTGAACTAAACCGGGTGACACATGAGAAAGTTAGCTAATACACAGATAGCATGACAATACTGGGCAGCGGCTTCTCTGTGTTGCCGATCTCTAAAATTAAACTGAAAACATAAGGAGGTATGGCAGCTCAATTATGACAAAAATCAAAATGATTGAGTTTTTTCCACTTGTGTCGCAGGTATTTACAGAATTCAACACTTGAAAACACTTTATCGTCTGAATAAGTACAAAAAAACCTTTCTTGTCTGTTACTGGATGGTATAAAAAGTTGTATGTGCTGCTGCTGAAAGCGATGATGCACCAAAACTTTGACTGAAGAGACGTTAACTCTTGTGATTGCTGCACCCTCTCTCTCAATAGCTGCGTTTACACGGGCACAAATAATCGGAATAAAGGCCCGATTGGAATAAAAATGCTTCAGGTAAACATGACGATCGGAAGATTCTGATCCAATTCAGTTCAATCGAAAATAAACTGTATTCTGATCGAGAGGGGTGGTTTAGCCGATCATTATTCCGAAACACGTCCGTTTAAACACTTATTCTGATCGTGACTCACGAACCTGACTCGATCTTCACTCTTATTTATTGAATCAGTTCAGGAGGTTTCATCATTAACACTAGCATAAAACACGAATGAAGGTGTCATGTTTGCTCCTCCGATAACATAACAAGGCGTACATACAGCGTAATGATGTCACATCGGTACGCCCAGTGCAACCTTTGACAGAACAGTAAAATAGGCAAGCAAGGGCGCCATCTAGTAACAATATTCAACAGCGGGAAAAATCTTGAATTGGATGAAGTGAGCCACCAACACGTTTGTTGGTTTGTTGACAGCACAGGCGCCGATACAACTCTTCTTTTTCTGCGGTTGTTTTAGCGAAATCAGACAACTCTACACATGTCCGAATGCAATAAAGCTTGGTGCACGTATATGAACATCATGGTCGGATTATTTAATTTTGCACCTGTATAAACATGTGGTTTCAGATTTTCTGATCCCTCAAATTTTTAATCAGATCAAGAAATTTTGCACATGTAAGGCTACGTTCACAATGGAGGTTATGATGAACAATTTGGATTTTTTGTTAAATCCAATCTTATTGTGCGGTCGTTCACATTACAACAACGAATGCAGCATCTAATGGGAACGGAATGCGTCCACGAAGTGACGTGCATGTGCACAAAGCACAAATTGCTTTCCGCGCCTGTTTGTGTTGTCGAAAAACGGTGACGTTTGTCACATATTGATGACGTATAGGTCGGATGAACGCGACCTGAGCGTCCACGCTGCAGTCACATTGGATACATATCCGATTTATATCCACATACAAACGAGGTCTGGGTCGGATTTGAAAAAATCAGAATTGCACTGCTCACACTTACATGAAAAAATCAGATATGTGTCACATATGGTTAAAAAATCAGAATTGACCTGCAGTGTGAACATAGACTAAACGTGGCTATCAATCTCATTCTGTCCCTTGGCTTTTCAGACACACTCCTGCCTCCTCCTCTCCCTGCTCTCCTCTCTCCCTCGACTCACTGTTAATCATTTCACATGGTCTCATAGTTTCTCGGCCTCATTTCTAATCTTCATAGAGCTATGGCAGAAAATAACACTCACAGTAACACAAAAAGACCGCACACTCATGGCTGCTCCTCCTGTGAACAGCCGTAACAGCCCACATGTGTGTGTGTGTTTGTGTGTGTTTGTGAGCGAATGACAGAAAGCATGCCTCCAACATGCTCACATGCCAGAATAACAAGTCAGAGGAAATGTGGCAAGGAGCATGACCCACTCCAACCACAAGCACACATCTGGACACGTTTAGCACGAGCACGCAATCTGACAAACACACACACACATAAACACACACAAACAGCTCACAGAGGACATAGTAATGTTGTACCCCGTATAAACAGAGTAACATAAGGCAGCGGGGTAATTCCTGGCATTTGGATAATTACACTAAATAAACGTGTTTACAGCGAGAGGCAGAGTGACGGTTAAACTCTGTTTTATGAGCTCAGAGCGGTTTGATTCAGGTCATCCTCTCCCTCATGTTCGGCTCCAGTTTACCTCATGGAAAGTTTGACAACCTGGCAGCATGGACAGACACATGTACGGGATTATCTTTGTGTCTCAGCTCTGATTTCATGATGGGATGATCTGCACTCACAGATAATATTTTCTAAAGAAGTTTTGATCAGAAACAGACTCTGAACACCTGATACTGTTGGGACTTCTAGTCATGAAACAGTATACAGTTCCCAAACCTCCTTACGAGAAACAAAAGTTTGCTCCATATCTAGTTATTATTTTTGTGGGTCTATATTGAGGCTTGTGTATCACTGCAGCCACTTTGCATGGCTTTGTGGTCGGTTAGCTTCACTTTGGTGTGGTTTTGTGGTTGTTTTGAATATTCTTTTGTAGATTTATTTGTCATTTTGCATATCTAGTAGTGTTTTTGTAAATGCCTGTGTCTTTTGTGGCCATATTGTGTGTCTAGGTTTTAAATCTCTGTCATATTGCAGTTATTTTGTCTCTTCATAGTGGTTTTGTAGTTGTTTTGACATTTGTAGTCGTTTGTATCTCTTTGTAGTTGTTTTGTCTCATAGTTTTTTGTGCCTGATTGTAGTTGTTTTGTGTCTGTTTGTAGTTATTTTTGTCTCTTTGTAGTTTTTATTTAATATTTCTGTCATTGTTTTGTGTCTCTTTGTAGTTGTTTTGTGTCTTTTTAAAGTTGTTTTTTGTCTCTGTAGTTGTATTTAAGCTTTCTGTAGTTGTTTTGTAATCTTTATGTAATTGTTTTTGTAATCTCTGTGTAATTGTTTTTGTATCTTTGTAGTTGTTTTTGTCCATTTGTAGTTGTATTTGTTCTTTCTGTAGTCATTTTGGGTGCAGTTGTTTTGTGTCTCTTTGAAGTTGTATTTAATTTTTCTGTAGTTGTTTGTTGTCTCTGTAGTTGTTTTGTGTCTCTTTGTAGTTGTTTTGTCTTTTTGAATTTTTTGTCTCTTTGTAGTTGTATCTAATCTCTTTGTAGTTGTTTTGTGTCTCTTTGTAGTTTTATTCAATCTTGCTGTAGTTGTTTTGGGTCTCTTTGTAGTTGTATTTAATCTTTTGTAGTCGTTTTAGGTCTCTTTGTAGTTATTTTTTTCAGCTTGTGCTACTCTCTGGAGGTATTTTGCTTCCCTTTGTACTTGTTTTGTCTTTTTGTGCATTTTTTCAATCTCTTTGCACTTGTTTTAAATCTTTTTGAGTGTATAGTGTCTCTATGTAGTTGTTTTGTGTCTCTTTGTTCTTGTTATGTAGTTGATTTACGTGTCTTTGTAGTTGTTTGAAATCTTTTTGTAGTTGTATGTTCTTATTTGAAATCTTTTTGTACTTGTTTTAAGTCTCTTCATAGATGTTTTGTGTCTCTTTTTAGTTGTTTGAAATCTTTCTGTTGTTGTTTTGTGTCTCGTTGGACTGGTTTTTATCAGCTTGTGCTCCTCTTTGAAGTTTTTTTGTTTCTCTTTGTATTCATCTTTGCATCTTTTTGGTTGTTAGGTGTTGTTTCTTTGTTTCTTTCCCTTTTCAACAAGAAATGACGTCAGTCTTTAAACCTGCCAGTCAGACACCACTCCAATTGAGCAATATCTGTGGGATCCAGATTGCACGAGGCCACAGAAGGCAAATGAACCAAGCTATGTGAGAAAGCGATTATTGTGAACATCTGTGGATGACACAAAACGCTTGAAAGATTTATAGAGCATAAAAGTGATTTTGGTTCACTCGCACTAAATTTTTTTGTCATGCAACAATAATTTCAACACAAAAGACATCTTTTGTGGGTGCAAAGAGCACAAAATGTCCCATCTGCGCTTTGAAATTGACACACAATTTATGATCCGATTCATAGGAAGACAGGGAATGAAGTAAAAGCTCACGCTCAAGCAACGCCGTAAAGAGAGCTGAGGAGCCTACAATGACTCATGAGGTCCAACAAATATACAAAAGGTTTTCCTTGAATGATAACATAAATCTTTACAGCGCATCTATTATCTGAGTGTCTATATTTGGCTTAAAGGACAAAAACACATTGCCGATATTTCAGGGTGAGGACCACCATTTTACAAGGTTTCAATTATGGTATTTTATGACTGTTTGGAAAAAGCATGAGAGCAAAGGTCCAGTTTAGTGAAAATAGAAGCGACATTTTCTATATAGAAGTGAAAAAGTGCAGAAGTTAAGTGTTTTTTACATTTGACAAACGAGTTTGAATAATATGACCAAAAAACTTTAGAAAGACTGATTGAGATAATTAATGAGGAATAAGTCCAAAACAAAGCAAACATTATTTCAACCGGAGATGGGAATTTTCAAAAACATCACAACTCAGTTCCACCTGGTCCTTTAAATCACAATTTCAATTCAATATCGATCTCTCTTTTATTCCTAGTTCAATTGGCAACCTCTACTTGAGATGCTATCTGCCTGCACAGGTAAAAAGCACTCCATTAGCATTGCTTTTATTGTTTTTAATTCCTTGTTTTATTGTGACTGCGATTGCTGATTTCAATGTTAATTTTTAATGTCTTGGTTGTCTGGTTTGTCCCCTTTGTTGTACTAACTGCAAAACAAATTCACCCTTTTGTTGAGGGACATTAAAGAACTGAACATATGCTATAATATTTATTCAGTAATATTGTTTTAGATAAAACAATGATGCCTAATAAACATAAAATAACACTTTATGCTACACGGAATGGTGTAGCACCCCGTCTATGTTAGTGCCACCCCACCCAAAAGGTCTGGACACGCCCCTGTACAGCAGCACAAAGGAAACAGCAGGGTCTCTGTGTCTTAAGGAGGCAAATTTCCTCAACAAAAGTTGCAAACAAAAACTTTTTTCTTGATTTGTAAAGAATGAAGAATGAACAGCAGCATGCTAACACTTCAAGCAAGCTGCGACATTGACGACGTTGAGACAAAGTTTAAGTTTTTATAAATAACAAAGAGTTAAAAGCGCATAAAAAGCAGAAGCACATTTATTCTTTTGGATGAAAGCAGCAAAACAAAGTATGACAAACACAATGTGAATAAAATTGCTGAGTATGGCTTTAGTGAACAAAAGAATAAATCCCCACATTTGCATCTAATGAGAGTCGATTTCAAGGTTATGAGTATCATTTGTAGTCCTGTTTTATATGCAAAGCTGTTTATAGCTACGCTTAGACTGAATTTTAGAGACAATGAGGCACTAAACTCGACTCAAAATCTACCTGAAAAAATCAAAACAAAGACACAAAAACAGAAATAAGCTCTTGTTAACGTCTTCTCTTCAAAGCTGCGATAGCTGATCTAGTGGGCTTCCTGGGGGGGCGACAAAAACAAAGTCTTAGCACAACACGGGAATCACTCTATGTTGTTTAGATATATGTATTATATACACACAGTACATTAGAGATAAGCAGAACCATCAGTTTTTGTTGGTCTCTTTCAGTCCACCTAGTTAGTCCGAGTCTGAGTCGATAAGTCAAAAGTATTTGGTTCTGGAGATCATAAATAGTCTTCAAATACAACACCGTGGTCGCTAACTAGCTGCTAACTTTTTGTTGATCCGCATGTGGTGTCGTCTCCGTCAGAGCAGTTAGATTTACAATTTATTAATAAGATGAGATTAACACGTTAAGGTACAGAGTGGTTTAAATGTAGTGATCTGGAGTGACAGATTTTCTGTAATTTTATTTTTTAGATTAGTTTAGTTTAAAAGTAACCCTAATCATCCGAGTCTGCGGTTATCGGTCCTTGTAAAGCTGTGAAATAGTCGTACTTAAAGTTTTTGTCTCAGTGTGGCTGCAGCGTTTCTCTTTACGAGTCCTTAGTGCGAGTGGTTGTTGTGTTTGTGATTGCTGTCTTCGCCTCCGTTGCTCTCAGACAGTACCTCATGGTCCAGGGTGCTAAAGTGAACTCCAGACATGCCCGATTTGTCGCCGCTTCGCGGGCACAGGAAGCACAGGATCTCCTTGAAGGTCCTCCTCATGTCTTTGTCCCTGAAGGAGTAGATGATGGGGTTGACGAAGGAGTTGCACTCGGCCAGCACCAGGCAGTACTTCTCGTAGCGCAGCACCTTACACTTATCACAGCCCAGGCCGTCGAGCAGCAGCACCACCAGGCCGGGCGTCCAGCAGATCACAAAACAGCCTGTTAGGGGGGGGAGGAGGATGAGGAGGAAGGAGATGAAGGGTACATAAGGTCATTAGGAGGGTTGAAATAACACAAAAAATCAACAAGAGGAGTCTAAGATAAAAGAGGAGGAGAGAAAATGAACAGACGGAGTTCAGAAGAATGCGAAGAAGAAGAAGAAGAGGGGAGCTGAGGGAGAAGGGGAATGTACTGTAAATTCCTCACACACACACACACACACACAGATGCATAACATGTCGGCGTGTGGACTGGGTTTAGTCTGAATGATCAGATTTCATTATCATAATAGTCGATTAGGCCGCTCAGGAATTCACGATGTGCACACCCGCAGCACGCTCAGCGCCGATATATGCACACGCATGAACTTCAGGCGGAAATGTGAAAACGATGCGGTAACACACATGCACACAAAGTGAGTAATGCATTCCTCTGTCCCTGAGCATAACCTCAAGTGTCACAACTACACGCCTAACCTCACATTAGGATCTAAATCCAAATCTTAACCCTCTGGAAGGAATTTGATGACATGCAGAAAAGAGAAAGCGTTGGTATCTCACAGACAAGGTCAGAAACATACAAAAACGCCAGCACACACTCTCGGTGGTGTCGTTCGAGAGCAGGAGGAGAGGAGCTGTTTTCTGTCACATAAACTGAACTATGCGGCTCCCTGTCAGGGCATGCTCAGGGTTTTCCTCACCCTCCTCACATGCCAGAGGTGCTGAGTCCCGGCTGCCGGGAGACGGGAGAAAGGCGAGTAACGTTTTGAAAACTTTGAAGAATTTAATCGAAAGTTCAGAAAGCGAGAATCCGAGCAGGGGAGGCTGGGAAAGAGAGCAGGGGAGCGGGCGAGTTCAGCGGCAAACAAGGGGAAACCGAGGAGGAGAAGGAGTGAAACGATGGGGGAGTGAATTCTAGTTTAACAAGTGAAGACATGCTGAGAGAGGAGCCTGCATGCCTATCTGTTTGTGTGTTGTGTGTGTGTGTGTGTGTGTGTGTGTGTGTGTGTGTGTGCAGTCAGAGGTTTTAAGGTTTTAGGAGTTGTCAGTGTTTGACCTTTTGATAATGTGGGGAGTCAGGTGAGCATTTCCCCGAAAAGGGCCTGTTCAATGAGGAAAATATGTTAAAGGCGGTGTTATCGCTAACAAAGCAGAGCGGGTGGAGGTATGTGTGTGTGTAGGGGGGGAAGGAGAAGGATGGTGTAGCTGTTGTCTAACTCTTTGTCACAGCGTTTGCTTAAGGCCAAAAAATACAAACTCAATTCTCGAGAAGCTGCAAGATCTTTATAAAAACAGAATCTGAAGGTTGACGAATCATAACGAGGTCAACCTTTGGTAAAAAATGATTTCCCCTCGGTGTCTGTCTGTGTTTTGCGCTTTTTCTCACCCAGAATCATGGAGACGGTCTTCATCAGGTTCAGCACCGTCTCTTTGTGTCTCATCTGGGTGGTGTGCTGCGACATCTGCTTGCTCTTGCGCCTCACATAGATGAAGATGCGGGTGTAGACGCCCACCATGATGGAGAAGGTGAGCAAGTTGAGGACGGCCCAGAACACCAGGTAGCTGCGGCTGTACAAGGGCGCCATGGTGGAGCAGTTTTTCAGGTCGCAAATGCAGTGCCAGCCCATGGTGGGGACCAGACCCATGATGATGGCCACCAGCCAGATGAAGACCATGATGACGAAGACGCGGCGCGTGCTCATCTTACTGTGCAGCTGCATGTTGAAGATGGTTTGGTGACGCTCCACGGCCACAGCCAGCAGGTTTAAGACCGAGGCAGTCAGGCTGGTGTCGATCAGCCCCTGACGCACAAACCACTGGTGCTTGGACAGCTTAATGGTCCAGGGACCAGTATGAAACATCATGTGCAGATAGGAGACACCTGAGAGGAGGGAACAAGATTCAGGGTCAGATATGAAACATTCAGCACAAGACGTGAGGGCGCCTAGTGTTGGTTTGGTTTGACTGTGGTTATGATTTTTAAGGTGCGAGTTTGTCGGACGTGCTTTCCGTCTCCATGGTAACCCATTGCAGTCTAGAGTTGTAACGATTCCGATACTAGTATTGGAAATTGCTCTGATACTGCCGAAAATGCTGGCGTTGGTAGTGGCAAGTACTGGAGTCCAGGCACCGATCCGATACCGTGTATTTAATTAAATTAGTAATTAATTTACTGGTTAGCTTCATTAGCTCTGTTCTGTTTAAATTCCCTTTTTATTTAAAAATATTGTGGTTGCACTTTAATTTTTAAAATAATTATTCCTAGATTTATTTAGTTAAATTGCATTTGCTGTTTTTACACTGTTCTATATGAAAATAAATGGTTTGAATTTGCTTTATTTATTTGTGTTTTTCAAAGGGTTTAACCTTACCACAATGATAATCATATCACAGTCATGATATATTTTTTTATAACATACTGGTATCAGATCGGTACTTGGTATCGGCCGATTCCCACAGCACAAGTATCGGAATCGGTATCTGGAGGGAAAAACTGGTATCGGAACAGGGCTTGACAGTGCAACCTTTTCACTTGCATTTGCGACTAAAAATAAATGTGTGCGAATTGTAAAATGTATTTAGGGTCACATGTGCGCATAAAAAAAAATCAGTTGAGGCAAAAAATGTTTTTTCCATGTAAATACCGCGGTGAAGTTAGTTTTAGGTTGGATATTTGATGGACATTCACTGCGGAGTGACTGGTGTCTTCTCACTCTACATAACCGGGAATAACAACAGCGGCGCGGTTAAATCTATTAAGCACTCTCGCTGTCAACATCGGGTGTTGAATAAGGGACCGTCAATAAATTACTGGTTGATGTTCTCGAAAAAGGTTGTTTTTCCTTCAGTAGCTTCCATGTCATGTGACCAATTGACCTAAAACTGATTTTAAATAATCGTACTACGGTCGGACGATAAGACACACCTCTTTAGTTTTAACTACACCTGGTTGCCTATTCCTATCACCTGAAATACTTCTACTGTCAGTGGAGAACAAACCGAACATGAGTACCTGAGAAGAGGTCTGCCAAAGCCAGGTTACCCAGCAGGTAGTAGATGGGAAAGTGAAAGCGCCTGTTTTTCAAAATGGCGCCCATGACCAAGAGATTGGAGAAGATGACAACGAAGCAGACAGTCATCCCCAGAGTGACGATCACGTAGTCGCGTGTTCTCCAGCTGTTACTGATATTCTTCCCGCTCTCCTCGTAGAAAAACTTGATGCTCCGGTTGTAGTAGCATCCCTCTTTGTCTTCAAACGCCGTATCCATGATGAGTCGTCGGGTGTAAGTGTGATCAGAGAAGAATTAAGAGCGGACAGAGAAGAGAGAGGTGTCGTGGATGTACGCAGAGAGGAAGGTTTAGGGTGCCATTCAGAATCGCCCACCCCTGCTGGGTTGAGATCAGCATGCCATCAGCCGGACAAGTGAGGACTGGAGGGATCCAGTTTGTAGAGCTCTGGGAGGCTGAATCCACTTCTTCAATCTGTGGGGAAAAAAAACCAAGATCAATACATGGATATGAACTCAACTACTGAGGCATTTTAAATATCTGAGTTATTCAGGAACAACTAGTCCACTGATATAAAAAAATCCAAACCTTGCCAAGACTGAACACGCTTTATCTTTCACAGCTGAACACAGGATCATGGAGTCTGTGGCTAACACTAGCAGAGCTAGCACCACCAGCATTTAGTCCTCCTCCCACCATAACATCTGTATTTTGAGCTGGTTTCACATTGCCTCAGTTGAATTCAAAAGTGAGCTGTGCTTTGGGGCGACAGTGAGATACTATATTAGTAAGACTTTAAACCAACCGGACATTCTGGTGCTGAAGGGGACTCGATGAACATGCATCAGTGCAGGACTGCACATGCACAGTGAAGTCGAGCTCGATTAGGAGATTTAACTGGACTACTGTTCTTGTCCCAGTTTACATGAACTGGTCAAGAACAGATTTATTGATAGAAGCGTGTCGACCCCCACTGTGGTAGGAGGTGAAAACACACGAGCAAGAGACGAAGTGCATCATTTTAACAACTTCAGGAAAGCTTCATCTCTTCTACTTAGGCTCTTACTAGGCCTGATTGAGTCGTATTATGACAGCATCATCTGGGTGTGTTGGTCCGCCTATGAAAGGTTCAATTTTAGTACAATTTCAGTTCAGCTAAAGTGTTTACATTAGGGGTGTCCCGATACAATATTGGTATCAGATATCAGTCTGATATCAGCAAAGAAACAAATATCAGATTATATCGACCTGCATCAAAAATCTCTAATATCAGCACTCCGATACAAGCAGTCCAGTCCAGACTCCGCTCCAGCCCCTCTATTTAGATCCAGCATGCAGAGCCCACATGATCCCAACAACAGTGTGTAATAAGGTACAAACAAAGTAGGGAGGAGTAGGGTCGATGTCGGCCATGTGAAAGTATTTTTGTTTAAGTCGGAAAAAGACGTTGCAGCTGACTGCAAAACTCTTCATGCACAATTTTGTGCCAATATCGGATCAATATCGGTATCGGTCAATATTGAAGGCTACAATATCAGTATCAAATGTATGTAAACCCTAGTTCACATACATTTTACAAGTCCTGTTTCAGTCGGACTACAGCAATAATTTGATTTATTTACATGCATGTAACTGTATCTGCTAAATATCAGCCATACGCAGTCGGGGTGGGAGAAAAAAAATCGATACATCATAGTATCGCAATATTTTATCTGGTGATATATCATATCGTCTCATTGACCAAGTATCGATTTTTCAAATCAATTGCTAATATAGAGACAGATCTATGATAATGGAAAAAATAAATCAACTGTTAGTCCAGTGAGGTTGGCAGAGGTGTCATCATTCAGCAGGAGAACATTAGCACAGCAAATACAAGGTTTGCAAGATACAGATAAGATAATACAGCTAAATAAGACAATCATAAAGGGAAGACAAATGCTTAATTAGCTAAACAGTGGAAAAAATTATATAAATAGCAATATTATCTTAACGTGGCCCAAGTATTGTGATAATATCGTATTGCGGGGCCACAGGTGAATCCCACCCCTAATATGCGGTTTATAAGATGTGCTGAACATGATATTTTAAACATGAGTATCAGCTCCGACTTTATCATTTAACATATTTAATTTGAGCATCAACTTTAAAAAAAAAAAAAACAACAACTGTACAGCTAGATTAGATTAATTTATCCTTCGTCCACACAGATCCATATACAGTACAGATCTGAGTTTCCCTACATGAGTCATTCACCAGTTTTACAGGTAATGATGAAATATCCGAGTATAGGAAGACATTCAGACTTTTTTCTCCCTCTGGGATTGAGGATATATTAAAGCCTATACAAAATATAGTTTCAGTTCAGAAGTAGAAAAATAAGTTTACACTGAGAATAAAAATCTGTCCTGTTGAGTAACCACCTTACAGCACACTATGTAAGAGGCCACCATCTATCTGATACTCAGCTTCAGACCTACGTGAGAAAGTGTGGGTCCAGTGTTTTAATTGACACGTTTACTCAAGAAGCTAATCATGTCACTCTTCAAACAACATGATACTTTCACTCTCTCCAGCTAAAGATGTTTGGACCAGAAAGTCTCGTTAAGCAGCACCAGCAGTTATTATCTGATTACCATAGAGCTTATTGAGCAGCATCTACACTGGCATGTCATGACAGGAGTACGAGGAGTTTCATGACTGCGATGCTGCAGCTCAAAGTAGAGCTGGCCTCCGCCTCGAGACACACAACTAAAACGTGGTCAACAACAACCTGCTTTAATCCTCTATTTACAGTAAACGTGCGCGAGCTGCATGGCGAGTTTTGAGTCAACAACCCTCCTTCAGATATTCTCCACGTTACTGTCAAAGCCAGCGCCGCGCCACGACCCGCACCGCTCAGAAACCGCTCTGTTGATTTCAAGTTGAACTCTGTCGACAATGGAAACAGAGAGCGGCTCCCTACAGCAGAGACACACCTCACAATTACACAATCCAGCTATGTAACTCTATCTCAATCCAAACATGCACAACACACACACACGCACGCAAGCACGCACAGGGAGGGAGCCTCAGTGACCCACTCTCCAGCCGAGGGTGTGCAAAGAGAGACGCCAAATCAGAAACAGAAAAATGTGCACAGAGTGGGAACTTCGGGATTAAGAATGAAACGGTGGAGAAGAACCAAAAGAGCAGGAAACGGGTTCGATTAGAGAGAGTCTGAAAGAGGGAGGAAAGAGCAAAACCAAAGTCAGGAGCGGGATACAAAAGAGTTTAAAGTGTGTTTCTGAGACTAAAACTGCCGACTGCATACCCCTGTCGAACATGGTACATATGGAGGCACATCATACAAACTGCAAACAACACGGCCATCTATTGATAAACTGAATATAATATTGTTAATGACTGTAAAAATGTTTTTATAGACTTCAAATGCACCAAATATAACAGAGAATTTTAGGTTAAAAGATTTTAGTTGGTAAATTTCATATTCATAGATATTAAATGATAAAATCCACTCCCTTCTTCCCTGACTTTTTATTTAAACTAAAACAAAAAGAAAAAGGAATAAAACTGTTCGATCTTTCAGTGAGTATCTCATAGAGGAATAATATTTGAACAGCTGAGATGCATTTGTTATTTGTCCAATTTTGCACGATCACAGTACCCCTAATATTTATTTATATACATTGTTTTCTTTTTCTTTAAGGCCAATACCGATACCGAGTATTAGTAATCAAGGAAGCCGATAACAGATATTTAGAGCCAATATTCATTTGCAGTAAATGTTATATTTTGGCTTTTATTTTGAAATGAAAAAAGAACCGGATGCATGCTAGCTTTGTACACTTCACAGAGACAGAGGAGCACTGCCGCTACCTGATCCGTCCCAGAAAACCAATTTGTACTACACATATGCGAAACGTACATCCTAAGTTTGTCCACAGCTCCTTAAGCTTTGCTGGCGGAGGCGGGATTTACTGCAGCCTGTCACCAGAGGGTGCTGTTCTCGAGGTGGCTTCACCCAGCGAGTAGGCAGACAGCATCCATTCTATACAGTCTATGGTAACGACACATAAAGGAGACTGGCTCAACACATCAGTACATCATCTAGGTATTTTTGGCATACTGCGACTCTCGCTTTTGTTTGCATACCACAGTACGCTCTGCTGGTATATTAGGCAGTTTCAAAAACGGTGTCTGAGGACTTTGAGAACTCATCTGTGTGGTTTTCAGATAGGAAGTGAGACACTCGTGTCTGTTCAAGCTCTTTTGAGCCTTTTCACATTAAAAGCAAAAAACTGGTGGGTTGTCAAAGTGTCATTTCAGCCACCTAAGTTCATCGACCACTTTTCATCATGATCTTTCATCACTGGCTCCGAGAGGTCTCCACTTTTTCTTAAGTTAATCCTCACGAAAACAAGAAATCCTTCCTTATGCTCAGATCACCTGCTGCAACAGCAGAACATCGACTGAAAGCTTTAAAATACCTGCCGTGTTAACTTGACGTCCTGACATACAAAAGAGTTTCAGGTTGGTTTGGTTAGAAGTTCGTGCAAGGAGAAACACTGAGAGGTAGGACATGATGTGCCTATTACAGGAAGGAGGCTGTTGCTGCACTGTGCGTGTGTTATATTATGCATCCCTACATGCCTCAACAGTCCTCGCGCTTTGGCGTAACATGACACATGCTGTCTCAGGAGCAGGAGGGAGAGTCTGTGATCATCTCTGTGTTCGTATCACTATCATGTCTTAAAAGACGAGGACGACTGAGGCGATGAGTGCGTGTGTGAAAGAGGCTTTGAACACCTCTGTCCCGTCAATCCAGCACCAGAACTACAATCGATCTCTGACCCCTGACCCTTCAGATCAAAGAGGTGTGCAGCAAACACAGTCGCTCCGTTTCCTTCCTCCATCAGGACGGTCAGTGAACTCTCTGGCTGACCTTTTCCGATTGTCTTTGCGTCTCTGTTGTGCTCGAGTTTCAATGGTAACACAGGAAGGGTACAGATCTCATGATAGCTCTCACCAATCTAATTCTAAAGGTGTGAAACCTCCTCTTCGTGACAGACTGAAGAGAGAGATACTACTTTGAGCTACTGCTGCTGTGTGGTCGAGCTGCAATATGATTCACAGACTCGTCTTTATCAAACACGCTTCATCAGACTGAAAATATCTGTATGCATTTTAGGAGATCATGTAAGAAACACTGATTTTTGACCATGAACTGATTTCTCTGGACTGATATCAATGATCTGAGGGTTCAAATCTTTGCAGGATTATACACGGGTGAGCTGTTCTTCACTTTGAAAACAGAACTTCTCCAAAACAAAGACAAAGAGAAGAAAAAACAAACCCTGACATGTCCTGAGATCACTTCACGACTGCAGCAAACCTCACTCAGCCTCAGGATTTCTCTTTTGCAAACATTCAAAGCACAGTGCAGCTTGATTCTTGCATACTGCCCTACTTAAAAAACACACAAAGATCAGTGACTGAGGCAATTCTTTATGAGGAACTGTTGCACAACACACAGCCCAATGCGGTGGGCAACAGACACCGACTCCCAGCCAACAGGTTTCCAAAGGCTGGGGCTGAAAACTCGGCCTTTCTTGACTTCCTCTTCTGCTGTTGTGGCTGTGCACCTTCGGTAAACCAGGTCCACAGAAGAGTAACAGCTCTTCTCAGGCGGACATGAAACCAGACGAAGAAAAGGTTCAAGTCTACGTCTGCAGCTGCAATCACAGGATGTCGAACCAGCAGATGTAAATCAGCAGCATCAAATCCCTGAAGAAACCATGATCTCATCACACCTGTTTCCAGCCGCAGGAGGCGGTGACTTTCAGCTAAACGAAAGAAGATAACTCTACAGAGGCTACAAGCACCAAACAGTGAAAGATTAGCAACTCAGTGACAGCTTCACCTGTAGAAGGATCAGGAAAACAGACAGGATGTTGTATTTTTATTTTTATTTGACCATTGAACCATCACAATTCTGCAATGCAACTGATGCAGTTGTATTTAGGGCTGCTCGATTTTGGCCAAAAATTAAATCCTGAACTTTTTCTGTGAAAACTCAATTTTCGATTTTGTATTCAGTGCAGTGTTGTTTTCGTCAACGCCCCTTTTTTTCCACGATGAAGACGTGACGTTGACGAGCTAAACATAAGTCTTAGATTACTAAAATGTGACGAGACGAATGTGCGTTTATGTTGATGAGACTAGATGAAAACGTTTGTGGTGGACGACGAACAGTGTTGCTAAATTCACAAGAATTTTGTCAGTCGAACGCTAAACATACATTCTCACAGACATAAAACAATGAGCTCCGAGAGAATTCAGTCAGATTTACTATTTAACCATCTGAGAGTTTAGTCTGAATTTAGCCTGAAGGAAGAAAAACAGGAGGGAGAGAGAGGAGTGTGTGTGTGTGTGTGTGTGTGTGTGTGTGTGTGTGTGTGTGTGTGTGTGTGTGTGAGTGAGAGAGAGAGAGAGAGAGAGAGAGAGAGAGAGAGAGAGAGAGAGAGTGCGTCAGTGTTGCTTTCATTGACGATGGCGTTGATGAAATATTTTCGTCTGAATTTCGTTTGGATGTCACAGCGGGACTCTCTGACAAAACAAGATTTAAACGCAGGATCACGGAGTAAACATGTCAAATATTCAACGTTAGCAGAGCTGGAAGTCCTCCTGTAGGTTAACGTCCACTTTTTGCTTGTTCTGCAGATCTGTGGTCAAGAACTTGTTTGGCACAGCAAACGATGTTATCTCCAGATTCTAGATCAACCCACATCCTGCTGCAACATCCAGATAGTAGAGGGTTACACGCTGGTTTCATCTCTCTTGGTTCTCCTGGCTTAGACAGATCATCAGACTGAGCTTTCAGGCCTTCAACTAAACAAAACGCATAATCCCCTCAACCAACTCGTAATTCTGCTGCTAACTCGCACCTGCTAAATGGGCACACCCTTCATTATAGTCAGGTGATTCATAAAAATGATCAGTGAGGTACATCAGTGCTGCTCAAACTAAGTCTGGGGACTAAATGAATAACACTGTCACGTTGATGCCCGTGAATCTAGAACTGAAACTACAGACGGCTGCAGGGACAAGTAAACTTAGCTCGAGCGTTGTTGCTAAACCTGTTCACGCAGCAGATGGTAAAAACGACTTTGACTCTCTTCTATCTCGAGGCAACAGGCGAATATTTAAGAGATAATATTCAAGATCAACGATAAGTCCTGCACGAATGCTAACGAAATGGAGGATCTATGCTCGCAAGTTTCAGCTCCAACCTCACACGTGATATTTTTCCACCTTTTTCAGTGTTTGTGCAAAGCTGAACCACATGACAGAATTGTTTAAAACGGAGAAAGGAATGAAAATATACATTTAATTCTGAATTTCACTCTGAAACCGCGGGGATGACTGTCTTGATCTCGCGGCACCAGCTGTGTATCTCTTTCCAAAGTATTTTCCTTCCATGAGTCACCAGGTTCACTGTGGCGCTTTCACTCTGTGTGGCTCTCAGGGCCTACATTTGCATGACTGCGTGTTTTCATGCACCATATGCTTGTGTTTGTGTGTGAATGGACTGGGCTGAATCTGTAAACACCAGTTTGAATGCAAACCGGTCATTACCAGAGCAGCCACACCCGAGTCTCTTCTTCTCCCTCCTCCCTCCTTCTCTCTGAAAGTAGATCCTCAGCACATCAGCTGCAGTCAGCACTTCTTCAGCGATAGGAAAGATCTACACCACACGCACGCAAACATACACACATCCGTGACTGAAACCGTGATTGCAGCGGAGGTGGCATTGCACGTCAAGACAGTTTTTGACCTCTAATTCCAGGTAAAAACGGAAATTCTGCTCGCCACCTCAGGAGCTTTCTCTCAGGGGTTCGTTTCTCATAATTAACCGCCTCCTCTAGACGGCGTACGTCCAACTGTGAAGAGCGGACATGCAACTGGTGGGAACACCGGGGTGTCATCTGCATAATGATTACCTCCAGCCGTTTAATCACACAGACACACGCACAAACACACACCTCCTGTGTTATCGAAGCTTGAACCCAGACTGAGGTGACTGATCGGAACAGAGACCTTATTTATCGAAAGCTGCAAACTTAATAATCACAAAAACATTAGTCGCAAATTCAAAAGAAAAGTCGTCAACTTCAGTATTTTTTTTTTAAATGGAGGCTGTTGTCCGTAATCTTAGATTCGCATATTTATCAAAAGCAGAAATGCAAAATAACTTAAGTGTTTCCTGTTTCTGACTCACAAGGAAACAAACACTTTGACAGCTAATGCGCCCACCTCATAAGTTAAGTCAAGATAAGTCACCATGAAGCTCATTCGGGGAAATTTTGACTCGTCTCTTAACGTGCAAAAATCTCTTAAAGGGATATTCCAGTGTACAATTACTTTAAGGTCAAACACACTGTAACACAGAGTTAGAGACCCCCCTCGAGAGATGAATGTTGCCGACCGCTTGTTTCTCTAGTTATACCAACTTTAGTAACGACCGCACGATTGCAATACACATCGGTCTAAGCAGCCATAAACAAACCTCGACCAAAACGCCACTCTATAGCCACAAATAATGCTCAGAACAATTCAATTCAATTCAATATAGCTTTATTCATCCCCTAGGGGCAATTGAAAAGCAGCAGCTAAGCAAACATTAAAATAGAATAGATACAAAGGAAAAAAAAAAGTATAAAATCAGTATAAACTGAACAAATAAACACACCTGTTTAATATAAAATCCACATATCAACAAATGAATGTACAATATACAAAATGCACAATGAAGTGACTATTGGGCTAAGGTGCCGGCAGTATTACAGCTGTGCCAAGTAGTCAGGGGGGAGGGTGTATTGGTGTGGTGATGGAATCAGCAACTGGAGTTGAAAAGCAGAGTGGCTTTGGGGACAAAAGCGGCCTTCCTTCTCTCGGTTTTGCATGCGATGCAGCGCAGACGCCGCCCAGAGGGGAGCCATTGAAATGCGGAGTGAAGTTTTTGAAAGTGGTCGTTAATGTTTGGTGGCTAGTGCTACTAAACAGCACCTAACTTCATCAACAGGACATATAGGGTCCTAGCCACAGCACTAGCCACCAAACATCTTTTTAACTTTGTCCGATTTCTTTAGCAAAGAGACTAAACACAACTCACCTACTCTCTTCCAGCAGCCGCAGCTCAAGGAGGAACATTTATGATAATTTCTTTATCACTTCCTTGAAGTAATAATCACCATATTAATCATTTTGCACTGCAGACGCGGTAGTTCCTCTGCCTTAGCATCTCGGTCTGATTGTATTTCCATAAAGTAATGGTCATAAATGTTCTTCCTTGAGCTGCGTCACCCCGCTGTAGTCCGTAATGGACTGGCCTGAGGTCTTGCTACAAACAAGCGGCTGCTGGAGGAGAGTAGGTGAGTTGTGTTTAGTCTCTTTGCTAAAGAAATTAGTCAAAGTTAAAAAGATGTTTGGTGTCTAGTACTATGGCTTGGACCCTATATGTCTTGTTGATGAAGTTAGGTGCTGTTCTGAGCATTAGGTTTATTTATGGCTCCTCAGAGCACTGAGTATTGCTATTGTGCGGTCGTTACTAAAGTTGGTATAACTAGAGAAACAAGCGGTCGGCAACATTCATCTCTTGAGGGGAGGTCTAACTCTGTGTTGTTTGGTGTGTTTGACCCTAAATTAATTTTACACCGGAATATCCCTTTAAATTCATTCAAGTATTTTCAGAAAATCACTCATTTGTAAAGGTAACACAGCTGAAGTTAGACAGGAAATGCAAGGTGTACAGAACAGGAGAAGACAAAGAGATCGAGCTGGGGGTCCGACCACCAACCGCCAAACCGAACCAGCACCTGTTAAACTCAGGACCACCTCCTCTAAAAACAGCTCAGCTTGTTTATAAACCTAAGAGGACATTCAGTCGCTGTTAAAGTGTCTTTCTGTACAGGATCAGGATAACCTGTGGAAGACCATGTGTGTAAAATCTAAAGCAGAATTTTTATGGCAAATCGAACCTTTTTTGGGACACAGATCCTCTAATAAAATCAATCCACTCAGTAATGCGGTAATCCTTTTTAAAGTCGCCTGCAAAACATGAGGTGTGCAGCACTTTGTTGTTGCCTAGCAACCGCCAAACCGTCCATCCAGACACTTTCGAATCATATCAGACAATCAGACTCATGATGTGTTTTATTATAAGCTTTGTATGAAACTCTTTCACATGTTTCCCTGCAGCTTCTTTGTGGCAGTTAACCAGATGTTGATATCTTTTTCTGTTTCCAGAGTGTGATACTGTCCCCAGAGACCGGGTGGTTTAAGTGCACCTCAACAATCAGAATCAAAAATGCCAGTAAATTTGACTAAACCACAGACTTCATGAGTGCACCACACCACACTGATGTAAACGGGTGAATCCAAAAATCACTGGAGGAAATACAAATCCAGTGTTAACATGAGGACAAAGACACAGATAACGACTCTAAGCTGTTTAAGCTGATAATATTTGACCAAAGCTGACCTGTCAACAAAAACCGTTCGTCTCCAACTAGGGCTAGGCGATACGGGAAAAAGTTTATCACAATATGTTTTTTTCATATCAGTCGATATCGATATACATCACAATATAAAAAATGAAATCTAACAGTGCTTATTGGTAGCATGTCTTTTGCAATACTATAAGCTACGGCATCTGTGAGGTCTTTGTGTCTCTGACGTTTTGTTGTAAGGCGTTTGGTATGGTTAGGTATTTCCTGATTTTGCAAGGACTTGTACTCAACATAATTTGCAGTGCACATTACTCCGCTTCATGTCGGACCTCAAAAAAACAAAATACCTCCACATCACCGACGTTTTCATGTCAGTGTTGTCATCATCTGTTAAACCTTCATCTGCATTTCTGCAAACTGTTAAAGCACACAAACCATCGTCATGTGAGAAATCAGACGCTATGACTCTCCACAAGTTGTCCTTCAGGTCGATATCTTTGTAATATTTGTGTCTTTTATCAAACAATAAACGTAAACAATCAGCCAGTCAGCCATGTTGGATATACCGGTGCATCTGACCTCGCAACTACATGCAATCTGGTTGGTCAGAAGTGGACACACTGTATGCAAAAAAATAAATGCCACAATATTGCAGGACCAGAAAACGTCGCTGATGTAAATGCTTGTATTGACAGGATACGGGTTAGAAAAAAATATTGACCTCCGAAATAATCGCACAACAAAAACGGTCCACCAACGGTCCACACCAAAAACGGTGTGAAAGGACCTTAATTCAGCACGATTGGTTCATTGTGAAGTGGACCCGGAGCAACTCCTCTTTTCATTGGCTATTCGTATAGTCTACCAAAACATGGCAGAATGCCAACTATTGAAAAGCATATTGACCATGTTTTATATTGATATTGAGGGATATCAATTTTCAATATGTATTATTATTGTTTCATCGCCCAGCCCTATCTCCAGCTGTTCTGAAAGGTCGAGGTCTCACGGTACATCAGTACATTTGTCTTTTGGCTTATTCCAAATTTGTCCAATTTCTGTTTATAAAATTAACAAATCAATAGCAGCTTAAAAAGGGTAAATCCGCCATCAGCTGCAGCCTCCATGACAACAAACATGACAAACAGTTACATCCCATTTCATAGATTTATGACCCGTCAATATAATGACAGGGGAAAAGATAGCAGCACGTTTCGTAGTAAACTTCTGCAGAACAGTTCAACCATTCACAACTTCACAGAGATCCCCACAAATGTAAATAAACACAATGTCAGTCACACCTGAACAGTACGACCTGAACCGTGACAGTTTATGGGGCGAGGACAGCTGTACAGGATTGCACTAGACTGTAGACACCTGTGCTGTAAAATACCACAATAAAAGCTTATCAACGTATCAGTGAGCCAAGTTAAACTCTCTTTGTGCAGCGTAGTGCAGGTTAAACTCAGTCAAAGTCAAAGTATCCCAGTACAATCCAAATATTTTATTTTACTGTATGAAAGAATAAAACATTGTCTCTGAGGGTGAGACATAAATCTCTGAGTTTCTCTGCACAGTGTCATCATTTCTCAGAAAAGGGTATGATCTAACTGACAGTGATAGTGATGTTCAGGCTGTAATGAAGTCCAGACTTTACACACAGATGCCTTAGCATGTTAATGAGAGGAGCCCCAAAACCTCCGGCAGAGGAACAATGAGACACACACACACACACACACACACACACACACACACACACACACACACACACACACACACACACACACACACACACACAGGCTTCAACTTCAAATTCTCAGCAGGAACATTTTCACTCACTAAAACACAATAACACAACAAGTACAAGAAGCTGAACTCACCTTTACTCGTGGTTGTGAACTTGTTAATCAAGTAAATCCAGATCCTCGTCGAGTAGAGAAACAAAGTGAGCTCGTGTCGTACCTGAGGTCAGCTCCTCGCGCACTTTGAACTCCCTCTAAGTCAAAAAAGGAAAAATAAAGTCTCTCTCTATCTCTGTCTGTCTATCAAAGCTCCATCCCAGCCTGTAATCCCGTCTCAAAATGCCAAACTTTGGAGACCAGAGTCCTTCACCTGTGTTCGGACTTTTCCCGAGCTTCCGGGAGTTTTGGGCGGTAATTACCTGTGCGCAGTGATCCGCGCGGTGAGTCCCGCGAGGAGCAGTAAGGGTGCGGCACGGCGGCTCCTCCGCTGCTCACTGACAAAGGCGCGTGCTGCTGGAGGAGGAGAGCTTTGGTATGCTGCTCCTACCAACCTGAGCGCGTGGTACCCGCCCCCAGCCACCAGGGGGCCGCCCTCCTCCAATGGGGGGGTTCGAACAGCCAATGAGAGAGGAGCTGAGAGTGATTGACAGGAAGAGCAGAGACCGTAATCAGTGGGTGGTGAATAATTGATAGGCAAGGTAAAGCAGAGGTCAGCGCTGATTCCCTGAAATGAGTTGGAATATTGTTTTTAAAAAAAAAGAGGAAGAAAAAATACTTTTAAATAAAAAGAAAATTATCGACGAATAAGCTATTTGCATTCAAAAGCTTTAAAAGTTTACTCTTTGTTACTTTATTAAAGAATAAATGTCAATGTTCTTTATTTATACAGTCCTTTACAACAACCCTTTTGGTGAACCAACGTGCTTTACAATACATAGAAAATAAAAATGAATAAATAAAAACAATAAAAAGCAATTTTAAAAAAAGAATAAAATACAATACAATATAGTAAAGTGTCACCACGCTACTGGTATTAAAAGCCAGAATAAATAAGTATGTTCTCAATCGGGATTTGGTTGTAAATAAGTCTCATTTCGTCAGGGAGCTTATTCCAGAGCGTGGGACCAGCGACTGAAAAGACTCGGTCACCCCAGTGTTTGTGTTTGGACCTGGGCACCTCCAGCAGAAGTTGATTTGATGACCTCAGAGCTCTACCCGGCTCCCAAAACGTTAACAGCTCAGTTAAACAAGAATAAGAATAAGAACTTTATTAATCCCTGAAGGGAAATTCAATTGTCTGTTGTCTCACATAATATGTCTCCAAAAGTTATCTACTATTTACACAAGAGTTATAAAGTCTAATGGTTGTTGGTACAAAAGATCTTCTGAATCTTTCTGTCCTGCACGAAGAGAGAGGAGCCATCCACCACCGCCCTTTGGTCCATCAAGGTGTTGTGAAATTGGTGAATCATGTTCTTTAGAATAGTCTCCACCTTCCTCAGTGTAGATTTCTCCACCACATCCTCCACAGAGTCCAGCTTGAGTCCAACCACAGAGTTTTTCAGATGTCTTGCATCTTTGTGTTTGATGCTTCCCCCCCAGCCTGAGTCTTCTCAGGCAAAAGAGGCGGCTCTGCCCCTTTCTGTAGATGAAGTCTATATTCTTAGAACAGTCCAACTTATTATCCAGGGGAATAGATAGATAGATAGATAGATAGATAGATAGATAGATAGATAGATAGATAGATAGATAGATAGATAGATAGATAGATAAAATAGATGGGGGCAAAGACGTTAAGAGCTTTAAAAACAGATATTAAAAGTTTCAAATCAATCCTAAAAGGGACAGGAAGCCAATGAAGGGAGCTGAGGACAGGAGTGATGTGCTCACGTCTGTTAGTGTTGGTTAAAAGACAGGCAGTAGCATTTTGGACAAGTTGAAGGCGACTAAGAGATGAGTGGGAGTTGCCATCATAAAGTGCATTACAATAGTCAATGGATGGCCATCTCAAGGTTGATGGCTTAAATAAAATTGATGTTTTGTATTATTATTTTGCAAAACAAATATTGCTATTTCTCAGCAACTCTTATTAAAAGCCATAAATTGAGATCTAAAACTTACATTTAAACACAGATTGTTATTATTCCCATGAGAAAGTGTTTCTGAACAAAGTTGGACAGAATTAAAATGTTTTAAAAAGACTGAAGTTCTCTGAAGTTGCTGCTCGGTTGATCACGAATAGAAAGGCAAGCAAAGGCAGTGTGTGCACCGGCTGGGTCTGTATAATATTAAATCTTAAGTTTAGGTAAAGGGGAGAGTGGAGTAAGATGAGCCATTTTTCATATTTTGGATCGCTACATCATGGTAATCATAATTTTGCCTCTAACTAGTGTATCTGCATACATTTCAGGATGTTGTGAATCCCTGCAAACCAACAGAATGAGTGTAAACAGAACTGTCTTGATAATACAGCATGCCAAAAAAAGTGGTCTCCTATGGTCAACTTACCCCGTGTATGGGGTAAGTTGACCATAGGAGCGAGGAAAGTTGAGCCGTGTCCCTACTGTCTGTTTGTCTGTGTCTGTATAATATTAAATCTTGAGTATAGGTACATGTGGTTAACTTGAACTGTGCATGAATATGCATGTGGTATTACATCACGACCTGCAAATCCAACACTTTCAGGGCTGCAAAGGCAAAGAAAGTGAGAATATCAGAGTCTTGATTTAGGTGAAAGGTGAAGGTTTTTATCTACTTTAGTGCCGTACCAGCCTCCCAAACATACAATAGAAGTGACTGCAGCACGGCTGGTCCCACTCCAGCTGTAGACCTTTGTGTTTGTCTCTCCTCTATGTTTCCTGTCTGTCATCTTTCAACTGTCTCCCATTGAATAAGGGGGAAATGCCTTAAATACTTTAATCTGCTGCCCCTGTTTAAACTAATGGGTAGAAAAAGTACCCGAAGAATGAAAACACCATCTGTAGTGGCCTGTCTGAACCTCAGAAGTGCAGTTTAATGTTCCCGTCCACCTCTCTACACTTCCATTCAAGCAGCTGCAGTTTCTGCTTTTCTTTTGGCGCAGAGCGTGTCTAATCCATTTTGTGGTATGGATCCCTTTAGTCTGTTCTATTGTTGGTGCAGGTTGTTCTGTGTCAGCCTCTGTAGGGTTTAAATTAGATGCAGCTTTGTTTGTTTTACAGCCACATTTTGCTAAAACAAGCAGTGAGAGGAGTCTGCTCTACAGCCTTCTGATCAAACTGAAGCAAATTAGGCAGAAACATTTAAAAATCGTCCGAATCCTGAACTGTTTCTCAGCGCGTCAGGAGTTCTGATCCTGTTGTTTTTCCTAATCCTGACTAAATCTTTCTCTTGTTTGTTTAAATGAGGACAGTGACAGCCACAGAAATAACACCAGAAACAATGGGCCTCCAGGCTCATCTTTAATTCAGAAGATGTGGGCACCAGGCCTGCAGACAGCACCGATCACCACCCCAGTGAGGGAGCAGAGTCCAGAGTCCAGAGAGGATGTTTTAGCATGAGAAGAATGTCAGAAACTTTTATGTAATTCCCTGTTGAATAACTGTTCACTGGTTTTGTCTATGGATCATTTACTTTCAGTCTCTTTACAGTGCAGTCCTCGTCTGAATATTCTTTTAAACAGTGGGGGGTGACTCCACTTTTTGGTGGAGAATCTTTGGATGGAGGATGAGAAGAAATCAAACCAGGTCCAGCCTCTGGAACTACTGCACTGTGTAAAATAAAACTGTACCGTATCTTATTGAGGCATTGTTGTGTTTTGTTTCTTACCATATTAGTTAGTTTGGTTTTGTATCGTATCATATTGTGTAGTATTGTACTGTATTATATCATATCATATTGTATCTTCTCTCATCTTACAGTATTGTATTGTGTATCTTATCATAACGGATTGTATCATATGGTTTCATATCGTATCATTTTGTTTGTTTGTTTTATCGAGTCCTGTCGTGTTTATCATATTGTGTAGTATTGTACTGTTGTATCTTCTCTCATCATACAGTATTGTATTGTGTATCATATCATATTAAACTGTATCATATAGTTTCGTATAATAGCATATTGTATCATTTGTCTTGTTTTTGTGTTGTGTTATACCGAATTGTATCTTACGATATCATTTTATTTTGTACTTTGTCACGCTGTCTCATATTTTATGTATTGTATTTTATCAGATTGTGCTGATTGTATCATTTTGTATATTGTCATGCCATGTTGTATCACATCATATTGTATTGCCTCTCATCAAACAGTATAGTATTGTGTATCATATCGTTTCGAATTGTATCATATATTTTTGTATACTAGCATATCGTATCATATTGTTTTGTAGCTCGCTGTAGCGAATCGTTTTGTTTTGAATCGTCTCATTTTATTTTGTACCTTGTCATGCTGTTACGTGTTTTATTGTATTGTAATATATCGTATCGTATTGTACTGTATCATATTGTACTGATCGTATCATTTTGTATCTTGTCATGCCACATTGTATCACATCATTTAAGTTTAACATGTTTGGTTGTATCACAGAGTGTAGTCTTTTGTTGGTTTTGTGTTGTATTATGTTGTTTGTATTGTATTGTATCACGTCATCTCCTATTATACAGTAACCTATTGTATGACACCAAACGATATTACACAATATTGGACTATATATTATTGTTTTGTGTCATATCCTTTGACTTGACTGGCCTGAGAATAATGCCAACTGAACTGATTCAAACTTCCTGATCTTGTCTGACAGATCTTTAGGAGACTCCTGACCATCTGAAGGCCGTTATATCTATCCTGTTTCTGTTCCTCTTTTTGTTTCATTGGTTTGTAAATTTTTGAGGATTGTGTAAACTAGAAAACACTGAATGAAGTATGTCAGGGACAAAATGACTTCAGACGGCAGAGCTGCAGCGCTGGACGAGCTCTTTGCACTCAAGATCAGTGCGATGAAGTTTACGGTACTCCAGAGTCTCATTGAAAAAGTAAAGACATCATGAAAATGAGTGGAGAAAAGAAGATGAAAGAGGAAATAACAGGACGATAGCAGAGAATGACACAGACGGGGCAGAGCGGACACACTTTCCTGTTTATACAAACGGCAGAGAGCGAGGAGGTTAGCGTGTGAGAGCTGTGACAGGCGTGTTTGTCCAACATGAACAATCTGCTTTCCTTCGAGGCACATTTGTGTGTACCCGTGTGTGTTCCAGCGGTCAGAGTTTCCACTTTGTCGTATCGGGCCTCTTCTTGCTCTTATTCTCTCTCAGCGTCACAGCCAGCTGCAGGGAGGGGGAGGCCTGCGCATGCGGTCGCCATAGAGACGAGGATGCTGATTGCCCCTCTGTGTCTTCCGCACCTGTTTGTCGGCGAACATGTCCAAACACATCTTTCACGCAGGGGGTTAATTCCTTCCAGACGCAGGTTAGCAGCAGGCCAGAGACACGTACGATTAAATTACATGTTTGAAATCTTCTGTTATTGCTCCATTGATCATATCTGATGTCGGTTCTCTTTGTATGAGTGAACGTGAAACAGTGGCTGGGGAGAGGGTTTGTTTCCCCATTCATCAGGACGATCTAGTCAGAGCTGACAGCAACATGGAACAAAATCTGTGTCCGTGATTTTACTGATCAATATTTACGGCTCTGAAAGGAAGGTTCAACAAAAACTCATTTCACACGAAACTTTCAAACCGAGCAGCAGAAATTCAGCTGAAGTGAGAATACGTCAGTCTGTGGTTGTGTCTGGGTTGTGGTCATGCCCCCATTTCATTTCCTCTCCTTTTTGCTCAGCATGACAAATGTGGCACCAAAGTGGCTTTGCCCTCTCAGTGTTTAACCGTACTGTAGGAACAGAAAAGTATTACTTAATCTGTACTTTTTTTTTGTTTTGTTTTAGTTGTGCAATTCTGAGAGTTTCACACGAAGAAGTTCAAGTTTGAACTCTAAAAAACAACCCATCATACAACTGGATACCAACGCACATGTAACCCACATCCTCTGTGTGTCTGCCAGCTGCCGCTCGCTCTCTTCTCTACACTCCTCCAAGACTCTGCGTTTGGTTTTTAATGTTATAGTTTGGAGATGTAATGGCATCATCACAAAAAAGTCTCATTAAGAAATTTATCTCTGATACGACCAATTAACTGACAAAATAACAAATCTCGGCTTAAAGGTGGGGTAGGCAGGATTTTGTTAAAGAAGCATCTTTTTTTGTGGTGTATTTACAAAAAAGCTTTTAATATCAGTCAATAGTTATTTGTTATTGATGACATTTTGTAATATCACAACATCACTGTGTTCTGTTATGTCTGTGTAGTCAATATTTTTACATTTTTTGAGCAGCCCGCTCTGTAAACAAAGCTATTCTCAGCCTCCCCCATCCTGATTGGAAGCTGCTCCCTCTTGTTGTGAGGGGTAGAGTTTACATTCAAGATTTCTCCCAAAAACTGGCATTTCCTCAGATCCTGACTACTCCACCTTTAATTAAAAACATGATATTTAATTTTGATATTCAACAAAACGAAGACAAAAGGCCTAATGAGGCTACTTCCTCCAATAAACAAAGATAAACTCACTTAAAAACTATTCAGATCCCGACAAAGCGCTTAATCTTAAAGCCATGTTGAATACTTACCTCTGATTGGTCAATACTCCTCAGCAACAGTCTGTTATTTCCCAGTAGGATACTGTTGCTATGGATACGGCTCTGCAGACTCCTTAATAAGTTATTTTAATCAATCCGCTGAAAGAAGTCCAGTCAAGTTTGTCTCTGGTGAGTAAAAAAGGTCAGATTATGACGGGGATCTTTTCTGCACAAGAACAGAGAAATGGACAAAAACTGACAGACGCAAATGAGGTGAAACAATAACTTTTTTTTGTCTTTGGCATATTATTGTCCTTTTTTTGTTATTTTACCTGACATTCTTTATAATCAGACCACATACCTCCCTGAAAAACTGCAGGAATGTTCTCTAAGTACGTAACTTCAGCAGGCTAGGATCACTGCAGCAGCACGACACGACTGAGAGTTCAACAGCAGCCTCCAAACGGTTAGTTTCCTTATCTTCTCCCTTCAAATTTAGCTCCAACCTTCAGTTGTTGTTTTCCTTTTATCTCTAGTGTTTGGGATTCAGGGTCCTATTAGAACCGCTAATACATGCAGGATCCCAAACCTTGACTCAGCTTCCTGTCCCTCCTTTCTGCAACAAGTAGTTGAAGCATCAGAAGAAACAGAAACAATTCAGTTCAAGGCCAAAAGGTTACTCTTTAAAAAGAGAGCTCTGTTACTAAAACAGAGGGAGGGAAGCTCTATTTTTTCGAGCAGGAAGAAAAAAGAGGAAAAGGAAACTCTGTGTGCATCCCATCACAACGACGGAGGAAAAGCATAAGTGATTTATTGTAGAGGGCGGGGACTTTTTTTTACCCAGCGTGCCAGAGCGGGAAAACAACTTCACGACGGCCACATCACCTCCCGCAGGCCGCCATGAGAGAGGGTCGCGTGTGAGCTGGAGACTGTGTCAGCGAGTGTGCACAGGCGTGCATGTTTGTCAGAATCATGTGGGGTCTTGTGCAACGTGTTTGAGTCTGAGTTGCGGCTGTACGTGTTTGCGTGTGCATGAACCCCATATGGAGCTGCTTACTGTCATCTGGCTCTGGTTTTTTTTTTAGGAGGGCCTTGATGTCCCAGTGATTGCCCTCATCGCTGATTTCCACCCCAGACCGCTCTTAATGCCATTAACGGGAAGTGAATCCTACTTAAGGAGAGAGCGGAGGGGAAGCCATGCATGTGCGCTACAAGCAGCTGGCAGCTGGTAGTGTTTGTAAAGCCCCCTTTTCTCCCCCCTTCACTAAAACGCACACATTTCCCTGACATCCTAGTAACTCAGCCGTCATCAAAGCCACGCATGGCAGACTAAAAGAGACAACTTGGCGCTTGTTTTCGGAGGATCCAGAGTGAAGCGCCGCAGCATCAACACGATCTGGATAAAAGTCAGAATGGCTCAGCTGTTTTAGATTTTTCTCCAATCGGTCACAGTGATGAGTCCGCAGAGTATCAGCATCCAGATCTGGAGTTCCCCACACAGCTCTGCCGGAACATTTGAGTGTTTTTTTTTTTTCGTCTTAACTGCCCACATCTTTTCTGTTTAGTTTAACATCATATCCAGACACAACAAGCAGCTGTTGGCACGAACACGACTCTGGATCAATTCAAGTCGATTTCCCCTTCAAAGCAACAAACAACAGACGAGCTGGAGGAGCGTTTTCTGAAGACACAGCCTGATGTGTCCTTCGAGGTGTGGAGGAGACCAAAAACAGAGCAAAAATGTGCAAACTTTGGACTTCAATTGTTTAAAGTTGCTCCAAATTTTGCATTTAAGTCCGACACACTGACTAGAAAACTTTCAAGATTGTGTAAACTTTGGCGCCCCCTGTGGACAAAGTCATCTTTGCTTATCTTGATGCTACTTATGAAAATAGCGTCATCGGTAAATCACATTTGACCTTTCGCAGTCAAATGTATCATTTTGTGGGTATTTCATGTTAAATTTTTAAAAGTTGAGCTGATTCTGTAATCGATTAAATTGGTCCTTAAAGGTGGGATAGGCAGGATCGGAGGAAGTGCCAGTTTTGGGGAGATATATACACCACAAAAAAAGATGCTTCTTTAACAGAATCCCACCTAACCCACCTTTAAAGGAAAAAAATCATTAATTCAAAAACAGCCGGATGACGAGGACAGTATTCAAGGATTTCTTAGTGACCGCACACTTGGGGTTGCAAGTGTACATCCTTCTAATTATAATGGGAAAAAAGTGAAGTTTCATGAAACAGCAGGAAGAAGAAATCTCTCTCTCTGTTTAATGACAAAAATGAGTGGACATGCCTTCAGCCTGTAAAAGCAGAGACAGAAACAGCCGAACCAAAGAGGTGAAGAATGCGAAGAGTCGAGCTCCTCTGCCTCTTTGAGAGGATCACATGACCTCTGCAGGAACACTCGGAGCTCTCTCTCTCTCTCTCTCTCGTATCTGTTGCCACATGTAGTAGTAACTAATGTTTCTCATTCCTCCTCAGCTATTCATTAACCTCTCCTCCTCCTCGTCTGTTTTCACTCCTCTTTCTTTGTTTTTACTTCTTTATTTATCCAACCACGCAGCAGAGCGGATCCTCTATTTACCGAAACACAGTAAACGCTCACTTCCACATTTCGGCTCTGCCACCAAACCTCAAGGCCTCAAGGTTATTCCCAGACTTTTCAGCTGAATGATCCCTTATCTAGATGTTGGCCTCTTCTCGTCCACACCTGATAAACTCAGAGCAAAGCTTTGCTGTTTTTCCACGTTTAGTTTCTGATTTCTGGATTCGATTTTTAAAGTGAGGAAACACAAAGGAAACTCATTTTAAAGTCAAAGAGCGGAAAAGCCTCTTGGATAAGATTAAAACAAAACAGTCGAGCCTCATAAGAGCGGCGGCGGTGTTATCAGGGTTCAGCGCACATGATCAGAGCGCTCAAGGCCACAGGAGACACCGTTTAGGATACAGATGAAATACCAGAGTGTGTCAAAGTGTGCCTGAGCCAAGGATCCAGATACCGGGGGTGGAGGATTCTTCTAAAATGCAAAGCAGTGTGTTCGAACTTTCTTTGGATCCCATTTTCCTGCTCCTCCCAGGATCAGTTTCAGGAAGGCTCCGGCTTTAAGGGTTAGGACAGCACAGAAATATTTCTTCACTGACCCGTCTGCAGGTCTGGGTGGTAAAGCAGAATCATCTATCAGTCCAGGCTAAAGGGGCAGAAACCGTCTCTACCTGCTTTAGGTCTAGATTTTACCTCCTTCTCCATCCTCTTCACTTGAAATCATGTCCCATCAGAGTCACTGATATACAGTCTTTTCTGAGAGTCTCTGAGCTCCATCATACTGTAGGTTCCTCTTATATTTGGGTGACCATACGTCCTCTTTTACCTGGACATGTCCTTTTTTTTGCAGGCTGTCCGGGTTTGTCCGGAGGAGTTTATAAAATCCTTCAAATGTTTGCGGTTTTGTACTTAAGTTTCAATTTTGTGTCACGTGGACTTACAGAATTAGCAGTGCGTAAAAATCACTCGATCCGACCCGAGAAACTCTCAAAATTAACCTTGTGGGACTCTGTGACTCCACCCCCAGCGTAGTCGGGTCCTCTTTTTGGGTAGTCAGAATATGGTCACCCTATCTTATGTAGAATGGACGCCGTCTGCCTCCTCGCTGGACGAAGCAACCACGAGAACAGCACCCTCTAGTGACAGACTGCAGTATGGGTCGTAAATCCCGCCTCCTCCAGCAATCCTTATGGGGCTGTGGACAAACTTCAGAAATTTATTACACAGAATATAAATGTTTCTTCACCCTGGTTGTGATGTCGACATGTAGTTACTGTCAGACTGGTTTGTGCTCAAGTCCTCTTTTTTCTGTGCAGCTCCATTTTTTAAGGTTATTAGTGGGTTCATGTTTTCTATGATTGACACCTGATACAGCCAATGAGTGTACGAAGATTGTGTAGCTCACCTGGGGAATACGCTGTTTGAGCAGAACGTCATCACAGCGACTCTCCCGCTGAACGCGTACAACGCTGCTACGCAAGTGATGGTTCCAGGAAGTGGAGAAAATCACAGAAATACCAAGAGCGGAGCCAAGTTGTCCATAGCATATACAGTCTATGGGTCCTCTGGATCGCTGCTGCAGACTTGTCAAGTTCTTGCAGCAGGATCTCTCTAACTGCTTACCAGGAGCTGATGAATGGAGGAACTATTTTTAAGCACTAGTCAAGTTTTATAAGACAGTACAGTTTATAACAGCGGTGAAGAGTGATTTCCTAAATGGTCAATTAAAATAATTCAGATTCCGATGATGTTTTACGGTTCATGACAGAGATTCAAACCCGATAATAAAAGTATTGCTCAACTGTAAAACATTCGCTCCGTATCACAAAATAAAACGATCTGACAACAGGTCTGTTTGGTCTGGCTTTCATGACGTTCACTCCCTTTTTCTCTCCCTCAGCGTTTTTATCACATTTTGTCTGGATTCACTGATTGATTGTATAACATTATCATTCTGTCTGTTGTAACTCCTCAATCAAGGGTTTAAAATGTGCTACAGAAATGGGAAATGACGACTGTAAAGGAAGCTAGTGACTATCTGTGTCTAATCTCAAGGTTTGGTTTCCCTCCAGAGTTTCACCCCCATTTAGAGACACCCGGTCTCTAAAATGTGACACTAATGCTCAATTTTTCAGACTCAAGTTGACCTTTAAAGGGATACTCCGGTGTAAATTTAAATTATGGTCAAACACACTGTTACACTTAGAGTTAGAAACCCCATTGAGAAATGAATGTTGCCGACCGCTTGCGTCTCTAGTTATACCAACTTTAGTAACGACCGCACGATAGCAATACACAGCAATCTGAGGAGCCATAAACAAACATCAACCAAGACGCCACTCTATAGCCACAAATAATGTTCAGAACAGCACCTAACTTCATCAACAAGACATATAGGGTCCCAGCCATAGTACTAGCCATCAAACATCTTTTTAACTTTGACCAATTTCTTTAGCAAAGAGACTAAACACTTATAAGTAGAGTTAATTTTTTAAGACCCTTCGAAATTGTATTTAAGGCATTTTATGACATTTTAAGGGAATTTTAGACATTTTACAGCCTTTTATTGAAATTATTGGATTTTAGACTCTTTGCGACCCTGGAAAATGTGCAAAGGAGCCTCAACCAAGTGTTGAGAGTAAAATGAAAGTTGGAGGTTGGATATGTATTTTAAAGCTTCCTCTAAGGAATTTTTGTTTTTATAGCGCCCCCTGTGGACAAAGCAGACTCTTCTTTTGTTGTCTTTTAATAAACCTCCTTCCCTGCTGACTCCTGACAGTCAAATGTGACACCCACCCCCCACATTTCACAGCATAAAAACTGTCAGTGTTGCTGCTAATGGTCTTCTTTTCTGTCATGTGTCATAAAAATGCATTTCTATGAATTTCTGCCTGTTTGGTAAACATGGAAAATTCCTCACAGGAGCTTTAATTATATTTTTTTTTCAGGAAATGTGACAATAACCTTAAAACACTAGAGTTATAATTCTCATGAACTAAGAGACAAAATCACCAAAGTTAGAAGAAAGCTTGAGATGTTTCACCTGACAGAAAATAAAGAGAGAAAAGAATAAAGTTAATGTGATTCTGCTCAGAAAAACTCTGACTTGAAATAAAACATCTGGTGCGTTATGAGATTTTTCGTTCTTGAAGGTTTGAGGTTTGTTGTCTTTGTGGACGGAGGATTATCCTGCCACAACAAGACCGAACGGGCGAGGAGAAGAGCTGAACATGCAGAGCTGTGGCGTTCTCAGACTTGACAATAGTGTGTTTGTTGTGTTGATACCAGAGTTAGAGAGCGTCCTCTTCTTCTATAGCGCCCCCCTCTGGCTAAAGAACAAAACACAATTCAGACCAAAGACAGAAAAGAGTCCAAACAGTTTGTTTTAAAGATTTTTTTAAATATTATTTTAATACTTTTCTTAAAAAAAGATGCTTTACTCCATAACCCGAACATGTTGAATCTATTGACCTCAATGCCTCACTCACCAACATACCGACAGGTTGTTCTGGTTAAAATAAAATCAGAGGAAAATGGCAAAGGAGAAAAAAAAAAAAGAACTCAAAACAATCAAATATGAAAAAGGGAAAAGAAATGAATGAAACATTGAAAAAAAAAAAAAAAAAGCGGTTATAGATTCGAGAACACTCACAGATCTCTGGGCCAACCGAATGAAGTCAGGAGAATGTCCTACTTCCAGAAAAACACAATGGCACACGACATCCCAAATGAGTCAGCGTGGACAGTGAAGGATTTTCAAAATAAAACTAAAAGAAGACGAACAAAAACCTATTTTACAGACCGAAGCTGTGAGAGGACAGACGGCTTAGAAAGACTAAAAACATGAACATGATGAGGGGAGGGCTTTAAAAAAAGGAAGTCATAATGAGATAAGTGCAGGTATTGAACACACAATGACCGCGGCGTCACGCGAACCGACGCTGGAGCCGCTTCTTCGATCTATGACAGAGCAAACTGCTGCAAAACTTCGGATTTAAAAGGGCGGGCGAAGGGGGAAATTAAATAGCAATAAAAACATAGCCTTTAATATAAAGTGAAAAGAAGATGCATTTTACACGTAAAAAATGAGAATGAACTTTCAGCACTCAATAGATTGGTTTTGGCATAGAGTCGAGAAAAAAAAAAAACAGAAAAAAGGTAAGAGAGAGAGAGAAAGAGAGAGAGAATAAGACAGACGAAACAATCCTCTCAATAGAATCATAAAAAAGTTTTTTCTTCTTTACAGTAAATTCTACAAAATCAAAACCAGAGCTCAGAGATGAACACAGAGACGAGCTTCACTCCTCCCAAATCCTAATTCTTCTCATGTTCTTTTGCGCTGACGTTGCGTCGTATATAATATATATTCATGTATCTATTTATATATATAATATGTATAATTTGTTGGGTATGATTGTTAGTTTACAGGCCGGAGCGCTAAGGCAAAGGACACACTCTGAGACGCTCAAAATGACCGTTTCCCTCCTCCTCCTCCTCGTCATCAGCATCGCTGACGCCTCCGTCTTATCGACTGATGAGAGAGAGTGAGAGTGATAGAGAGAGAGATAGAGAGAGAATAAGAAGTAAAGGGAGGAAGGATGGATCAGAAGAGTGTGTGTGTGTGTGGGAGTGGGAGTGGCCGAGGGTGTTGTGTCCCACTGTGTCCCGAGAAAACGCGCCACTCTCAGGTGACTCCTGTGCCCCACAAACTAGACCACATCAGCTTCAGTTAAAATCCAACAGAAACTAAAAAAAAAAAAAACTGAACAGACGAGGAGAGAGGAAAAGACGAAAACAAAGTTATCTGTCCGTTTGTGAATTTGTTCACCTGTTCGTTCTACACCTCCGCCTTTCTTCTCAGACATCGGAGAAATGCGCATTTATTGAATTTCTTAAATTAAACCATTCTTTGTGTGTGTAAAAGTTCTGTCCCCTCCTTTTCGTTCGGCCTCGCCTCGTTCTTTTTTTTTTTTTTCTCAATAACCTCGAGGGAGACGACTATCTGATTATTTCACTGTCCATCCGTCCGCCCCGGAGACCCGGACCCAACCAGCAAAAACACCAAGCCAGACACCAAAACGTATCTGAGGTTGGAGGAAAGGAGGGTTTGCTTTTTTTCTATTTCACTTCCCCCCCTCTCATTCACATGACACAAGCCAGCTGTTTCAACTACTGAGAGAAAGGGACAGTTACTATCGAGTCTGTGTTGGTGTGTTTGTGTGAGAGCAGCGACTGTGTTTTCAGAGCTTTGTGGTTTATATGCATGTTTGGACATTTTGCTTATGTTTCTCTGTAGGTCCTTCTTTCACTCTGCTCCTTTCTCTGCTCAAAACAGGTTCTCTTCAAAGATGGCCATCAGGTCACTCTGGAAGTTTATGTCAATGGTGTCAGCCATCTGTGTGGAGGGAGAGAGCGGGAAAGTTCGGCGTTACAGGCATGTCGAAGATGAGACCCACTCAGATGAAAATCACGTTTTTCTCGTTGTCTACATGATCATTTTTCTGATGCTGAAGGACGTATCATGAGAAAAATAAGTACAAAATCGCATTTCTGAGTATTTCTTTATTCAAATTAGAGCATGACAGCGGATTTTCATTCCTGTCCCATCCCAATCCCGGACCGGAGTAAAAAAATTAATCCTGTCCTGTCCCACTCCCATAGAATGACTCCCACTCCCACTCCTGTCCCACTCCCGTTTGAATGAAACCAAACATGTTGAAAAAACAGACGCATTTGTTCATCTGGTTGTTTAACACGGCTGAAAATGATCATCTATTACTGTTGTTCCCACTCCTGACCGCTCCTGTTGCTTTTTTCCCCGTCCCGCCCTGATCATGGGATTGATTAAAAAAATGACTCCCATCCTGTGGGATCCCCGCGGGACCCACGGGAATTTTCGAAAAATGTCATCCTCTAATTCAAATCTCTGTGAATCTCTGGGAGACCCAAACAGCAGGTTCAGACCCAGTGAGATTTCCTACGTAGCGAATCCAAGCTCCGCCCCCTGAGCGAGGATGATCGCGGAACGAGCGTGTGCGTTAGCGGATCGAATAAGTTAATTATGATATGAAGTTTTATCATGTCCCAAAAGACATCCCACTGAGCAAAAGACGGCTATTAGAGAGTTCATTTATGTGTGTAAGTGAAGTCAGGCTTCATTTTTGGCAGTTAAGCGTACCGTAAATTGGCTAAGCTAGCAGCTACAGAGCACAAGACCTTTTATTTCAATCATAATTATCGTCGTATATCATTATAACGGCTTCCAGCCTCATTACATAAGAATCTGCAAAACAATCTTTTTAAGAATGACACCAAACAGATAGCAAATTTATCCAATACCGTTTAAGTAACGAGAACATTTATGACATTTTGTCGTCATTACATAACGGGATACTATGATACTTGCATTGCAATAAATAAGTTAGAAAGGCCATTTGTATTCTGTGAAAGCTGTTTTAATTTGTAACGGATGTAATGTTTTATTTTGGTGACGACCGAAGGAAGTGTGGAATGCGCTGATGATGTAACAGGGTGTTTCGGCAACGAAGAGTAATCCATGAGCAGGAAGCAGGGAATACGGTGTGGATCGGAACTCAGCTTGTGAGACGTAGAGAGGATTATCGCTGAACAAGCGTGTGCATTAGTGGATTGCAATGCTTGTAAAAAAGCTAATTATGATATTAGTTTTTATCATGTCCCCTAAAGACATTAGTGTCTGACAGCTGAAAAAAGCTCCTATGTTACCTGCTTCTTCTACGAAATCGGCAATGTTAGGCTACAAGCTAGCATGAAGAGGAGTGTGTGGGGCGGCAATGTCTCCGCCCACGACTCGGAGACGAATTGCAAATGAGCTGCTGGAGCTCTGCAGAAGAAAAGTCCTTGAAAATAACACTGGTAACGTGATTTTGACTAAAAACTTTATCATCACGATTTAAAGACATCTGAGAACACTTTGAGTTGTTATAAAACATTTTTTTTAAAAGATCGGAGTGGGACTTTAAAGACAGAAACTCACCGCCTCTCTCCTGCGTCTCTCCTGCTCGCGGCGGCGTGCCATCTCCCTCTGGTCGAGGGCGTTCTGTGAAGCGGAGGAGGGCGGGGTCGGAGCTTGTTGCGGAGGGGGAGGGGCCTGCGGAGAGTGAGTGGGCGGGGTCGAAGCTGGAGGTGTGGGGGCGAGAGGAGACTGCTGCTCCTGGCGACGGCGGGTGTCTTCTTGAGCTCGGCGAGCGTGCTCCATGGTGTCATCATCGTCACGGCTACAGAGTGAAAACAGAGATCGGTCAGCTGGCTGATGGAGCTAAAGTGACGCTCATGAGTGTGAACGTCTTCTTCTACTGTACCGTAGCTTCTCCTGCTCCCTCCTGGCCTGCTCAGCCTGTGCTTTCAGCTGTCTCTCTCTCTCCTCCTTCTCCTTGGCGGCCCGTCTGAACTGTTCGAAGCTGTCGCTGGAGGAGCGCACGGAGGAGGCTGGCGTGGACTGGGACCTCTGAGCGAGGCTGGCCCAGGAGCCCATGTTCTTTAACTTCACGTCCAGGGTCAGAACAGGAGGAGGAGGAGAAGGTGTCAGATGGAGGAAGTGTGGCGCCGACTCGGCTGTCAACCTTGAAGTCTGGTTTCTACATACCTGTGTCTTCTTGCCAGAGATGGGAGTTTTGGGCTCTTGCTTGATTTTGTTGTCCTGTTGGGGGCAGGGGGGTACTGGGGAGTCCGTGTGGCGGGAACCAGTGCGGGAGTTGTCCAACGACTTTGACTCTAATCCTGAGAGAAGAAAACAAACACCACTTTAAAGCTCCTATGAGGAACTTCCTGTTTGCTTTTGGTGCCCCCCTGTGGTAAAAGTGAACCCTCATACTTTCTGATCTTGACTAAATCCTAAACTGACTCTCTTTTAAGTCATTCAGTGCCATTTCCTTTGTTTTCCACCAGAGGGTGCTCCTCCCCGATATGGGACTAAGTCTGGGGTCGTTCTGAACGCAGAAAAGCCGACAAATACGTCATAACCAAGTACTCGTCGGTTAGAAGTGTGCCGATTAGCCGAGTTGTGGAGTTTTTTTCTCTATGCGGAGAGAATGCTGAAGTCATCAGCCGATAGCTAACGTTCTCACCGCATCAGCTCCCATGGGCGCGGTGCTACCATCTCTGGATCCAGTGGAGATTCTGGTACCAGACCTTCACATCGTCAGCAGACCATAAAAGAAACAATTTTCCGACGTGTCGTTGTGAGAGAGACTGAACCGAAATTTAGCGACAGTCCCGGCGAGGAGGATGCGAGCAGTCTGCGGGGTTTACATCACAGCATCAGGTTTTGACCTATCACAATCGGATCTCGAGAGTGATGAGAAGTAGTGTCCAAGGAGCGAGGACCTTGATGCCGCCGGTAAAGAAGTTTGAAGTGAAACGAAATAGACGATCGAAGTTCTGCTTTAAAGTCTCTCCTTCGTAAAAATGTGTTTCTCTCAGGTTTTTTTTTCCAGATCAACAAAGATGATATGACCACGCTGCATTGAGCAGACAATAACTAAACACAGGAGTGGGTTAGAGACTAACTTTTTAGTTAGAAGAGAATCACCCCTTTCTTTTGAGATATTGAAATTAATTCTAGTCTAAGATATTCTGTGGGTCCTGAAAGGTTGCAGTTACTGGTGGCACTGGGTGAAAATTGCATAAATGAACGTGGCACTGAATGAGTTAGAAGTCAAACGTCTGCAGTGGGACCTTCTTCAGCCTTTCAGTGTAACAGACTCTTTTTTACAAAGCAGAATATTGCCTCACTGTGTTTGTTGTCAGGTTTGTGTACGTCTTGCCGCATCACAGGACTAAAAGGCGAGGGGGGCAGAACGGGCGACTGGGTGGGCTTCTCTTCTTTGACACCCACCAGGTTGGACCTCTGCTCCTACACAGAGACACACAGCATGTTTAATGAAGAGACTAGACTTTAAGGGTTAACTTTACACGTGGACAGCTCGTATATGTAGTTAGGAGAAGAAGAGGTGTAACGCTCACGTGTTTCTTGGTCTGTGAGGGTGACTGCTGTCCCATCGGGTGGAACTGAGGCATCTGAGGAGAGTGCATCATCAGGGGAGACGGGCTCTCACGTTGGCAACCTTCAAAATAAGGATTGGAAACATGAGTAACTTGTGAAATATATGAAGGAAGAAGTGCAGACAAGTGTACCTGCAGGATGTATAACCTGAAATACTTTAAAACATTTACCAAATCAAATCAAATTATTTATATAGCGAAAAAATCACTACAGTCGTTATTCCAAGACGCTTTCCAAAAACAGAGCCAGACCCATCTCATCTAACATGAGTGACAGCGGCAAGAAAAAACTTCCTCTTAACAGACAGAAACCTTGAGCAGGACCAGACTCATGTTAGACAGCCATCAGGCCGCTGCTGAGTTGGGAGAATTTAGGACTGGGCGATTATATGATCGTAATAAATTTCAGATCGATCACGGTGATTAGCTGTGAGCATATTTACTCGATCAAACATGGCGGTAATGTGTGTGACAACAGCCAATCAGTGTCCGAGCTTTTCCTGCTCACTTCTCTAAGTTACCGAAGAAGCAAACAGAACGACTGAATGTGGAGCTGAGGGCAGCAAAATAGATGTCAGCCGTGAGTGAGTCATTCTTCTAGAGATGTCATTGTTGAGAAGAAAAGTTATTCAACGTTGGTTGTGTTCTCTTGGTTGTGTTCTGGTATCTCCAAAGTGACGTCGAGTGGTTAAGCTGATGTGTAAGGTATGTCGGCGGTTGGTGCCCTCAAAAACCAGCAACACAACAGATCTGTTTAATCGTTCGAAGAAGTACCTCCCAAGTGATTATGGGGAAAGTATGAAAATGCGAAAGGTGTCTGCACAGCCTGACGGCACAAGTAGCATTAGCAGTTTAGCCACATCTACGTTTACATCATATAATGTTTACATTTTAAGGCGTCTTCATTGTCCCTGAGGGGGTGATTTGTTTATTTTGGGTCTTACATTACTGCAAAAACACTCAGGACTGTAAACTAATTCACTGTATTATTTAGTATTTATCTACATTTGTTGTTCTGTTGAGTTAAAATGTTTTTAATAAACTTTTCTAAGTTTATTTTATTCAGTTTGCTTTGTTATTTATTTTGTATGTTAATAAAATGAACTAATCTCTGTTTCTTTAGTTTTAGCACAGTTGCTTTTAAACTGGCAGTTTAAAAAAATACAAAACAAATCTTGATAATAATCGAGATCGGACGATATGACAAAATAAATCGTGATCATTGTTTTTGCTAAATCGGCCGGTCCGAAGAGAATTTTAATATTTTGTTGTTTGGGTGTTTCTTCGTGTGTTTGTGGCTGCCTTTGGGTGGGGATGTCATGATGTTTCTGAATCACAGTTTTTCTCTCTCCTCTCAGTTTGTTTGACGTCGGTTTTGTTTGATTTCTGGCGGCAGCTTCTACTTCAAACTGAAACAGAAATCTCACCTGCTGAGAAAGGCTCTGCTTTGTTGTGTGGAGACTGCTGCTGCTGCTGCTGATGTTGTTGTTGCATCTGATGCACCTTCTGCTGCAGGGCCACCCTTTTCTGCTGCTGTGGCGCCGACGTGTTCATGTGCGGGAAGGGCTGCCGCATGTGAGAATGACCCGAGCTGAGTCTCTGCGTCAGAGCGGGGTTCGATGTGGTCACCGGCTGTGCGTTGATTGACTGCATGAGCTGAGACGTGTTCGACATGGGCGAATGCGTGAGCGTGTGTAAGGTCTGCGCCGGCGGTCGAGGCTGGAGCGACTGCAGGAAGGTGTGGACCTGACTGAGGGACGTGATGTCAGCGCTGGTGGGCGTCGGCTCCTCGTCGTCCTCCAGGAGGGCTTGGGGCGGTTGTGCCGAGAGAGTACCCAAGATTCCGTGCGATGGCGGCGACGGGACGCGGGGGCGGGGGACGGGCTGGGGGAGCGAGAGGGGCAGCGAGGGCTGAAGCTTGGGCGAGGACGATGGAGGCAGGGAGGGGAGCGTGGACGGGGCAGGCTGGGAGATTTTCGGAGGGAGCGGCGCCGCTCTGTTGCTGGGTCTTGATGGTTGCTGGGGGAGGGCGTTATGGACCGCTGTGAAAATACAAGAAGAGGAAGAAGAACGGATCAGAACAAGTCCAAACTCAATATCTATACAGTGTGAGACATCTAGATTAGATTAGATCTAGATTCAGCACTAGCAGGATCACTATCCTGAGATCTGACTGAAAGAGACTTTTGGTTAGAGAGTCAGGCCTCTCTGTAACATCTCTTCTTATTGGTCAGGAATCAAAAATCAAAGTGTCTGGACCCGGGTACTGATGGAGCAATCTCTGTTTTCTATTGAATGCTTCATGATGGAGGCCCAGTGAATAAAGAAACTTCTAAAAAAGCATGGGCAGATCAGTTGAATATGGAGATAACAGATGGGATTTAGGAAGAATGTCTACGAAATGTACAAAAGTGTCACCAGACACATCCTAATACAGTATCAAGTGCTCCACAGACTTCGTTACTCGCAAGAAAAAACTACATAAATTTTACCCTGATGTCCCACCAACATGCAACAAATGTAAATCCTCGATAGGTACACTAACACATCCATTCTGGGCATGTAGTAAACTTCATTTATTTTCAGTGTTTTTCTAAGGCTTTTGATAAAAATCCTTTTTTCTGTCAGATGTTCAGTTCAATTTAGGATGGTTGCTAAAAAGCTGATTCTACGAGTTTGGAAAACAGACTCTGTGCCCACTTAAAACTTATGGTTGGGAGAACCGTCAAACATGTTACATTTGGAGAGACTGTGATTCTACAATTAAGATAGAGGGGAAACATTTGATGAAACATGGACCCTGTACTGAATTACCTTAAAAATGTGAGCCCATAGTCTCTGGCTGTTATACAAAAAAGCCTCACAGTGCAAACAAAAGTATGATCTTGTTTACCGACCTATTTACTTTACTGTTATTATGACAGTCATAATTTTATGTCTGCTTTAATATTCTGTATAGTTGATACTCATTTTATAAACATGTAATATAGTTCTAATTCTTGATGTGCTGCGTTTTGTCCTCCTGTTTTTTTTTTCATTATTTACATTTATCTATATTTTTCTTTTCATTTTAATGTTCATTGGAAATTAATAAACATATTTCTAATAAAAACAAAACAAAAAACAAAACAAAACAAAGTCTCCTCTGTAACAGCTGATGTCAGACCAGGAACTGAACCTGGATCTGTCCCTAGTTTCGAGTTTGCTGATTGTCATTAAAACAGGTTACCCACAGGGAAGTTGTGATGTTGTTGTTGTAGTCCACACACCTGGTGAGGGGATGATGGGATGTTGGTTTAGGAAAGGGTGCGTCTCAGCGGGTGTCTGGCCGGTGGGCGGGTTTACGTTAAGGGGGCCGGACATGACGGGGGCACCGGTGGGAGTAATGGTCGGATTGGGCTCTGTGTTGGACTGAGTCAGGTGAGGGTTCATGAAGTGAGCCAGAGGATCAAATCCAGGGCTCAGCAGCTGAGAGTCCAGAGACGGGACAGGAACGGGGACTGGGAGAGGGGGGACGAACGGCGGTTTGGACTGGACCGCCGGAGGCTGAGTCAGGGGCTGAGGAGCGACTGGACCCGTTCCACTACTGAGGGGCTGGTGGGGCGGTCTCTTGGTGTCCTTGTTAGTCGAGTTCTTCTTCTTCTGCTGCTTGGGAACCAGCCCTGCTGGACAGAGACGGTTCTGAATTTTAAAACTGCGGTACCTCCAAGGCCGAATTTCTGAACACTGATGGATGCTGGGTAATAAGTCAGGAGGGTTGACAGCTGTATGTGGGTTACCATTCTCAGAGTCTTCACTGTCAGAGGAGTCGCTGCTGCCTGAAGACGAGGACTCGGTCTTTATCTTTGACATGTTTGACATTTCCAGAGGCTTCTCTGCTCACACACACACACACACACACAAACATTTAGAGGTTCAGTGAGAAAGCGTACTCAGAAAAACACACATTGACTAAGATAACATTATTACGATCAACAGAAGCAGCTCCATCGGCCTACCTGACGGCTTCTTCTTCTTCTTGAGGCAGCTGGAGACGTATTTCTCCAGCTCTCTCAGCGTGGAGGGCTTCAGCGTCTCGAAGTCGATCTCGATCTCGTCTGGGTTGGAGTTCTTCAGAGACGGCTCACGTGTCTGGATGATGTGCACGACGCGGCCCAGTTTGTCGCCGGGCAGCTTGTTGATGTCCAGGCTCAGCTGACGCTTCTCCTCGTACGACATCGGCTTGGCCCTGTCTGCGGACCCCGCCCCGAAGACGTCTGCGGAGGACATAGTCACAAACACAAGCAGCTGTAAGTTTAGCCGCCGTTACAGACATGAGCCTTCGTGTTTCACATCTCGGCAGGATACCTACCAATGTCATCCTCCGCCTCAAGAGCAGCCGAGGGGACGAGAGGAGTCGGCCCTGGTGGAGGAGGCACGGCTGGGCGGCTATTTTTAACCCCTTCTTTCTTTCTGTGATTGACAGATGATCAGATTAGCTCCAGGTTAAGCGGCCAGAGGAACATCATATATGTTGTTACCTCTGGGACACCTACCCCTGCTTTTTCCTCTCCTTCTTTCCAACTATCGGCTCCTTGCTGCTCTTGTTTTTCTTCAAAGACTGAAGCATCACGGTCGGAGGGCTCTCGGCTGGCTCCTCTGCTCCCATCTTCTTCTTGTGCTTTTCTTTCTTCTTCTCCCTCTCTTTCTTTTTGGGCTTGCTGGCTTGGGGCTGGGAGAGCGCTGCCAGCTGCTCGTGCACAGCTTTGAGCTAGGGGAGACACCCAAACACACCCGAAAGACAAAGACAAGGTTGTGATTTTAAGAGAGGAAGAGACAGCAGCAGGTGAAACAGTCTCTTGGTGTTTTCAGCATTCACCCACGGTCGGTAAAGCTGCTCTGCGTGGCCCACCCACCTGTCGTGTCTCATAAGCCTCCCTCCCCCTTCATTTTCCATCCTCTAACCTGTTCCTGTAACTCCGCCAATCGCTGTTGCCTTTCTTGATCTGAGTCTCCTCCCGAGGACTCCGATTCGGAGGAACTGGAGCTGTCGTCCTCAGAGACGGTAGAAGGAGGCGGGGCTTGTCGAGTGGAGGGGGCAGGGTGGAGGACCGACGACGGGGTGGGAACAGGGACGGGCTCCTCTGGTTCATCAGGCATTTTGGCGAAACGCATCTCAAAGACGTCCTGTTGGGAAGAAGGACATCAGAGGGAGGGTTTATTTGTGTTCAGTGTCTACACTATCCAGACCCTCCTCCTCCTCATCGCCACTCTGGTGTGAACACTTCTATAGAAGAGACGGTTAGTTATCACTAAACAGCTCACAATGAGGTTTAAAATACTGCTTGATATGAGTACACAACAGGCAAGACTTTATGGCCAAAAGTATGTGGACACTTGAGTTCTGTTTAGGGCTGGGCGACAAACCGAAAATTCAACGATACTGAAATTTACGCGTCAATATATCCGGTGTCAAATAAATAAATAAACAAATCATTGCATGTCATAACATATTAAATCATCATATTATATCATATCAAATCATATATAATCATATACTATATCATATCCTATCCTATTATATCATATTCTATTATATCATTCCATATCATATCATATCCTATCATATTAAATCATCATATCATATCATATATACTTCGGTTCTGCTTAGGGCTGGGCGACAAACCGAAAATTTATCGATTCTGAAATTTACGACAATAACCAAAGTCATTTTGTCCGTGTCAATATATCTGGTGTCAAAAAAAATAAATAAACAAACAAAAGTTGGTTTTGGATGTGTGCAGGTAGGCTATGGTCTCATGTCCATTTAAGACACTGTCCTACGTCAGAGACGTGACCCCACCCCATACAGTCCAAATCAAAGAGGGAAAGACAGGTGAGGAGATGGAGGACGGTTCAAAAGTTGTAGCGGCTGAAGTAGACGAAGTTAATGTGGGAGGGGGTGAGCAGCTTGTGGAGTAGTTATCGTCCATTTATCGTTATTGAGGTGAACTGCTCAATATATTGTGATATTGATTTGAGGCCATATCGCCCAGCCCTAGTTCTGCTTGCTGCTCCATGATTCCAATGCACTTTGGACCAATTAAACAATAATAATAAAGAGTCCAGTGACAAAAACCCAGATCCACAACATCAGAGGTCAAGAGGTCCTCGAACCTCTTGCTTCATCTTGTACAAAATGTGCGCGTGTCTGATGTATTTACCTGTAATTTCTGGGCCATGCCGACCACGTCATGGTCAGGAGGATTGTACTTGTAACAATTGGAGAACATCAACCGGACGTCTGTTGCGATTTCTTGAGCGTCTCTGTACTGTCGGCTGTCCAGCTTTTTCTGAGGGAGACAGAATCACACAGCTGAGATCAGAATACTTCACCCTGTTTACACGGACTCAAACACAAAAGCAGAATAAACAGTCGTTTGATGGATCACCTGACACAGTAATGCATAAATTCAAAAGTCCTAATGAATTCACCTTGATGCTGCTGAGGTCCATTGGATGTTTGATGATTTCATGGTAGTCATGGAGACCCAGAGCTTTTACATCCACAGGCTTGTAAAAAGGCCATGCATATGCTACGTGTTTCTTGGACAGCATCTCTTTGACGAGCCGTGCGCAGAAACGCAGCTGGTCCTGCCGCTTCTGCGTCACCGTCCCTCCCGTCTCCAAACCGCCTCCCAGGTGATGCTGCGAGTCCGGCTGTGAGGCTTCTTTTTTGGGTTGCTTTGCCGGGCGGCTGCTCTCCCTGCGAGGCCGAGTCTCAGTGGAGACGGGAGATGATTCACTGAGCTGGTCGTTGGCCGTGGGCGTGGTGGTGTCTGCTTTCCTCTTCTGGCTTTTCCTTTGCTGTTGGAGTCAGTCAACAGTCAGGGGTCAGAGGTTGGGGAGGAATCGAGATAACAAAAACAAATCAGCTGCTGACTTGTCCTTACCTTGACGAGTGCAGGGGAGCTCTGCAGCATTGGGGCCTGGTGGAGGCTTGGGTGTGTTGGGGCCGCAGGGAGGACCGAGGTCATTCCCTGTGTGAGGACATCAGGGGTCGAGAGGGAAAAAGGAGGTCCTAAATGGGGTGTGTGGGAGGGGGGGGTGGGAGGCACGCGTGGGGGCTGGGGCTGGGGCTGAAGCTGAGGCTGAGGCTGAGGCTGAGGTTGAGGCTGGGTCAGGGCGGGAGGGCCTGGAGTGGTGGGTATGGATCGGGGCTGCGGGGTTGTTGAAGGGGACGAGAAGCCTCGTGTGTGGGGGGTGGTTGAGGGGGACGACGAGTCCTGTCCTGAATCTGACTTTATGAGTCCTGGAGGAAGAAAAAGAACCCTGTGAGTTCAAAGATGTCCGCCCCCAACAGCTAGACAAGTTTATATTGATAACTAACTGAACGACTATAACAAGATTGATCATGTTAAATATGCAACATCTACGATAACACATTATGTAATAAAATATAAAATAATAAATTATAATATAATACCATATCATATTTATCATACTTTATTATATTGTGTCATATATCATATTAAATTATCATATCAAATCATCATATATGATATAATATATATCATACATTATATCATATCAGATCACACTATATCATGTACTATCATATCAAATCATCATAATATATCATATCATATCATTTTATATCAAATTAAATCATATATCATATCATATCATATATTATATCATATTCTATCATTACATATCATATCATTTTATATCAAATTAAATCATCATATCATATCTTCTATAATATTATATGATATCATACTATATATACATAATGAATTCCATATCATATCATATCAAATCCTCATATTATATCATATCATATATACTATCATATTATATGAAATATTAAATCATCATATTGTATTGTATCATATCATATCATATAATATCATATCATTTTAAATCATCATATGATATGATATCATATATTATCACATTTTATCATATTCTATCATATCATATCATTTTATATTAAATTATAATATTATGTCATATCATATATTATATCATCTTCTATCATATCATATCATATCATATTATTAGGGTTCACAGGAGTCCCCTGCATGACTGCTGAAAATCTTAAAGTATCATCCACTCTTGGCTTTTGTGAGGGTGTCGACATGGATACACTGAACATTTCATCCAGATAAATCAAAAACCTGTCAGGAGGGTCTGTAACACGCTTCACTGAGAGAGCAGGAGCAGATTTATGCTGTAGTATCAAAGAGCTGCTGTGGTTGGGGAACAGGCAGAACCAGTCTAGACAACGAGGCGCGTATACAGGTTAGGTTAGAGTTAGGTCAATGTCATACACCCGTCAGAGGAACACAACCTCTCCCTTACAATTAGCAGTAAAAAATGAATTTAGGACACAGGAAAGGACGCTCAAAAACTCATCACCTGTGTCTCGTCTGGGGCCTCTTCGTCCTTTGGTGACCAACGCGATCTCCTTCTCCTCCTGCGGCATCTCGGTGATCTTACAGAGAAAGACCTTTTCCAAGGCCTCCGCCATCAGGACGATGTCATCCCCAGGCTGGAAAAGCGTAACACACCTGAATGCTTATCTGATTCCTTTTAAACACATGAGACATGATGACACATGTAAGCAGAGCATCTGTGTGACCTTGTTGTAGATGTAACAGTTTGTGAACATGGTGTTGAAGTCCTGGATGCACTCCTGGGCGTTCCAGTAGTAGTTGTTCTCCAGACGTTTCTTTATCGTGCCCATGTCCATAGGGCTGTTGATGATCTTATAGTAGTCCTTAAATGAAGAAAGGACACCAATTAGTCAGATTAGTATGAGGACTGAAGGCTGGAGGGTCTGTGATCCAAGGTTTAACAACACCAACACATGGACTCACAGGTAAGTTGAGTTTGATGGCGTCTACAGGAGTCTGGAAGGGCCAAGCAAAGTTGTGTTTCCATAACGTCTTCAACACTTCTTTAGACAGGAACTGAGGAGGAGCAAAATAAAACAGAAACGCATCGATTCAGGTCTTCAGACAGATTTATCACAGATGTAAACAGAGCAGAGATAGAATCTGTGTACCTGTAGCTGGTTGGTCTGTCGTCTTGGTCTGGAGGAGTTCCATGTTTCAGGGGGTGGGGGGTTGAAGGGGAGAGGGGGCGGGGCAGAGGGAGGGTTCTGGCTGCTGCCTGCATCCAGTCCGTCCCCCATGGCAAAGATGGGTTGCAGTGGCTGAGCCGACAGTTTAGGCAGATAGGACCTGGCAGGGGCAGGTGGAACCGGGGGGACCCCCCTCAGGCCATTACACTCCTTACTCGACTCTCTAGAGAGGAAACAAACCAAGAATCATCAGAGCGGGATCTCTGATCCACCGTAAACCACCCCCCTATCACTTTGAGCCAGATTGAGTCACTTCTTTTGCTGTCAGACATGCATCACAGAACTTGATACTAACTTTTTTCACAAGGAGCACATGTGCTCCTAAGAGAACTTTTAGGTCAGCTGGTCACATAAAATGGAAGCTATCGAAGGAAAACAGCCTTTTTTGAGAACATCCAGTAATTCATTGATGGTCCCTTATTCAACACCCGACGTTGACAGCGTGGGTGCCGAGTAGATTTAACTGCGCTGCTGCTGTTGCTGCTATTCCCGGTTATGGAGCGTGAGAGGACACAGGTAGATCCTCAGTGAATGTCCGTCGGATATCCAACCTAAAACTAACTTCACCGCAAACATTTGTTGCCTCAGCTGATTTTTATTTATGCGCACATGTGCCCCTAAATACATTTTACAATTCGCACACATCTATTATTAGCTGCAAATGCGAGTGAAACGGTCACACTGTCGAGCTCTGTGTCACTCCTGGATCATGTGCGAAAAATAAACATTTTTACAAACGACCAGTGCTCCAAAAACATAATAAGCTTAATAAAGTCAATAAGCTTTAAATCAAGAGTCTAAATATGTATAAATAGAAATGTGCACTAACAGGTTGTACATCCAGATTCAAAAGCACAGGGGGCAAAAAACAGCAGACCAGAAGACTATGAAAGTCTGAGTGAGAGGGGTCTTGAGGTCTTTTTCTAGACCATCAGACGGGTGAAAAAGTGACCAGGTGAACATCTGGACTGAGGATTTATTCATGAAACATGTTGACATGGACAGAAAGCAGCTGATCATACGCCGTGCCAAGTTAAAGTGTTTTTTCTCATGTCATTACAACGCTCTCCGCTCGTCTGATACTAAAATTCACTGTCTGTGATCAAAGACTTAGAGCCGACTGACTATAAGCCGAGCCAGACTAGTCTACAAACAGAATCTAGACTGTCAGTACAACTGTGAGGAACGCCTGTGTGTCGTACGACTGCTCATAGCTGAGCAGGCTCATCTGTCATCAAGTGCACACAAACCTGTTATTAAATCTTTGTTCGTTTTCACGAGGGCCAGCCGGGAATATGAAGCAACACAGAGGTTATGTAAGTCGTCTTGGTGTAGAAAACAGGAGCGATCGGATATTAACAATAAAGACACCGGAACATGATGTTTTTTTTGTCAACACTTCAACACTGAAGGATTTTAGAGGTCAGACAATTACCGAGCCGCTAAATATGATCAGTCAAAGTGCATTTTTGGTTGCAAACATCTGAAAGCATGAGTCAATAATTCAGAGAAGGAAATGTAGAGCAACACAACCTGCTCACACTGAGAGGTAAAGGGATTAATGTGAAAAGTCATAAAAGATGGCATCATTTCAGTCATTTTTAGATTTTAACGACTGTTTGTAAGACCACATGAACAATATAAAGCAGTGTATCAAACAAATGCACCACTGCGGTCGTGGTCTTACCACCTCTTAGCGAGCGCTGTACATAAAAGAGCTCTGCTGGCTTCTGTGATGTGGTCTGTATGCTTAGCTCTAACTTTGAGTACTACAGAGATACTTTAACCCTTCATACTCCTGCTTTTTGAATATCACATGACTCTCAGAAGCTCATTATTGAAAGCAGGAAAGAGGAAGAGGATGCTGTTGACAGAAAAAGCAGATTTTAATTTTAGATTTAAGGCTTTTAACTGGTTTTAGTCGACGGCATCACATCACTCCAATTTTAGCCTCCCTTGACCGGCTTCCTGTCAGTTCTAGGATTGATTTCAAGATTTTATTGATTACTTTTAAGGCGCTCAAAGGACTTGCTCCGAGCTACATTTCTGAGCTTTTAATGCCTTGTGAGCCAACTCACAGCCTCAGATCCTCTGTTGAAGTCCTCCTGGTCGTTCCAAAGTCGAGACTCAAAACTAAAGGTAATCGATCTTTCTCCATCAGAGCTCCTCGACTTTGGAACGACCTGCCAGAGGAGAAAAGGCGTGCAGAGACAGTCACTTCTTTTAAGTCAAATTTAAAAACTCACTTTTACAGACTTGCTTTTATATGATGCCGTCTTCTCACCTATTTTACGTTTTTATTTTGGTCCTCATGATCTCATTTTATGTCGTAGGGTTCTTGTACTGTCTGGGTTTCTTATGAAAAATGAAATTGGCCTTCAGTTCGGAGGATTTGTTTTTAACTGAGCTTTTGTTTTTATTTGTTTTTATTTCCATGTGCTGATGTTCTGTGCTTTGCAACTGTTCGTCGAAGCACTTTGTAAACTTCTGTTTTTAAAAGTGCTATATAAAGTTATTATTAATATTTGTAAGATTTGTAATAGCACACATCAGTGCTGACAGCTGACCTCAAAACGCTAGTTTACTAAAACTGTAATTAAAATGTTCACATGCAAAAACCCAAAGAAAGTTATTTTATGACCTCTCAAAGTCAAAAAGGACCCCAACTCATATGGCAGAGAACCTCCACCTGTCATGGTGTGTTGGCAAGGGCAGCATAAGACAGGGATTTGGCTTTTTGGGCACAAAGACGCCCCATCATGTACCAAATGGTGGGATGAGTGGCTGGCGGTGACTTTTCAGCTCTGATCTTAAATACATTTAGCAAAATAATTTCTGAAGACTCACATGTTTGTTGCTGGGCAGCTGTGGTTTGATCCTACTGGGGGATCATATCTCAGTCTGAGGGGTGACGAGGTGACACGCTGAGGATGCAAAGAAACAACAACGCAGAGTTTGAAATCGAGTTTATGAGTTAATCCAATAAGGGCTGGTCGGAGATTTTGAACAGGGTTCATCAGCCCTCATACACAGAAAGTACTGTCGATTATTGTGGTCAATCTTACAATGTTACCTTTTCATTTTAAGCTATGGAGAGAATTATCATGATGAATGTAAAAAGTTATTTCTTCCACATTTATAGGCTGATTTCTGCTCTAAAGTGAAATTTGGAGAAACCCTAGGATTAGTTAGCGCTTATCTGGGGTCAAGAGCTCTGATTAATGTCTTGAATCCCCCTTTCTTGACAGGAAGAATAATTTTTTGCAATAAAATATGCAGCTGCATTTCTCATGTCTTTGTGTCTTTACGTCTTGGTGTCCAACTTACTTGCCGGGTCTTTGTTGAGGGTCCATCATCACATGTTTGGGACTGTAAAGTCTTGCTCATGGTGTGTTCGTACGGGTGATATTACATTAAAGTTGGGGTTTTTTTGCTGGCACGTGTGGCAGAGTTCGCAGTTAACGCTGGCTGGTACTGTGTGATCTTTGATATTACTCTCCCTCATTTCTGCAGTCAGTGCGTCTGCAAAACTCTATTCTGCAACGTGATTGGCTATTGTTCATTATGGGGTAGCGACAAGCGTTTAAAGGTGTATTTAAGCCCAGTGTTAGAGTGGTGTCATTTAGATTTAAATCCATCTGTTTTCTATTCAATGATTGTGTTTATTCCTAGAGGGAAAAAAGATAAGGACACTAGACTCTTCCATCAAACGCTGAGGGTTTCTGATCTAACTGCAACACTGGGAAATTTTAACTGCAAAAATCATTCAGAAGCTCCCAGTATGTTTCAGGGCTCAAAGGTCTTTTTAACAACAAAACAAGACAATGCCTCTCTTCTGAATATTGACAACAAGATCTGTTTCCTGCTGATATTTTCAGATTTTAAGACATGAATTATCCAAGCTTGGGTGAATTAATGCAAATATTATGAGTCCAATGTGATCTTCTACAGGTTCACATTATTGGATCTTAATTGCTCTCTTTCTTTGCATAATCTTTTCAACAAGCTTTCTTATCTAATACACACCAACCAACCATAACACAACAAATAGGAAATCTAGTATGATAGCACCACCACAAAATCTAGATTCAGAAAACTTCCAAATTTTCAGTGTTTGTCTACGTGTTCAGACAAGTGGTTCCCGTGCTGTATATTTATGGTGGTGGAATACTTTAGCCTTAGTTTTCAATAATACACAAAACAGTAGGAACATTTTTCAATGTAGTACAATCCGATTTTCCTCCTACAGCTTCAGTGATTAATTTACCAGTATAACAGAAACTAAAAGTGCAACAGCTTCATAAAATCAGTTTGAGCTGTTCTACTGGTTTGTCATGATTTTAATGGTAACCCTGGTCAGTGAATAACACGTTCTATTTAACTGTCTGATATTGTGTTTGGCGCTCTTTTTAAGCAAAATAACAGACTTATATGTTAAATATACTAATACATCTAACAGAAAAACTAACTTAGGTCAAAGCTTCGGGCTTCAAAATTCAATTCTGGGGAATAAGACTCTAGTATCTAGCAGTTTTAACATGGGGAGTCAGGGCGCAATGAAATGTCGCAGCTGCTTGGATAAAAATATATGATCTTAACAGAAAAAAAGAATAAATATAAACTGAAAAACGAAATAAAAGACTTTAGAAAATTTAACTTTCTCTCTGAACATCTGTATTATTGTAACACGTTGTTATTAAGTGTCTGATATTGTGTTTAGTGCTCTTTTTAAAGCAAAATCACATAATTATATTTTAGTTATACTATAACACCTAACAGAAAACCTTACTTAGGTCAAAGATTCGGGCTTCAAAACGAAAGTCTGAGGAATAAGACTCTGAAATCTAGCAGGTTTGACACGGGGAGTCAGGGCGCAATGTAATGTAAATAAAAAATATATCATCCTTACATAAAGACGAATAAATATAAATTAAAACCTAAATAAAAGAATCCACCAAATTTATCAGCCATTTTGATATTACTTCGTATCACGTAGCTATGGTCTACAAACCACCGATAACGTTTCTCGAGGAGGGCAAAAACAGCCATAAAAGATGACTATGAGAAAGTTACATAAAAAAATCCATTATTTAATTCACACAGATATCCGTTTACATGGTTAATAACTCGGTTGTACACCTCTGTCTTGCTAACCTTCCATGTCAGTGCACCGCCATGTCTACTCCGGGCAGGTGACAGCTCCGGACGTAAACGGCCTTCGAGAATACGACCAGGACGGGATTGGTATTCTCCAAATGACGTACGCCGATCTCCGCGCGAGCTCCTGCGCCATCGAACGTAATCTACGCCGCCAATAGGACGTAACTTGTGTCACGAATACGGCCTACGGGGCTACAAACAAACAGCCTAGCAGCTAACACGGCTAACGTGTTAGCGACCTGCAGCTAACGTGCTCACACTGACAGCACAGAGTGTTCGCAGCCACGAAAAGGACCCCGTGACGAGTGTAAAGAGGAGAAAGACAGCGTATAGAAACGGCACACATACACCAAATGTCGCTAATTCTAAAGACAAGAAATCATCTATCTCGTGTGCCCGAACCGGTGCAAGGCCTGTGAAGACAGCTCATGCTCGGTTTGGCGAAGCGCACACTGACAGCGCGCGAAAAACGCCCTCTATACCCATTGTTCACCTATTAGCCAGTCCTCGGAGTTGTACTCTTTCGTCTAGTATACCAGTGTCCTCTTAACAGATTCATAAACGGTTATTTTTACCTTCTTCTGTTGGTTGTCAGCGCTCGCAGACCTTCCTCGCCCCAAATCCAGAACAAACAGTCCCGTTTGACGTCGGTGACGTCAGACGCACGGGGGCGGGTCATGAGTTTGTCATTCAAATGTCACCCACAACTCCGCCCCCACCCCCGGTAAACATCATGCAACACCTTGTAATGATCTCCGGTGAGTACAGGCTGATTATTTAACCTTTTAACAAGTAAATACATCCAATATTGCACTACTGCATATTTTATCTGTCATATACTTATCTTTTCCATTTTTTACTTTTATCTTATTTCGACACACTTTTTTACCTTTCTTTTACTTATAATCTTTTCTTATTTTACCTTTTAGGCCCTTTATTGATTTTGATGTTTTTCCTGCTCATTTTTATTATTCCATTTTATTATTAATATGACCACTATTCTTTTATCATTGTTAATATCCTCTTTTAAACTTACTATCCTGTTTCCTGCTTTCTGCCCCCCTTTTCTATTACATTTTGTTCTTTTGACCTATTTTATGTTTTTATTTTGGTCCTCATGGTCTCATTTTACATCGTAGGGTTCTTGTATTGTCTGGGTTCCTTATGAAAAATGAAACTGGCCTTCAATTCGAAGGCCTTGTTTTTAACTGAGCTTTTGTTTTTATTTTCATGTGCTGATGTTCTGTGCTTTGCAGCGGTTTGTCAAAGCACTTTGTAAACTTCTGTTTTTAAAAGTGCTCTAAAAATAAAGTTATTATAATTATTATTTATAGTCTGTTTATAGCCTTCATATTTATAACTATAGGTATAATCAGCCTGTACATACACTACTATAGCCTGTAAATACTTATAGTTATAGCATATTCATAACAATGTTATATACCCGTGATATACTCATGTATATATCTCCGTCATACCGTGTACATTTGTAAACAAATTTATACTTGCTAAGCACTTCTGGATGGATGCAAACTGCAATTCTTTTCTATTCTATTTTTATTTAATTGAATGTGAAACTTTTCGTTTTTTATTGTTTGTCTGTGAAAAGATTTTGGCTCGATCGGGAGTCCTTTATAAAAACAGAATCAGATTAAGCTAAAATAAAGAGTTGATCAGGGAAATTAAAAAGTACTGGTAAATGGAAATGGTGAAGAAATTTGTCATTTTAAAGACACAATACACAGACTTGAGACATTTGTAGGGGTCCTGGTATTGTCTTTTGATATAGCAGAATTATCTTGTCTTATACCTCTTTGGTTTTACATTATCATTGTCGTTGGTTTTCTTTCATATCACTTTTTTTAATCATCTTTCTCTCTGAACATGTCACATACTGTTGTGAAATACTTTTCCTGAGAAATGCGTCAAACCTTCTAATTTTGCCTTGAAGGTGCAGTTTTGTGAAGATGATTTGACATTTTTTCCAAAGATTAAAAGGTTAGCCTTCAAAGTTTTTTTTTTTTTTTTTTTTTGATGAAACTGTTTTTAAAAAACTAAAAATGGGACAAGAAAAAATTATACCCAAGTATAATTCCCTTAACCATCACGTAACATTATATAACAGCATTGCTTTGTATGGTATGTAACTGAGATGTCAATGCCAGTAGCGCATTTTCTAATGCACTACTTGCATTGACAAAATCAGTGAAATTGTAACCGTTATTGTGAAACCAGTGTGGTACTGATGGGCCTAAAGGTCCTAGGCAGCACTATGTGGTCAGGTATGTGGCTGGAAAAAGATGTATCAAGGCTACTGAAGCATCACCTGTAATGTAAATACATGCAATCACTCTAGACCACATGCAAATCTGTAGCCAAAAAACAAACGCCATGACTCTTCTTTTCAGGCTGGATGCTGAAGAAGTTGATCCATTTCTATTGAAAACAAACTGAAGACTTCTCTCTCTAAGTTTTTGATATAATGCCGCAAATTAAGAAACATATTTGATGTTGTTTTTTTTTAATAGCTTTTATCAAGACAAACTCTCTGAGACTTTCAGACTCTTTGAACTGAAGAAGAATGAAACGGTTATTTATTCAAGAAGTTTATTACCTACTTAGAGTGTTACATGTCCAATACTAATTTGGAAAACTCCATACATGTTTCATAGTCACAGCGCCCTCAGTCGTCGTCATCATCTCAGCTGTTGAATATCAAGTCAACACCTGCGCCTACTTTGTACCAAAAAAGTGGGAAATTTATTTGTCACTGACAGAATGCTTACACTAATAAGAAAACATACGGAATATCCCTCCACTTAACGATACTCAGGAATTTTCAAGCAACCCTAAGCAAGATAATCTAAACCGAGAATACTCTGAACAAAAAAAGGCACGAGAAAAAGTCTTACGAAGAAAAGTTTGGGGGAATACGCTTGTTTGCTGCCCGACCGAGTTTCACTGGCTGGCTCCATCAAGTCTTCCTTCTCCCAACGGTCTCAAAAGACAGCTGGTAGAAATATAAAAGACAGAATTACAGCCATAACGGGACACTCAGCAAGTAAGGGAATAAGAGTATTTCCCAAAAATAACAAGAACTATCTTTTGAACTAAACATGAAATAAAATAAGACGAGCTCAAAGTCTTTAGACAGTTGGAAATGGGAGGAACAGCGGGGTTTATTTTTAAGATGCACCCAGCAGTGAAACGGGGTAAAAAGGGTCATCCACTGGTCCATGTTGAGAGAGTCATTCATCGTTCCCTTCTACTTCCTCATCTGCCTCGGCTGCCTCAACTCCTTCATCCTCATCCTCCTCTACAGGTAATCCCTCTTCACCAATCTCATCATGAACCACAAATCCTTCCTCCTCCTCTTCCTCTTCCCCGACTTCAAAACCTTCCTCGTCTTCCTGGTGTCCCTGATCCTCTTCCTCCTCCAGGCCCGGCTCCTCCTCCATCTTTTCCTCTTCCACTTCTGCCACCGCTGCCGCTGTTTCTTCTTCTTCTCCTCCTTCTCCTTCTCCTTCCCCTTCCCCCTCTCCTTCTCCCTCTCCCTCTCCCTCAGCCGCCTCGTGGCTTGCCTCTTCCTCGGCTGTGGGCTCTTCTGTTGCTGCCTTGTCTGTGTGGCTGTCTGTCGTCTCATTGGCCGACTCCATCTCAGACACGTCCATCACCATGGAATCCTCTGGGTCCTGGTCGTCTTGGTTACCGGTGAAGGGGTTTTCACCCTGACAAAAGAATAAACATCATAAGTGCATTTGCTTTTCTCTCAACGCCTGCAACCTTTAGTCTAAAGATTTGGTTGGAAATGTTTTTCATGACCCTTTACAAAACAACGGCACAGTGCCAATCATGACAGGGGAAAGCTGTAAAAATCATCTGAAGATTTCAGTCCTGTTTATATTTCAGATGAATATTAACAGCTTAAAGATATCCAGGATTTCAGACTGTCAGTTGAAGACAATAAAAACACTGGCAAAAACAGACAGCCTATTGGTGAAGATGAAGCCACAGCACAGGTGAACAAACCTTGAGGTAGCTCTCAAGCTTCTTGCCAATGAGTTTGTGGTTGAGGATGCTGCGAGCCACAGACAGACTGGCCCTCTTGGACTGCTCCATCATCCCCTTGAATCACACAGAGAAATGTAACATCCGTTATTCACAGGACAGACAAACTATAAATCTGACAAACATGACATCAGTTTTACATGTGATAAATCATCCTCTCAGGTGTGATGTGTCGTACCTTTCTGTTGTAGTTGTGGTCAGGGGACTTGATGTGTTTCTGTATCAGGTGGGGCTGCATGGGAATGAAAAGGTCACATGCCGCGCAGTGAGCGGCCTCCACTTTCCTCATGAAGTGCTCCATGCCCAGATCTGTGCAGAAATATGAAATACTTCAATGATCCATCTCTTAAACCCTCATTTTTATGTTCACGTATCTGCAGCTGCTGCTTACCTCTTGTGAGGTCTTGTTCTTTGTACACCTGGCAGATGGCGGCGCTGTGGTTCTCCAGCTGGCTTACCCTCTGCTCTGTCTTCTTAAACTTGTTCAGCAAATATTCCTAGAAGAGAAAAACATTTGACACACTATGGAGCATGTGTGTGAGCGTTTTGATTTTGAAATATCTCTCAGTGTGAGTTTGGAAAGGTCTCAGCTACCTGGAGGAAGTCTGTAGTGGGCTTGGACAGCTGGCTGGAGAGGAACTTAAAGCTGTCCTTGTGGAAGCGACTCTCAAGATGGGTCTCCATCTCGTCCTTGTAGAAGGAGCGGAACTTGCACACAGAGCATGCAAACATCACCCTTAAAAGTAAATGAAACAGTCAGTCCGACACAGGTGAGTAGAAGGGCGACAACAAGGGCGTGAAAGGGTTTAAAGTACAAGGTGAAAGATATGAAGAGAGGTGAAATGTGAAATCCTGGCTCAGGGGTCAGAAACACAAACATGCATTCATACATAAACATTCCCCAATCAGCCAGAACACCACGACCACTGACAGGTCAAGAGATTAACACCGACTATCTTATTACAACTATCAGCTGGTGGGGTGTGTTGAGCATGAAAGTGAACATGGTTGTTCTTCAAACTGATGAGCTGGAAGCAGGAAATAACAGCTGGGCATAATGTGAGCGTTCAAATTCGACAGCTAGACCCTTGGCTCGCAGCATTTCTACAAACTGCAGGTTTCACTGGGTCTTCCTGGTCTGCAGAGGTCAGTTTCAATAAAAAGAGGACCAAGAAAGGAGAACTGGCAACTGTGACAAGGTCGGGGCAAAAGGTACTCGATGTGCACAGGGGTTAGGGATGGCCTGGGTGGTCCAACAGAAGAGCTACTGGAGCTTTCACTGTTAAAACTGTTCAAGTCAGAACAGTTTTGACAGATTGTGCATCCGTGGAGACCCCACCTCACAGGGTAAACAGGACTAACAGGATCTGATTCGAACTTCTTGATTCCAGTTACTTCAGAGCACCTTCTGAAGTCGAGTTTAGTCCATGTCCCTTCAGACCAGGGCTACAACAGACTCGATATTTCACTCGGCATACACATTTGATGACACTGTTACATCACCTACTTCCCCCATCAGATCTAAATATCCTCTCACCTTTCCAGAAAGCCTCGCCTCTTCCTCATTTTTGGGTGCTTGTCCTGACCCGGGGTTGGGATCTGTTTGACTTGAGGACTTTTCTTTTCTTCTTGTTTCGCTGGAGCTGAGCACAAACACACGTCGGGCATGTCAACACAACTTTGTCAAAGTTCACGGCATGATTTTAAAAATAGAAAGAAAAACAAGAACAGAGAAAGGACTGAGGTGAGCTCACCTTTATCTCCTTCTGCAGCAGGTTCCTGTACAAGAGAGATTTGTTAGTTATGGTTCTTAGAAAAGCTGAAGAACAACTATATGACATGTGTGTGTATCTGTTCCTTCATCCATGGTATTGTGTAGGGCTGCACGATCTATTGATTTTAAACCCTAATCAGATCATTTGATTATGATGTTCAAAAAATTTAAATCCTCAAATTGATTTTACTCTCTATCGTCTCGCTCCTCCAGGCCACCGTAGGCTCCCCAGTTCCCACACACACCAGTGTAAACAAACATGGTGTTTGCAAAAGAGGGTCATGCATCTCTGGAAACGATCACGTGACACACAGCCTAAGTCTTTTATGCCGCCTTATGCCGAAGCAACCTTTGTACGCATGCTCTGTACTCTTCTGTCTTCTGTGCATTTCCTGTGCAGCGTTACAGCGCCACTCACTGGCTTGGCATATGCACTACATCGTTTTCAGTGGTTTCGTTATAAGAGATGATAGAAAAACTTAAAAATGTGAAGTTTGCTGAAGTTGTCACGGAATAAAAAAATCAAAATTAAGTTTTCAGAGAAAAAAAAAAATCAGGATTTTATTTTTGGCAGCCCTAATCCATGGTACTGTGTTTTTTATTAGTTCAGTAGCTCATGTAAAGAAAATAAACATGTCTACAGTAGAGATCTGGAATAATTCAGAAACAGTGGATGTAGACTCTCATTATCATCACACCTTCCTCTCTCTCATGCAGGACCTACTAACCTCATCTGCAGTCTTGGGCTCACTGGTGTCACCGTTCTTCTCAACTTTCTCCACTAAAAGAGAAAACATCAGAGTTAGACAACGTTGGACCTGGAAGTGTTTTTTTACCACGTCCTACTTATCTCCAGTAACATCACACGTACGGAGCTGATCACCTTGTGTAGCTTCTGTGTCTTCACTTTCTGTCTTATTCATCTTGGACTCAGGCTCATCGCCTGCAGTCGGTGTCTGCTTCCTCTTCTTCTGGACGTCCCGCTGTGGTTTCACCTGCTACAGTCAACAAGAAGCATTTGCACTCATAATGACAAAGAGACAAACAAACAGCTACATATCAACACACTGTTAGATCTGCACTACAGAAATCATTCAAGGTTCTTCTCTGGGTATTTCCTTATCAATAGTCTTAGCCTTATCAGAAGACTACCCAGAAATGAGCAAGAGAAACGAAAGAAAGAAAAGAACCAAAATAAACTCATTTAGTATCCCCACAGGAGAACAAGTCAAAGAGCTGGGCAGAAGAGTTCTCACTTGCCTTTACTCTACAAAGAGGGAAGTCCGTGATACATGTCTGACCGGGTCAAATAGGGGCAGGGCAGATTTGAGGGGCGAGTTGTGTTTCAAATGTGTGTCGGGAATTATCTGAGTCAAACTGCTTAACATGGCACATAGCAGGTTCTAGCACTTTATGCTGACTTGCTCGTTGGTTGAGGAAACAATAGGAGGGAATCAGAAAGGGCGAAATCTTAGCCCAGTGTCTGGCGAGGTCTTATTTGGCTGGAGGTACTTACTTTGTTGAGGGGTCTCTTGCGGCCTCGCTGGCGGCCAGCCCGTGGGCCCCCTCCAAAATGCCTCCCAGGAAAGTCGTGAGGGCCTTGAATGGAACCCTGGTGGAAGCCCCCACTCTCGGGGTACATGCGGTTGGACAGGAGGGATGGGAGCTTGCCTCTACCACCTCCTGGAGAGTGGCCATGGTGGGACTGGCCACCACTACCACCTCCCCGCCCGCCTCCGCCTAATGGAGTGGGGTCAGACCTGCGGTTTCCAAACCCTCCTCCAGCTCCTCGACCCCCGGCACTTCCACCCCTTCTGGGGGAACGTCGGCCCGCTCCGGCCCATCCTCCTCCAGAGCCTCCTCCCTGGACACTGCCGAAGGACTCCCTCATATTCTGTCGCATTTTAGCGACTCCATAGGAAGAGGAGGGGCTATCAAAGCCTCCTCCTCCCCCTAGCCCCATTCCCCCTCCGAAGCCCGAGCCTCCTCGCTGTCCCAACAGCATGTTGTCCCCACGGCCATCGCCATAACCATAGCTACCGCCGCCAGATCTGTAGAGATCTCGGAAGGAGGTGGGGGCTGAGGTGCGCGAGTCGAAAGACTCGTACTGGTCATACCTGCAGGAGGGAGGGAGAGGGTTGATAGAGAAGAGCAGAGAGCAGGGGAGGCAGGGAGGGCAGTCAGGTTTGGATTTCTCCACCTGCTTTTCCTTCTCCTCCATGGTCTCGCTTCTCCGTTTTCTTTTTTTGTTCCGTCACTCCCAGATTAATTTCAAAAACCACAACAGATCAAACACTGATGATCTTTAACAGGTTTAATGCTCCTCTTGTGGTAAATATTGGTTCTGTTCAATTTTCTTTCGTAAACGGAAACTTATCCAACCACTTTCGGTGTCGGGGCTCAATCGTTATCCTGCAGATTGGTGTGAAAACGGTTTCTTATTTGAGAAACTTTTAAGAGATACGAGGAAAATCCCTCAAAACCAGGGATGTCTTTGGACACATGCAAGAAGTGAAGCACCCTGGGAGTGGTCTGGATTTGGATTCATAGTTTCAAACGGGGGATAGAACATAAACTGGCGATTAAATTATCTCTATTATCTCTTTTGTGTAACCTAAGGCCAAAACACAGGGTTAGGTCACATGGACGATGAAAAACAAAGTACGTGTCAAAGCAAAGTCAACAAAAAGGAAATGTTCAAAGATGGCTGTGAAGGGATGGACTGGCCTCATGCACACTGTCAATCGAAAACTAACAGAAACGTGTAACTGCGTCTCCACGAGAAAGAGGCCGTGCACATTAATGGAGGCTAAAGTGTTGAGGGTCAAAACAACATTTCCTTTGTAGCAATCGGATGAACCACAACATGGCAAACTGGCAACAAACAAAGAATAATCAACTGCTGACACATTCAAGTACAGCCCGGGAGCAACACACACATATTTGAATCCAAAACAGCCCAAGCTGACCATCGAAACACAATAACAACCAGATCTCAAACTGCACTGGCTTGTGTTGTGGTTTGTGGGTTTAATTGGCCGTGTACTCCAGACACACAAACTCGGCTGACTTTTAAACTACTGTCAGTATTCAAGTCTTCAGGACCTCACATATCTGAGCAAAGTATCATCTAGAAATGCGTTGAGATACTTTTGAGATACATCTACGAACACAAAGCTTGTATGACAACACTCAGAACAGGGCTGAACACAGAAATGGGACTGTTGTTGAATCTACCATTAACAATAAAGGAGGTAATGATTGTGCTGAACTGACTAATTTGGTGGTTTTGCTTATAAAAATGACTGTTTCAGCTGATAACTGGTCCAGTTGAATGATGAACATCAGAGCAGAGCTGGTGCTTTCTTTCCATAGACTGTATATACTAACGCCCGACCGATGACGATTATTACGGAGACGAAAAATCCGATTACCAATTAATCGGCTGATTTTTTTAAATAAAAAAAAAAGGCGACTGCTCTTCGACCAAAAGACCGACTGATCGGATCAGAAAACCGTTTTCAACTTTCAAGAGGTCGCTGTTCTCGCCGTGGCTTCAATCAGCAAGGAGGCAGAAGGCGTCCATTCTACATACAGTCTATGTTTGTTTCAAATTCAAACTGCTTTTTTCCAGTTTGTTATTTCATTTTAAACGGTACTGTGTACAGAAATGAGGACATCCAGCTTCATGTGGGTTTAAGATTCTGTCAGATTCTTGCGCTCTCTCCACCTATCGGGGAGCCATGGTGGTCTTTAAGGACAAGAAGATGCATGCCAAGTATGATCTCCCATTTGTCTAGGTTTTAATATCAAAAACATGTCAGTAATTCGTTTATACACAAACGACCACTCTCTTTCCAGCAGTCCATTTTGTATGGCTATTCATTGAACACAGTCACACCATGTTCATAGTCCGTCCATTCTGTGCTACTTAAAGACAAGGTAGATATAAAAGGCTCATTTAAAGTCAACAAAAAATATAACTACATCGCACTGTATTTCTACCAAACCTGTCCACATGAAATATTACACACTGTACCTTTAAAAACAAAGTATAACATCTATAAAATATGTTACTGACAACTCCAGGCCACAGTAAAAGACCTGAACTTCTTCTATCGAGGTACTTCAGGAGGAAGCAGTAATGCCATAAAATCTTTCCTGCAATCATAATTCTAGCACATCCTCGGGGTAAGCGTTCAAACCTTACGCCACTCTATATCATGACTGGACCTTTTTTTAATAAGGCAGAGTACAGGTAAGACCCCGACTTGTATGAATGTGCGGCTTGTTGGAGAACAGATGGAGACCTAGAAGCGGAAGAAAACAGTTTTTACCTGTCACTCCGAGCCCCTTTCAGCCCCCCCTCCAGCTGAGTGAGCATGTCCAGGCGCTGATTGATCTTCGCAATGACTGCATCTGCATGTGTGCCCGTGGATGAGAGCAGGGATCCTGAGAGACCCCTCTTCATGTGGCCCCCTCCTCCATAACCACCGAGCCCTGACATGGAGTCCTTATAACCTCCTCCTCCTCCTCCATACATGTCGAAGCCGCCGGAACCTGGAAAAATGAGGATTCACTAAATGCACGTTGTTCTGTGAAACGATTGACAGCATCACTTTGTCTTCAAATCATCTTTGAGCTAATTTTCTCTTCTCTCTGTCCTGCAATAAGATTTTAAAGTGCGTGAACTTCATTGAATTACAGAAGCTATTAATGCATGTTCATCCGCTTTTATACATTTTTTACAACAGGCTATATTTAGTCTTACAAAGCACATGACATCGGCACATCGTCAAAGCGCTCGCACTGAAATTTCCTCTCTAGAGAAAAAGATGCTCGCCTGGCAACTTCAGAAAATCAGGACCGACTCTTGTCGTCGCACAGAATAAATGTTGAAGGTCCTGTGGGAGATTTGAGCTCATCAAAAGAGCTTTTGACGGATATTAATAAAGAGCTCATTCCATAGTGTGGACAAAATCCACAAGGATAGAGTCACCTGCATCAGCTTTGATTATTACATAGCCCTCTAAAACGATGGTGAGTCTTATCTATATATTACACAAATATCTGACTCTCTGAACATGGTTGAGAACGTTTTGCCTCTTGGATGGGGGGGTCAGAGGTTCATGGCTCTGCTTTTACTCCGCTATGCTGCAGTATCATAAAGCTTGACTCAAATGATGCCCATGTCATGATTGTTTTAGCAGTGGATATCACTCCATATCCCTCTGAAATAGACCTGCACTTTTGCACTATCCCTGAAATTATGCAGGCCTACATCTAGGGCTGGGTGATACGGGAAAAAGTTTATCACGATACATATATATTTTTTCATATCAATCGAATTTCTCATATGGCGATGGTTTGTGTGCTTTAACAGTTTGTTAAACGTCTTTGTTTTAACTTTCATCTGTGCTAACGTAAGCTGACGGTTGAAACACTAGTTTCATGTGCTTATGTGGTACTCGCCCCGACTCAGTACATGCTATCATGACAGAAAGCCATCTCAACACTAGAGTCTAGTCCTCTGCTTCTTCAAACTTCGAGCTAATGTTTCTCGTGTTTCAGTAAAAATTCGAATAGTCCAATGGACATCCGAAAACAGGTTCTGAAGTGACCGTGGTCCAGTTTCAGCTCCTGAACCAAGCAGTGAAACTCACCAAGTTCTCTTCTTTTTTGTAATTTTGGATGCACCCATGTGCTACGTTTCTTTTCCTTTTGAGAGAGCAAAAGGAGCACCAATTCGCCATCACTTTAAGTTGAAGTAGACTCCATTTTTGTCTTCTCGCTTCCACCCAGGACACTGTAGGATGGTAAGGGAAGGTCCCGCCCTGCTTTGCCTCTGACTGGCTATAAGTGCTGACTGTTTAGCTTGAGCGTGTGATGACGTTTCCAGCTTTTCTAACCAATCAGAGGTGAGGGAGGCGGGACTTTCCCCAGGAAAATTCTTTTTCCCCCCCAGAAAGTCGCAAAATCGCATCAGACTTGATGTGAATAGTCAGGCGCGTCAAAATTCTCCTCCAAATATTTTGCATTCTGTATTCGCGTCGGCACTAGTGTGTAAGGACCTTGAGGCGTTGCGCCACAGAAAGCAGACAGAATGGTTGACTGTTTTCGGTGTTAAAGTGCTATAGTTGTCTGTTGCTGCAGCCTGCCACTACGCAGATGTCTGCTACTTGGTTCTAATTCAGCGCATGATTGGCAGAATGACGATTACTGAAAAGCATATTGACCATGTTTTACATTGATATCAAGGGAAATTAATGTTTGATATACTTTCATTTTATCGCTCAGCCCTACCTTCAGTACTCCTCCATTCAGACTCACCTCTGCTGCCGGACCCTCCACCTCCCCAGCTGGAGTAACCTAAAGAAAGAGAACACAAGGCTTTAAACTAACAAAATAGCATGGATATTACACTGACAGCATAATATCGACTGCGAATAAAACTGCATGGCTAAGCATTTAACTTACAAGTGTACACTATCTAGGTGAGAAATTACACAAATACTTAAAAAGAAGACAAAAAAGACTCAGCCTCTGACTGGTTGGGGCGGCCATTTTCTTAACAACGCTTAAAAGTCGTATTATTCTCACAGACTCCATTTTAGTAGAATTAAAAGCCCCTTTTAGCAGAGATTTCGCACGCCTACGAACCCCAACAAAGGCCAGTGGAGCTCCTCACGTTAGCATGTTAGCACCGAATCACGACGACCGAGGGGGGCGAGCCGAGTCAGCTATTCTCACCAAAATGCTGCTCAGGGCCTCGTTATGCAGTAAATGCGGTTGTGTGTACACTGGGGCGAACCTCTGGCTCTAATTTTCGTCAAAACATAGGGGGTAATATTTCATCACTGTAGACTGGTACTTTTTGTTCGAGCTGCAGTCGCCTGTTCTTTCAGGCTGAAGGCGGATCAGGCTAACAACTGGAACACTGCGGCTACGTTAGCACGCAGCTAACCAGGGGCGGTAGATGTTAGTGCGCCAAATACATAAATAACGAGATGAAACATGAAAAATCACTGATATTTACCCGAACCGTAGCCTCTACCGTCCATGGTGTGTTTGTGCTTTTCAGTTGAGCAGATCGGAAATCACAGTAGCAGCAGCTCCGTTAGTGGTTACGCTTTGTGTGAACAGTAACTGTTCACTGCGGTGAGCCAGAGCCGTCTATGGCCGTAACGCTAGAAATGTCACGTGACCATCTACGCTCTGCGTACGTTCAGTTTACGTAGGCTACGCCGCACGAAGAGTTGTGGAGGAGTTTTTTTTTTTTAATTGAATTAACAAACAAACAAACAAACAAGGCCCGTATTTACCATAGAAGAAAATTATAGAATATTTGCCTTAGATCAGGGGTGTCAAACTCAACCACAGCAAGGATTTAGGTCTCACTTGAGGGCCAAAGAGGGTCAACATTTCACCAAAACTGTCAACCCCCTTTTCAAAAAATATGTAACAAAAATAGCAATGATTATAAATCATTTGGAAATTCAAATATGATAAGAAGATAGAAAAATCTAAAATTTTTATTCTATTTGTATGTTTTAGTCCAAAAGATCAGAGCATGATAATTAACACAGAAAAATAATGCATTTAAAGGGCAAATACATGAGCAGAACGTTGAAATCAGGTTTAAAAGGTCAAAATATGGCTTAAAATTTAAAATTGGAATCTAAAGTATAAAAATGAAACAAGTCTAAATACTGAGTTAAACAAATCAAAGCATGAAATAAAAAATCCAATCCTGTTTGGCTTGTAATCTTGAAATGCAAAATTGAAAACATGAAATAAAACAACGAATAGTTTTTCCCCCACATTCTTGACTATTTATAAAATCTTCCTTACTCTTTACTTTCCCAGATTTTCTTGGCTTATTCAGGACATTTTAAATAATGGTGCTAAAGTTTACATTAATTATACGGTAGGAAATCTGCAGACTTCATATTGGTGGAAGAGTTGTGGAAGAGTTGACTTGTTTTTCATCCTTCCACTTTGATTTATACTCAAATTATTTTAAGTGAATCATTCAAGACAGAGAAATTTGAATATTAAAAGAAAAAAATACAAGAATAAGACACAATGTTATGAGAATTACACTGCAGAAATTTGCGGATAAATTCGTTTTTTGTCTCCTCGAGGCTAAATTCACAGAGTAGGGGAAAGTGGGGTAAGTTGAGCCAAAGGGTAAGTTGAGCCGCCCCCTGTTGCTTGGAAATGGTAAACGAATTTGATCATGTGACCAAATATTGAGGAGATGGACATCAATTCATGGAGTCTGTGAAGGTTAGAAGCACATGGGTGAAGGGGTTACACATTTATTTAAAAAAAAACATTTTTCACTCCTTAAAGTAAATTTAGTCTGTCATTAGTTTTATTAGAATTGTGTTCAGACCAAAAAAGATCATTTTAAATTTGTTTTGTACATCAATTGTGGTATCTATGAGCTACAACATGAGGTCAAAAACATAAAAGTCCACCATTTTAGTTTAGAGGACTAATAAAGTCATGATAGTAGTTCTGGGGTAACTGAGAAAGTAAAGGAGTCTGATGAGAGGATCAGAGTTTAAGTTCAGATTGTTGATTTTTTTTACTTTTTCTTTTCAAAACTACAGCTGTGAATGTTCTGAATTACTTAAAGACATTCTCATGTTAAAATGACTTTTTACAAAACAGCTTTTTAGCAGTTATATGCTATAATAATAAGAATTACTGTACCACTTGAATAGTGTGTAATAGATAAAAATACACATGAATGTGAAGAAGTGACTGTTATTTAGGGAGAGAGAAGGTGAGGGAGGGCTGGGGTGGAGAGTGGGGGGAAGTAGGGATATGGCTCGACTCACCCCGCTCCTATGGTCAACTTACCCCATACACAGGGTAAGTTGACCATAGGAGACCACTTTTTTTTGCATGCTTTATCATCAAGACAGTTATGTTTACACTCATTCTGTTAGTTTGCAGGGATGCACAACATCTTGAAATATATGCAGATACACAACCCAAATCTAAACAATCTAAAAGATTTATGTGCAGATGTGTTAATATGCTGTTAAGAAGGACCTAAAACAACCTCTCAATCACTGCAGCATTTCCTGACAGTACGCGTTCTCATGACTGAGCAGACACTGATGTCCCACCTGTGACCACTAGAGGGAGTCACGGTACAAAGTTAGACTGCAACACAAACAAGGGCTCGTGAACAACACAGTTTTATCATTTATGAAAGAGTCTGAACTCACTGTACTAATGCATACATATGGCTCATAAAATAAGGTTGAATGAAACTGACACCATCTAGCCGTGATTTATCACACAGAAATCCGCATCAAGATTCAGCCAGTAATAAAGATAAACGATGCATGGTTAAAGGGATAATCTGGCGTAAAATAATTCAGGGTCAAACACACCGTGACACCAAGTTAGACACCCCCTCTAGAGATGAATGTTGCCGACCGTTTACTTCTCTAGTTATACCAACTTTAGCAACGACCACAGGATAGCAACACACAGTGGTTCACGTGTCCACATGCAAACCAAAACCAAAATGCCACTCCATAGCCCTGACAAGTCGATCACTGAGTGCAGTGGAGTTTCACAGCTTAAGGAAGAACATTCATCATCATTTCTTTATCATTTACTTGAAGTAATAATCATCATAATAATCATTTTGCACTGCAGACGCGGTAGTTCTTCTGCCTTAGCATCTCAGTCTGATTGCATTTCCATGAAGAAATGATCATAAATGTTCTTCCTTGAGCTGAGACACCCCGCTGCAGTTTGTAATGGTCTGGCCTCGCAGCCTAAACCCTAAATCCTAAATCCTAAATCCTTCACGACCTGGAAGAGAGTCGGTGGGTTGTGTTTAGTCTCTTTGCTAAAGAAATAAGGCAAAGTTAAAAAGATGTTTGGTGTCTAGTACTATGGCTGGGACCCTATATGTCCTGTTGATGAAGTTAGGTGCTGTTCTGAGCATTATTTGTGGCTATAGAGTGGCGTTTTGGTTGAGGTTTGCGCTTGGAGACGTAGACTGCTGTGTATTGCTATTGTGCGGTTGTTACTAAAGTTTGTAAGCAAGCAGTCAGCAAAATTCATCTCTCGAGGGGGTGTCTAATTTGGTGTTATGTTGTGTTTGACCTTATATTAATTTTACACCGGAATATCCCTTTAAGGAGCTCTTTAACTGGATAAACCCAAACCTGTGAAGACAAACAAGTCCTGTGTGATTTTCTCCAAGTTTTAATCTCTTATCCGTTTAGAACAAGTGCAAGAAATAATTTTATAATTAAATTAACTTTTGACCCCTTTAAAACGATCACTTATTGGTTAGAAAAATCTATATTCATTCACGACTACATCAAACCATACGCTTGCTCTTTTATAGATCCATCATTTCTTTTACTTTCAATCCTTAGGCGACACGGATTGGCTCATACTTGCGAAGTAAATCATATTAGGGTCGTCTTTTGTTTCTGTTTGTGTTTTTGGACACACACACACACACACACACACACACACACACACACACACACACACACACACACACACACACACACACACACTGCACAGACTGTCGTGAGAGTCAACAGCTGGCGGAGGAAGCTGGATCTCTGGCATTTCTCTCTGTCCTTTCCACTCCTCCAGAGTCTCTGTACCTCCTCCCCTCTCCTCTCCCCTCCTCTCCTCACCTCCTCTCCTCCCCCCTCAGCCTCTTTCCTCCTCTCAGTCTGGGGGAAGTTCAGTTGACCAGCGTCGCAACTAAGCGATGCGCCTCCAGAAGAGCGTGAACCTTTTCGTGGTGGATTTGACGCTCATCTCGCAGCCTAAACCCTAAATCCTAAATCCTAAATCCTTCACGACCTGAGCGACACTTTGTTGTTGTTGTTTCATCACTTCACTAACGCCTCTTTAACTCGAAGAGAAAAACTCTTGACAGGACAAGGTTTTCGGAACTGAAAACTGGCTGCTCGCATTGAACATTTCTTACTCCTGAACGATCTCCCGTGGGAGGATTTGATTTCTAAACACCGACTTGCTGCTTTACTGGAGATGGTGTTGAAAACGCTGGGAACACTCGCTTTGTTTTGAGTTTTTGTGCTCAGTCTGAGTGATTTGGAGGCTCTGAAGCATCTTTGAAAAACAGCAGGGAGCACAGAGGAGGCTGTTTCTCTAAAGGCTGATTTAAGGTAAATATGACTTTTCTTTTGCATCTTCACAATCCACACATTCTTAATCATCTATTACTGTTTTTTACTGTAACGTGAAACTTAGAGGACTTCAATCTGTAGAACATGTCCACACTTGAATTCAGCTATTGATAAGGCATCAGAAATGATATGACAGCTTACATGTTGTATATTTTGTACTGAAGGCTGTATTCTGTGAGTGAAAACAAGTGTTAGAAACAAGTCTGAAAGTGAGCCCATGGTTTCAAACATCTATTAGTGGGAATGACTGAAGATGGCAGTCCTCTTTAGCAAAGTGTGTTTTCAACTCTAAAATCCTCCTGATGTCATTCACTCTTTCTGGAGTTCCACAAGGATCTATCCTGGGCCCCTTAAAAATCACAGTCTACAAAAAAGCAACTCGACCAGGACTGCGTCTTCCTTTGAGTAATTCAAAGTTTACGCCTGGACGTTCAAAATGAGTGAAAAAGCTGGGACCAGACAGGCACATGAAAAGTAAAGGTGGCAAAGGGGAACTTTTTTTTTTTTTGTTCTAATTCTTTCAGAACCAGACTGAAAAAATCCTCCAGTAATTAAGCAGAAACAGACTTTTGTCTGACTCTTCCAAGGCTGGAAAGCAGCTCTTGAAGCGCCAACAAAGTCTGCCAATGCAAGTCCAAATTTTTGGTCGGATCTGGCAAAAGGAATAAGAACAACTGGGGAGATTCTGGCAATGACTTCTGCAGTCACTCTCCAATAGTTTTGACTACTTTTTTCCAGAGAAGAGAAAGACAAAAACAGTCCTACAGTAGACTCAAAAAATCATGAGCTTCTTTTGGACTCCTGTGAGTTACGTGTTTTCTGTGTGTGCCTTCAGCTTTAAGTGAAACATCTCAGTTTAGTGAAGTAGAATACTTCAGGTCTGTTAGGTCTGTTAGTTATCTCACATTTAAGATCAATCATTTAATCAGCAGATCAGACTCTGTGTGTTATTATTAACAAGGACCCAACATGAAGATCCGCTCTGGATCTGTGGCGAGGAAACCTTCCCCTTAACAGGCAGAGACCTCGAGCAGAACCAGACTGATGTAGGGCTGCACGATTTTGGCCCAAAAAAAATCCTGATTTTTTTCTCTGAAAACTCGATATCGATTTTTTATTCAGCGACAATTTCACCAAACTTCGCTTTAAAAATAAAAAGTTTTTCTATCATCTCTCAAACTAAACCACTGAAAACAATGTAGTGCATATGCCAAGCCAGTAAGTGGCGCTGTAACGCTGCAGAGGAAATGCACAAAAGACAGAAGAAGAGTACAGAGCATGTCTATAAAAGTTGTTTTGGCCGGACATGCGCAGGCGCGATGAAAAAGTTATGCTGTGTTTCACATGATCGTTTCCAGAGATGCAGATAGACATCCACACGAAGATGAAATTGTGGTTGTTTACGGATTTATGCACTCTCTGACCTGTTTTCAAAAAGTATTGTTTACAGTCACCTGAAACGCTGTTTCCTTGTGAATAAAACGCTGGTACGACAAAAACTTTTGCGTTTACTCCTGAAATTGTTTCCCTGTGGACAGCTTGATACCGCCTTCAGACAGACTTTGCAGCGGGGAGTGGTTTGCTCTTCATCCGAAACTGCGAAGCCATACCAATTCCACACGACTGACTCACTCTTGTCCTATTTAACCACAAAATTATCACCTTCTTTTGCAAACGCTATGTTTGTTTACACTGGTGTGTGGGAACTGGGGAGCACTCCTGCAGGAAGGGGGAGCCTACGGTGGCCTGGAGGTGTGAGACATGATAGAGAGGAAAATCGATTTGACGATTTTAATTTTTTTAACATCATCATGATCAAATAATCCGATAACGATTTAAAATTGATTAATCGTGCAGCCCTAGACTGATGTCTGTCAGTCATCTGCTGAGATTGTGCCAGGATTATAGAGGGGGAGAGAAGGAGATGCAAAAAGAGAGAGATGGACGGAGACAATGCAAATTGAAAAAGTGCCGTTTGTAATAAAATAATAGTGAGAAGCAGCTGGGATCAGGCTGGTCGTCAGTAACGAGTCATCTGCAGCAGCAGTCCACAGGAAGCTACAGGATGAGGGAGCTAAGAGAAAGAAGTGTGGTTAGCAAGTTGATTGGGACATGTAGATTTAAAGTTAGAGATAGAGACACACATGAAGGAGAGAGAAGGAAATACAGGAGCTCAGTGTTCCAGCTCCAGCAAAGGTTTGAATGAAGCGCCAGTATGGATGCAGAAGTTGTCACTGCTTAGTCTGCATGTTATAAACACTCAGTATGTTTACATGCACTTAAAAAAATCAATTTATTGCAATGGTCCAACTGAAACGAGACTTTTAAAATGCATGTAAACATGTTAATCCGGCTGACATACCTGGGACCTGAGCTGGTGATTAATGAGAAATGATGGAGAGCACCATCCCCACCACCTTCACCCAGTGAGGGACATGTGTAAAAGAGCAACTCTGGAACATTTCTGAGTCAAAGCCAATGAAATTTGCGAGAAAACAAACAGAGTCTATGTGTGAAAGAGGGGGGAACCTGACACACCAGCACGCACTCCCGCATACACCCACACAAACTCCCCGCTGACACAGGGAGGAGATAAGACCTTTAATTCTTGTTTTTCAGTTTGGTTCACCAAATCTCACAAGTCCTCCACCCCGATTACAACACACCATCTAAGACCATCACTGACATGAGCCCCTGTCTTATCTATCAGTATCAGGTTTTCAAACTTTCAATTTCAGCCGCCAAGAGTTGAATGTTTTCACCTAACTCGGACTCTTCGGGGACCCAGAGGGCAGGGCAGGTTCAGGGCGGGGCCCGCAAGTGCGTCAGCTCCACTCAAACCCCTCCATACTAATCTGAGACTCATCATGGTGGTCAGGGCGGAGAGGTCTGGAGGATGTGAGGTTTTCGTGCGTGGAGGCAGCGATGTTGCAGGTTGCAGCCTCGTTGCATCATGCTGCTCTCTGCAGACTGGACCCGGAGCCGAGCAAACTCCTTTCCTGTTGTTGTTGGGTGCGCTTGTCTCAGAGCCCACTTCCACCCACACTGTCTGCAGCACGGTCGGAGTGTTCGCTCATACATATGGCATATATGACTCTGTCAGAGAGAGAGAGAGAGAAAGAGAGAGAGACAGAGGGGTTGAGCTAATTTAGTGTGGTTGTACTGGAATGAGTTAAAGAAGGAAGAAAGGAAAAGAGAAAAAGAAAAGAACTAGATACAAAAAATATAAATAAGAAAAAGGCAAGACATGTTTAAAAAAGGTATAAGACATGAAATAACAAAAAAGAAAAAGTAGAAAAAGTAGTAAATGAGTCAACAGAAAAAATGAAGAAAGAAAAAATAAATCAAAAGTATTTGTAATGAAAAAATGTTAAAAGAACAAACAAACTGGCAAGAATTGGTAAAGAAAGAAAGAAAGAAAGAAAGAAAGAGACAAATAAAAACAGAACATGAAAAGAAGGAAAGATAGAAAACAAGCATGAAAGAAAGTAATATAGAACGATAAAAAATAAAAAATGCATAAAGAAAGAAACAAGAAACAAAAGAAAATTGTAAAAGAAAGAAGGCAAAATAAAAAGAAAGACACATAAAGAGAATGAAATAAAAAATACAGAGAGAGAGAGAGAGATAGAAATCAGAAAAAAATAAAGAAAAAGGAGGAATAGTGAAGAAAAAAATAAGAAAAAATGCTCAGAAAAAAGAGAGATGGGGAAAAAAATCAACAAAGGAATAGAGAAAATTTCATTTTTTAGAAAGAAAGAAAGAAAGAAAGAAGAAAGAAAGAAAGGAAAAAAACTTTTTTTTCAAAAATGGAAAAAATTAAGGAAATTGAAGATGCCAAAGGAAAAAAAAAAGTTGAGGATAGACAGAAAAAGAAGTTTATAAAGTGCTAAAGTTTGAAGTTCAGGACAGACAGAGACCCTCACCCCTCTCCCCCCTCCTCCCCCCTGAAGCCCCCCGTGTAGCCGCTGGCCTGGCCCCTCTGTTGTCTCCACACTCTGCCTGCTGTTTACACATGATGGGTTGAGCGGGTTCAGCTCAGCTATAAAAGCACCACTCCCCCGTTTTTCTCCCCTGCGGCTGAGGCAGGAGTCAGGAGGCCTCGAACGAGAGGAGAGGGGAGGTGAGGGTGGAGGTGGTGGTGGTGGAGAAGGAGGCCTCCCCTGATTCTCCCCTCTGCCTCTACTGTACATAACTCTTTTTGACTTTATTTTCTTGTCTCCTCGGCGGGTTGTGGTCTCGTGTTTGGGCCCAGCCCTGGACCAGACATTCATTTTTGTCCTCTTAGTTTCTAACCACTAACTAACCACTGGCTCCCTGCATCTCCTCCCCCCTCCTCCTCCTCCTCCTCCTCCTCTTCCTCCCCCTCCTCCTCTTCCTCCATCTTAGGAATGTCTTATTCACCTCCTCTCTCTGTCTCCGGTCTCTGATTCCTACACGCTAAAAGCTCGCATGCATCTTTTCCAACATCTGCAGATAAACACTCAAATCTGTGCACATGCTCTGCTTACACAATCTAATAAACACTCAGACGTGCACACACACACACACTTTGACACACAATAGGCCCCCCTGTCAGTGTGTGCCGACCACCTGTGAGGGTACACACACATCCATAAACCTCCCTTTCTTCTCTCGCTCTTTTTCCATTATCCTCCTGAGAGCCCAGCACGGAGGCCTTCACTTCCAAACCAAACATAGAGCAAATTCCACAAACCCCACCCCGACATCCCCCTCCATCGCTCCCTCTCTCCCCCTTTTCTTATTCTCCTCGCCCCTCCGTCTCTCCCTCTAGCTGCCTTATGCTCCTTTACTTTTTAGTTTGTGTTTGAGGAAGAGGGGAGGGGGGGCAAACAAAATACCAGACTCCATGAAAAAGCCTTTTTTGAAAAACGTGAGCGGAGAGAAAGAGGAAAAATGGAAAAAGGAGGAAAGATGTCTTGGAAAGGAAAAGGAATAATGGGTGAAAAGAGGGATGGAGCGCCGTTGCAGATGGCGATAGAGTCAAAATGAGCTTTTTCTGTGTCCCAGAGGCTCGTACAACTGAACGAGGATGAAAAAACGGCTGTCTTATTTTACTGCTGCGATCAGATCCTCAGCATCGAAAACTTTGTACTGAAATCTTTATTGTTTCAAGTACACAATTCAAAGCTTAACACTCAGAAACAAAGTCTGTTATCTGTCTATAGCAGACCGTTGCTATGGGGAACTGGCTGTTGTTAGGGTGTGGCTCTGATTTTATGCTGCGTTCGAGTTACCTCGGAAGTCAGAAGTCGGAGCTGAAAATGACATCACATCCAAGTTCCCAAAAAAGCAAAACTGGAAGCCTGAAACAAGATGGCTACATCTACGAAAGTTACTTTAGCACCTGCCATGTCCGAATATAAGGCAAGCGCTAAAATAATTTTCGTAAATGTCAACATCTTGTTTTAGGCCTCCTATTTTGCTTTTTTCCGACTTGGTAACTGAAACGCTGGGAACTTTCAGCTCCGACATCTGACTTCTGATGAAACGCAGCCACACTCTAACGGACTCGCTGTAATCATACCAATGTGCAGAGAAGAAGACAAGAAGTCCGGTACTTTTAAACGTTGGTTTGCTCATGGTGCAAAACCCAAGAACGTGACCCCTGCATTAGTTAGCGGTCCAGTTTGACCGGCCTACCCCTGAACTTCTGGAAACTCACATTCAATTAATGATTTCCTCAAGTGAGCTAACGTAGCTGTTGTTACTCGAATCAAACTGGTAGAATTAAACAACTTGGACAGAGCTGCATAAATCAGTGCAGGACTCGAGTCTGTACATTTACATGCACCGTTAAATCAAGCTACAATTACAGCTGGATTAGGTGATTTAATTTGACAACTATCCATGTCCCAGTTTACAAGAACGAGGCAGAAATTTAATTATTGATGGAGGCATTTCTGCCTCCGCAACAGTAGGTGGCGACATGCTCCCTTTCTGCTTGTTACCGGTTCAGCTCCTGGTCGACCTTTTATGCACCAAAACAAATGCGCTAGCAAGTGGCCAACAGGACGACAGCGATGAAAACACCGTCACAAAATGTTTATTTTAGTGAGACTTCAGTCAGGTTAACATGTTTTTATGTATTTAAAAGTCACAGTCAGTTACAGTCAGACCGTTGCAATAAATCAGTTTTGAACAACTTGTTAATGTAATTCAAGAGTTTTTCTGCCTCAGCTAATGAGATTTTCCTCTGTTCATCCATTCTCCTGATCTAATCGTGTGTTCTGCTAAGTGTTGACTCGATTTTGTAGATCCGGTTGCAGCCAAGTTGTAGATCCAGTTTTTGTGTCTTCTCTCCTCTGTTTTAATCGTCTCCTGGTTTTTCCACCACAAACGAACTGGTGTTAAATCTATCAAAGAGCTGGGCGATCAATTTAGTTTACGATCATGGCTCCTAACAATCATGAAAAGATGATTATCGAGACAAGTTTGAGAGCAAGAGGGAATAGGAAAGTTCATCGTAGGCTGCTGCGTTCAGGAAGAGGCAGGTGGAGAGAGGAGGGCAGGGAGAGGAGCAGGAGGAGGCGGATGTGTGTGATGTCTGAAAAGCCAAGGGACAGCACAACAACAAAGAAGCTGCAGTGATCACGAGCGTCCAGCGTCAGTGGCTGCCAGACCTAACAGCAGCCCATGTCAAGTCTTGGTAGCTTGAAAAAGCAGGATGATGATAAAACGTGACCCAGGTTATAAGGCTGGGCAATACAGCCTCTAATCAATATCGCGTCATATTGAGCAGATCACCTTGATAAGGATAAATGGACGATAACTACTCCATAAGCTGCTCACCCCCTCCTACATTAACTTCGTCTACTTCAGCCGCTTCAACTTTTGAACCGTTCTCCATCTCCTCATCTGTCTTTACCTCTTTTTCATGGAGTGGATGGGGTGGAGTCTCATCTCTGATGTAGGACAGCGTCTTAAAGGGACATGAGACCATAGCCTACCAACACACATCCAAAACAACTTTTATTTATATGTTGACATGAGCAAAATGGCGACAGTTATTGTCGTAAATTTTGGTTTAGGTAAATTTTTGGTTTATCGCCCCGCCCTACCATGTTATTTTATTCAAAGAGTATTATCATCAAAGTAAATTCAAAGCTCATTGAGTGAGGTTATGAATCGGTTCATGGCTCCTTTTCCTCAAATCAATAACGGCAGGAGAAAACTATTTATTTCACTTGTTGATGTGTTTGAATTACGCAAGATTTCAAGAGTGTTTAAGTTTTGTAAACATGTGAAGTGAAGATGTTAAATCCTGATATGATGTTAAATAATCACTAGTCGTTTGAGGTATTTTAAAGATAGTTGCAGCAACTTAGAAAAGTCATCAGACCAATCAGAAGCTGTTGAATGAAGCAGACATTGGAAGTTGTGTACCGTGTCTTCATGTGGAGTCCTCTTGGCAGCTTTAATAACGTCAGATCTGTTTCAACATTATTAATTCCTCTCTCCTTACCGGGACATTTTTCCAGCTCATTACTTTGTTATTTCATGGAGCCTTTTCTCTGTCTCTCTGTCTTTGTTTCCCGTCGAGAATGAGAGGACCGGCCTCCAGTACAGCTGGGATTGGTTATTATTTACTGGCTTGGCACACTAACACACACACACACACACACACACACACACACACACACACACACACACATATGCAGTGGAAACAAATTGGGTGAATCTGCTCTGCACGTAGGAATGTGAGGCGCATGTGTTTGTGTGTTTTAGGTCTGGATGACAGAGCTGAGGGAATGAGAGAGGGATGAAGGAAAGAGAGGACAAAACAGAAAGAAAAGAAAATAAGAGCGAGAGAAGGAAAAGGGATTGATTTTTGCACGCAGACTGTTCTTGGCCTCGTCTGTCTCGCCTGACAACGAAGGTTAAACACACTTCTCTCCCTCAGTCTTACTTTTCTTCTCTTCCAACTCCCTTTCCTCTCCTTTTCTTACCACCCCTCCTTTTTCTGTCATTCATTTCCCTAATTCTCCTTCCTTCTGTTTGTCCCCATATCCTTCATCCTTCATCCTTCATCCGTCATCTCCATCCTCTGTCTCTCTCTCTTTCCCTTACTCCTCAGAAGAAGTGGATGACAGGTTGGGGGAGGTGGAGGAGGAATATTTGTCCGACTGATGTTGAAGAATAACAGAGAGGGCAGGCAGAGAGATGGAGTGAAGGGGGTTTTGACAAGGTTTATGTATGTATGTATGTATGCATGCATATGTATGTATATATGTGCATTTTTGATTTTTTAGGGAGTGGCTTTGTTGGTTTTATTGTGTTATATTGTGTGGAAGTGTGTATGATTGTGAGTGGGTTAGACTTCAGGTAGAATAGTAGATACTTAAAGGATAGGATGACTATACGTTCTCTTTTACCCAAACATGTCCTTGTTTTGGGGGCTGTCCGGTCTGTCTGGACTGTCCAGGGGGAGTTTATAAAACCCTTCACATGTCCGGGGTTTTGTATGGAAGATTTGAGTTTTTTTTAGCATGGACTAACTGAGTTAGAAGAGTGTAAAAAACACTAGACCTGACCCCAAAAAAAACACAAAAATTTTGCACGTGAGTCTGCCCCGCAGTGTAGTGTCCTTCAGAATATGGTCACCCTATTAATGGAGAACCTAAAAAAGAAGGAAGAATAAGATTTGTAATAGACTCAGTATGGAGTCAAAAGGAGGCCAGGAAGCATCGTTCATGCAAATTGAAGTGTCGTAAACAAATGATGCTTGTACAAAACATTCTGGCCTCTCTTTGACAGGGGGCGGGGTTAGATGAGTGGCGTGTCTATGGGGGTGGGGTTAGATGGGTGGGAGTGTCCAGAGAAGAAAATCTAACCAAATGTAGCCAATGAGGGTGTATCATGGTGTGTTGACAGATGGTAAAGCCTACTTCCTTGGCTAATTCACCAACTGTTCATACCTGAGATCCTGCACCTAGAGTTACTTTGCATAGGCCCTCATTTAAAAACACGGAGGAACTGACAGTGGCTGTGACCGAAATGGATCCCTAATCCCTATATAGACGACTATATGGGGGTTAGCGCCATTTTGAGGGGTGTCCGAAACCTCAGTGATCAATTCCAGTGCCCCATATAGACGACCTAAATTTCCCATAAAGCATTGCAAAATGCAGTGACCATCCGATGGTCACCCACCGGTTGTGGGCATCCCGTCGTGTATTGCGTCTTGTCATGTAGTGTCTGAAACCCCTGGTGATTGAGTTCACTACATAGTCAACTATATAGTGAAACCCCATATGGGGGTTAGGGGTTAGAGATTGAGTGATTCATTTCGGACACAGCCAGTGTCTGTATTTGAGTCACATGACCCTCAAGTTTAAACATGCACATGTGTTGAGACGCCCAGAAAACACTAGATTAAGTGAGCCAGATTATGGTATTTGGTATTTAATTCTTCATTTTTCAACTTTTCTCCCTCGGTGAGTTAAAATCAGAGTTGGTTTTATCAAAAAGTCCCACGGTTTAAGTGGGCGGGTGTTATCCTGCTCGTCTAGCTGCTTCTTAATGTCGGGACAGGTACAGGCTGTAAAACTAACAGGACGCAGAGGGTTTACTTTCACCTGCAGGGCACATATATATTGTGTTGATGTGAAAATCACATGCTGAAGATGACTGTGTGTTTTTGTCTAATTAGAAGAGCCATCATGAGGCGCGGTTTAAACATACTCTTAAACGCCCACAGAAATGACTGATCGTTTAAAAAGTCATCAGTGAGACATTTTTGAGAGAAAATCAGACAAACATTAAACATTTGTGGACAAGACTCTTACCAGGATTGATGCACTTTAAGTCTGCATGAGTTAAAGTGAAGGAGAGGTGTTTTATCTTTGACTTTGTCCACTGAAAATGATCAGAAGTTGCAGATTTTCTTCAACTCTTAAAGGTTAATCTTTGTTTCAGCCTCTGCAGTAGAGGAGTAACGTGATCCATACAAACTTGCACCGAGATGGTCTCAGCTGGGAGTTTGTGTATCATGCCTATACATGGTTAAGTTCATCTTTGAGCTGCGGGGGGATAAAGTGGGATGAGTTGAGTTTATCCTCACTGCATCGCCTCACCAAACCCAACTCCTCTCACTCTTATCTGACTCTGATGCATCCTCTGTTTGTCTAGGAATGAACTCTCTCTGGTAATATCCAGAGAAGGTTTGTTTTAGCATTAGATAATGACAGGAGTTTACATGGTTTCATGTCAGAGAAAATTCTGCCTACACGCCTGATGAGCTGTAGTTTGGTTTTCCTGCACAGGGTCGGATTTTGGAATGATCATTTCCATTCAAGTTAACGTGTCAAATTCCACCGGCTTCTTTCCAGCCCCCCAGAGGTTCAGCTGACTTTTTCTGGACACTACAGCATTCCGCATAAATTCAGCTCAGATTAACCCGTGCTGGAAAAGAAGTCGGGCACAGACACGATATAAAACACCCGGCTTCTTTTCAAAATAAAACACTATATGTTTCAGGCGGATCGTACATCACATCATGCAAACGTGGGCGGGGGACAAACAAGTCAAAGGTCTTCAGATGTCCATGAAATTTACCTCACAAACGCATCGTGTAGGAATTGGCAGGCAGCGAAAATCGTGGCCGTTCAGATGCGGTGGAAATTGGGTCAGCTGTGCCACAGAAATGTTCCCAGATTCTCTGAATCTTGTAATAAAACAATTAAATATTTTGATCCTGTCAAGCTATTTTCTCACACATTATCTGTGTCTTTTGCGGTGTCCTTGGGTGTTTTGAAAGGGACCTTTAAATACAATATATTATTATTACTGCTATTGTCTCAGAATGATGAACCTTTATCTGTCTTTACTTTGAGGGACTTAAAAGCCTCTTATTTGCCCAGGTTAAGGCTCCTTCAGGTGATTTTTTTCACATTTCCTTCATCTTTTATTGTCTCCAAATAAACTTTAAAAAAAAAAAAGTTTTGTTGGCATCAAATTTAAAATGACTAATTTTCCATTTCAACATCCAGTATGTTGTCTTTGCCCCATTTCTAGTTAAATTCAGGATCTGAAAAACTGTCAAAGCATCACTTTCTGTTTCATTAACACTTTAAACAGCATCCTTGTCTTTTTGGAAAAGTTGAAAATGAGTCAAGAGTAAAAAAATATTCACTTTAGAAACACTACACTTTTATAAAACGAAATTAATTTACTGTTACTTCAGTATATCCTGTATGTGCATCATACATTTATTATCGAAGTTTAATTTAACATGAATTTCATCAAATTGCATCAAATTTCCTGCGTCTTACAGTGATGCAAAAGTTTCCGTAAAAGTAAAGAAAAAGTATTTTTCAAAGTGAGAAGCTGGATAAACCCTACACCGAGGATGACTCCCCCACTCAGTCACCACCACTCCCCTCCTAAATGGTTCAGACGCCTGTGTCAGAGTGAGATACACGGCACGCTCGACTGGTGGCTATTGCAGACTTGCTCTGCAAAGTTGCATCACTTTGCGCTGGTGAGAGAGGGGGGAGAGAGAGAGAGAGAGACAGAGAGACAAAGAAAAGGAGCATAATACTGAGAAATAAAACCGGAAAGTGCAAGGAGAGGAAAGGGTGGGAACCCACGTCTGTCTTCTATAATTTCTGTATTTCCCCTCGTCTTCTCTTCTATCCCGGTTTTCCACCGCCTCTCCTCTCAAACATTTAAATTTCTCCTGTCCGGTAAGAAATTCGCTCTCCTGAATGCTGGCAGTGAGACCACGCCGTGAATCAGAGCTGACATGATATAAAACACTCACAAGCTGTGAACACAGACAGTAAATTTCCCTTCCCAGCCGTGGAGGCAGAAACCACCTAACTGCAGTGGCGGTGGTTTTGTTTTCGTGACTTTGAAACGAGATACTGTCATTATACTGTTTTGGATGATGTGTGAGGACTTGGGCCTAAACAAAAAACACATTTTGTAATCTGAAAGGTGCCAGGAGGTCAATAAGGAAAGAAAGCTGTGTGTTTGTCTGCTTTCTGTGCCTCTAAGAAGGACACAGTTATCCTCGTCTCCAGCTCACCACAGTCTGCGTGATAAGAGGACTCCCCGCTGTTTCCTTCATGCTTTTTAACCCCTCTACATGTCCTCAGCGGACTCCTTACTGCTCAACTTAAACCACTCTCCCTTCTTTTTTTTTGTTTTGTCCGCTGAACTGTTCCCAGCTTTTTCATTTCCAACCAGTTATAGCCATTTCCCATGAAGGCACCACACGTCACCCTTCACAGTCAGCCTCTCTCCTTCTGTCTCCATATGCCTCCAAGTCACGAAAACAAAGCCTCCTGTCATCCTCGCTGTTGCAGCAGCATTGCGTAATACCTTATAAGGATGTGGGATGGAAAGATCAAAGGATGTAACCCCTAAAAAAACACGGCCTGACATCATTTATGAAGTGATGGACCGTCTTCAATCGTTCCCTCCACCCACTGAAATCGATTCTCTACACCAGCAACTTTAAAAACAGAGTTCATTCACCAGTCGGCAACTGGAGAGTCTGTCTCTGCGTCTGTCTTTTCACAAAGATCAGACTTCTCAGACAAAAGAGGGAGAAAGACGAGGATGAGGAAGACGTGATTAAAAAGTTTTTGAGTAATAACATCCGAACAGGAGGAAGCAATATATCCCGAAGACGAGAACGGCTTCACGTAGAGCGCAAGTGTTGAAAAAATGAAGGAGAAAAAAAAAAGGGGGACTTAAAAAAAAATTCTCTGGAGGATATAAAATGGAAGAGAAGAAAGAAAAGAGTGGGAGGTGCAGAGGGCAGAGGAGAGGGGAGGAGAACAGGAGAGGTATGCTCAGTTGGAGGACTGGGAGAGGAAAACCACAGGAAGGAGTGAGAGGGAGGGAAGTCAAGAGAGAGGGAGAGAGAGAGGAGTGAAAAAAAAGTAAAACAGGGAGAGAGAGAGGGAGAGGCCAGATCAGGGCGCAGTGGAGGAAAAGGTTCTCTATGAGGGGAGGACAGAGTATCATGTCTGTTTATGTAGAAAACACCTGAGGGGGGCATCGGTCTGTCTGGGTTTACGTGAATTTCGACTTTCTCACACTTTTCTATCAGAATATTTCATAAACCAGAAACCTGTCTTTGGTAATCTCCATTTATTAGCCTGAAAGTGACACAATCGTGGATGTCGGGCCTTCCTGATTCTACAGGACCACACCGGTGTCTTTTTACAGCCTGGTTGTTTTGGCCTGGGCTCGCACGGCACCCACAGAAAGGAGGGTGATTTTACCTTTACAACAGGTTTGTTTCAAGATCAGTGAATCAGAGAAACATCAGCACCCAGAAAGTCTCCATCCATAAAATAATTGTCAGATTTAGCATCAAGATTGGACTTAAATTCAGGTAACGGGTCTATCTTGATAACATGGGTCCACAAGAGTGGAGAACCACATCTCTGTGTGTCTGTGTTAGTTATTTCGCCCATTTGTTTAGAGTATACACTATATGTGGTTGCGTGTGCTAGCATGTACATAATTCTGTGTGTGGCGTGTGAATACCCAAAAGTTGTGTTTTGCTAGGCAGTAGGGGATCCATAAGAGGGTCCGGGCATGCAGCCCAAACGCAGGTCATTGAGGGAAAAGTGGGGGAGGAGCTGCTGCTGCTGGAGGTGGGGGCTCACGTGTGGTTATGAGATTTGAGCATGCTTGCTGGTGTGACGTCAGTCTGCTTGCGTGCCTGGATACATATGGTACTGTGTGTGCGTGCCGACACAATACTTCCAAATGTGTGTGTGTGTGTGTGAGAGAGAGAGAGCGAGAGAGAGAGAGAAGTCAGCGAGGTTGCTGTGGAATGTGAAACCAGTGTGGCGAGGTAGCTGGCAGGCTGGCAGCAGGACCTAAACACTGACTTCATTGTGGTTTAGCCTCTGCCTGATATTTTGTCAGGGGATCCTGTCGGTGATTGTGGAAGAATTTGTGGTGACAGCAAGTTTAGAAGTTAAAGAGGTGTACATGTAGCTGGAAAGACGCCAGTTTGAATCCCAGACTGTGTTTGGAAATCCAGGCAGTGAAAGTAAATTAAGAATGCACTTACTGCCAGCTATCATTAAAGGGCCATTTAGTGAGACACCCTAAAGGGGGGTTTGCTGTTATGTCACATATCTGCTTGAAACCCACATCTGGTGCCATTTAGAAGTTCCACTGGAGGCAAAGACCGGCTAAATATAAAATGACGCCGAAAAAAACAGATACCTGAAAAACAGTCTTTCAGAATGGGTATAGGAACATTGAGTTTTCTGAGCTCTAACAGGGTCAGCGAATGCCAAGGTTGGAATTTAACCAGATTGTAAGCAACATATTTTGTAAGGAACTGCCCAAAAACTTTTCCTCAGACCCCTTTCCACCAATACAAGACAAATGCACGGACAAATGGGTTTTGCAAGTATTGTAAGAAACCAGCCGGTTAGCTTTAAGGTCCTTACACACCGGGAACAAATTTTGTGGCTTTCTGGGGTGAAAAAAGACGCGTCCCAGGGGAAGCGAGAAGACTGACACAACAGCAGACTGAGTGTTTTTCAGTTCTGATTAGACTCTGGTGTTGAGATGTCTGTCTGTCATGATAGCATGTGCTGAGTCGGGGCCAGAACCAGATAAAGAACATGAAACTATAATCCATAAACGTAAGGTAACAACCGAGACCTAATGGTGCTGTGACAGCAACGCGATTAAGAGTGAAAATACATATGGTATGTTGTATCTGAATAGGTTAGCTTATGAGCTGAAGTTACTTAGCACAGATGAAAGTTAAAACAAAGATGTTTATCAAACTGTTAAAGAACACAAACCATTGTCATATGAGAAATCTGACGCTATGACTCTCCACAAGTTGTCCTTCAGGTCGTTATCTTTGTAATATTTGTGTCTTTTATCAAAAGCACTCTGTTCTCCGACACATAAACAATCAGCCGGTCGGCCAAGTTGGATAAACCGGTGAATCAGATGTCGCAACAACACGCAATCTGATTGGTCAGAAGTGGACACATAGTATGCAAAACTTAAGAAAATTAGACCGTGATACGAAAAAATAAATGCCGCAATATCACGGAACAGGAAAACGTTGCTGATGTGAACGCTTGTATTGACAGGATACGGGTTCGAAAAAAAATATTGATGCCCGAAATAATCGTACGAAAAACGTTCCCAGTGTGAAAGGACCTTTAGCCCCATAAAAGCATTATGAGTGCGGGGCGGAGATGAAGGGGGCTTTCACACCTGCGCCGTTTGGTCCGGACTTTCAGACTTTTCTGTGATAGGTGTGAAATCTCCCCTGGACCTTAGTCCGGACCTAAAGAGCTTGTCTCGGTCAATCTATCTGTCAATCTGTCAACAAAGGCCTGAACTATCAGAACGGCAAATGTAAAAATAAGTTAAGTCTAATGGTCCTTGCCTTCGTACGTATAAAAATACCCATAGGATCAACAGATGACTTAAAATCCATAAAGGCTGTATGCTCTGGCTCATGTTGTTTGTGATCCATCTTATCATATTGGAGCAGAGTTTAGGTCCTTCTTCTGTTTCAGATAAACTAATCGACCCTGGGTAATAGGGCTCTGACTTCTTTTAATCCAAAATCAGAGTATTTGTATTTGTACTCATTGTCATCTGACTATCACATGGCGTTCTTGAGCTTTAAAAATGAGAAGCACGATATGAAAATATATATATTAAAAGAGAGATGCATTCAGTCCCAATCAAGATGTGTTTCTGGTGAACAAGTATCCTTAATTAACGGCTCGACAATCAGGTGTCCAGCTCTGACAGGTTTGGCCAAAACATATGTGTACTTTGGACATGAGCACGTTAGGTCCCCTACCGTGAGTTTTTTTTCCCTTGAGGCAGATATCTGGGTCTTGAGTCATTCGGTCTGACAAGAACTCACGGGCTGAGTCATGACGAAGTAAAGCTTTTTATCAGAAGCTTCACTCAGAGTGTCGTACTGCTACGGGTGGAAAACTACAGCAAAATCTTGTAAAGGCCTCAGTGAAGCTGGACCGCAGAAATGTAGAGGATCCCAGTAACAAACCCACATCATAATGTTTTTCAGACATTTTCCCTCTGGGACCGAGAAACAAGTCAAATTCAAAAGAGAGGATTAATCGCTCCCAGATTGACTAAGTGGTTTTAGAGTACTTGGAGGACAGGAAAACAAACTTCTACGTGTCTAAAACACAAAAACATGTTGGTTATTTGATTTTGTCCTGTCAGGGAAAAATTACCATTATTCCAAGTAGGGTCAGATGTATTGGACCAATGGGATCAATCACATTGATCGTTTGATTTACCTTCACAGGATTTTTTCACAGTGATTGATTTAACTTGATCCTGTCAAAATATCATGATCATGTTCAGGCTGATGTGACTAAAACCTCCAGTAAACAACCAGATTGATTGCCGGATGTTTGGAAAGACTGTTGAATAGATGAACTATTGGACGGTTTGTTGGACGGATGATTATTAGATGGTTCAATGAATAAACTGTTAGATGGATTGTTGGATTAATGGATTAATGGATTATACACTGGTTTTCTGGATGGATAATTATTGAAAAGTTTAATGGATGGATTATTGGTCAATGAAGGTTTGATGGATGGATTATTGGTTGGATGGACAGATTGAATATTCTATGGTTTGTAGGATTATTGGATTGTTTGATTATTGGATGTTTGATGGAATAACGGACAGATGGTTGAATGGGGTATTGATAGACTATTTGATGTATAGATGCATGAATTACCATGCTTACTGGCTTGGCATATGCACGACATTGTTTTCATTAGTTTTGCTTCAACAGATGATAAAAAAACTTTTGGTGAAGTTGTCACTGAATAGAATATTGAAATTAAAAATCGAGTTTTCAGAGAAAAAAATCAGGATTTTACTTTTTGACCAAAATCATGCAGCCGCAATAGCGAGGTAGATTTGTTAGTATTTTCAAGAGAAAGACACAGCAGCAGCACTCGAGCTGGGGTCGCCGCAGAGCAACGCCACTGCATATTACTCATTGAGTAGATAAAAACATTTGTGTGAGTCTGAATGGATCTGGATATTCAGCTCGGACTCAAATGCCTCGTATGTCCCTGTACATGGTAATCTAATGCCGCTGTTACACAGTCACTTTGAGTTATTCACTCTGTGTTTACCACAGCCGCTACAGAGGCTTCCTGTGGTTCACTTTGTCTACAAACCACCATGTTTGAATAATAGTTTAATCAGATCCCACTGTTGTTATGACTCATGTCACTGGAATTACTTCACAAGTACTCCAAAGAAAGACGGATCACTGGAACAGCAAACAAGTAAGATGACAGTTCAGCTGACAGGAAAAGCAAATATTTTAACAGAGATCTGAATGCAGTCGTCTGTTTGTAAGTTCAATGGCAGCCATGTGTCAGGGCCGGACTTTGCATTGTCTGGTCCAGAGTTTATCAATATCTTTAGATGTTTATGATCACTTGTGCCGAGACAAACATTTATTTGTCTCTGCAGAAATCAGTGATCGATGTGTTAACACCATAGACTGTATATACTCTGGACAACTTGGTTCAGCCTCCCGCCTGTATACAGATTTGAAGCCAAAAAGCTCTCGGTATTCCCGGGATTTTTCTTCATTTCCTGAAATCAGCGCTGTGCAGTAGCTTTGTGCACATTCGGAGGGAGAGTCGCCGAGGGTATGACCTATACTGCAGCCCATCAACAGAGGGTGCTGTTCTTGGGGTGGCTTCACCCAGCGAGGAGGCAGATGCTGTCCGTTCTATATACAGTCTTTGGTTAACACCAATATTGGCAGTAGGGATGGGCGATAAATTATCATTCATGATATATCGTCAGAAAAATCCTCTGTGATAAATATTTGCCATCTCACAATAAATGCGATAAATGCAAGTTGATGACATAAGTGCGAGTGACGGACTCACAGCCGTAGCCCACACAGAGTAGAATAACAAACAAACATGGCCGAAGCTAATAAAGAAGACGTCTTATTTGACAACTCCAACTGGTGTTCTCAAGACAAAATCGCCAAAATGGCAAATCTTATCGTGATAAATTTTTGAGCCCATCCCCAACTGGCAGTTATTTACTGTAACTTCACTGCACTGTGTTTTTTTCTCCTCAGGTGGACCGCAGCAACAAGCAGCCATGCTGTCCCTAGACGAGCCACTGGACCTGAAGCTCCCTTCAGGACGCTCAGATGGTCCAGTGAGATTAGGAAAACGATCGTATCCCTCTTCTATCTGTGCCCCCCTCAACGCCACACGACCACGCCTGATATGTTCCACCTTTCCATCTCCACCTTCTTCCCCAGGTAAAAGACAACGAAACATAAGTCAATCCTCCTCAGACAGATTCAGCTTTGAGTCTTCAGTCTCCAGTATTTTTTCACAGTGTTTAAGACTAAGACGGTTTTAATTGAACGGTTTATTAAGTGGATTCTGTGTTCTCACTCTTCCACTAACTTAATTCTGTGAATTCAGTGAATGACAGCTTTCTTCTGTCCCTTATAAGATGCACATTGTTCATGGATTTCTCTCTCTATAAGTGGCTCTCAATAAGAAAAGCATGACACTGACATGAAGAAGTCACCCTCAGGGCCCCTGAGACCGTCTGAACGGACTCTGCAGAATGACCAGCGGATGTTTTAAAAGCTCCTTAACCGTATTTGTGAATCCTCTTTGAAGCTGAATGTTCAGAGTTTGCTCCTGGGGACTTCACGGGTCTGTTTTAGAAACCTTCATCTCGAGGCCACGTTTCCACATGACTTCGAGGGTTTCTATGGAAGTGACTAACCTAGGTGTAACAACACTTGGCAGCCCAGTGAAAACCACACTGACCTTTTTTTCTACTGGGACTCACAGGGGAATTTCAGAAACACAAGCAGACGACCTTTGGCTGACTTCAGGAACTAAGGATACTTCGTAAACTTTGTGTTATTTCCACTCTTACCCGGACATTAACTTTTGATTCAACCGAGACTTCACCTTTGTCCTTCCACGTTAAAGTCCATCTTTGGCGATCAATCTAAAAGTGATAAAACTGACTGACACGCTTACACTGACTGGCCAGTTGATCTAGAGTTTAGGACGTTGATATGTTGTACCCCTTGTTCAGCATGAGTCTGTTTTTTCTAGCTTTGTGCCTTCAGGCTGTAAGTCCAACCGAACTGTAACAAGAGCTTGTAAATTAACACCCCTGATCTTAGTAACGTCACTCTGCTTTGACTCTCCAGATTCTCAGTCTTCCTCTCAAGAGCGACCCGGGTCCTGCTGCAGCCCTCCAGCCATGGACCTCAGCCTGTCACCTTCCTCCCGCCACGCCTCCTCTCTGTCTCCTTCTCCTTCTACACCCTCTTCTCTCTCTCCTGCCTCACCCCTGGAGTCCCCAAACTGCAGCAGCAGCCCTCAGCCGCATCACTTTCCACGGGTGAGTCAGAATCAAGTCACAGTTCTATTGCGGTTTATTCCGTCTAAAGAGGGAAATACGGTGAAGGAGTTTGTTTTGGTTTGATATAGGGCTGGGCGACAAACCGAAAATTGACAGATACTGAAATCAGTAACCGACTTCATTTTGCCCATGTCAATATATTCTGTGTCAAAAAAATAAATAAATCAAAGTTGGTTTTGGATTTGTGTAGGTAGGCTATGGTCTCATGTCGCTTTAAGACGGTGTCCTACATCAGAGACGTGACTCCACCCCATCCAAAAAACAAAGAGGGAAAGACAGGTGAGGAGATGGAGGACGGTTCAAAAGTTGTAGAAGTTGTTGGAGAGGCGTCTGAAGTAGACAAAGTTAATGTGGGAGGGGGTGAGCAGCTTGTGGAGTAGTTATCGTCCATTTATCGTTATCGAGGTGATATTGATATTGTTTGAGGCCATATCGCCCAGCCTTAAGTTTGCTAAATATTAAACAAGAAAGAGTTGAGGATTAAATGTTTTAAAATCATAAAGGATCATGGGAGTACTGCTGGTTTGTTTCCCTCAGAGTCGTCTGTGAACGTACTTTCGCATGTCAGCAGATAATCTCCTCCAGGGTCACAGACTTTTCGTCCCACGTCAGCCAGCAGCTGATCGTGTCTGAATGTGCTGCGCTCTTCTTTAACACTGGATTGAATTGGGATCCTTGTGATTGAATCTAATTTACTGTTGCGGTGTCTGCACACAGCACACAGACGTCCACTGACTCTCGTAAATCTAATTTCAACCCTGATTAAACGATAAAACACGACACACAGATCTCCTTTGTTAAAACCTCATATCTCTCAGACTCATTCTGGAGCTTTGAAAGGACACATTTTAAAACATTTAATTCATCTAAGGCGAGCGTAAATACGACCTATTTTCCTCGCAGTAATATCAGCAGATTCTTCAAAACTGGGGCGTTTTTTTTAAATTGAGCTCTCTGAACCGAACGAGCTTCAGATTATGTCATACAAAATAAGTGTCCACATTTTGTTCTTTAACTTTTTAACCACAAATAATTTTGTTGTCATGGTTTATGGTGAGGTTCCACAGGGCTCAATACCAGGACCACTTTCTTTATCAGTGTTCAGGGCCTCACCTCAGATCTGTTCACGGACATTTAGTTTGGACTTGTAAACATATATTTTATTAGGATTTGTTGCAATTAACGACTCCATAGTGAGTAAATGTGCAGTTTTTTGTCCGTGTTGGGAAAGATTTTATAATTTCGGGAAATTAATCTGAAAAAGAAGTATGCGATTAGGGACACGACAAATGTGAATTAAAACACCATTGTTTAGTTTGTTTTTTTTTTTAACTAATTTTTTGGTGACTTTTGTCATTTTGTGTCACTGATGACAGACAAAATCTAATCTGTGGTAAATACAGTTTTAAAATGTTTCTTAAAAACTTCTACTAAAACTTTGAAGTGGTAAGAGTAAAGATTTCATGTATTGTCACTATAGAAATAAATTCTTCAGTTGAGACAGCGTGCCGGCTTGAAGTTACCTGTCTGTCTGATCTTCCAGGAACCAACTCGCCATCGAGGTGTGGAGGGCGGAGCTTCACCACAGGGTTTCCCCTTTTATCTGCCCATTGGGAGTCCGCCGAGGGCGTACAGCTTCCCCTCCCCCATCTTCATCGGTCAGAACAGAGAGAAGCAAGTTTCACCAGAGCCCTCGCTGGACAGTCAGCTGGCCTGCCGATGGATGAAGGTGAATATCAGACGGAAGTCATACACCGCACTCGCCATCGATAGGCTTGGATAGTCATAGTCCTACATTAAATACAATACATCATCCCAGGTCAACACTCAGCCCTCCTCAGTCAATATCAATGTACCTGGATGTGTTCACCCTGCATAAATAAGTCTAGCCACTAGATGGTGCTGTGGACAAAGTTTAAAAATTACAACAGGAAGAAACTGCAAATTTATTTACATTAAAACTACAAGACATGAATATGTTTTAACTCGATAAAGCACAGGACTTTATAGTTGAATACACTGAATACTGTTTGATTTGCTGCCTGTTTTTGTTGTTGTATCACTAAAAATGAGGTAGTCTGAAGTTTGGGGGGATTGGATGATCAAACATTTACAGGATCATTTGGATCAGGACAAAACTTTCAATTAAAACAATTAAATTCAATTAATCAGAGAAACTTTTGAAACATTTTCTACGGCTTTGTTGCTGCTAAATGTGAGTTTGGTGACCTTTTCTTGGACACCAGAATCCACTAAAAACTACGCTATGATACTTGTTTCCAGATTGTCTGTGTAATTCACATCATCTGTCCAAATCAAATATTAATAAATAAAGTATCAATTGTCAAACCCTTGCAAAATCACCTCAAACGTGCACTATGTGTAATTAGTTTTCTTCACAGTGTATCTCTTTCTCTCTTGCTCGGTCCTCTAGTGCCACCTGCTGTTCGACTCGCTGCAGGACCTGGTGGATCACATCAACGACTTTCATGTCAAGCCTGAGAAGGATTCTGGGTACTGCTGCCAGTGGGAGGGCTGCGCTCGTAACGGGAGGGGTTTCAACGCCAGGTATATTTACATTCATACCATGACCTCACCTGAGGCAAACAATCCCAACACATACGCAGATATGACAGATTAACCCACTATGAACTCTTTAAATATCTTATATACACTCAGAGACTTGTTGCAAAGATGTGAATGAAACTATTCAACCAACAGTGACAAGAGCAGCTAATGTTCATATTTGATAGTCTTTAAAAACATTCATTTTTATCAGTTAGTTTCATTTTTCGAGGATGGAAAAGTCTCCATTTAAAACAACAACGATGATGATGGCATCAGGAGATTTTTAACATCACTCACCAACCAGCAAGAAGTAAAAACCTACATCAGAAAAACTTAGATTTACAGTCAAAGTTAATCAAAGTGAATCCACTCTTTATGATATTATTGAGAGGACACGTATATGATGTGTACCTTGGACTCAATAAAATAATGATCAAATAAAACAGGGATCAATAAAGTTGGGACTTTGAATTATGAGGTTGAATTATGTGTGGGCTTGGTTATAAAACATATCTATACGGCTGTATTAATAATTAACAATTCCTGATTTACGTTTCTGTCAGCAATCCAAATGTGGTCAAGTTCACAGCAGAGGTACAACTTTTCTCCCTATTATTTTTATAAAACTCAAACGTGGGGTTCCTCAGGGTTCACGGTCTGGTCCACTTATTTTGTCAGTGTTTGGGGTGTCTCCTCTGACCTTTTTTTTGGGCCTTTTTTTTCCCGTAAACATCATCTTTTTACCATCTGTTGGTGCTGTTGGTTCAAAATTGTTCTTCCTCTTCCTGTTTGATGCTGTTGTTCAGATGATCTGTTCTGCTTCTCGGTGTCTCATGAGTCCATATAGGCTGGAATCAGATGTCACTCTCTTTCTCTCTTGAATTTAAAGGAGCTTTAAGAGCAAAGGTTAATCATTCATTCAGTCGTTCATCCATTTATCACGACACGGACACAGATCCTGTTCCCTGATGACCTCAGACTGTGTGCAGGGAATCAATCAACAAAGGACCTCTTGTAACCAAACTAAACTATCCCTATAAGTGGAGTAAAAATACTATTTTTACATTTTCCAGACTTTCACACGATGAAGTAAAATATTCCCAACAAATATTGTTGAGGGGGGCAGGTTGCCAGACTGGACATCTGGACAACACCAAACATCACTCAACAACATACTGCACTGTACATCCGTGTGCATGCAAACTGAATCCTTCTCACGCTGTTTTACAGGTATAAGATGCTGATTCACATCCGCACGCACACCAATGAGAAGCCGCACCACTGCCCCACCTGTAACAAGAGCTTCTCTCGTCTGGAGAACCTGAAGATACACACCCGCTCGCACACAGGTGAGACAGGATCGAGGAACTGTATTGATCCCCGAGGGGAAATTCAATTAGCAGGGTGTGAAAATACGACCTGGAAGCTTCTCTAGACATGATGCAGATGCTCAGAATTTCTACCTTTATGAATGTATCCTAAAGAAAGACAAAAACTATTGACTATGGAGACTGGGGAATGTGGGTTTCAAAGTCCAAACGTGTGGCTTCAAAGCCTTTCTGTCTGATGATTTGGAGGAGTGACGTGTTGAAGGTGTGTTGGGTTTTACAGGTTTACAGCGGACAAATGGAAACTTCTTTATTAGTGCAATTCAAGAGGAGATGGAGGCTCATTGTCTGTTTATACAGTCAATAGTTTTGCTCGTTGCAGCCTCTCCAAGGTTCCTCCCCTGAAGTGCAGCTTCAAGTGATTCAGCAGGAACTAGTAACCCTCCTTAGCAGATAAAATTCACTTATCATAATTATTCTTCTAGAGGAAGGTCTGCGTCCTTGATGAAGCTCACAGAGTTCCAGATCTAGACGCTACATGACTCTTGACAGACTTTCTTATTTCACAAAACAAGTCTGAACCAAGGAGACAGGGCTGACGAGTTAAAGTCAGGTCTTCTCTGTGCAGAGAAATCACCTTACAGCAAGAGCACAGTGCAAAAAGTGGAAATCCAAGCAGGTGGATTTGGGTTGTTTATGGTCAGAAATATCTGATTAGACAAAATTCAACCCAGATGAGCGTTTTATGTCAAGATAAGCCTAACATGAGCACAATCAACTATAACACCAACTGTAGTGTTCTGAGGAAAACTGATAAAAGATGATATCTGTGTAGTCGACCTTGACCATGTTTGATGTAAACAAACCAAAGGAGCACAAAGTAAACCTCTCCTCTCTTGTATTAATTTGCATCTTTGTGCATTTAGATGTGGCATGCAAATAGAGCAGGCCATTTGCCCTAATAGAGCGAGGCAACAGGAAACATTAGAGCATTCAAACATATTAAGTGGGTAAATTAGTTTTTGTTTGAACATTGTCCTAGGATTCACTCATGTATGTTTGTGACAGTGTACCGTCAGTTAGATAGGAGAAAATCACCTTTGTACTCATGCTCAGTGAGAGGATGACTAAAAAGTTAAAGAGTTGAGGTCACAACCTTTTCCCGTCCTTGGTGTCCTTTTTACTTAGAAATCCAGTGACAGAAGGAGGCCGGCTATTTAAACAAAGACTTACTGTCTTTGTAATCAAAGGTGACACGTTTACTTTCATGCACTTGAACACTGTTTGCTCAGTGCAAATGTGTTTCAGTATGAGCAGTGACGTTAACCGACCCCAAACAGGAAAAAGCAGTCGTTGTAATGATGGAGCCGTGATTACAACAGCATGTCTGACTGTTTTGTCACTATAAAGGTGGGGTAGGCAGGATTTTGTTAAAGAAGCATCTTTTTTTTTGTGGTGTATAAACAAAAAAGCTTTTAATATCAGTCAATAGCTATTGGTTATTGATGACATTTGGTAATATAACAATATCGCTGTGTTCTCTCATGTCTATGTCGTCAACATTTTACATTTTTGAGCGGTCCGCTCTTTCTGACTGTAAACAAAGCCGTTCTCCACCTCCTCTAACCTGATTGGTTGTGAGGCAGACGCTGCTCCCCCGTGTCGTTCAGGAGCCCAAACAAAGTTAGCGTGCTATAATATCGGACAGTAGAAACCAACCAGAAAGTTCGGAAAACTGTCTGAATCCTCCTTTGGCCACGACTGCCAACACAAGCAAGAAAACAAAGTAAATACCGGCGACTCTGGAGGAATAACAGGCGCTTAAAAAAGGAGGTAGACCGGACAAGAGCTAAGAAACCAGGTCAACATCATTTAAGCATTAACACTTCGGGGACGCTTCGGGATCTTGGTGACCCTGTAACATTTCTGCTGGACAGGTAAACCGCTTTAACAAAGTAAGACAAGTGTCTGTAACAGAAGTGTTTCTTGTCAAACGGGACCCACTTCATGTTGTAGCGCCACTAAACTGTTGACCTCGGGTCCTGGACTATGTCACTTTATCCTAGTTGTAGAAGTCCTGCAAACATTGTGTTTGCTGGTAGTCTGTTGGCATCTACAGTAGCACCAATGCTTTTGACTTTCACCTTGACTGGGCCCCATTTGTAATTATCTGAAGTATTTATCTGCATTATATCTGAATTTAATTGGAACAATATGAGCGAGCAGGAGCGTCTGTTTGTGGGCGGGGCTTGCTGGAGCAGAGAAGGAGGGGAGAGGAGGAGCTGAGGGGAAAACTGGTTGTGAGGGGTAGAGTTTACATTCAAGATTTCTCCTAAAAACTGGAACTTCCTCAGATCCTGACTACTCCACCTTTAACTTCATGTGGTTGGCAGTTGTTGTCCAGATCTCATTAAGGATTTTGTTTAGAAAGGACTTGGGTTGTGCAGACTGGATTTAGGGAACTCAAAGCATATCAGTAAGACCACATGACTGGCCATAGCTTTTTTAGGCTCAAGTCAACCCTTCCTCACGCTGTTTATTCTCTTTTCCATCCTCCAGGAGAAAAACCTTACATATGCCCTTACGAAGGCTGCAGCAAGCGTTACTCCAACTCCAGCGACCGCTTCAAACACACCCGCACGCACTATGTGGACAAGCCTTACTACTGCAAGATGCAAGGCTGCCTGAAGCGGTACACAGATCCCAGCTCGTTACGCAAGCACATCAAGGCTCACGGGCACTTTGTTTCCCAGGAGCAAGGTGCTTCCAGCAGGTTGGGGACCAGGACAGGCCCCCTCGGGCACCAGAGCCCAGTTGAGCATCCAGCTGTAGGCGGAGCCCACATCATCATCCCCAGTGCTGCAGCAGCTCTTCTCGGGGGCCTCGGGGGGTCTTTGCCTCTCTCTGCTTTCTGCCACGCCAGAGCTCTGGGCCACCATGCGGCGCCGCTCTTCTCCCTGGGTGGAGGAGGCGCAGGCTTCCCTGACTCTCCTCTGTTACACTACGGACTTTCAGCTGCATCCATGCTGGGGCTGGGAGCTCTGGGAGGACTGGGACGGATGGCAGGGAGAGACATGGAAGGTAAAGAGGAAGAGGAGGACGGCGAAGAAGGGGAGGTGTTGAACCTGTCTGCAGGGGTGGGATCCAGACGAAGTGACCCTTTATCCTGGGTGGTTGTTCCCCCAAGGGCACTTCTGCTCAAACCAGCTGTTGTCAGCTAGACATGGACTCGGCAAAGCGTGTGTCCCTGTTTGCATGAAATTTAACTGAGTGTGTGTGTGTGAGAGAGAGAGTTTGTGTGTGTGACAGAGGGATCAAAGGTCACTGTTCCCCTCAGAGCCATAAAGAGCACTTCAGTCATTCCAGCCCAAGAGCAGCTGAGAGCAAAAGCACACAAGTCTTAATGTTGATCAAACAGAACTTTAATGAGACTTAAGTGTTTGCACCTTGCATGTTAAAGCTGTTACACACTTTTAAAGGTCAACAAGAAGAAACCTGGAAGAATCCAGCCATGCAGATCTGTCTTCAGTTTTTTCTTATAGTAAAAATGTATTTCTGCATCATCTAAAACAAACAAACAAACAAACAAACAAACAAACAAACAAACAAACAAACAAGACAGTAGTAAAACAGTATAAACAGTTTCCAGGGAATTGTTTAAGTATTGAATTTGGAGGCATCGATCTGAACCTCTGACATCTATCTGCATGGCTGGATACTGACTCTATTTTTCTTCTATTCATCAGCAACCTAACCAAAACACTTTACAGATAACAATCACCTCTGCAACATTTACAAAACAAAGACATGGAAATCAGGTACACTCATCATTCTGTAGTTTTTTTGCAACATCCCAGCTTACTGCTTTCATGCTTATTAACAAAAAATGGGAAAACATGATCATGGGGGGCAAAAAGAGAAACAGTCCAAACATCTAAAGTTAGTTTGATAATGACACACATGAGATTTTTTTTGTCATCTAGTCATAAAATGGATTTAAAGCATTTACAAATCAGATCCTACCATGTCTTTGTGACTATGTGGTGATTCCTGTAAAGTGTCAGTGGGTTAAAGTTGTACTGAAATTGTTATGTGCATCTGAGAAAAGTCCTCATCATCAAAATAATGAGGCCCAATCATGGGTGTATTATCAAGACCTGGGTAAAGAAGCTCTGCTCAGACCTGCCTCTATTTTTACCCGGTGGCCACTTGTGGTAATGCAGTAAGGGCCTGTGTCCATCTAATGCTTTTCACAGGCTGTACAAAACTAACACAGCTCAGTGATTTCAGTACATATGGGAACTCTGGATCAGCTGATTTTTCCATTGAGCTCACATCACTGTCACATCAGTGCTTATTTACATGCTTTTCCTCTCAATGACCAATCAAAATCTAGAGGGGGCGGGACTTCTAAAAAAAGATGATGAGCAGATCATTTGAAACAGATTCAGTGGTCCCAACTCAGAGAGGTCAAAAGTGATAACTTTTGTGAACCTACAAAAGTGACCGACTGTGAGGAGTACTCTGAATTTGTGGGTGTGGGTTGGAGCCGTCAGTGGACACAGGCCCTTAAATAACGAAGGCCTGAAAAGAGGGCATCTTTGAGTTCTGAATCCAGATCTTTATAGTACAACAATCCTGGGCCCGATACGATACATTGTGAATTATACTTGAGTTTTTCACAGTACTAGTCACAAAGTGATCACAGAAAGGCTACCAGCCTCTCTTTGGATGAATTAACTCAGAAACGAACTGACTCAGGAGTAGTATCGGACATTTATGACACTACAGAGTGTGGTGACCGGCTTTGCTAACACAAGCTCCCTGTCTGACCATGTGGTTTTACAAAGTCACAAGAAGAAGAACTGTGTTGACGCAACTGAATGTAAGTTTAAGGTTGACTTAATATGTTCGTACTCGCTCTATTAACCATTCCAAGACAAAGATCCAACCAGGATCAGCTCTGCTTTCGAGACGAGACCAACTGAGGACTGCAGTCACAGTGAAACAGACAACGGTGTGTATTGGACAATAATGCGTACACATTTGCTTTAGATAATTGTTAAATACGGAACAGTATCCAACCAGAAACCAAACTATAACATTTCTCTGTTTGTTTGTTTGAAGTGCGGATGTTTGACGACGGCCATGCGAGGCCTGTTTCTATGTTGATTTCTCTTGTATTCCTGTTTGCACTTTGAATTATCCTAATCAGTATTTCAATGGTGTCTAAGTGCCTTGTGTTTCAGTCAAACTATATAACACAATATACGACAAATATTTACACAAATGTAAAGTGTATAAAAATACTTTTCATTACATGCTAGGAAAGCGAAATGACAACAGATGTGATTTGTACATCAGGGCCACTGCAACACTGTCTGCGGACGTCACCAGGACAATGACGAGGACAACGACTCAGTCAATAAACGAATTATCAAAAAATCTCATTTCGTGTTGCGACTTCATTTTGAGATGTGCCAATGTGTGGTCAAACCAGCTGTGCCAGTGAGTTTTCCGACACAATGGCGGCAGTGCACAATGAATATCTCTGATTTGATCACTAAGAAAGGCCCAACCCACACGTCAGCGCCAGGGTCAGTCCCCCCCTCCCTGCGGCACTGACTATTTGACTTGTTGACAGTACCAGCAGGTGGTTTAAAGGATAAGATCACGATTATCACCACTCTGACTATGAAACGATTTTAAAAGGTATTAAAAGTGCTAAAAATTATCGGGTATCAGTCCAATATCAGCAAAAAACTAAACAAAACAAAACAAACAAACAAAAAAAAACAATACAAGCAGTCCATTCCAGACTCCGCTCCAGCCTCTCAAGCTAGTAGTGCCCAGATCCAGCATGCAGACTCGACGTGATCACAACAACAGTGTGTACCGAGGCACTAACAAAGTGGAAAGGGATAGGAGTGATGTTGGCGGTGTGGCAGTATTTTTCATCAGAAAAAGACGTTGCAGCTAAGTGCAAAACGTGTCATGCGGAAGTTTGTGCAAGTATCAGATTAACATCGGTTACTGAAGGCTACAGTGTATGTGTACCGTTGGATATCATTGATGAAACCAGTCAAACAGGAACATAATGCTGGTGAAATCTCACCACCCTTACTCTGAAAGCCACAGGTGACTGACGTGAGACTTCCTGCTGGACCAGATTCTTAACTTTTGTATAACATAGATCAGAGATAGAGATCAAACCACATTTCACATGAAAGTACATTTCAATACCAAAACTTCTTTCTGTCTACTGAATCTTTTCACATTTGAATTACAGCAAGTATGAGGGATGTTTACGTCAGTTTGGCTGATCATGGAATCAAAGTGAATATATACACTCACCGGCCACTTTATTAGGTACACCTGTCCAACTGCTCGTTAACACTTAATTTCTAATCAGCCAATCACATGGCGGCAACTTAGTGCATTTAGGCATGTAGACATGGTCAAGACAATCTCTTGCAGTTCAAACCGAGCATCAGTATGGGGAAGGAAGGTGATTTGAGTGACTTTGAACGTGGCATGGTTGTTGGTGCCAGAAGGGCTGGTCTGAGTATTTCAGAAACTGCTGATCTACTGGGATTTTCACGCACAACCATCTCTAGGGTTTACAGAGAATGGTCCGAAAAAGAAAAAATATCCAGTGAGCGGCAGTTCTGTGGGCGGAAATGCCTTGTTGATGCCAGAGGTCAGAGGAGAATGGCCAGACTGGTTCGAGCTGATAGAAAGGCAACAGTGACTCAAATAACCACCCGTTACAACCAAGGTAGGCAGAAGAGCATCTCTGAACGCACAGTACGTCAAACTTTGAGGAAGATGGGCTACAGCAGCAGAAGACCACACCGAGTGCCACTCCTTTCAGCTAAGAACAGGAAACTGAGGCTACAATTTGCACAAGCTCATCGAAATTGGACAATAGAAGATTGGAAAAACGTTGCCTGGTCTGATGAGTCTCGATTTCTGCTGCGACATTTGGATGGTAGGGTCAGAATTTGGCGTCAACAACATGAAAGCATGGATCCATCCTGCCTTGTATCAACGGTTCAGGCTGGTGGTGGTGGTGTCATGGTGTGGGGAATATTTTCTTGGCACTCTTTGGGCCCCTTGGTACCAATTGAGCATCGTTGCAACGCCACAGCCTACCTGAGTATTGTTGCTGACCATGTCCATCCCTTTATGACCACAATGTACCCAACTTCTGATGGCTACTTTCAGCAGGATAATGCGCCATGTCATAAAGCTGGAATCATCTCAGACTGGTTTCTTGAACATGACAATGAGTTCACTGTACTCAAATGGCCTCCACAGTCACCAGATCTCAATCCAATAGAGCATCTTTGGGATGTGGTGGAACGGGAGATTCGCATCATGGATGTGCAGCCGACAAATCTGGGGCAACTGTGTGATGCCATCATGTCAATATGGACCAAGCTCTCTGAGGAATGCTTCCAGCACCTTGTTGAATCTATGCCACGAAGAATTGAGGCAGTTCTGAAGGCAAAAGGGGGTCCAACCCGTTACTAGCATGGTGTACCTAATAAAGTGGCCGGTGAGTGTATGAGCTTCTTACTGAGTGAAACTTTGAGCTCATAAAATCGGACGAACCTTTACAGAGTGACCTTTACAACATGTGGCCGCTCCACCATTAAAATTGTTGTGACTGGTTTAGAGGTATACTCATGACCTTTTCTGAACTCAAGTTATTCTTCACATGGGGGGGATTTTTCTAAATTCTGGATTTTATCAGTACATTAAAACACACAATGAAAAGACAAAAATTCATGGAAATACGTCATTGATCTACTGGAGCAAACCAAACTATGAGGGGATTGACTTGTCAACAGTTATTGCTGTGCCTGTCATCATCACTGCCAACAGGTTGGACTTGACATCACCCTGAGCTTCTGCTTACACTCTCTGCAAAAGAAAGACAGCAAGATGGTGAACTTTGGGACTACTTCACCTGAATTTTTACCTCCAGTTGCATTTCTCTCTCTTTGGTCAACTCTGAAAACATTCCCTGAGTACGATTATCAGTTTCCCATCCCTTCATTGTCAGCGCCAGACTATTGAATATTTTAGTGCAGGATACCCCCAAATCCCACATCGCACTCCAAGTCCTGATTGTGTAAGTCACTACTCCACTACTCACACTTAGATCAAACTGCAGAAAATCTCCAGACTTCATCCAGCCAACAGGCGAAATTCTCACCCTGACTCTTTCCCATATGCAAAATTTCCACAAGGAAGTCAAAGTTACCCGGAATTTTCACCAAATCCGAAACGGCTCCGATCCGGAACGGCGGTGATCTTTGCCGAACGCAGATTCCTACGAACAACAGGAAACGCAAGAACTCACAAGAACCTGCTGATTCACATGTAACTGGCGATAACAGGTTGTCTTTAGCCACATAGACTAACCATAAAAGCAGTAGATTGTGTCCTTCCAGAGGAGGAAATGAGGTCTAAAAGCCTTTCACTTGTTCATCCCCACCCATTTGCATGGTTTGAAATATGATCTGCCTGAAACACGGAGTGTTTTATTTTGAAAAGAAGCCCCATGTTTTATTTTGTGTCTGTGCCCAACCTTCTGTCCAGCAGGGGTTAATCTGTGCTAAATTTATCCAGCATGCTCCGGCGTCCAGAAAAAAAATATAACTCTTGCCGTAAGCTGCGGAGTCCGGCGATCCACAGCGGAACGGAAAGAAGCTGGTGCAAATTGACACATTAACTTGAATGGTTACGATCAGCTACAATCAACGGATACGGCCTTTTCGTAGCCGTTCTGGATGCGGTGGAAATTGGGGGTTAGTCTACATAAGAACTAATCAGGTGTGCCGATCACACAGATGCAATGCAAAGTCGTCTTTAAAAACGTAAACATGCAACATGACGAGCATTAACCAGATTTTAACATTAAAATTTGGTTAAAAAAAAAGAAAAGACTGTGGATTAGAGACATCCAGCTGCAGAGATTTTAAGCCCAGTGATGGAAATGGTCATATGTGAGAGAGAGTGCTGATATCTCCTACTCAAGTCTAACACACGTCTTCATATTGGAAGGGTGACCTTTGGATATCTTAGAAAGGACAGTTTTGACATCTGTGTTTGCAGGAGAGGGGGATCTTTTCAAACTACAGAATAAAAAAGATACCGTGTTACCTTACTTATTTAATTATTTACAACTTTTGAACTTAGACGACACTTTGTTTGACTTATCAGGAGGTTAGCTTGCTGGCTATACTCGCTCCCCTGGTCAGGACTTAGACCTCAGCCAACATCATCCCGCTCCTGAATGATTTGTACACAGGTGCTATTGAGGTGGTTTTTAGTCGTTAAGGTGAGCAAAAGGGCAAAACCTGAACAGGTGTGGTTTCATGACTGAAGGACTTTTGATATGCAAACAACACATGAAAGCCTCTTACGAAAGGCCTTGGCAGGATGTAGACTCCTGTCAGCTAGGATTACTATCTAAATAAAACATGAACGAAACGTGTGAGTTTCCCGGTCCAGTGTGCGTCTCTGACAAAGAGAAGCTGTCGGCCCGTGTTTGCAGATCCGTTTTCCAATAAATAATAACAACGTGGTCATGGCAGAGTTTACACAGACACCTGAGAGCTTAAGTGAGGAAATGTGATCAGTTTATCCTCCAAAGATAAAAAAGATATAAGATAAAAAGAACTTCATTGGTTTTTATTAACAAAGATATTGATATATTTAACTCTACTGTATCATCCTTTAGAGATTTAAGCAACCATGACCTGGCATCCACTTTTGACCTTTGTAAAGACCAGTGGCGGCTGCTGGTCTTTCAAGGAGGGGAAGCTCATTTTTCTGGCCTACATCATAATTGTGTTTGTTTATTTGTATGTAACAGAACAGTCGCCAAACACAACGGCAGTCGTTTTTAACAAAGACAAAAGTCGCTGAGGATCGGTAAAGTCTCCGGAGCAGTTAAGAACAACGGGATGAATAGCTTGGAAAAGGCTTTGGTAGATGTTTTATTCTTCAAGATCGCTGATTCGCTTGTTTAGCCGTCAATCAAAAAAGGATTTCGCCTCAGACAGCTCATCCAATCATGGATGCAGAAGCTCAGCGTCAGCGAGAAAGTTGGGACCGCCCTCTCGTCATAGAACTCCAGAGACGCTGAGTGTCTGATGGGCGGGACAAAGCCCAGCATTTATCCAATGAGCGTCTAGTTTCGCTGCTGGAACAACCCACTTTGAGCTTCCACATTGAAGTCAGCAGACGCTGAGCGTCCGGCTGTGTGAAGCGCTGAGGCGCTGCGAGGATGAATGAAAAGATCAAGGCTTTCTAGCGCGTACTTAGTTGATGAAATGTACACACAGCAGTACGTATTTCACCACCTTTTCTTTTTTTGAGCGGGTGACATTTTAAGGGAAGCTGAGCTTCCCTTGCAGTCTTAGAGCAAGCGCCACTGGTAAAGACAGACATTTCATAGTGATTTATACTCTGATAGCAAAATCATTTTGACGCTTTGAAGACTCAACAACTTCACTGCCAGAGTTAAAATGTCTGCCCTCATTTAAGCCTTCATTTGTTATTAAATTTCCTCTTTATTTTACACTTATTCATGACCTCTCTGCACACCGTGGAGTACACTCTGTGTTTTATTATTACAAACAAATACTGCAGAAGCTCAGATATGTTTTCGGCTTTAGACCGTACCCTCTGCACTTACAGTATATGCCATACTTATTCTATCAGATAAATCATTAACCACCGTGGTGCAGCAGCTGATACAGCACTCAGCATTTTTCTGTTTCTTCATAAATCAATCTTCATTTTGAATTTCAGAAAATCTGGGGTGTTTACAGTCATGTTTCATAGCCGATTCTTTGAGCAACACTGGCAAACGTCGAGGAGTTGACAAGACTCGTCTCAGAAGGTCACGAGGTGAAATGATGTCCAATATTTGCCTTACATTTAGGATACATACGGGTCACTGGAGTCAGGTGATCTTTGTTTGTTTCAAGTTTATCATCATGTGTATTCAGAGGATGAAGATTTGGGACTGTAGACAGTCTGGCACCTTAAAGAACAATATTACTATATAGGGAACGCATTTTGGCATTGTCCTGTTGAAATAATCAAGATCTTTATCATATTTTGAGCTGATGCCGTGAGTTCCACATCAGAGTCATGTCTGTTCTTATCGCAGCGCCACCTGATGGTCTCAAGATCACAAAGACCCGGTCTTGTTACTGAGAGTAGTCCCTTTTCCACACAGGTTTCTGAAGCCCAAAAATACTTTGTAGAATATTATTCCGAAACTGTCAATCTGTTACTCACAGTCTCTCACAGCGTTAAGCCAAAGCTCTTCACATCTTAAATTCTAGAAGACCCTGAGATAGGAGATGTTCTTTCAGTACAACGCAACTTTTTCAATGTTTGTTAAATTTCTTTATTATTTGAAAACATGTTCGCTGGCTCTGTACGCATGAATAACGTGGTCTGATTCGACATTCAATCACGGTCTGAGCCACTCCTAAAACAGCACCCTCTGGTGACGGGCTGCAGTATTGGTCATAAATCCTGCCTCCGCCAGCCATCCTTATGGGGCTGTGGACAAACTTTAGAAATTTATTACAAAGAGTAAAAAATTTTCTCCCCCCCCTGGTTGCGATGTTGACATGTAGTTACTGTCAGACTGGTTTGTACTCAAGTCCTCTTTTTTCTGTGAAGCTCCATTTTTAAAAGTTATTAGGGGGTTCATGTTTTCTATGATTGACACTTGATACAGCCTATGGACATACGAAGACTGCGTAGCTCACCCGGGGGGGGATACGCAGTTTTAACCGAGTGTCATCACAGCGACTCTCCCGCCGAATGCGCACAACGCTACTGCGCAATGTTGGTTTCAGGAAATGGAGAGAAAACGCGGAATTACCGAGAGCTTTTCGGCTTCAAATCTGTATACAATCAGAAGGCGGAACCAAATTGTCCATAGTATATACAGTGTATGGTTTTTAATTATATAACTTATTTGGGTGTGAAATAAATTGATTAGAAATAGTTTTACAGTGTTGGCTGACTGTATTAGCTGCACAGGTTTCCTATTTCAACTTCTGCTTAGTGACTGTAGTGGAGTCTGTGTTTTTTCTCTCTCTCTCTCTCTCTCTCTCTCTCTCTCACACACACACACACACACACACACACACACACACACACACACACACACACACACACACACACACACACTCCAACCCACAGTAATAAATTTTCAGTCGTGGTGTTGGAGGGATGGGCTGCTTTTAATTGGGAGGGACAAATCTAAAACAGGAATTTTTCCATATCTCTGCAGCTTGTGCCTCAGTCCCAGTGTGACAAACAGAGTCAAGGCGACTAAAGGTGCGAAGCTGTCAGACGTACCCCACCCCTCCTCCCCCTCTCTCTCTCTCATTACAGGTGCCTTTATTCTCTCCCCTGTCGTTCGTTTCCAAGCAGAAGTCAGTGGGGATGAGTTGGACAGAGGCTACAGGGAGCCGATAGGCCTTTTCTTTACGAGTAACAACCGGCTTGTTTTACTGAATCTATGGCTGGAGCGCAGAAAACTTAAGGAAGTCTCTGGAGGAGGGAAGGGTCGTGGCAGTCATGGGGGACTCTCGGACCGGCTCAGGTGTTAAAAGGCTGAAAAGGTACGTACTACGAATGAATAATTCAAACTAACTAAAACAGATATATCAGAAATGGGTTAAAAGTTAAGTCAAATGTTGCTCGCTTTGGTTATACACAGTTTCTTTTGAGTGTTGGTTCCTTTGAAAAAAGCAGCGGTTTTTTTTTAATTACTTTCACAGTTGTCGCGATGACATAAAAATACTGATTATTGTTGCGTTTATGTCAGTTGATCGAGCTTCCTCAAATGTTGATATCCTCAATGTTAGTGTGTGATTAACTGGTGCCAGTTAAACAGGGTGTACAGTTAAACCGTCATAGTAAAATACTCTATATTTCACAGTCATAATAACACACTAGAATAATCTCTAACCTCCTTTAATAATAACTGTCTGTGTCGGGTCCCCAGCAGAGGTTCACCTGTGTAACCTCTTGGAGAGTAGAGCCCTGCTCTTATTTGAAGCGAACGTGATTCACCCGATTAACAGTATTTCACACCGTGACTAACCAGTCCGCATCTTTCTGCTGCCATGAACACGCATGGACCACAGAACCGGTAGGGCAGGACCCGGGTCATACCAAAAAATGAATTCAGTAAGAAAAAAAAAAAAAGGGCCAGGTATATAGAGCTCCCAAAAAAATATATATATATAAATAAAAAGAATAATTATTATAAAAGGAAACGACAAACACCCCCCCCCCCAAAAAAATAAATAAATAAATAAATAAATAAAATAAAATAAAATAAAATAAATTAATAAAGGAAAAAACAAACAACAACAACAACAACAACAAAAAGGGGGGGCAGGTAGATACAGCTAAAAAAAAATTTAGTAAAGAAAACAACAAACAAAACAAAACAAAACAAAAATGGGCAGGTAAATAAATCGTGTAGGTCCATCCCACAAACCTACCAGAAAGCATCAAATAGTACTTTCCGTCGTTTCTTCGTTTTTATATTTGTTGTCGCAAAGTCACTGCTTCACATTATTTATATTGTAACAGAGGCAGGTGGGTTATACTCCACCTGTAGGTTAATAGTCCAGGCCTGAAGGAGCTGGTCAAGACCATACTCTTTATGATATTTACAAAGACCCAATGTAAAGACTGGACAAGACTGAGCCCCATTTTGCAAGACCAGACCCACTCTGACCCATCTTCATCAACATCAACATTCAGCGAAGTTGCGCGCACTATCGTTGTCTCAGTATCTATCTGTATCTGTTTTTGTTCATGGTTTACACAGAACCCCTCCTAACAGTATTTTTCTCACTATCAAATTAGCATGAGATAATCTGCCAACCTCTCGTCTTGAGAAACCGATGCAGAAGATTGTTGTGTTACAGTTCCCCCTGACTGTGCCCTCAGAAACCTCATAAACAGAGCCTATCTAGACCTATCCTATTTAGACTTCTGAAATGTGATTACTCTGAGTGCTCTGCAATGACAATGAAAAGGTGGTTCGTTGTGCTGCCCCATTGTTAACACATTTGCAGAACTGGAGTAGGACATGAGCTAAAGCAAGGTCTCTATTGTGCACATTCTACACCTGCTGACAGGAAATTTGGAGGCAGCAGGTAGGACAGGTTGGGTGTTCAGTGGAGGCACATAGCACATTTTTGCTAAAAGCCCCCAACTGGTTCGTCTGGTCATGATCCTGACACAAGAAAAGAGGAAACTTGTTTGGCCAGGTTACCCGATGATTCCTCCTTTGTTCGCCACCACACTAAGTCTGTGCATAGCAAGGGGGCCTTCGAATTCTTGTCGTGTGAACCGAGCAGTATGGCATCATACTGCAATAACAGAGCCCTGCCTCTAAAAAAAATAGACATTCATCATAGTTTGGGTTTTGGAGCAGTGCCCAGGGTGGCTGACTAGATGTCAAAGGGTGGTAATGCCACTTCTGCATACATGTCTAGAAACGCCTCAGGAAATTGGAAAAGGTGCCCGATAAAAAAAAAAGGACTCAATCATGGAAAATTGTTGACAAAATGTTTAAAAACTTCTGTATTGCTTCCCAAAAACTTCCCAATTTTGACACCAATCTGCTTAAACATACAGGAGATGTCAAACACTGATAAAAACGCCATAATGTTAACGTTTCTCTTTTCATAGTTTTAGTTTTTACTGTATAAATCAAACGGTCACCTTTCCCATGCTAACCCCGCCTTCTCTTCCTCCACGCACTGTGATATATCTCAAACGCATCCTTTTTCACGTGCCGCCTCATTTAAGCTAGCCAAAAACACCTGCTTGGTTTACTCCCCTGACCTCCCACAAACCATGCCATTCAAATATCTCCAAAAACGTTGTTTTTTAACACTTATTCTACTCTAAAAGTCACCAATGCCGCTTTACAAAGTCCCCGGGGGGCGTGCTGTCCGGCCTGCGGCTCTCACAGCTGCCCCTTCCCGCGTTCCGACACTCACCCGGCGGTCTTTCCTCGTGTCAACTCGCCGCTTCAGGCGCGCTCTCAAGGCGGAGGTCGGCGTCCTTCTGACCACGCTTTCTGCGTCTTCGCTGGGATCCCGGACAACGTTTGGGTTGAAACGACTCAAGTCAGAACAGTAAGACTTCAGGCCGCAGGTTGTTTTCCCAGTGTCCGTGCGGGTGCTTGATGGTAGCAGGGCTTGACACTTGATTTGTTTGATTGTCTTACCTGGAGGCTGCAGACCCCCACCTGGTGTCCGTTTTCTTCTGCCTTTATGTAGCCTTTAACCTCGTTCCTCTTAACAAATATGTCACACCACCAGACAAACTGTTAAATGTATTTGAAAAATCTTGTCATAAGATAAGTTATAGTGTGAAAGAAACAAGATTTTAGGGTTGTCTCTTCGAATGCCTTCATATTCATGCAGCAAAGCCAGGCCCGATATCAGACATTTCTCATGTTTAAAACTTAGAGACTGAATGTTTTTAATTTTAAATCACTACACCATGGTACACTTTTGTACCTTTGTGTCAGTTTACATTTAAATAACTACGGCACATCACAACACTTACTCTTGTTATCCACTAATCCTCTCTCATCTGTTTCTTGTGTCTTCAGATATGTCAGCGAGAGCCTGTTTCATAAGAAGGCCCCTTCAATTCAATCTGGGTTCAAGTTCCTGCTCCTGTTTTGTTTCCTGCTCTTTGTTGTGAGTTTCACCCTGTCTGACACTTGCCTATCATTGTGGGACAGCTCCAAACTGAACATCCACAAGTTGCTCAATCAGACAAGCCAGTTTTATCTCCCCCCTCCTTCCCTCAGAGTCGGATCTCAACTAATCCTTGAAACAACTACAACATCAACTACTGCGCTGCCTACTGATGCACCAAGAACAACAACACCTACTGCACCAACAACTACAGCACCATCAGGGATTCAGTACCACACTGCTTATCCTCGCAACTACCACTTTATCATGGATAACCCAGAGGTGTGCAAGGACCAGACCCCTTTCCTGGTTTTGATGGTTCCTGTGTCGCCAAATAACATAGCTGCTCGGAATGCCATCAGGCAGACGTGGGGCAAAGAGAAGCAGGTTCAAGGTCAGGTGGTACTCACCTTGTTCATGTTGGGATCTTCTGGAGGAGCCTATGTGGAGCAGCATGAGAAGCTCAAACAGGAGAATGAGAAGCACCATGATCTGATCCAGAGCGACTTCAGGGACACTTACAAGAACCTGACCATCAAAACCATGGTGATCATGGACTGGCTGGCCAAGCGCTGCCCTGCAGCAGCCTTCGCTATGAAGATAGACTCAGATATGTTCCTTAATATTGATAATCTGGTGATCATGCTACTTAAACCAGGCATCCCCAAGCTGAACTATCTAACAGGGATGCTGATGTGGAACCGGCCTGTTGTGCGCTCAAAGAATTCCAAGTGGTACGTCCCAGTGGAGATGTACCCAGAACCAAAGTACCCGACCTACACTCTAGGCATGGGATACGTCTTCTCCAACGATCTCCCAGAGAAGTTTGTGGAGGCGTCGAAGTCAATCAAACCCTTTAACATAGAGGACGCCTACATCGGGATGTGCATGAAAAAACTGGGACTTAAACCCTCATCGCCGCCAAATCCCTCTCAATTCAGGGCCTACAATACCAAATATGACCGCTGCACCTACTCTAAGGTCATAACATACATTCTTGGATCTTCGCAGCAACTGATAAACTTCTGGATGGACTTGAAGAGACCAGAACCTCCGTGTTAGGTCAACAATAAAGATGCACTAAGAACTCACTCAGGTGGAATGGGTTTGTTTACAGGGAAGTGGGAGATTAACTTATTTCTAGTTTTCTATTGCTCAGGTGAAGATGTCCCATTTTGTCTAAATATGAGGTTTGGGATCATTAGTTTTTTTTAACATTACAGAAGTTTCTGAAAATCTACTTTCTATGTATTTATAAGTCTTCTGGGTTGCAAACAAAACAAATTTATGAAGAGGATGTTTATTTTTTCTTATGTGAAATAATTTAAATGTGAGTGAGTGCATTTAAAGGTAGCCTGTGGAAATAACTAAAGTAATGTTACTGTGGAGCGGTGTTTCGATGAGTTGGCCTCAAAGTTGTAAAGATGATATTGTCTCTTATCCAAATGCATGTCTGCTTATCTCAGGGTGCGCCACTGCTTTAGTTAAATGAATAAAGTCTATGCAAAACATGAAAAGCTTTCCTCATGGTACCTGCAAGTTGAAAAAGAACAATCCATTGACCTTTGGCAGAAAGGTGTAAAATTAATTTCTAAATATTTCACAGATGAATGTAATTTTAATATTTAAATTAAAGAATTACTCTCTAACACAACTCAAAGAATATTTTTTTCAACATGACATGAACACTATTTTCTGACAGTGTACACTATGTCATCTTTGAATGGTACAACAATCCCAACCCCAGCTGCCTTAAAAAAAAACAACTTTTCTCATTTTTTCAAGTCCATACAGTGATTTCCAGAATCCAAGTCATTCAGTACTGGTTTTCAGCCTTGTCTCTTTTGCATGGAGATCTCTCCCTGAATATTTTAATATTTTTAACCACAGATGATGAGACTCCCAAATCCTTTGCGAGGTCATGCTGAGGGAAAGTATCGAACTAATCCAGCTGGTAACAATAGTTAGAAACTGAGTGCAGAGTGACATCTAGAGGTGAAAAGAGGATATGACAGGAACAAAATAGGTTCATGGTGTTGCAGTTGATCCCAGCTGCTAGGCATTAAGATAATTTTAAAATGGTTTTGGGTTTTTTAACCTTCTGCCCATACTGTTTGGGACTTGGTCACCAGCAGACATTGTGAACTCTGACCCTTCAAAACTTAAAGCTGGCAGATCTGTGACTGTTCCTGTCTTTATTGAGAGGACATTGTTGATTTTGACTGAATATTTTTCAAATTTGGCACAACAGCAATTATGTAAGTGGTCCTATCAACTTCAAACTACTGACCCTTTCTCACCAAAGGTTTAAACTAAGAACTTTTACTGTTCGGTAAAGCTACTTTTGTGAACTGTCTTGGCCAAAACTGAAGCCCATCAGCTTGTAAACATCCCAAACACTCAGACAGGTGTTATTACCCCAGCTTTCTCCTTACACCTGTACTTCCTGCTTTTACCCCTTTGGTAGCAAAAGGATGAATAGGCCTATTTTTAGAAAGATAAACAACTTGAGGAATTCAGGAGTATTGGTTAATGATTCTTGTGCCTAAGCATGCTTGAATTCACTTCCATGAAAAGCCTGATGTGGTTTGAACTGTAGGAAGCCCAGGTGAGAGTGGGTGTGGCTCACTTAGTCAGGTGAAATAAGACGAAGAGAAACAAAAAAAAAAAACCTCCAGCAGCAGTCCAGCAGTTACAGTGGTGCCTGCGTTTGTTTTACCTGCAATTTCCGGAAAATTACTCAAGGAAAAAAGAAAATCAGACAGCACGGAACATAACCTGACGAGGTAAAGGTGAGATATTAATACGGAGATGAGGTTTACTTCGCGTGTTTTTGTTTGTTTTGCACCATGTCCGTGTGAATGTGCGCTAAATTAAATCTGTGCGATCATTTTAGGTGGCAGAGATCCTGTTTGAACCTTAAGACGTAAAACCGGGGTTGTTTCTTTCATTTTTGTGCCTCTCCATACCGGCATTAGCCTGCAGACTGGGGTCATAATGAGAGCTGATGTGGGGTGTTACAGACCAGTTTTATAACTTAGAGGAGAGTGGGGTAAGATGAGCCATTTCTCATATTTCAGATCACTAGATTAAGGCAATCATAGTTTTGTCTCTAACTAGAGTATCCGCATTCCAAGACGTTGTTCATCCCTGCAAACCAACAGAATGAGTGTAAACAGAACTGTCTTGATGATATAGCATGCCAAAAAAAAAAAGTGTCTCCTGGTCTCCTATGGTCAACTTACCCCGTGTATCCTCCCTCATCTTCTCTCTACCTAAATAAGTCACTTCTTTCATGTGTATTTTTATCTATTATACACTATTCAACTGGTACAAAAATTCATTTATTATTATTGCATATAACTGAACTGAAACTCTGATCCTCTCATCAGATGACTTTACTTTCTCAGTTACCCCAGAACTACTATCATGACTTTATTAGTCCTCTAAGATAAAATGGTGGACTTTTATAGGTTTTTGACCTCACGTTGTAGCTCATAGATACCACAATGGATGTATAAAACAAATTTAAAATGATCTTTATTGGTCTGAACACAATTCTTATCAAACTTATGACTAAATTCACTTTAAAGAGTGAAAAATGTTTTTGTTTTTTTTAAAATAAATGTCTAACCCCTTCACCCATGTGCTTCTAACCTTCACAGACTCCATGAATTGATGCCCATCTCCTAAATATTTGGTCACATGATCAATTTATTACACCATTTCCAAGCAAAAGGGGGTGGCTCAACTTACCCTTTGGCTCAACTTACCCTGGTCTCCCCTCCCCTAACCATCACTTTCTGCTGCTCCTTTTAGTCGACTCTGTAGAGGTGTGAGGGAACACCTACAAACCAAACCAAACTCAGACTTCATCCTTTAGTCTTCATCCAGGCAGGAGGACCTTAAACTGGCTTCATGTAAAGGTCTGCTGTTAATTTGGCAAACAGGCGTAACTTAAAATGATCAGATTTTGCAGTAATTCCAGGCTATTAGATTAGATACCATTATACCTTTATTTTACAGTGAAAGCAAACATAAGAAGTCGTAACCTTGAGTGTTGGGAAAGTTGGACTTGTCTGATGGGTGTGTGAATTTCTCCATGTTGAGCTAGTGTCTGAAAAGATGAAGCACCTGCTCACATGCGGTCACCTCTCAGTGAAGCAGGAAGAGGGCGGAGCTTAGAGAGCTTTGTTGAACTAACAGGAAACCACAGCCATCACACTCCTCTCTGTTCACAGGAAAGTGCAGCACTGAAGGAGAGGTAGAAATGGTTAAACTGGGGAGATCAGATACAGGATCAAGTTACTAGTTCCTGAAATAAACAGTAAGTAGCGGCAGTTTACTTTCATTATATCAACTTTATTATGTATAAATATTCTGGATTCAACATATCCAGACAAGGAAGTGAAGTGGTGGCAGATGAGCGTTGTCTGATCTCACTGCAACAGGTACCTGATAGCATCTCTGTGTTTGCTGGTGAAGTAATGGGCATGAAACCAGCAGCTGTCTCTCTGTGGTGATTTGATTATCCAAACATTGACAGTTTGAATACATTCGTTTTCCCTCTTTACTATACAGTACTGTGTGTAAGAAAAAAGTGACCTCAAAAAATGAACATGCCTCATACCTGCATTTTTCCTCATGGCCAGCAGAGGGCAGATGAGTCATCAGCCTTGGATCTAGCAGCCCTGTTAAGGAGAATTGATCAGGATATAATATTAACCCAAGAACACTATCGCTAAAATTAGTAACACCATCACTCTCGCTGGGTGATTTTAACCCGAAATAATACACCCAAGAAAAAGTACTGGTCAACAAAATATATCAGAACAGGACAATACATGACAAATTAAAGTAGTTTTCTTTTATTTTTAACTGTGCTATGTCCAAAGGGAGGAGAAAAAATGCAATGAGGGGACCCTATAAAAATACAACAAAAAAACTGAAATTAGCCATTCATGAAAAAAAATTCCTGATAAATATAAACTTAGTTTCTTTTCCACCCGTTCCTGAGGCATGTGAGTCTGCCCTAGTGAAGACTCAAGGTCTTTGGCACAATAACAGCTACAGGAGAGAGAACCAAAATATGGCAGATTTTGAGTGCGTAAAAATGACCAGCTGACTCAAATATTTCTTATTGTTATATGGATTCCCCTGAAAATCACTACTTTGTGATAGTTATTCATAACCACTGCGCTAAATAAAGTTAGCATGAAAAATTCCAGGACCACTCTAACTGACCTTATTCCCTACATGCAGCTATCAAATCCACCCAAACCTACTTTACCCTCTATCACTATTGCTGGGTGAAAATCACCTGAACACGCGTCTGGAGAAGAAAGCAGGTTTTGGATCGGGGAAACAAATATGCCTTTAAAGATGTCAATGGAAATGCTGAAGCTACCCAGGGACCCATGATACTCAGACAAACGAAACAATGAAAATCACATAAACATGTTTGGTCGGGTAAAAATCACCCGGTGATGATGTTCTAGGGTTAATAATAATACTAATGATTATAACAGTCTTTATCTATGGTCACTTTTGAATTTGTGTTGAAGTGTAATTCATGAGAAAAATGCCAGTAACTGCTGATCACATGTTTCTTTTTCATGCAGTTTTTCATGGAGAGCCAGAGGAGGTACTTAAAGCACATCTTTGTCTTCTCCCTGGTATTGGGGACAATCTTCTTTACCCTTCTCAACTCCTACCTGGGGAAACAAAACGTGAACATTCCTTATGTTGATCCTGGACCCCATCATGTGGCCTACCCGAGAAACTACAAATTCATCCTGGATGACACGCCAACATGTAGAACCAGCAGTCTTTTTCTCCTTATAATGGTTCCAGTCGCACCAGGTAACGTGGCAGCTCGTGATGCCATCCGGGAGACTTGGGGGACTGAGAGGCTGGTCCTGGGTCAGCGGGTGAAGACTCTCTTCATCCTGGGTCTGCCTGGAGGAGCCGATGCTGAGCAAACACAGGAGAAGCTCAAAGAGGAGAACCAGCAGCACCATGACCTGATCCAGAGCAACTTTCAGGACAGCTACCACAATCTGACCATCAAGACCATGATGACTCTGGAGTGGCTGGCTGCTCACTGCGCCAAAGCCTCCTACGCTCTGAAAATAGACTCGGATACATTACTCCACGTCCGTAATTTAGTGAAACTGCTGCTGGATCCAAAAACACCCAAACAGAACTACATGTCAGGTTTAGTCTGGTGGCACAGCCCAGTTTTAAGGGACAAATCAAACAAGTTCTTCGTGCCAAAAGACATAATTCCAGAGCCCGAGTTCCCCCCATATCCTCTGGGATTTGCTTATGTCATGTCCTTGGATCTGCCTGAAAAAATCCTGGAAGTTTCCCCTCAGATTAAAGCGTTCTTTATCGAGGACGCTTATCTAGGTATGTGCCTGAAACGTTTGGGCATCCCCCCCACTGACCCTCCTGAAAACACAATGTTTCTGGTTGACCCCAAGCATCCTCTGAGCGACTGCAGCCTCTCAAAAATGATCGCTGCAGTAACGACGAGCATCCAACAGATGACGGGTTACTGGGAGAGGAGCAAGCAGCCTAGTGCGAAATGCTGAACCTCGTCATGGGAACATCTGTCGGCTCTTGAATTCATTTGAATTATTCTTCGATTTTTTTAATCAGTCCGTACTCAAAGACCAGCTCCAAAATAAACAGACATCCTCACATATTCACCACCAGCTTCGAACATGTTTGTGCTAATGATGCGTCTTTTCCTCATAGCAGCTATTTCAGTGTTTAAAACTCATTTTGGTGAGAAGTTTTCATACCTGCTGACAACAATATCATGCACTGTGCCGTGAAAAGCATGAGGGACTGACTTCAAACTGTTTCCACGTAACTCACAGATAAAACATTAAAGATCCCACAGGAGTGAGCATAAAACCTCATTAAAGTATGGTTTATAATTATACCCTATAATATTATACCTTAATGCAAGGAAAATTTTGTGAATTGTGTAGTTAATAGAATCTGACACTCATACAGTGCTGCCACTTAAAGCGCTCTCAGTCATGCTTTAACATGTTGTCGTATTTATAAGACTTAATCATTAATAACCAGTTTTCTCTCTGATGATTGGTCTGCTTTTGAAGGACAAAAATATTTCATTACCAGCTAAAAAACCCTGACAGAAGCTTTAACCTAATACTAATATATATTACATTTGATATATTTGTATAACCCAAATGTTATTTTTGTTGCAGTTACATGTTACAAAGGAGAGTTTTATATGAATTTGACCAAATAAATTCATATAGAACCTGTTTCCACTCTGCTTGTTTGTATTTTCATAGATGTTCCATTTGATTTCAGCTTCAAATGCAATGAAATGAGATTTTTACAAATGGTTTTTACCTGTAAAATTAAACAGCTGGTTCATTTAGAAAGTCTGGCGCTTTGGATGGCAGGTGTGTCGCAAACTGACTCATCATTTGTCTTCATTATTCTGCCTCTGAATCAAACCTGTGTCCAGATGTAGTTACTCTCTCCTCCAGCAGAGGGCGAGCAAACATTGGGTGTAAACTTTTGAACCACAATCATGGGAAAATTAGGTCTAGAATACTCTGCCTCTCTGGGGTGCCCTCATAGATACCCATTTATTTTAATAACCTGTTACAAATTAAACAAATTAAATGGGAGACGTCCTTTCAGCACTACACAACCTCTTCATTGTACGGATGATTTGTATGTATTTCTTTACAAAACAATAACGTAGTTGATTATGGTCTGTGCTCTATTTATTCTAACAGAGATGAGTTGGTTGAAGAGTTCAGGGTGTTCAGGGATAAATGAGAATCCACATGGACAGTTCAGGGAGCTGACTGGCCATTCTGAGAGTCATAGCCTGCTTATTTTATTTAGTTTATAACTGAAGTGCAGATGACCTAAGGATGTCTTTGGAGAAGAGAAGGGTCATGGGGGACTCGCGGACTGACTCAGGGGAAAAAGGTCTGAAAAGGTACGTACTTAGAATAATTAATACAGACTAAAATTTGATTTATACCTGAGGTTAATAATTAAAACTATACAACTCTGGGACCCAAATTGGCCCTAAATTGCCAAGCTCAGTTTGTCGGTATTTTGTTGGTGGGATTGACTTCATTATTAAATAAGTGTAAAATCTTGATGCTTATTTAATCTTTATTTAAGGAGGACCTATGTCAGAATATAACATTTAAAGTAACTCATCATGAAAATTTTTGGTATTCAATTGAACTATTTTTGGATTAAATTATTTAAACCCGGGATAATGGAATGGCTCCAATATTGACAACCAGTAATGGCTTTCATTATCTTTTTTGACACAATGCAGAATTTTCAATTTTGGTACTATCAGAATAAACTTAATTTATAGCTGCCTCTCCTATTTTTACTGATTTATTAGTGTACTGGGGGATAAAGTAGACTGAGAGAGACTTCCCCTGGAAACAATGGAAAGAGAGAGAGAACCCAGCGGTGGTTCATGGCAAAATGACTGGTTTGTCAGGGTGTGGTTTACAGGTTGAACATCACATATAATCAGGTAAATTACATGTTTGCCTCAAATACAAGCAGGACTTGGCTCTCCAAAGGCGAACAGGTGAACTGGTGTGCACCTTTGCTCGGGCCCGACGGTGACAGAATAAGGAACTGTTTTTCTATGATGGTTTAATTGTATACCCTGTTGAACTGGCACCAGATAATTAGACACGGAACAGCGGCCAACATTTGAGGAAGCTCGATGAAATGACAGTTGTCGGGTTGTCATACTTGTTACCCTGTACACTGCAGAATTCACAAACCATACAACATGCTGCCACCTGTAGAGGTTCTTGGACAACCCCGTAATTGTTAATAATGACAAAAATAATAATGACATGTCATTCATAGGCGCCAATCAGGACACTCAACAATCAGTGTGAGGAGGCCTGTGTAAAATAGTGTGTTTTGAAGCGAGATTTGAAAATTCCCAAGGAGTCAATGTTCCTAATGTCTGGGGGGAGGAAGTGCCAAAGGTGGGGGGCAGAGCAAATGAAGGCTCTGGATCCCATGGTCGACAGACAGGCTAGAGCAGGGGTGGACAATCATGTGCCATGGAGGGTTGAGAGGCTGCAGGTTTTCTTTCCAGCCCAAAACTCCACCAGGTGATTTCATTGATTAGTCCCTGCTCTCTGCTTGGAGGTAAGGTAATCAATGAAATCACCTGGTGGAGTTTTGGGTTGGAAAGAAAACCTGCAGCCTCTCGGCCCTCCATGGCACATAGTTGCCCACCCCTGGGCTAGAGGCACAACGAGTCTGATGGAAGTCCGGGTGGTAGTGTTGATGTGGAGAAGTTCAGAGAGTTATGGAGGAGTGAGATTGTGGATGGCCTTAAATGTGTGAAGCAGAATTTTGTAATCCTTTACTGGAGAGCTTTACTGGTAACCAGAGGAACAGGTGTGATGGGACTGATAGATGGGGTTCTAGTGATGATACAAGCATCGGGGCAGCAGCGATCTGGATTAGTTGAAGCTAATGAATGGACTTGTGGGGGAAACCAATAAGAAGGGAGTTGCAGTAATCCAAGTGGGATGTAACCAGGGTATGGACCAGGATGGCGGTTGGGGGTGAGGGACGAACGGAGGTGATTGATGTTTCAAAGATGGAAGTAGACTGATCACGTAATGTAATTAATGTGGCTTTGGAATGTCTGAGTGCTGTCAAGGATGACACCTCGACTCTTGACCTGAGGTAGGGGAGGGAGGGACAGAGGAGTTGTCAATGGGAATGGTAAGGATGAGATTGTTACTGACTGTGCCAATAAGGTAAACCTCAGTTTAACCGCTATTCAGTTTGACAAAGTTGGATGTGAACAAGGATTTGATTTCCTGTAAACAGTTACAGAGGGAGGAAGGCAGGAAGGTGGAGGTGGGTTTGGTGGGGAGCTGGGTGTTGTCTGCATAACAATGAAAATTAATGTAGAACTTGCAGAAAATGTGACCAAGAAAGTAAATAATGAACAGGACGGGGTTGAGGACTGAGCCTTGGGGAACACCAGAGGAGAGGGGAAATGGTTGGAATTTGATAGTTTTCAACTGGATGAATGGAGTATGGCCAGGGAGATAAGATGTTAACCAGTCCAGTGGTGTGTCTGATATACCAACTGATGCTAGTCTAGGAACTTATTTTACCCACTAATCCTCTCTGTTTCTTGTGTCTTCAGAAATGTTGATGAGAGCCCGTTTCGTAAGAGGACGCTTTCACTACAATCTGGGTTCAAGTTCCTGCTCCTGTTTTGTATCCTGCTCTTCATAGTGAGTTTCACCCTGTCTGACACCTGTCTGTCATTGTGGGACAGCTCCAAACTGAACTTCCACAAGTTGCTCAATCAGACCAGCCAGTTATATCTTCTCCATCCTATCCTCAGAGTTAGACCCAAACTAATCCTTGAAACAACTACAGTGTCAACTACTACAGCACCGACTACAGCACCACCAGGGATTCAGTACCACCTTGCCTATCCACGCAACTACCACTTTATCATGGATAACCCAGAGGTGTGCAAGTACCAGACCCCTTTCCTGGTTTTGATGGTTCCTGTGGAGCCAAATAACATAGCTGCTCGAGATGCCATCAGGCAGACGTGGGGCAAAGAGAAGGAGGTTCAAGGTCAGGTGGTACTTACCCTGTTCATGTTGGGATCTTCTGGAGGAGCCAATGTGGAGCAGCAGGAGAAGCTCAAACAGGAGAATGAGAAGCACCATGATCTGATCCAGAGTGACTTCAGGGACACTTACAGGAACCTGACCATCAAAAGTATGGTGATCATGGACTGGTTGGCCACACACTGCCCTACAGCAGCCTTCGGCATGAAGATAGATTCAGATATGTTCCTTAATATTGATAATCTAGTGATCATGCTACTAGAGCCAAGTGTTCCTAAGCTGAACTATCTAACAGGGCATCTGATGTGGAACCGACCAGTTATTCGCTCAGAGGATTCCAGATGGTATGTCCCTGAGGAGTTGTACCCAGAACCAAAGTACCCAACCTACGCTCTAGGCATGGGATATGTCTTCTCTAATGACCTCCCAGAGAAGTTTGTGGAGGCGTCAAAGTCAATTAAATACTTTAACATAGAGGATGCTTACATAGGGGTGTGCATGAAAAAAATGGGACTTAAACCTTCATCGCCGCCAAAACCCTCTCAATTCAGGACCTACAACTTCAAATATGACCGTTGCACATTCTCTAAGGTCATAACATACATTCTTGGGTCCCCACAGCAACTGATAAACTTCTGGACGGACTTGAAGAGACCAGAACCTCCGTGTTAGGTCAACAATAAAGATGTACTAAGAACTAGTTTTCTATTGCTCAGGTGAAGATGTCCCATTTTGTCCCTTTGTGATGTTTGGGGTTATCTCTTTTTTTTGACAATACAGAGGTTTCTAAAAAAATTATTATTATTTTTTTGTATTTAAAAGTATTTTGGGTTAATAACAAAACATAATTATGAAGAGAATGTTTATTTTTCTTATGTGAATTATGTTAAATATGAATAAGTGCATTTAAAGGTAGCCTGTGAATGTTAATCCAAACTTATGTCTGTCAATCATAGGTTGTGCCACTGCTTTATTTAAAAAGATGAAGTATATGCAAATCATGAAACCCCACTGACTTCTGAATCAAGCCTGTGTCCAGAATAGTAGTATTTCACAGATGAATGTAAATTTTCAATTTTGAATGAAAATAAAGAAATGACTCTCAAACACAGCTCTGAGGATATTTTTGTTAACATGTCATAAACATTATTTTCTGATGGTGCACATTATGTTCTCTTTTCAATAATCTGTTTCCATCCACATATTACGATTTGTCCTGACCCTTATTTGGAATTAGGGTTGTAAAATATTTCTTGATATTTTTATGGACTTCATGAAACTTTAGTCTGAACCTGTGTTGGAAGAGGGCCTTTCAGTCACGGACTATTAGAATTTGGAAAGCCATAAAGTATGATGACTACTTTTGAAAAAGGGTGTTTGTCAGCGCCTGGGTTTTTGATTTAAATAAAACATTTATTGAAAAAAAATGCAATGCCTTTAGTCAGTAGGGATGATAACAGCATTTTGAAAGCCTCCTTTGCAGCCGAGACATTCACTTTAGGGGTCTGAGCCTCCAGTTTAGAAAAAGAAATTTAGGACAGGCTCAAGCTAACTTACTAGAAGATGCAACATTTCGGATAAGTCAGGAGCAAGACACCCAACAAGCATCGAGGGTTCACAATATTTGAAGAGAAAAGAAATAGGCAAATAATTTAGCTCTTCCAGATGACATTTGCACAAACCAAACTGCATAGACAGTTATCATCTACCGTTTCTCTGCTATTACCATCAAGTGGTTGTGTGTCTTATTATCACATCTCCACCCTTAGACGGAACTGAGTAAGGAAATATTTCTCATTTATTTTCTTATCTTTTCTCTCAGGAAAAGTTCTTAATATTGACTCAGACATCTGGTGCGCTAAAGTTTAACTGGTTGTTGTAAATAGATCATCACTGATCTTGAACTGGTCACAGATATTTCAAATCTTTGTGAGGACTATCTCCAGGATTCAGAGCCCTGTGGGTTTTCTCAATTAGACTATTTGAACAACACCAAACACTGTGTGACAGTCTGTGCCAGTATTTTGCCCTTGGTTAGTATATACTGAGCTAATTTATTGACTGGGAAAGATGCTCACTGAAGATGCTTGCAACATGTTAACTGACAAATCAAACATTAATATAACATAAATAAGGTTAAACAAATCAAAAAACTGTTTTTAGTCTATTTTTGTCAAAGAGTTCTTAAATTACAATATTTTTACAAAGAAAATGAGAACATCTTTCAAGATAAATATCAAATGAGAAGCAAGTCTGCTCTCCACTTCATTTTTAGACCTTACAGCTGATAACAATAGTTAGAAACTGAGCACAGAGTGATATCTAGTGGTGAAAGAAGATATAACAGAAACAAAAAGGGTTCATGGTGAAAATATGTCCAAGTAATGGCTGAATTTAATCCCATACTATTTGAGTCTTGATCACAAGCAGACAAAGTGAACTCTGACTCTCTTTTAAAGAGCAGGGATGGTGGTGATGTTTACAGAATTTGATTCAAGGATGCATGAAATTGGATTTTTGCTGATATTGGCTTTGCCGGTATTTTGAACTAATTTTGGCAAGACATTTTCATACCTGCTGACACTAATATCATGCCGATAAAATTATGCATTGTACAAGTATGTGCCTTGAAAAGAATGATATCAGCCAAGGTTTAAGAGACAGCAGAGTGACACTGCATTATTAGTCCAACACCATAAAAGATCTGGGACTGACGTCACACTGTTTCTGTGTTACTCACAGATAAAACATCAAAGATCCACAGGAGTGAGCATAAAGCCTCATTAAAGTATGGTCTATAATTAAACCTTATAATATGATACCTAAATGCAAAGGAAAAATCGGCCTCATGTACAGCTGTTTAAGCTATCGCTGTTGGAAGTAAAAAATCAAGAATAATGTGATGGTGGGAATGACGATTTCATTCATGTTTACAACATTCAAGACCCAGGTTATTCAACATGTTGTCATCAGAGGCCAGTCGGCCAAATGACCAATCAATGTAAACTACAGAGATATGCAAAGCACATAACCACTAACTGTATCATGTAGGCTCCTTATATCAAGTCTGTTGTTCTGTTTGCAAGGATAAGTCCGTAATAACAATGACAGTGTGAAAACTAAAAAAACTGAACCAAATATTTACAATGTAACAACAACACGGACCTTGGTCCGGACTTTCAGGTCTTAAAGATATTCAGTTATGTTAATAACTTGCTGCAAATAAAACAAATGGGATGGGAGATGTTCTTTCAGCACTACGCAACTTTTTCAGTTTTTTTTATATTTCTTCTTTATTTGGAAACAGGTCTCCCAGCATCGCTCAGAGGATATGAATGTGTTTCTTTACAGAACAATAATACATTTATTTATTTAAAATTGCTTTTAATATTTAACTGTTTTATTCATGTAACTGTTTTCATGTCTTTGTTTTATTATCTTGGGTCTTATGTACTATGTAAAGCGTCTTTGAGTGTTTTTAAAAGCGCTGTACAAATAAAATGAATTATTATTATTATTATTATTATTTGATTATAGTCTCTGCTCCATTCATTCTAGGGTAAACAGTTCAGGGAGCTGATTGGCCATCTTGAGAGTCATAGCCTGCCTGTTTATTTAGTTTATACCTGAAGTGCAGATGACTTAGGGATGTCTTTGGAGAAGGAAAGGGTCATGGGGGACTCGTGGACTGACTCAGCGGAAAAAGGGCTGAAAAGGTACGTACTTGGAATAATTAATACAAACTAAGATACAACAAAAACTGGATTAGATTAGATACAACTTTATTTATCCTTTTGGGAGGGCTTCCCCAAGGAAATTAAACGATATAATATTGAATACTGGCAGAATATCTGGATGCAAAAGTTTAAAAGCTATGTCAAAGTATGAAATAACGCAAATATTGGTCACTTTGGTTAAACACAGTTTCTTTTGAGTGTTGGAATTTTAATTAAAGCTGCATTGTTGTTTGTTTTTTTATTTCATTTAATTTTATTGAATAGATAATGGTCTAGTACGGGTGCTTCCTTGTTTTTCTAGTTTTGCAATATCAGCCTTTTATAAACTACTGTTCGAAACAGAACATGCCATCCAGCTGGATATTTTATATTAGAACAGTTTTAAAAAGACATATTTCAGGTAATAACTCAATTTTGCAATAGCATGTTTTTGGGATCCATTTTTTTATGCTATCCCAAACTCTCTTTCTTGTGTCTTCAGATATGTCAACGGGAGCCCGTTTCGTAAGAAGACGCCTTCACTTCGATCCAGGTTCAAGTTCCTGCTCCTGTTTTGTTTCCTGCTCTTCATTGTAAGTGTTACCCTGTCAAACACTTGTCTGTCATTGTCGGACAGCTGCCCACTTAACCTCAAGAAGTTGCTCAATCAGACGAGCCAGTTTTATCCCCCCACTCCTTCCCTCGGAGTTGGACCCAGACTAATCCTTGAAACAACTACAGCATCAACTACTGCCCTGCCTACTGATGCACCAACAACCACAGCACCACCAGGGATTCAGTACCACCTTGCCTATCCTCGCAACTACCACTTTATCATGGATAACCCAGAGGTGTGCAAGAACCAGACCCCTTTCCTGGTTTTGATGGTTCCTGTGGAGCCATATAACATAGCTGCTCGGGATGCCATCAGGCAGACGTGGGGCAAAGAGAAGCAGGTTCAAGGTCAGGTGGTACTCACCTTGTTCATGCTGGGATCTTCTGGAGGAGCCAATGTGGAGCAGCAGGAGGAGCTCAAACGGGAGAATGAGAAGCACCATGATCTGATCCAGAGCAACTTCAGGGACACTTACGGGAACCTGACCATCAAAACTATGGTGATCATGGACTGGCTGGCTTCGCGCTGCCCTACAGCAGCCTTCGGCATGAAGATAGATTCAGATATGTTCCTTAATATTGATAATCTAATCATCATGCTACTAGAGCCAAGTATTCCTAAGCTGAACTATCTAACAGGGAAGCTGATGCGGAACCGACCTGTTGTGCGCTCAAAGAACTCCAAGTGGTACGTCCCCATAGAGTTGTACCCAGAATCGGTATACCCGACCTACGTTCTAGGTATGGGATACATCTTCTCCAATGATCTCCCAGAGAAGTTTGTGGAGGCGTCAAAGTCAATCAAACCCTTTAAAATAGAGGATGCTTACATCGGGATGTGCTTGAAAAAACTGGGACTTGAACCCACATCGCCACCAAATCCATCCCAATTCATGTCCTACAACTATATATTTAACCGCTGCGCATTCTCTAAGGTCATCACCTACATTCTTGAGTCCCCACAGCAACTGATAAACTTCTGGACGGACTTGAAGAGACCAGAACCTCCGTGCTAGGTCAACAATTAGGATGCACTTAGAACTCACTCAGGTGGAATGGGTTGGTTTACAGAGAAGTAGGAGATTAATTTATTTCTCGTTTTCTACTGCTCTGGTGAAGATGTGCCATTTTGTCTAAATATGAGGTTTAGGACTATCAGTTTTTAAAAATAATAATTATAATAATAATAGTAATTAAGGTTGGAAAATTCTGGGAATTTTCAAAGTTTCCATGGGAATTTACAGGAATATGTGGGAATTAACAGGAATTAACAAGAATAAATTTGAAATTTACAAAATTGAAGGTTGGCCCTAAACAGGGAACCAAAATATAGTTGGGGAAAATATACTATAGCATAATCTTGGCTAAAACAACCAGACTTTTCAGACTTGATTTCTTGAACCCTGAAGGCCACACTTTTGAGCCCAAAGCATGAGACATTTGAGCCCATGCACAATGTAAAGTCAAGTTTTGATAATATTATGGGGGCAAAAATATTTGATCTATAGTAGTATTAATCTTTAAATTACAAAAACTAAATAAAAATAGGTGATAAATGTAAGCTATTTTAATTTCATTGACCATTTATGGGACTATCTTATTATGGTGGTGGTAGCTACATCACTCCTGCAAGACGGTGTTCTGTAACCATACAATGATTTATACATCAATTGTCAAATATTTTGAAGACGATTCCAGTTGTTTAGCCAACTATATTTCTGTTACAGGCTTTTTTGTTATTTTATTCTACAGAAAAATGCCACGTTCGCCATCTGGTGTATGGAAGCATTTCACACAAGCTAATGTCTGCTTATGACAAAACATAAAATATTTACATTTATGATTGGATATGATACAGTTTGTTTAAATTACTCCCAATTTCCAGTTGATTCCCATTAATTCCCAATAATTACCATAAATTCCCATAATCCCCATGGAAAGTTTCCAATTTGGAATGTTTCCAAAATTCCTCAGCTTAACTTCTCATGGAAAGTTTCTGAAAATCTACCAGAAATTTTACGCTCCTTTGCAACCCTAATAGTAATGCATCAGATTTTATACACTGCTTTTTGTCAGTGACCCCAAAGCGCTTTACATTGGATACGTCATTCATTCGCTCACAGTCACATCCTTGTGGTGGTAAACCACGTTAGTATTCACAGCTGCCCTGGGGCAGACTGATGGAAACGTGGCTGCCAATCCACACCAACGGCTTCTCCGACCACCACCAAACATCATTCACAAACATACACCAGCAGAGGACACAGACTGGGAGCAGGGTGTGTTAATTGTCTTCTCCAGAAGGATACACTGAAGATAGGGGGGAATCGAACCGCCAACCTTGCAGTTGTTGCCGCCCAAAGGTTAGAGAGGTTTCTGAAAATCTTCTTTTTGGTATTTATAAGTTTTTTGGGTTGCAAACAAGACAAAATTATGAAGCGGATGTCTATTTCTCCTTATGTGAAATAAATTGAATGTGAATAGGTGCATTTAAAAGTAGCCTGTGAGTGTTAATGTAACTGTGGGGCGATGTTTTGATGAGTTGGCCTTAAAGTTGAAAAGATGATATTGTCTGTTATCCAAATGCATGTCTGCTAATGACAGGGTGTGCCACTGTTTTATTTAAACAAATGATGTCTGTACTCATGTTACCTGCAAGTTGCAAAGGAATAATCCATTGACCTCTGACAGGAAGATGTAAAGATAATTAATTAAAGAAATGACTCTCAAACGCAGCTCTGTGAATATTTTTGTCAACATATCATAAACATTATTTTCTGACCGTGCACATTATATCGTCTTTAAATGAACAGCAAAAAAAAAGCAAGATATGCTTCACTCCACATAGAAGTCCTGGCCCTTTTTTGGAATTGGGGTTTGTAAAAAGTTTCTTGATATTTTTATGGACTTTTTAAAACTTTATGAAAATATCACAGAACCTTTGTGAGCAGTTTCTCTGGGCTTCGGTGCCCCGTGGGTTTTCTCAGTCAGACTATTTGGACAACACAAAACACAGTGTGACAGTTTGTAGCAAAGTCTAATATTGTGGTGCCCGTATTCTTGCTCCTTGGTTCGTATATATTGAGGTAATTTTGACTTGGAAGGATGCTTACTTTAGATGCGTGCAACATGTTACTGACAAATCCAACCTAAAAAAGGTTCAAATTGATCATAAAACAATTTTAAGTTTAGTTTGTCATGAGGTTATTACATAGATAATGTGAACAATTTTTAAACTAAATATCAAATGAGAAGCAGGTTTGCTCTCAACTTCAGTTTAGACCTTATAGCTGGTAACAATGCTTAAAAACTGTGCACAGAGTGACACCCAGTGGTAATAAGAGAAACAAAAAGGGTTCATGGTGAAAATAAGACAAATGTGACCCTCATTTTAAAATGCAATGAAATTTGATTTTTACTTAAAAAAAAAGAATGCATCTATAAAATTAAACTGCTGGTAAAATCAAAGAGTTTTGGACTTTGGATCACAGATGTGTTGCAGACTGTCTCCTGTGTCTTCATTCATTCAGCGTCTGAATCAAGTCTGTGTCCAGTTGTAGTTACTCTCTCCTCCAGCAGAGGGCGGACAAACACTGGGTTAAAACTTTACAATCAAACCAATTCACTTGTACCTAATGTTTCTTTTTTTGTAAGTGGGGATATTTTAATCCAGATGAACATATTGAAAACAGCTATCAGACAGTAATTTTGCTCTGGGATGTTTACTCATCAGTTTGCATTCACTGGTATAAGGGAATATGATAACCGCACAGTATATTTGGAAAAGAGCGGAGAACACTCATGCAGTGTGCAACAACAAAGTCTAACCAAACATGAAAAATAACCCCATAAAAAAAACGAATAAATGTACGCTCTGCTGAGACTGAATGGGCCTCAAGTGTCACTGCAGACTTGAGTTTGTACACCAACTTATATTTCCAGACTCTGTTTACTTATATTTTCAGTTTTTGCATTACTGTCAATAAAACTGCGAATTGAATCTTTCAACGTATTTTTTAATGTATGAATCTGGGAGAGGTGACAGCTGAGAACAAAATCACAAATACTCAATGATTTTTTCAGATGCAGAAGTTGCAAAAGTTGTGAAGGCGCAAGTTGTTAGACATTTAGAATTGAACATGGGTATCTGGTGCAACAGGCCACATTAATACAAAGAAATCTCATTATTAATAGAATAAACTCATATTATCCTTTCTCTTGTCTCTGACCACTAAAATTCTCATCTTGCCGTCTCTAAAATGCGTAAAATTAAAGGTGGGGTAGGCAGAAATCTGTCATGACAGCATCTTTTTCTGTGTTGATAAACAAAAAGCTTTTAATATCAGTCAATAGCTATTAGTCATTGATGACATTTGGTAATATCACTCTATCACTGTGTTCTCTTGTGTCTGTGTCTTCAACATTTAAAATTTTTGGTAAACAAAGCCGTTCTCCACCTCCCCGACCTGATTGGTTGTGAGGCAGACGCTGCTCCTTCATGTTGTTAGGCACGCTCCACATCCTCCAATAACATGCACGAGCCCAAAGAAAGTTAGCGTGCTACAAAATCAGACAGTAGAAACCAACCAGAAAGTGCAGAAAATTGTCTAAATCCTCCTTTAGCCACGACTGCACCACAACACAAGCAAGAAAACTAAGTAAATACCAGAGACTCTGGCGGAATAATGGGCACTTAAAAAGGAGGTAGACCGGACAAGAGCTAAAAAGCCGGGTCAACATAAACGATGGGGAACCTGTCCAGCAGGGCCTTTCTGCTGGACAGGTAAACCGCTTTAACAAAGTAAGCCAAGTGTCTGTAACAGAAGTGTTTCTTGTCAAATGGACCTGCTGTAGCGTGTTGTAGCGCCATCGCTAAACTGTTGACCTCGGGTCCTGGACTATGTCACTTTATCCTAGTTGTAGAAGTCCTGCAAACATTGTGTTTGCTGGTAGTCTGTTGGCATCTACAGTAGCACCAATGCTTTTTACTTTCACCTTGACTGGGCCCCATTTGTAATGATCTGAAGTATTTATCTGCATTATATCTGAATTTAATTGAAATGATACGAGCGAGCAGGAGCGTCTGTTTGTGGGCGGGGCTTGCTGGAGGAGAGAGGGAGGGGAGAGGAGGAGCTGAGGGGAAAACTGGTTGGGAGGGGTAGAGTTTACATTCAAGATTTCTCCTAAAAACTGGCACTTCCTCAGATCCTGACTACCCCACCTTTAAGCTTGTTTTTGTTGTCAAAAGTACTTTTCATCCACATGGTATGTTCGGGATAATCTATACATTTAAACTTTCCAGTGTTACTGACAAACTTATCAGGATTATTAACTGTGTGTTAAATAGAGTTCAAAGCTTTCCAGAGCCAGAGGTCACTTCTGACTCAGTATTTGTTCTTCACATGGAAAAGCGAATAAAAAAGAGGATGGTGACCTCTCATTCTCTCGCCGCCTCTCGCTCTTTGGCGTGAACTAGTCCCTCCCATGTGTTTTCATTCATCTCCAGCTGTCTATGATCTGTTCTCCCTCTGTCAGATAAGGGAGGGACCCCAAAGTCAAAGGCCCTGTTCTTCTTTTTTCCTGCTGACTGCAGCCTGCATAAATCACAAGCATGCTGAAAAGCCGAACCCTGGATCCACACGTTACTCACTGTTTTACTGTCAACTGACGTCATAGATCTTCCTCAGCGGTTGGCATTATGTCATAACTCACTTTTACTGTCACCAAGTCTGCATGAGGCACAACTTAACACCTGAGAAACCTGACTATGTAGTGTGAGAAGTTTAGATTGTCAGCAGCACTTTCACTCCGTCTCCCTCTCTCTTTTTCAAACATGCAGATTTTCTCTCCTGCTTCCTGTCTGTGCACTCAGGACAGTTTGTTTAGGTGCGTGTCTGCTGCCTGTGAGTTACAAGACCCATTTATTGCCTCAGTATTTCAGGTATAAACACAAGACCTTCATAGAGACTAGACAGACACCCACATCTGCAGAGGAAATTGCTCCCCTCCGCCTCCTTTGATGCTCTCAGATGGGATTGGGTTGATGGATTTCTGTTATTATTTATTGTATGTAATGTCTGAGCGTGTGTGTGTGTGTGTGTGTGTGTGTGTGTGTGTGTGTGTGGGGCAGCAGGGTGGGGATGGGCTGTGATTTATGCTCTTTTACTTACCATGTTAGTGTTTCAGTGCAGGGGGGGAGTTAGTGAGAACTAGTCCAGCATCCAGGACTCAGACTGGTCCTCCTCATGTCCAAATCTGTTTTTTTCAAAAGAGACAATATAAAAGAGTTCAACACACATCCCTCCTCTTGCACTTCCTGGAATAACTCACAGACCAGGTGTTCCTGTAGCATAACTACCCCCACCCCGTCTCTCTCTGCCCCCCTGCAGACCGCCTGTCCTCTCTGTCACCCTGAGTAAACAGAGAGCACTGTAGGGTCATAAACTTCAGCTGGTCCTGTTTTGGTCACAGACGGACCCTCAGACATCTATCTTTACGCTGTTTTCCCTCTTAAAACCAGAACAGAAAAACTGAAAAACCAGAGCCCCAGATTTTCCTAACAGGTCCAGTGAAATAAATCAGATTAGTAACGGGATTAGAATTACAAATGACAATAAAGAAACAGTCAGTCTTGTTGCCTTTTGGTTTTGCTCGTGGAAGAGCTGAATAAATAAATAGATAAATGAATGAATAAAGATGACGCTCATGACTATGTGGCCCCTAAAAACAAACTTTTTCTGCTCCATAATAGTGACAATTATGGAAGTGTATTGCATTCACCAAAAAAAAACAAAAAAAGAAAAGAAAAAAAAACAGGAAGTTTTCTGAGTAATTTTTTTTCTTCTCTGTTTTTCAGACATTTTTTGTTTGTTTTGTTTTTCAGACTAATTCTTTTTCGTATTTTCTGTGATAACGATCTTTTAGATCATCATCACCTAGGAGCTGGAGAATCCTCTGATTTGGAGTCAGCCACGGTGGTTTATGTTATCCGATTGCATGAGATTCTCGCAGGATTTCGGAGTATCTCGTTTAGTCAAGAGAAAAAAAATAGTCTGAAAAACAGAAAGATGAGAAAAAAATAGTACGAAAAACAGAATAAAAATTTGTCCAAAAAACCAAAGGGGAGAAAAAATAGTAAGAAAAACGGAATAAAAATAGTCTGAAAAACAGAGAGAGGGGGAAAACTAGTAGTAAAAAAACAGAAGAAAAAAAAGTCAAAAAACAGAAAAATGAAAAAAAAAAAATGTCCAAAAGTCAGAAGAAAAATTTGTCCAAAAAACGGAAAGAGGAGAAAATATAGTACGAAAAACAGAATAAAATTTTGTCCAAAAAACAGAGATAGGGGGGGAAATAGTACAAAAAACCCAGAAAAAAATAGTCAGAAAAACAGAAAAATGAAAAAAAAAAAGTAAAAAAAAAAAAACAGAAGAAAAATTTGTCCACAAAAGAGAAAGATGAAAAAAAAATAGAACAAAAACAGAAAAAAAACATTGCCCAAAAAACAGAAAGACGAGGAAAAATAGTAGTAAAACAGACAAAAAAAAATTTTAAAATGGGGGAAAAAATTGCAGTACAAAAAAACAAAAAAAAGTCAGAAAAATTGAAAGAAAAAAATTGTCCCAAAACCAGCAAAGAAGAAAAAAATATCAAAAAAACTGTTTCCTTTTTTTTTTTTTTCTTGGAAGTGAATGCAGTACGCTTCCAGAGACAAAAAGTGATTTCACAGTGATAACAACCCCACCTGAGTCCACTGCATATGTGTCCTGTATTGGGTCTTGTGAAACCAAAATCTTTAAAGCCCCCTGCACAGCACAGGTCAGAAACCCCACCTCGATGTTAACAGATGGAACATGGGTCGAACTAGAAAACCAAATAACACAAACAATAAATTTCTTATTCACACGGTTGCTGTCGTAATCATGAGCTCTCATGATGCTGATTTATGTGCAAGTGACAATTTTTTAAAGTATTTCAATATTTTGACTTCATAATTATAGAACAGGAGAGGATGGTGACAAACGATCAAAGGCATGAAAGTTTTCAAAAGTCACCAGACACATGAACAAAGCATCAATGTGAAAGTAAACCAGACCCTGTGATGATTTAGTGGTAGCAGACGGCAAAGGGGTAGAGGCCGGGCTCTGGGTCTCAGACTATCTCTCTCCATTCATCAGGTCATAAATAACCAGGCAGTGACAGGAGCAGAGCTGCAGTCTGAGGTGAACGACGGAGGCAGGGAGAGAGAGACGGAGAGAGAAGAGGGATGGTGTCTTTTGATGAGCTGAGAGACGGCGTCAAAGAGACGAGAGGAAGAAGAGACAGACATCCTGGTGCAGGTTCAAATGCTGGTCCTGTTGGAAAACAAATTTTAGACCCTTGCTACGATTTAACACTTTAACAGCTAATTTGACGCTCCATAACAAGTCCACGAAGGTACGAGTCATAAAGTAGGTGTCCCCCTCCGAACAGCCTCATTGGTTTCCTCCTCTCTACATGTAAAACTGTTAGGCTGTTGACATCTGTGAGCGCCACTGTTTCTCTTCTCTTTACATTTCGTCAAATTCCTCCAAACCACAAGGACCCCCACCACTCAGGTTCTCACGATCCCTGTCAGAGAGTCACTCCGTGGGCTGTGAGAACCAGCGGCTTCCCCCAGCTTCTGGAGGCCTCACACTGTGGCCCGCTCCCCTGACACACACGCTCAGACGCACACAAAAAACACACAAACATGTCACGACCGAACATATGTTGTATACACAGAGAATTAAACACGTGTGCATAACGGCGCACACAGCCTCTTTCTCCTGATTCCTTTTAAACGTCCTCTCTTTAAACAAACACAGCTGGACTCTGCAGCACATGCATCTGTGACATCTTCAACACACTGTGACTTATGTAATCAGAGTGTATGTTGTTGAGTCAGTCATTAAAGGAGCGGTGTCAATCACACCTGTAACGGCAAAAACACTGTATTTACGGAAAAGTGCTGTCATGGCTGTTCCAGAAGCATCAGCCCTGTGAAGGACAGACTTACCCCGATATCCACCATATACAACTCACAAGAACCCACAAATTCACACGCTATCACGCGATAATGAGTTGTCTCTTTAAAGACAGCCACATAACCATATAAGAAGTAGATTGTATCCTTCCCGGGAAGGAAATCCACTTCTGACTTTAGAATCAGCATCTCCTCATCCGTGGTGTCATCGAGGTGAAATGACGTCTGAAAACCTTTGACTTGTTTGTTCCCGCTTACATTTGCATGGTGTGAAATACGATCAAGTGGTGTTTTATTTTGAAAAGAAGCTGGATGTTTTATTTTGTGTCTGTGCCCGGCTTCCTCTCCAGCACGGGTTGATCTGTGCTGACTTCATGCGGCATGCTGCAGCGTCCAGAAAAAATAGAACCCTGGTGATCTTCTGCGGAGTCTGCTGAACCGCAGCAGGATGGAAAGAAGCCAGTGGAAATTGACACATTAACTTGAATAGAAACGATCAGTGGCAATCGGTGCCGATCGCCTTTTCGCCGCCGTTCCAGTTGCGGTGGAAACTGGGGGTTACAGGTGAGTGTCACTGGTGCAGGGTCCTCCTCAGCTGCAGTATACTCATGCTTCAGTAACACAGGCTGCAAATGCTTTGACTTTGTGACTCTCTCTAGACCTCAGTTAAAGCTCTGGCGCCCCCTGTGGCCAAAACAGTGTAATAATTGATGGTCTTGTTCGCTCTTGTATGTCATAAAAAGCATCAATAGGATTTTTCATCCATTTCCTAAACTTAAAAAAAACCTGCCGCTGCCTCAGTATACAGTGTAGTTTAGAGTTAGTGTGCCACTAATTGACACAAATGGGACTTTAACTCAACTGTTTTACATCTATTGTTCATTAACAAAGAAAAGTCACATGACCAAACATTCAGCTCCGCCTCTCTTGTCCCTGTAGTATAATTTCAGCATGTTTTCCTTTCTGCTTCCTCAGATGTGTCTGATTTTTTTTCAACCGTCTGCGATGAAATCCATCATCAGGAGAACTTCGACTGCGGCTCATTAGCAGCCGATGACTTTGTGCACAATCTGCTGTGAGAAACGTCGCCAACATGTTTGTGGTCCACACGGCGAGGTTGAAGGCCATGAGAAAACAAAACAACAACACGGAGCGGACTAACAACTGTAGAGTCTGGAGCGAGGAGCAAACATGCGTTCCCATGTCTGTGTCGACGACTCCCACCTC